GTAAGCCGCTAGGGAAGTTCCCGGGTCTGTTGAGAAATGAGGGACGGCATCCGGTGGGGCAAAGGAAAAGCCGCCCGAGTATAAATCGCCGTAGCAGATGCGCTGTGGTGGGCGAGAGAGAGGGAGTTGAGGTCCATCTGCGACAAGTGTTTCCACTTTCCACAGTTGGTCGGTCGACTCGATGCGCAGTTGTCGCCGCATATGGGGACGGGGTATGCTTGGGTTTTAGGAGGTAGTCCTTTGGTGTCGTGCCAGGAGTCATAATTTATGCGAAACTGGGATCGGGTGATTTTGGGGTTGTGAAATGAGAAAGTTAGAGCAAAGGGGAGCAAGCTTCTCAAGAAGTTAAGTTTAGTTTCTAAACCCTTTGGAAAAGCCAGTAGGCTATTTTACGAATGTGGTACAGTACCGCTAATTGCAGAGTGAGCCTAATTATCAGGGGGTGGGGGGCGAGTAAGACAAAAAGATGGGCATATCCCGACAGAGGCTTGAGCACGTCATCAGGTATTTGGTGTATGGGCTACAGTACCCCTAACAGCAAAGTATACCCTGCTACCACCGACAATTGTGAACTAACCCTATGAGCTGAGTCCCAGCCACCGTAAGACCTTTGTAACACAACTTTTCCACGAATGTACGATGTACACCCCTTCCAAAGCTCACCTCCTCGCTATCCTCGAATGAAGTTGTAGACTGATTCTCAATTCCAGATCAATATCGGGCTGGCCTGAACTCTGTGCGCGCGTGGATTGGGGGTTTCGGGTTCGTGCGAGTCCCAAATCAAGCTTGCCGTTCCGCCCAACTTATCAGCCGGCCAGGTCCGTGATGGGGACGCCGGCCCGCTACTCGGGATCCATCAGTTCGCAGTGTGTTTGGAGGGGGAAGAAACCAGCGAGCTAAACTCGGCCTCCCCCCTCACCCCCCGTTCGTCCGTTCGATCTCTCTTGCTCCCCCCTCCGTTCGTTGGGTTTGAAAAAAATGGGCTAGGCCATATCACTTACTCTTGGCGTGTGGGCGCGCGCCCCATTCCGTGCGCGTCTCGCAGTGGTCGAGTGGAAAAAGAAGGCGCGGAAAAACGGTGATACACGCCAGCCAAGGTTGTTCTCGATGCGCGGCGCGCAAAAACGAGGAGGGACTGTGGAGGAGGTGCTGATTTACGGCATAGTCATTTCATGGTGCCCCCGGAGTTCGTCCTCATCACATTTTTTTCTGGTTCGGGTAAATTCTTGGTCAAGTCGAGGGGTTCGAAATGAATTGTGATGTGCTGGTATGATTATTTTTCGTTCGTTATTGTTTGAGGATTAGGCGTATGTACTTTTTGACGTATGCCTATACCTACCGTAAGCTTATGGTTGAGGTGGCTATTTAAAAATATCTTCAAATGCTTGTATATAGTTTGTACTGTAATGTTTGCCATTGTAATAAATGTTTATATCGGCCTAATCGTAAAACAAACAACAAACCGCCGTGCGATGGAAATCATAGGTCTATTCTAATAAGGCTGTGACAATTTGAGAGGGGGCAGCACCTAGCACTTCTATGTCAAAGACTTCAATTCAAGGCCGAGGTCGCAAAACAGTAAGGCTGTCAGGGAGAATGGGTAGTGATAGATACCTGGGGAGTCAAATAAAGTTACTGGAGCAACACACTTAGAAAATGGCAATTATAGACGAAATTTACCGGTAGTCAAGCCCCGGGGGAGGGAAAGCTAAGGTTTTGAAATGATTAGCATAGGAAAATGACTAAAATTAGGTTAGCTCGGTTCCTAGATGAAACGGTGAGCGATTTTAGGGGATGATAACGGAATCTGCAAAACGTGGCAAATCCTAAACAATCAGCAAGCAAATGACAGTAATGTCGTCGGGTTTTCCGCCCTCAAAGCTTAGGCCGTGGACAAGGGCTTTTAGGGCAAAGGGTGAGGGCCGAGTGTCGGTTGCCAGTTTACGGGCTGTAAGAGCGATAGCGTTGCAGGCCTGAAAATTGTTATTACTGTATGAACCAAGAGTGCTACGTACCGAATCCAGTTTCTCGGCAGATTTTAGCACTTCCAATTCCTTGATGATGGTAGCAAGCGGAACATTATCCCACAACCCGTCAGTGGCAAGCAGGATGATGTCACCGGGCTAAAGAATAATTTTGATACCCTAGACTTTCTATTACCATTAATTCCGTGTCATACTCATCAGCTCTGGTGGGCAAATCCTTGAGGAAACCACCACCTAAAATCAATATAATTGAATGTACTGAAAAGCATACCATCAGGAGCACTCGACAACTGATATGGCGCATTAAAATAATGTAGCTGCTCCTTACTTTGATAAAAGAGCTTAAAAATATGATCTTAAAGGATTTATGTATAATCGATACCTCTCCACCACGCACAACAATAAATCCAGAATCTCCCAAATTTGCTGAGTATAACCGGTCTTCATGTAGGGTAAGTAGACAAGCTGTTGATGACCCATCGACCCTTGGTCGTTCGTTGTCCATGGTTTTGTAGGCCTTTTCCAGGATTGTTACCGGCTTTGTTGGATCGAAATCTCCCTAAAAGAATCTGAATAATTTCTCAAAAATGTTCTTACACTGTGAGCAATCTTTTTGCATTCCCGCATCAAGCGTGTGGAATATAATGATGGGTCGACGCCTCGCAGGCTCCAGCCCCCGACTCCATCAGCCACTCCTGAATGAATTTTTAAGGGTATAATTAAAGCTTCTTACCAACAACATATGTTCCATTGGCCATTATACTAAAGCACGCATCTTCTCCGTATACATCCTTTACCAGTACCTATCAAAAGAAACGTTAAAGGTTTGGTTTCATGTAATTACCTGGCTAGCGCCACCCCTCATATTCTTTGCAAAGCCGCATTGTGAAGAGTAGATACTGAGGCCCTTTTTTGGTCTCTGCTTCTCGCCGACATCTGCTGTGGCTTGTTCTTGAATTGTTTCTGAAATATAAATTGTACCGTTGGGTAATTTAACGCACTCTTGAAAGGTCCCTTTGTCGCTTCCTGTGAAGTCGTTGCAAAGTCGACGGCACCGGCTGAGAATACAGCCCGGACCGCATAGCGGCCGGCAGTTAGTAATCTACCCGCCGCCTGTCTGCTTCCTCCACCAAGCATGCGGGGGGCAAGTCTAAAAAGGCCTTACTTTATTATAAAAATAATTCATAAAGCCTATACATAGTAAGGAAGATCAAAAGGTAACATCGTTCTTAAGAGTCGTAAGTAGCTTTACGATTCGGCAAATTTACTAGCTGATATGCGAAGATTCTGAAGGTTGGACCTGGAGGAACAAAAACCTAAAATATACACAGCTACATGTAAATACCAGCAAATCATCGAAAAACTAATAACGAAGGATGCATTGATTGAGGGTCTCTACTCCCGAGGGCGCACGTGACGCACGAGAGAGCACGCTGTAGCGGAGACCCCCGGCAGTTGGGCCCCCATATCCTCGCAACTACCTAACAACAAAATGCATGCTAAAAGCGAAAATTCAGGGCTAAGCCCGCGAATAAAATGATGGTAATATGGGATAAGATTAAACGCATAGAAGCTAATCTGTGAGAGTTCATGAGCGACTCGGCTGCCCAATTAGCATACGATGGTGTCACGAACATCCGGGGCTTCACGAAAAGACATATAAAGCCTAAAGCTAAGTCTAGCATAAGCACCAATTGGCCCGTATTCGTCGCAAATGCCTAATTAGAAAATACATGATAAAAGAAAAAATTGAGAGCAATGTCTGCACACAAATTCTCCACTTCGTTATTCAAATCATTCAGGAAAAGCAGTTGAAAAACTGAGTAACCTAATTAGCATACGATAACGTACAGGTCGTTTGAGGCTTCAAACCGAGGTTGATCAGACCAAGGCAAAATTTGAACGTAAGCTTCCGCTTCTAAATAAAAAAAATAACTGAAGTTTACCCTTACAAAAAAAATTGCTTTTACCCCGCAAGAGAGTAAATATTGGAAGTTCCGTACCTTAAAGCGAGAAGTACATATAATGAAGGAAAGGAATAGATAAATTAGTAAGTATAGGTTTTATACACGAACTATCCGAAACATCTACAGGGTGTCCCAAAAAAAAACCCCCTACCTAGCGGTCCGCAGTCGATTCCGATTTTTATGATTTAGAAATTTATTATAGAATTTTATTCTATCGAAAGCTCTCGAAAAGGCGAGAAAACAAGCGGGTTTTGTTTACTAAGATTAAATCTTGTTCCATTGATATGCAGGTTTTTCTAAAAACCGGTAATGTTTCGACAGGAATTTCGCATTAGCATGCAGATCCTGCATAAATCAGCATTTTCATGATTTTTGGACCTAAAATTAGCGAATAAAAATGCATAATAAAGAAAATGAACCCTCCTTGTTTTCTCGCCTTTTCGAGAGCTTTCGATAGATACCTAAATCGACTGCGGACCGCTAGGTAGGGGGGGGGTGTTTTTTTGGGACGCCCTGTATGACCAAAAAGCCAACGTTCTCACTTCAACCACTTTTTTTTGCTCCCAGTCTAGGATTACAGAAAGTAGAATTTGAACACACACAGTCTGTACGTTGATCACTGATTACCCACAAACTCCGCCGGAAAGAAGCGCCAGGAGGAATTTGCATACTCATTGGCGGGGCGTATAAAATGTTTTGGGAAAATCGAGAACGGAAACACTATTCGCCTTCACAATCAAACAATATTTTGACTATTCGTCAACAATGTCTAGTACTGTAAGACCCATTTCAGCGCAGGGATCCCCAAAAAATGATGGTTAGGGTGAAGTGGTAGTCTTAACTTTATTTAGACCAAAACGCCCGGGCCACAATCCCCGCTGATGTCCCGGAAATAAAGCGTCGCTTCGAGCTAGGTGGCAAAACTCGATATGCGATTATGGTTATGGGCGTCATCTATCTGTCCATCTTGCAATCAACGTAAATTTCGTTATTACAAAAAAATACCGTAGTCCTTAGTGTTATCGCTTATAATGCGACCTTCGTGGCAATGATGGACATCACTTCTTCGCCCTATTACTATGAAAACATCACTGATTATGAAATTTCACAGGTTAGGAAACCGGACGTATCCAAAACGAAAAATTTAGATTCAATGGGACTCGAGCGAGCTTCCGATTGCTGATCGTCGATTTCAATATAATGCATTGGAAAAAGCGTTGACCTTTGCTGGTAATCGATTTTATTATACCTAAATATTTTTTAAGGTGCATTTGGTGGAGCTCTTGTAGGGACGCAACCGGTCGGAGGGTTGATCGGAAAATATGGGGAGCACAAGGTTTGAAGGGATATCTAACAAGGAGACGTTTTTAGGTGGGCACGGAGTTTCGTAACGAGACCTAGCTCATCCGAAAGCGCTTGAAAAACTGAACAAGATCCCGTTTTCCATTTCTGCAAACCAAAGCGATTGATTTTTAATAATTAAATTAAAGAATTTGCAGAAATTGGCATGGTTCCCCTCGCGCTGAGCGTTTCCTTAACCTCCCTCTCGCGGAAAGCCAGGCCCCGTCTTCCCTTCCCCATAGCGATTTGGCGCAGTCGGTAGGGCGTTTGCCTCCCACGAAACTTTTTTGGACTTTTTGTCGGTTCGACCCCCAGGCCCAGAATTCGTTTTGCTTTTTAATTCCTGAACGCTTTTGAAATGTGGAATCTACTACAAAATTAATTTTTTTGGAGACATGCCCCAAACCGGTAGGGTTGCACTCGCGTCTCAGGGATTAAAATCAACTGGCCCGCTTGTGCCTCCACCGATGCTGTTCAGAACGTTTATTTAACGCATTGAGATAATTAAAATAAAAATTCAGCCCGCTAAAATAAAAAGCAAAACGAATTCTGGGCCTGGGGGTCGAACCGACAAAAAGTCCAAAAAAGTTTCGTGGGAGGCAAACGCCCTACCGACTGCGCCAAATCGCTATGGGGAAGGAAGCGGGGCCTGGCTTTCCGCGAGGGGTTTTGGAGGAATCCCTCCGCGCGAGGGGAACCATGTCAACTTCTGCTAATTCTTTAATTTAATTATTAAAAATCAATCGCTATCGTTTCGCAGGAATGGAAAACGGGATCTTGCTCAGTTTTTCAAGCGCTTTCGATGAGCTAGGTCTCGTTACGAAACTCCGTGCCCACCTAAAAACGTCTCCTTGTAAGCAATAAATACTCTATCAGGTCATGATGATCATCGGGATGATGGCTACGCTATGCGTCGTCCTCGTCCCAATCTGTATTACCACCTCCTTCTGGCTTTTCGTAGCTGTTCGTTTTATTTCGGTAGGGAGTACGAAAAGACTATATTTAAATGTCACAGGGTATCGCACTCTCGAATCTCTTCCCGATTGCTGGAATCATTGTCAATACGTGGGCCCCGGTGACTGGTAATAAAATAGTTGCTTTTCCGATGTAATCTCCTTTAGAAAAGGGGCTTTTCGTTGCTGTACTCTCCGGCCATGTTGAGCTGTCACCACTCTTTACCATGCCGATGTCCGGCATTGTCGCGACAGGAGGTGGGATCTAAGTTTGGAGTTTTGGATCTCGAATCACTTTCCAGTCAGCTGGCCGGCCGTTTTCTACATGCACGGATTACTGTGCGCTATTGGGACGGTTGTTTGGATTCTATTTTATAGGTAGTTTCAGTAGAAAATAAACAATTAAAAAATCTAGGAATGACCCTAAAACCCACCAATTTGTCGGGCGTGCCGAATTGAAGATCATCAGCGAGGGCAAGCAGGCGAAGGTGGAGGGACAGCGCGTTGAGGTACTGTCGCCCAGTTATATCGTACTTTTTTCTACAGGTCCCAGTCGTTCGCATCATCCGCTCAATCGTCATTTGGGCCGTTTGGATCGCCGTCATCGGAAACTTCTTTGTGGCGCAATTCAGGTATCAGGGTTCTACCAGCTTGAAAACATTCGTTTAGCATCACTTACGCGCCGATGTACCTTGCATACGTTCTAAATTACACTGCACTCGAGGCTGGGCTGATTACCATGATCCCATTGGGGTTGCTGGTAGGCAAGAGGCACTCATAAAAACACAAAACTGTTTCAGCTTGTTCTGAAATTCGCCACTGGCATGGTTTCTGACCGTCTAAAGTCTATTTCGGAGGTTTGTACTATGTAGTTTTGTTCGCAACAAATGATTTTTTTCAGGTGGGAAAGCTTCGTCTCTTCTCTTCTCTTTCGCTGCTCGGCTCGGGCTGTTTCTTTATTCTAGTCTCCTTCTTCCCTCCAGGATATCACGTTGGAGATGTCATTTTGATTGGTAGCGTAAACCCTAGAGTATACAGTAATAATCTTTACAGTAATCCCCGTGGCTCTGCTTGGCTTCCAATCGGGTGGCTACCCAAAATGCGTAGTGATGGTGTCGAGGCAACATTCAGCCTGGGTCATGGGCACTGTGCAGGTATTTGACAATTAAAAAATGAAACAAATTGGGCTTCAAGATGCTTGCCGTGTCGTCATTGGTAGTTGGTTCATTTGTGGTCCCGGCAATGACCACGGAGGATACTTTCGAGCAATGGAGAAACGTTTTTACGCTTTACGCAGCATTAATGGTCAGTGATTTATTCGCAGAAATAATATGGAACGTGCTACGTCTACCTAAATTCATTTAACGTTGATTCTAGGTCCTATGCAACACCATCTTTGTATGTTTCGCCCGGGCGGACCCTTGCAAATGGACCTTTGATGCGGCCATTGGGCAAGACCAGGTAGTATCGGCTAAATCAAATAGCATCAACGACTTAATTAGGTAAAAGCCGAGGAAGCTGTTGAGAGAGCTGTACGGAAGATGAGCACAGCACCCACCAGCCCTGCAGATGCCCTACCCCCAGCTTCGACCACACAAACACCCGTGCAAAGAAGAACTAGTCATTCGGACTCTGTTTATAGCGTTTAAGTATTTATATATTTAAGGAATTGTGAGACTTTGTAGTTACTGACCCATACTAACTCTCATTTTTACTAATTACTAACCCCTTGATCTCATCTTTATACCATTCACGCTGTTTTTAGAGGTTTTATGTCGAATAAATTTTTGGCTTTACTTTATTTGAGGCCTTTGCACAAGTTACCACTAAACCGGCGCGGAATCGCGAATAATTTCGAATGGTTGATGCAATAAAAGGGATTGTGAGATACAGGATATACGCTCGAGCACGAGGGGGGAAGAGGAGGTGGGGGTTCTTGATGAATGATGAGTCTGAGCGGCGGTTCCTTGCTGATACGCATTTCAAAGAAATAGACAGAACGCGACATCGCAACGAAATGTGCGCCACGTGAGGCCGATTTTAGGGAAAGGAGCTGTGATTGTGGATAAATTTTGCCGTGGTATACAGTATGTTGTCAAACTTCTTTCCGGATAGCATTTTGTGTTTTTCATTGCCAGCTTTCCAAAACGTTCGACGGCCAGATTCTAGCCCGAACAAGTCTGGGCTATTGCCCCTTTTCCCCTCGAAACGTTATCAGCAGTCTACCGAGCAGATAGCACCGTTTTTTACTAATTGCCCAGACCTTTTTCATGCAACTCCGGGAGTGGGGTTACTTGCTTGTTTTTACTAAAGTAAAGGTTACCTAATTCTAAGCCTAAACCTAAGCCCAAGCCTAAACCTAAGTCCGAGCCCAAGTCCAAGCCTAGCTCACCTTTGCTTAACTCATGCTCTTCAGCTCACTGGGTTCAACCCCCTCCCCCCCTTCCGTTCGCAACATCTCTTTCCTGTCACGTGCAAAACGATGTTCTATTTGTTGAGAAGATTTTCTGTTCCCATTCCCTTGGGTCAATGCCTATCATCCCCAAAAAACACAGTTGGGAATGGGGATCAATCCAGCAATAAAACCGCGAGCTATCCAAAAAGCAATCTCCTTATCCACCCCCAGCCCCCCTCCCTCCGCCATCAAGTCGTGCTATGAGAGCCGATTGATAACATCGGGTCGCCATTCTTTAAAAAGCAGCCCTAGGGCGCCTCTCAAAGATCACTGCGTCATCTTTGCCGCCGCTCTTTATAGGTCGACTCGGCCTCGTCCAAACAGTTCCCGTTTCCTGCTCTTGTTCATTCAATAAATATTTTTGAGCGTTTCTGTAGGGCAGCTTATTTCTAGACGTACAATGTTGAACTGCGTACGCCATTCGGCTCGATTTGCCTCGAACGCCGCGAGGGCTACGGTAAACACGGCAGGTATGGCTTGAGATAGGCTTGGAGTTGCAACAAAAATTTGTTAGCGTCCGATTCCGAGGATATTTTTGCACGCGAGAAACGCTATGGCTGCCACAATTACAAGCCAGTGCCGGTCGCATTGGCTAGGGGAGAAGGTAGGAACAGTCTTCTGAAAATCAACATTTTTTTAGGTGTTCATGTCTGGGATGTTGAAGGCAAGAAATATTTTGATTTCCTATCAGCATATTCGGCTGTAAATCAGGGACATTGCCATCCGAAACTGGTCGAGGTTAGCAATAGCTAATGCAAACGGGAAAACGCAGGACTTAAGGTAATGCGCAAACAATCGGCAATCCTCACCCTCACATCCCGTGCCTTCTACAATGATGCCCTCGGGGAGTTTGAAGAATACATTACTCACTTGTTGGGATATGATAAAGTGTTGCCAATGAATAGCGGTAATCACCTTTATGTATTTTATATTACGCCTCTGCCTAGGTGTCGAGGCATGCGATTCGGCCGTAAAGCTCGCTAGACGCTGGGCATATGACGTGAAGGGAGTTCCGAAAGATCAGGCCAAGGTCGTTTTTGCGAAGGACAATTTCTGGGGCCGATCTATTGCTGCCATTTCCGCTTCTAACGATCCTGATTCGTTTGATCGATTTGGGCCCTTCGTTCCTGGATTCTCGAGTGTACCATTTAATGATGTAGCTGCTGTTGAGGTATTTTAGGTGCATTAATGTGAGGTATCCGGGTTTTAGCAAGCCGTCTCGGACCCGAATTGCGCAGCATTTATGGTGGAGCCAATTCAAGGTGAGGCCGGAGTGGTGATCCCGGATGTTGGGTATTTGCAGGTGAGAACCAACGAGTGTACATCTATTAAAAAATTTTAGAAAGTCTCTGAAATCTGTAAGAAACACAATGTGCTCTTCATCACTGACGAAGTTCAGAGCGGATTGGGGCGTAGTGGAAAGTAAGACCACTTTCACAATTAAATAATTATTTTAGATTGATGGCTCATTATCACGATAATGTCCGTCCGGATATTGTCGTGCTTGGCAAGGCTCTTTCGGGAGGAATGTACCCAGTTAGTATTGACCAAGCAGCGCTAAGTGTGTTTTCAGGTTTCTGGTGTACTCTGTGACGACCATATCATGATGAACATTAAGCCCGGCCAGCATGGTTCCACGTATGGTGGAAACCCATTGGCTGCTCGAGTTGCCAAGGCTGCGCTTGAGGTACTACTACCTACTGGTATGAATTAAACTTCTTTAGGTGCTCGTCGAAGAACGATTGTGCGAAAATTCAGCTGAAATGGGTGATGTACTTCTCGAGCGACTTCAACAACTCCCGAAGAATGTTGTAAAACTGGCCCGTGGAAGGGGATTGTTCTGCGCCATCGTCATTGATTCCAGTACGTAGCTTAACGTCCTCTTAAATTAATTTTTAAGGATACGACGCATGGGATTTCTGCTTGAGGCTAAAGGAAAATGGATTGCTTGCTAAGGTACGTATTATTTTGGAGGAATAACAGAGATTTAGAATACTCACGGTGATATTATTCGGTTTGCGCCACCGCTGGTTATTAACCGTCAACAGGTAAAAATTATAGCTTTAATCTGTATGCAAATATTTGCCCAGGTCAACGATGCCGCCGACATTATCGAAAAGACCGTCCGTGAAATTTATTCTTGATGAGTTAATCGATTTGTACTTTTTTGAATTTAGACCAAATGATCGCCGAAGAATAAAATTTTTGCACACCTCCAATGCTGAACATTTTTTTGTTTTGCACCTGTGATTACAGTTTACATTTATTAACTCATTTTTATTGGCATTTCTGGGCATGACTTAGTAATCGGAAAGGATCGCAGACAAAATTGACTAGACAGAGCTCGAATTTTGCAAGAACATGTTGATTTTAAATCTCAGCTGGAAGCACACAAAAGCACATGTTGTAGCTTGTAGTCAAACAGAAGAATGGAAATAGTAAACAGACAGGCAAGAAAGGCCATACAACTGGGGACTGTTTTTGTTCAGCTGCAAATTCGCGAAATGAAGTTTGATCGAGATTTGTCGACCCGTTATAATACGAGAATATATTCCTTAGATGTAAATGCGTATGAGTGGGGGGAAATTTAGGAAGAGCCAAGGACTGGGAGTTCTGCATCCAACTCCCAAATAATAAGATGACTCATGTCACGGACTCGAACCGATTCATCGTCCTTCGGATTTTGTTCGACTCCTTCAGAATCGTCTCCTGAAAAGGTATTTCAAGTGCTGAAAGTAATTCCACTGACCTATTCTGAAATCGATATAACCATCGCCTCCAGAAATCATCAACATTCTTCGGAGTTGAGCGTCAGCTTCTTGTCCCTCTGTGACAGGTTTATGCTCTCCTGGCACAGCTTGGAAGAATTTCACGGAATCTCGATGACCATGGAAGGAGAGTTGGGCTTGAGACAGATTACAGTAAGGGATGAACAGGTTCGATCCGTCGGTTGTGGCCTCACTTTCCGGTTTTTTGTAGACCCGGACCAAACCTCCAGGGCCTTTGGCACCTGGGGGAGCGATTTTCTTCGTCGTGTCTTCCAGTTCTAAACTTTCGACTAGAAGACGTGGCTTGTTCTCACCTGAGCTGAGTGGCACGCTGATGACAACGCCAGTTCCGGTACCGACCCAGAGTCGTCTGTTCGAAACGAGAAGGGCGGTTGGTCTCATGAACGAGAAGTCAAGCTTGGAGGTACCTTTACAAATGTTTATACGCGGATAGACCAAACAAACCAAGCATTTTGGTGACATACGGCTCGATATCGACATCTTGCAATAGTTCATAGGTATAGGCGTGGAAAAGCCTAAAAGCTGTCTATTAATTTCACACACTAAAATTACCGTATCGTTGAATCAAGTCTAATAGTTGTCCAAACTCCCGCCCCAGCCCATTGAAGTGCCCGAACTTGTGAGTCCTTCCGCGGATGGGCTGCGAATACTTTCTAAAAATCCAAAGTTACGCTAAAGCTACAAATTACAACCTGGACGTTCAGAGTATCGACATCCAAGACTACGATACAATTCTTGTACGCGGCCCACAGTGAGGAGCCGACAACTTCAAGCGAGCGAACAGAGGCTGACGGTGGCCCGAGTCTGACGCAATGATATCCCTCCGAAGACCATGCTCCTTCTTAAATTTTTTTGAATGTTGTTTCGAACGATATCTCTTACGCTTATTTCTGTGGAACACAACGATCGTGCCATTGGCTAGAGCGGCAAAGACACGCCCGGCTGTGTGAGTTATGGCCAAAACAGCATCTGGCAGCTTGATCCTCCTCAAGCATTGACGCCAAGCTGTGACTGCACTGTGGATGTAGATGCTAAAAAAGTTGTCATAAAATCAATTCCTCCGTAGCATTCGTACTACTGATTCTGGCTTCCCATCCAAATTGTCGGGAGGGCTGTGTCGGGGTGTGATGAAACCTAGAAAATTTAATCAAGTTTTTCTTGAGACCAACCTGCTCATATCGCTCAAGTGAAGCCTTCAAATGATGTGGAAGCGATCCTCTAGGCCCGATCGGCTCTTCTAGAATAAAATATCATAAAATTGACCTTTCCAAGTCACGAGCCAAACACTGAACTTAATAGTGTTCTTAAATAGAGATGTGCCGAATTGCCAGTCAAAGAGGTTGATAGAAAATGTTTAAGAGTGATTTTAACTAAAGCAACCACCACCATCACCACCAAGTAGAAGCGTTTTAATTTTTGGATTGTCTGCCATTAGCATCGGATCCAATCTATTGCGGTACAATCCAAAAATCCACAAATCACGACAGAAGCGTTTGTGAACCTTGAGGTATTGGGCCTTTCTCGAGGACTTTGACGACTTGGGACTTCTCCCGTGCCTCTTCCGCTTCCTCGATCTTGGCAGGTTTTTTGCTACCTAATAGGAAAACCCTTATTTTATTTTTGTAATGGTTTTTATAGAATTTTACGCTGCATACCTTTTGGTTCGGAGGTTCCGGCGACTGCGGCTTGTTCACAGAGACTGACTAAAAACAGGTTTCTTTATCTTGGAATTATCTTACAGTCTCTAGCGCGTTTTGGACTAGGTTTCTGCTCGTTGCTGCATAGGGTCTCGACATTGTCGTCCGTATCTTCGAGCCTAAGCGCCCAATTTCATACTCATTCTTTCGGCCCACTTTCTCATCTCGACCCAGGCTACAGCTCCAAGTTCTGCACTATCAATTCCTTCAGGAACTTCTTTTACATAGCCGCCACCACGCAACAGTTTCTTAGCTGACGTCTCGTCACACCAGGGCTCATTTTCAAGGACACCTAGATGATCATGTTTTCTTAGGAGCCTTAAAAACAAACCATGAACACTAGCCATGCATAGCAAATGAGAATCACATGCGCAGAACTGGTCGATGACGTTGTTCGGGTTATTAGCATCGACGATCGCGATCTGCGAACGTCCCTAGAAATCTCAATTTCAGACCTATTCTCATCAATATACCTGATTTGAAGAAGCCACCCAAATCAAGCTTGTTGGCGCCCATTCCGAAATCTCTTTCTCCCGCGCTTCCAATGCTCGTGATCGCTAAAAACCAAAGGTTTTTGGGCTGTTTTTGCTCTTATCTTACATCAATCTCCAGCTCCAGATTGTCACTATTGGCACGCTGACCATCACGAACCAGTCGCTGTTTCGTTAGGCCAAAGTAGATGGACTCGCCTATACGGGAATACAGGAAAATAAGGATGACCTACCGGAGATGAAACTCCCGTTGGGTAGTTTGCCGCCCTTCAGAATGACGCCTGTGCAGCACCAGACTTTTAGCTGCGGTAACTGCTCCATGACTGGACGGCAGCAGACCGGAACTGGGACTTGGGTCGATGATGAGGTATCAACGGTAGAGGGAATTGACCAGCCGTATGCCTACACGATGAATATTTCAAAAATTGGGGATTGTGCACCTGCAACCTTCCAGAATCGTCCTTCTTCACGTGCTCCCTAACGAGCTTGTACTGCTTGCGACGCTCAGCCGCTCGACGCTCCGAGATTCTGAATTATTTAGCGTCTTATTAAAGCTGTTTTAACTTACAGATCCGCATCCAAAAACTCGACGCTCTTCGTCATCTTGTTTCGGCTAGCTTCCTGAGCACGAAGTTGACGCCTCGCGCTGCTGGGTGGAGATGGGGAGTCACCGAACAGACCCGAGAAGCTGAATGCCATTTGTCAAGGACCATAATTTCTAACTCACAAGTCCCAAATACCGCCCTTCGCCTGTTTGGGCATAGGTTGCTGCTGAAGCTTCTTTGCACGCTGAAGTTCAGTCCATTTCAACGATTCCTCAAGCTCCATCAGCTTCTCTTTGTACATATTTCGGTCGATGAGTACGCGTTGCATCTCGGAACGGGTGAAACGTTTGCGCTGGGCAAGCGGGACATCCTCCTAAACAGTTTTTTAGCAATTTTAGAAACGGGTTACCTCTTCTTGCTCGGCTTCCTTGTCGCTGAGCTTTCGCTTGGTATCTTTCAGCTCATCTTCGACTTGCTGTAGTTGTTCGCTCATTTTAGCGCGCACCATCTCGAGGCTTCGCACTTCTTCGCGCAAGATTTCTTGTTCACTAAATATAACTCTAATGCCTTACCGTGCTACAAACCTGCTGAGCTCATCAACTTTCAGGATCAAGTCGTTCTTCACAATGTTCAGGGCGTTCTTCATATCCAGCAGCTCAGTGTTTTCCTTGATGAGATTTTCCACTTCACGGCCCATTCCTAAAAAAAAATAGATAAACCCGGTTTTATTTTCGCATGCAAAACCCACATCGCTTTGCTAGCTTTGACCAGATCCTAAACTCAAGCCAAAGCCCAAGCCTAGCTCGGCACAAGGCGCATGTCAAAGACACCATGCGGTATCAACATTTTGCTTATTTTACTTCTCAAGGCACAATTACCACATACAAAACTTACCAATGAACGTGTCGTTTACTGAAATTCAATTGATTATTTTTGGTTTTAATCAGTTCAGCTAGCAAAACTCTCGTGCGGGTGCGACAACGTAAAAAAGGCCCCACCCATTCCAAATAAACTATTAAAATCCAAAAGAGCTGTTGATTTTCGGCAGACACCTGTCGGTCCAGTCGACGTACCATCGGTGTGCAGTGCGTCAAACAGAAACTCCTCATCCTCATCTGTACAACACAACAATTAGCAACAGAAAAGCATTCCGGTTATGCAAATTATAGTGCCACGCAGTTGAACCGAGCATTAGTGCATTAATCGGCTGACTACGCAAGGCTACAAAGGACAACTTCTACATGCTCTTGATGCGGACCATACGACGGGCTTCTGCAAAAAAATTACCGGCTGACGCAAATTCCGCGGGGTCAACGAGATTGCCTGGAGCACACGGTTTGTTTTGTTAAGAAGAAAATAAGAAGGAGCACACAATGTGAAATGAGTGTAGTGGTTTTTCGTTTAGTTTTAATGTTTGTAAATAAAAAATACCAACCTGTGAGATCTGCTCCAAGGGCATCTTCCGGTTCTGGTTCGTTGGCAAGGACCGGGTTATGCCTAATTTGAATATATAAATTAGAATATGCTCTTACAGAGATGTCCGCATAGCTTCCGGCGCTTCATCAGGCATTTCGAGCTCTGATTCGACCTATAAACAACCAAAAATTATAAAGATTTAATAAGAATTACCGCAGGAAGTCGTGCGCGCTCATTGTCCTCCCTCGGCGTATCAATATCCGCGGATTGTCCGAATTCTTCCTGGTAGTCCACTAAAATCATATTTTCATGCAATACCGAAATTTTTCAATATCTATATAGCGCATATCATGCACAGGCCATCCAGGCCATGAGGGCCATAGAGCCATGCCAGAAAGTTGCGAGCGCCACAATACAATAAAACGGGGGGAACCGGGCGAGCTAAAGGGTAGCCGGAAATGTCAAAATGGGGCCAAATGCCATCGCCAATGATACTTCAGGGTATTTTTTACCTGACGGGGAACGAGCGCGTCCTATAAACCATTAGAAAAAAAATAGATTGATTTGGTAAGTTAATCATACCTTCTTCGGAGATGTGGTTGGCCAGGTTGACGTCGTGGGACATCGAGTGGGACATGGCTGCTGAGATCAAGTCGGAGACACCACGGATTGAGGAAGCATCTACTGACGCGGCCATACCCATTCCGGTTCTAAATTTCATATGTAAATCCGTATCGAAATTCTAATCGTAATTTGGAAAAACATGCAAAACTTACTTTCCACGCCCCGTCTGAAGTGGCATGTTTTGCATCATCTCAAATTTATCGGAGCCCAGCAGGTATTTTGTCCGTTCCATGTGGTCGATGTGAGTACGGAGCAATACATTGTATCTAGATACATTTTAGATGTATGTTTTGGGAATTATTCAGTACCTTTCATGCAACCGATCATATTCCACTTTCTGATCAGCTTCCCGCTCTTCTAATCGATTTGCTAAAAACATAAATTTTCGAAAAAAATATCCAAGGCCTACCATGATCGGTAGCGTTTTTCGCTTTCAATTCTAGCATTCGCATAATAGATTCAAGAGATCCAATCTTGGCTTCAAGCTCTCTTTGCTGGCCGACCATCTCGTCTTCGAATTCCATATATTTCTGGTCTTGTTGTTTTCTCTGGGATTTTTCTCGGTCGTATTGGGTCGAGAGCTGCTCAATATCTTCTAAAAAGAAGAAAAATTGTGAGTTGTTGAATTTAGTATATACCTTTAAGCATTTCATGTTCAATGGTTGCTTCATCTTTTTCGAGGTATGCTATTTCGAGATGTTCCAACACATTGATGATTTGGGGCATGAGAGACGTGACGCTGTCGTCACCAAAGCGTTGAATCAGATGTTCCAATTCTCTGAAAAAATACATCTAATTTAGACTTAGGTCCATACTCAACAAGTCTTTAGAAATAATTATATCTAATAAAATCTGAAAAGTATACAATATAATAGCACTTGAAATAATTACCGATATACCGTTGCTGCTAGAGCTTCCACCTTCGGGCTCATCTTCCGGGGTCCGTCCACATTTTCGACGGTCGGGCTCTCCCCACCATAGACAATCTGCAAAAAACGACATTTCTTATTGTTTGCCTTGACGTTAACTATGCCCCTAAAAGTTTCAGGTTTGTGCGTGCCCATTTGCGATGTTTACACGACACGAATGCGTCAGGTCCCCGGAAAAATCGCGCCCAAACAAACAGACAACCAGGGGGGAACCCGGTTGAGGGGATCGATTATTCGAAAGGGATCAAATTCTGGACCTCATTAGCTGATGCTGATGATGATCTACGGCCTGGTGGGGGTGGAAGGGAACGGCGGAGGGGTTGGTGGCCGTGCATTGAATATAATTATTATTAGTCGCCAAAAGGTGGCGCTGGAGGCATAACCGGAAGTGGGGGGTAGATATGACTGGGCTATGACTAGGCTTCAGTCTTGGGTTTTTCGGGATAGAGAAAATCGAGCAGTCCGTTTATAGGAATAAGGAATAAAGCTGTTGTCGTGGGTTGTAGATGGCTTTTATGCATCCAAGTTTGGTATAGAAAATAGTCTCCTTGTCGTAGATTAGGGCTCAAATTACAGCCCCATTTTTATAATATAATCGTCAATTTAAGAGGCGTAGCTATAACCGTAGTTTTGTATAAAATTTTAGAAAATAAATCGAGTATCAATAGCTCGGTCAAATTAGATTTAGCAAAAAGCAATGTTGATTGATAATTGATAAGAGAGACGTAGCAAGGGGGAGTATAGCGCCTGGTATGATGTCTCTTGTTGGGAGGCGGAGTTGGTCCGTTGGCTGTAGGATTACCTGGTGGTAGTGGACAGGGAAGGCGACGACACGTGCACTCCACTCCACCATCCTTCTGCGTCCCCCTCTTACCCCCCTCTTGCCCCTCCGCTCGGACCGCCCGCGCTTGTCCTCCTACTCATTCAATATGACCCAATTAGTCGACCGCAATAGCTCGAACTAGCGCTTCATCGCTTGACAGTTTGCATTTTCTGTTATAATCGATAGAACGCGCGAATTTCCATCCACTGCTTTTCCAGATGCAAATTTCGCAACGCCCCACTACCATCGACTCACAGAAATTAACAGCTCAATTGTTTCTATATATTTTTTCTACAAAATTGAACGCTCACCTCACTACTTGTCGTCGAATCCTCCATCTTCTGTACCTGCTTTTCGTTGGATCCTAGCTGAACTCAACTTTTTTAAAAATTATTACCAGATCCCACCTGATCAAACAGTTTCCTCAATTTTCCCAACGAGCCCCCTAGGCGACCAAGTGCATTCTTCGGCTCTTCACCGAGCTCGTTTTTGCTGGAATTCGCAATTATGAAACCAGTTTCCGGGCAAAATCAAGGACTAAAAACAACAAAAATTGCATATGCACTAGCTTTTTATACCTCATAGTTAAGGATTAGGAAGGACTAGACGGGGGTACAATCAGGGGCACATTCGTCGATGTTTTCCGGGTGATAAGGGTTGGCGGGGCGAGGCGGGGGGAACTGTCGAGCATTTGGGGGGAGGAGTCGTCACATACCAACAACGCTGCCCCACAAACTGTTACTTTACTCTACTTTTTAGCGTCAATGCTGTTTCTGGTAATCTATAAAAACTAGGTCTAAGCTTAAGTTGAAGCCTGGGTGAAGAAAGCCTGAGCCTAAGCTTAAGCCTAAGCCTAAGCCCTAAATTTTAATCAACGCTGCGCATCTTTAATGTACTTTTGTCCTTTCGGTTCTTAATAATGCTATATGATTCTATCGAATAAATCTACTAATCTGAAAAATAGTGCATAAAACCGCATTTTTTTGAAAATCCTGTAATTCTCTTTAGGCCAAACAACATCCGAATTTAAGCCCAAAAAGGTCGATTTCCCTCTGAAACCCAATGCATTGCCGGGGGGGCGAGGCATCTGGTGGCTGAGAGAAGCGGTCAATTTGCAATTTGGGTCCCTCTTTTCATCGCGGCACCCCCCGCGGTTCCAACAACGAGCAAATATCGAAGCCGTCAAACGAGGGACGCGAGCCACGTCTTTTCATTTAGATTTTTTTGGGTAAAAACGGGCTTGAAAGGAGATGCCGAATATTTAGTTTGGTCGGGAAATCTTGAAAAAATTTGCATAATGCATAAGCTTTTCCTGAAGTTGATTATATCAGTTCCGGTCTACTCAAAGTCTATTTTTTATCCCAATTTGACGTCATTTTTCAGCGGGGGCGAGGGTGAGAGAGAGAGATGAAAAAGAGGTAAAAGATGGCAGGTGAGAGTTACGAGGGCCAATCGGCTTCCAACCCGACCGGGCAAGAGCGGTTTACCCGGAAAGCGACAGTCTCGGCGGGTACTATGGGAAAAGCGAATTGGGCACAGGCTGGCCAGATGGGCGAATATTTGGAGTATCGACTCTCAGCTGACAGCCTCTGCCCTCTCTCAAACTGCCACGCACCATCGATTGAGGACCCTCCTCCTTTCGTCTGTCCCTCTCTTTCTCTCTGTCCCTCAGTACGAATGGCACCCCATAACGCCCAATATCCCACCCCCAAATACTAACACTAACAGAAACAACAAACAACAACTGTTGCGAAAGAATTAAAAAGGTGAAAGTTTGCAGTTTTTGCGATTGTATCTTAACGATTAGGCTTAGCTTAGGTTTGGCTTAGACTTAGCGTAGGCTTAGCTTAGGCTTAGTTTAAGCTTAGTTTAGGCTTAGCTTAAGCCTAGCTTAGCTTTGGCTGAAGCTTTTATTAGCCTCGAGGTAGCCTTTCATGGCCTTAGTTCCGCTTTTAAATGTGTTTATGAATCATTTATATACAATCAGAATAAATTTTATCGTATGACACCCCAATCAAAAAACGCTAACCATCAATTCAAAAAAGGCAAGAATCGAGCAAAGAAACAGTTAGAGACCGAACAATTTGAATCTCGTGCATACCGAAGTGGGCTTATGACAACTTTCTAAGCACTAGCTAAGGCTCTAGCTGTATGTGAAGTGCCCAGAAACAAGCGCGTTTTGACCTAAATTGACGATGAGCATGCGAATGAGCAAGACGTGCGGGCCAGGATATATATAAGCTTTCGGGAAGAGATCAACAATACCGGAAATACAATATACTGAACTGGCCGCTAGTCATGGTCCCGAGGTTATATCACAAATATATGTAGGATGATTATTAGAAGAGCCCTGAAAAAAATGACTGTGTAGTCGGGGGGAGGGAATCGTAAAGCGACAGACCGTTTTTGATAAAGACTAGAATTTTGACAAATTCGACAGGGTTTTATTTGGTCTGCCTGTTCTCGTGTTTAGAAAAACGAAATAAAATTGACTGCATGGAGAAGGCTTCCAACGTTGAGGTGATTAAGATGTAAGTGTTTGGGGGCGGAAGTTATTTACATGAAATGGTTAATTTGGGTTGATAGGAAAATTCAAATAGACATATGATTTGGTGTAATCCTTGCCAGCTCACCGAGGGTATCTCGAGCCTGTAAAAATGATGATAATTGTACTAATACTTTAGCAGATTTATGTTATCGTTCTATAAGAATCAGCTCTCACCTGATAAAACAAAATATAGGCAGATTCGGAATTTTTTTGTATCCCGCCTTCCGACAACCCGAAGAAATCTTCTATCGTAGAAGACTCGATTTTCTAAAAATTTTTGGATTAATTTGTTTATGATTTTTCAGTTCACATCAACAATATCGTCATCAAATAGGAGCCAGAAGTTGTGGCTCTTGACGACTGTGATGTAATGCCCTCGATTCGGGGTCGCGCCGCAATGTACCACCACTGCGCATAGATCATACAGTCGATCCCCATTTACCGCGTCCTCGCTCTGCAATAAAATATTGTATCTGAAATATAGCCCACACCAGCAACGGGGTTTTATAGTTATTAACTCTCAAAAATTTCCATTCTACCGAAATTTCCGACTTACCACATTAAATAACCGTAATTCCAAGGGAAATAGCACCCGATAGGACAGTTTTGTATGCCGGCTCAACTGATCGACATATTTAAACCTAAATTAACGTTTTATTTACGGTATTCTTCTACGAACCTCTTCAAATGCAGCGCCAGCATCCGCGGCAATTTCTTAATCCGCATCTTCTTCTGCGCCTCTTGATGCGAGCAACACGTTTCGCAATAATATTTTTGATCCCCTTGCAGGGTTTCGGTCTAAGCGGGCGTTTATAATTTGTAGATGTGAATACTCACATTGCTAAAGACCCTTAAACAATGGGTGATCGACGCATTTTGCTCGACATCGACGGAAAGGTCCAAAAAGTCTTCGTCTTTGCTTGAGACCTGAAGGATTTATGAACAAATCTAGAGCATGAAATTACGGATTCGCAGTGTAGGCATCGTGTCTCATTGGTTAGAGTTCCTTGAAAAATATCTTGAACCCATGTTGTTTCTGCGGGACTGAAATTTGAATATACAAGAAGAATTGGGCAAAAAATTTTATACTATTCAAAAAACCAACCCAGGATGAGCCTCATTTCGCTTCCGATCCTTTTCAGGAGGGGCAGGTGCCGGGTGGTGGTTCTAAAATTTACACAAATTGTTTTACTAATAAAAAATATCAACCTTTCGTATTGTCCCATTTTTAACAATCAACGGCCGCTCCTTTTTATCTTCTATCAACGATTCAGATATCGTATTGAGCAGATAGTTTAGAAATTCGTGCGCGTCTTGTTGCATATAATTATCAAACAGTTCTAAACATGATTGGCATGATAAATGTATTAATATGCGTACCATTTTCCTTCTTGAGCTTTGTGATGAAGCGTTTTGGCGCAATCGTGCCTACCCGTCGCTTTTGTGTGGCAATGTTGTGGAATAAATCGGCGAGACATGTCAGGAGATTTTCTTTTTGTACGCCTGAGCAAATTAGAATAATCTTGCATCACGTAAACCCAATTTGAATTTGAATTTAGGACCGGAAAATCACCTACCAGCCTTTTTCAGATGCTGCTTGTACTGGAGAACCTTTTCCCGGAATGGCTGACAAAAATACAGGGCTTGTATCACCGAATTGCAATAGCACGTGTTGCCAAACTATAATTTAATAGTTTATGCTAATTAGGTTCTTGTAACTCACATTGACCAATCCGTAATAATGCTCATTTGCAAAGTTATCCTGGTTGATCTCTTTCTCAAGTTGGGAGGACGCGTTCGCACCCTATATTCAAATGTTGTATATGCTTAGCTTCATTAATCAATGTTTTCTATGATTAATAAATAAGCATAATGTTAATTTGTTTCGTTAATGTGATAATCCGTTAGATTTGAATTTTGCCCTTACCATAAAGGCGCCAGGGTGTCCGTTGTTGGTAAAGAGGCCCGGGGGACCTGAAAACTCGGGTGTGGATTTGTGTGGAAAGCCAATAATCTGATAGAAGAGTTGATAAGGAACGGGGGCAACAGGGGGGTAAAGCTTGAACTTGAAATTCCATGGAACATCGATTTGTGTGCGCTGTTTGGGGGTGGGGCGCCTTTTAGCGAGAGAGAGGAGGGAGGGGAATGCCTTAGGCCTTCTATTTGAGGTCACTGGCGCGCAATGGGGGAGAAGATCACTTGGGAGTAGTCGGTTGCAAAAGTACAAATAAACTCTGTTCAGCACGTACCAGAGGTTTTTAGGGATCAAAAAACAAATTTTAGTTATATGTAATTCTTTGCATTCAAAAGTCTAGGTTATCAGAGATCTTAATTTTACCAAATTAGCATAGCTCTATTTATCTTCTTACAAGAAATGAATTCACAAGAATCAAAATCAGATTCAGCTATGCCACGCGGGGTTGGAGCTCGAGGACGCGGAGCCGCACCTCCGCCCAAAGAACCCGCTCATCCACCAGCACAATGGCCAGCCAAAATTAGACACCCCACCCCGAGGCTTCAGGTAAACCCCTGAAATTCATTCTCGATTTAACATATTTTTATGAATTTATTTTAGGAAGCCTTCGACGCTGTGCACAAATATGCAAAAGCACACTCAAATCCGCGTAACCCGAGGGCAGCCGCGGCATATGCTTATGATATTTATCAGATTCAGGTATGAAAATTAGCATAGTTAACATATTCCCCTATTTAGGAAATTATTGATACAGCTATCTTTGAAATAGTGCCTGGTGGAGTCAGCGATCTGACCCTCCACTTGAGAACAACCTTGTTACAATATTTATTGGACTATTTTAGGGTAATGTTGTTGTTCAATTCGCATCAAAATTTTTTAGACAGAAGACCCGCATAGGTTCGCGGTATTTGACTTGCTATTTTCGATCGACGAGGAAGTGGATGATCTGCAGCGATTTCGATTCAGGAATGAGGTATTCAGAGTTTGTAGATCGTATTAGTTCAATCTAATTCATATTCTAAACCAACTCGCGTCTTATGCGCTGATGAATGGTGCTTTTACTTTCTTCAACTTGGTTACGCAATGGTTATCACGAGTATGCCTTTTCTAAAGCTCCTTAATTTTTTTAAGGATGATAATCAAACGCGGTTTGGCGTCCCACTCGTCAAAACCATGTACATACACTATGCTAAGCATGTCTCCGATCAACCACAGGTACATCAAGCTCAACCTCAATTTTATGCAAATTTCAGGAAAAGTTCTTGCTTGCCCTTAGCGAGTATTCCGCTGATTTTTGCGTGATGTTCTTAACGTACGCTCCTACGTTTGAAGATTTCACCCAAAGTAACGCGGGTATCGAAAGCGCAAAAATCAATATACTATTTAAGATTTAGCTCCACGTCTTGTAAAAGTGTGCGCAAAATATTTGATGTCGCAGCCAAACCATATCAGCAGCACATATCGAGACAATGCTGTTTTACGGAAACATTTTTGTGAAGAAGTAAGCATCTTCTATAACATATATTTTTTTCAGTCATTCCCAAGATTGTTGGAATATCTTCTGCGCTATGAAGGTGTTGCCGATACAGCGATTAACGATCTTCAGGAGGGATTGATAAAATTGCTCAAAAATTGGAAGGACAAAACGGAATTGCCAGATTTATGTAAGTTCCAGATTAACGGGATCTAGATAATTGATTTAAGCAATCCTCGGCGATGATACACTACCAAAGACGAGTCGTCGATGGGATTATTACCACCTTGGAAAGCAGACCGGCGTCGTGCAAGCAAAAATTGGACAAATTATGGAGAATCAAGCTTTCTAAGTACTTCCGCGTATCATTCTGATCTTTTTCTGTATTTACGGGTGAATTTTCAAAGTTAATATCATTTGTTGTTTTTAATAAACTTTTTAAACAAGGCTCGATTAATGCTTTCACACTATAATTACATACCAGAGCAGATGATTCCCAGTTTTTTGGGCGCCTTGCATCTGCTATTCCATGGTCTGGGGCCGGACCAGCGGTTGGGCAAATTGCCAAGGGGGCTGTATTTAGATGTGCTAATGCATTTCGGATTCCTTATCTCTTTTTCTAGGCGACAGCGAAAATGGCTTTCACGAACCCCCATCTTTCAGCCGAATCTCTCGTTGATTTGATGGATCACGGAGATGGTGAGTGATTGTTGATAAATGGGATAAAATTCGGGGTTTTGTTATAAGTTTTGCTTAAAAAATAGCTGGTAAGCATATAAAATAAAGAAAAAATCAAAATACGATCACCAAAAAGTTAGTTTGAGGTGAAAAATATGCGTAATCTCGGCTTCCTCGAAATATGCGTAATCTCGAAAAATATTTAGGCTTTGAGCTTCCGGTAATTAACATAGTACGCTATATTAATTCTAATTTTCTTCCATTTCAGCCACTAGCTCGACGAATAGCGCCGACACACAGGAAATGGAAGCCTATCTCGAGCAGGTCAAGCAGTTGAGACTTCAGAAAAAGCCTAAAAAGCGGCGAGATGGCTATGGGATGCAAAATGATGAAGATGACGAGCGACGTGACGAAGTTCGAGTGAAAATCCATGATCGCCGTAAATATGCTGATTGTGCGATACTTGTAAGGACAAAAATACCGTAAATTTTATATATAAAATTACTAGGTTGACAATAAATACGACGACGGAACCTGGGAGCGACTGCATTACATTCCGTAGGTATTGTTATGTCGTAGCTATTCACAATTTTTAGCAAACATGCTGTAATCCGGGTCTACATTGATAATACCACATTTCTTTTGGTTGTGGGTGATATTGTGGATGTGGCTGATTATTTTACGAGGAGAGAATCAAAGGTCTGATCCACATAAAAATTATCGTTAATTTTCAGGCTTACCTTTCGATAGCAATAGATGCACTACCTCCAGATTTATTACGGTTAGTGCAAATTGCCGAACGTGCCGAAACGCTGATCAGAATTGAGCCGATTCCACCCGAAATGGTAGGTGGATTTCTGTAGATAGCTAAACTATTTTTAGCTAACCGGAAAAGAGGGGATCCAGCTCGACAATATTCAGTTGAACTTCAAAGAAATGTATCTGAGTAGGGCTGATATGTGGAAAATGCGAAAGGCATTGATCGGGAAATGTTTATTCCAAGAAACGGATACCGTTTTGTAAGAGTAAATTGACGTGAAGTTATAGTACCCGTTTAGACAACAACTAAAAGTGCATCTGCGAATTAATGATATGTGGAGTAAGGGAAACGAAGTGAAACATGGGTATGTTAACCCTGAGTTTATTATAATGCTGATTTATTAGATATGTCGGATCGGATACTCGAGTAGTATTTCGTTCATCATCTTCAATGATTCTGATCTATGTTCAAGTATCGCACGAAATGTGGAAAATGGAAGAAGTATGTATTTGATGCAAATTCATATTTTTTTAGGATGGACAAGTCTACCTTGAAAAATGCTGCCATGGCTTTTTAAAGGAATTGTTTGGGTTGTGGCAGGAGGTGAAGCAGCTTTAATTATAGAATGAATCTTATTTAGCATAGCTGTTCTCATTACGTCACCGTAATTATGTGTTCAAGATGGTACTTTAAAAGACCTCCGCCAATAGAATTGCAAGAAACCGTCCAGACCGATCATCGCCAGAGGTATTATCGGGTAGGTCCAGCATTAAAGTCTAATACGAACGCGATTTCAGGACTTTTACAAGCTCATAGTCCAGAATGAGCATTATGAAGATTGGACGGATATTATGCCAAAAGTTCGGAGCAATTTCTACCGTTATGAAAACGAAGTGCAAGATGCGTTGCGTCAGGAATTTCCCACTATGCCATATAACGTAGGAAAGCGTAAAAATAATTCATAATCTAGTGCTTCAGAATTTCGAGATGTCATCTGCCATCGATGCCAATTTCCTTGAGCTCCTGAATTTGAGTATGAACATGTATTGTTTATACCATAATGATCGGCGCTACGAGACAACAGGACAACATGTAAGGAAGCTTTTTTATATTTGAGAGATCGTATTTGTCAGATTATCTATATCACTGCCGGATCTGGGGTATTTGAAGTCGATGAAGCAGCTGTCAATCCTACCAAGCAACGGCTGATTGATATGGGAATTTCGCTTGATATGGTAAATTGAAAAAGCGGTGTAGATTTTGTATTTAGGTGTGCATCGGTCCTCAACCACTCCATCTCACTCCTCTTTTTGTCTTCCACAACCCGTTAGATCAAGTGTACAAGGTTTGTGAACGTAGTCTAACAATACTTTGTGATTTCAGTACTACATTCCACACTGGATGAATTATTCCTATTACCGGATGAAGCCGATCCATAGTTTTGGGCGTTTTTGGCCCCAGCTGACATTGGATGATGGCGATTATGCAATTCGAGACACTGGCACCTATCCTTGCGACTATAATATACGGGAAATTATTGCTGACGACGGGGTCCGAATGGCTGCTTCTCTGAAAAAAGAGGATCGTCGTCTAAGAATTACTGGAGACGAGGAAGGGGATAGTCAGGATGATGAGGAAGTGATGAGTTGTGAGACGAGCCATGAGGGTACCAAAATATATATGACAAGCCTATTGGACGCGGCTCGGACTAGAAGCATCGTAAGGGTATTCTGATTAACTTTATCTTTAATATTCAGACGACTAGCGCGGTGGAAATCGAAGCAAATAGGAAGAAAGACAGGAGGATCTCCCGCTTACAGTAAGTTTAAAAAAAGATTGACTTGAGTATTATAATTAGCAAAACCAACCTGAATAGCCCCACCTTCAGAAACAACAAACGCCAAAAAGACGTGAAAAGAATTTCTACCGGATCGTCGTTGACTTCCCTAGATCCAGAAATCTCGTTCGACAAGAAAAAATACTCTGATGCCGAACCACGAAGGCTGACGATTGTTAGAACTTAGTTTTGTTGTAGATCTTTTTGTTTAGGGTACAATTGCAACGCAGACGGCCGAAGAGGAACAAATGTTGAAGTCAGATATCCTGTCCATCAGCCAAGTAATCGATCGACAACGAGTCAAGGAAGTAACCGAGCTGGATAAGGTTCTATTCTCGGAAGAACAGCCCAAACCGGTACCCAAGGCCGTGCAACGGGTTGGTTTCATCATAAACTTTATAAAAGCCACTTAAGCTATCATCCACGACTACATTGAACTTGAAAGAAAGATCAAACGCTGTTGGGTCTGCCGAAATACCTGCACCTAGTTTTGATATCAGAAAGGGAGGGGGATCTTTGGAAAGCACGAAGACGTTCATCCCTGCTCGAGTACGAGAATCATCAGGGCCGATCCCAAGAAAGGCTTCGACCGCCCGTTCCACCCATCATTATCCGCATCAAAGAAATAAAGTCGCTAATGCGTCCGCTGAATTTCCCTTTCAACCGGATACTAAGGTCGATATGACGGCTAATCGTAGGAGGTCAGTAAAATGTTTTATTTATCAATTCAGTATGTTTCCAGATGGATCCACGTCTTCCCAATGGATGAGCGAGGGTTGAGTAAATTGGCCCATCATTTTGTACAAGGTATTGAAACGGAAAACGGCTGGGCCAGAGCATACATTTTTCAGGCCGCTCAATTATGCATGTGGTGAATACGGAGGAGGATGGGCCAAATAATAACCAATCGATTGCGGCGCAGGTATGGTTGTTACAAATCTATCTAGGAAATGTATAGGTCGGAGGATTAAACGAGTCGCCCCTTCGAAGAGCCAACTCCCCACAGACTAGACAACCATACGGTAGTCCGGTACGAGGTGGACCGAATACCTCACCCTATGATGATCACGGAAGGGTTTGTTCACGACAAATATTTTTCATTTTCTATTTAGCATGCCCCGCGCTACTTTGCATGGGCCTGGGGTTCGACTGGAGAGGAGAAATGGGATCCAGATATTGTCATTGGTAAGAAAACGGAATTTCTTCCCTAAAAACCGTTTCTAGGCATGGATTGGAAATCACTTGCCCGTTCGGCTCTGCTCCCAATCACCACCGACTTCTTCCCGGATACTCTCACTATTCGGAATGAATATCAAGTTTATAGCTACCAAGTTCTTGTTGAGAGGAATCAGGTATGCCTTTTAATCTTTTGATACCATCTTTTACAGTACCCCAATCCCTACAACTTGCCACTATCCGAGATATCTCGACTTGTCTTTGATCAACTAATCTGCCAACGTCTACAACGCGGCTTCCAAATCGTTACTTTAAAAAGGGCGCTGATTAGAGTTTGTAGTTTACAGTGATTTTCTATTTATCCTTTAGAGTGCCTTGGAAAAAGCTGGCTGGAGGAATGACAATGCCGAAGACGAAGTGACGTTGGCCTTCAATCGTATTTACCATAGATTGTTCCGAAGAAGCAATGATATTCATATTACGGTAGGCAATGTATCCCTCTGTTTAAATAATTTTTTTGCAGCTATTGGTATCAAAATCCGAAAACAAGGATCAGCGGCCACCAATTGTTGATAAGCGATTCCCGGAAAAAGGTTAGAAAATATGTTGAATTTTTTTAAAGCTGAATAGTGGCACCAAAATACCCGCCACCGCCACAAGCCGAAGACCATTGCCCGGATGAAATTATGTACGACAAGGAGCCCTATGATTACTACTTCAAAGTACCAGACGCGGAATGCTATGAAAAAAGTAGAACCAAGTAGGATTTATTACACTTATAAAAAAGAAATGCTTTTAGTTTTGTTTCCCATAACCTTGAAAAGATCAATTGGTCTTTGCTGGACATGAACATCAGAAACAGGAATTTCCACAAGGAGATCAGATATTACAAATCCAGGTGAGGGAAAGCAGGGAAAAAAGAAAAAAAGGTTTTTAGATTCATGATCGTTCCACAAATGAGCGATCCGGAGCGAGCGATTCATGTGTTGAATGACAATATTCGGGGTGGGATGCAGATTTCAGTTTTTCATGGGTTCCTTTAGGCGAGGATTTCATCATCAGCCCTCAGGAGCCGCACACATTGACGACAAATTTCACAAAGCTAATGATGAATTTGAATAGGTGGGTATTGCCGTATGTAAATTAGCGTGTATGCCGCTGAGCGGTAGAGGGTTGGGTTTCTTCTTGGCCTTCTGGGAGCGCTTGATGGAATCTGGCTGGCCATTGTTCTTTTGCCATCCCATTTCGCACTTTCTTCAACTCACTAATTCGATCCAACGATATTGCCTAAATCCAATTAAAATCACTAGTTTTTTGTATTGCCTATACCTTTAAAGCAACCCGAATTTTTTGAGTGGTAGTGCCCGGTTCCAATTTGTGAAAGATATCTCGGACATCATTTTCGGTAATATCCGGCGAGATTATCATAAATTCAATTACAAGCTTGTCGGTTCGAGCCATTCCTAAAGGAATCCGTTTTTTAATGTTAGAATACCTGAGCTCCTTGTGATTACAAGATCTAGACATTCTCCAGGTTCGATTACAGTATGCACCGGGGTTACACGATAGACCTTATTATTTGAGCACCGAACCTTAACATCGGATTAGCGTAGTTGCATTAAACAAACCTTTAACGCCAGTTTACTGCCACCTTTATTAAGTAAGACATGCTCAGAAGTACCGCCAGTGGACAGGAAAATAGCCACCTAAATAATCGATACATTAAGTTCATTTTTGGAGTTTCAAATGAATTTTTCACGCAAAGCAAACCTCCTTATCAATCTGCAACTCGCTCTTTGCCCGTTCGGCCCTCAAAAGCTCAGTGTCGACCTGCGGCTTCCGCTTCCCTTTCCGCTTCACTTTCAACGGATTCCAGATTGATAATGGATTAATGCTAGACAGCCTGATCAGCATAGCCATCGTGCCCAAAATGTGGTCGCCTCCCGAATAAGCGTTACTTCTGAATGCAACGTTTTGTGGGAGCCGGGCAGAAGTGCGAGCATTTGATATTCTTGTTGGAAAAAGCCGTGAGGGGGGAGGCGGCGGGGCGTGTGTTAGCTGTTTTACCTCCCTCAATTGAATGGGCAGTTTGGCACGGCGGAGCCATTCAAAGGTATTTCCAATTAGCGTAGATCACTGGGTTGACTTTTAACAAAAAAACTTCCAAGAATGTCTCGTCAAAATGGGAAGGTCTATTGTGTGGGAGAGGGCGAAAAATGGCTATTTCCGGGGAGGGGGAGCATTCTGGATTCTGGACTTTTTGAGTGCAGGATTTCCCGATAAAAGAAACTCGCGAAAACTTAAATTTCAGGCTGATCTATGTGCGAAAAGAAGAGGAGCTGCCACCAGAAGAGGAATATTTCGTACCCCTGACAGCAGCTGACCCGGACCAGGTCCCATTAGCCCCCCGGAAACAACATCGTAAAAATCTAGGTCTTTGAGCGCTTTATCGGCTTTTGCCACTGTGTCCCACTGGCATACCGGGATGATGGGCTTCCGACGCAGGTCTCGCAACTTCCGGAAAATACGTTCCTGTCGATTGATTTGATTGACTGGCTGGTGAAGAACGTCGAGCATTTGACGACAAAGGAAAAGGCGTTGGACTTTGTCAATCGAGATTGTCGTGTGAAGCCGCTAAAGCACAGTACGTCTACAGGGCATTAAAATTTCTTTGTAATTTTAGCTATCGTGGAACCGGATGAGAATGCTTCAACGCATTCCCTTGACTTTGACTTGTCAACAATTCGCTATGGTTTCCAGTTATGCAATTTTGTGGATTGTAAGGGATTTTTTAAGTTGGCTGAAGAAATAATTCATTTAGTCGATCAAGAGCCGGAAGAACATGAGACCCCTCCGACGCGTTATATGACTATCGATTATATCAATGCCTGTTCGAGTCATGGTTTTAAGGACGATTGCCTGTAATGAAGGTTCAAGAATTTTTAATTCCTGAAGTTCAGGTACAAACGGGCCGACTTTGACTTCGATTTTTCGCCTCGAATGCTGGAGATAGAGCCCGGGAAACTAGTGGCTGTGAATGATATGAATCCACTTGGCGAATGGGGAAGGGTAGGTTTTGTGGAAAATTAGCATAAACCGTATTAATAGCTTGTCTACGAGCGTGGCTTCACCACCTCCAAAGCCTACGAGTTGATGCTGAAATGGTATGTGGCGTCTGGGGTGACGGTTGGTGATGCGGTACGCTGTTGGGTGACAAAAGCCGAGGAATGCTTGTAAGTGGTAATTCTTTATGGCTAGATTTTTACTAGGTTTACAATGTTCCCGGTGCCAGAAGATGCTTTTGCTCTTCCCTACGATCCACTCTCCAATCCTTTGCGTTGTCCTATCAAAATTGAGGTAACTTACCGTAATGGCTTCAAGTTAAAAACCTGAAAACTTAAGAATCGAATTGCCATACCCTAATTTAGATAGAAAAAGACATAATCCCGGCTGATCGTCTACTTGAAACAATGAAAAGGCTTCTGACTTCATTTGGATTTGTGGCGATGTATTGTGGAAAGCACGGTAGTTATGCCGTATTTTGCAATATGAATTTCTTCAGGACTTTCACGAAAAATGGATCGCAATCGATTCCAAGAAGTGTATCAAGCCGTTCATGAATGTGGTGGAATGTTTGTATCGGTTGAGCTGGGTGACTGGGTCGGAAAGGCAAAAGATTTGGAAAAGCCTCACCCATACATTTATTGGTCTTGGAATCACATGCTCAGTCATCGATACCGTGGAGCGTCAGTTTTTCTAGAAATCTATTTGAATAGCTTCTTTGGTTATGAGAAAATTATCATTTTAGTGTCCTCAACGAAGTAATGGAAGAATTCCAAGATTATATGCTTCGCGAATTCCGGGAGGTCGTCTCAAACAAGGATGATCGACTACAGTAACCATAGATTCCAAACAAAATTTCATGATTTTTAGAACCTTCTACGAGCGCATCAACTGGGACAAACCGCCGCCGCGGCTCTTCCAATCTGCTAGCAACCATCATTATTGATCTTTCGAGTTTGCTAGTACCGTAGTTTCGCATAGTTAATGGTACTTGAATACGGGTTCTATTGTTCCAATGTCTTTTGTATATTTTTTTGTTTGTAGGCGCATATGACGGACACGTAAAAGCTGACAAATGCTCATTTTAATAAAGTTTTATGATTTTTAATATTGAAATACACTCGGAGATTCAGAGAGGAGATGGTTTACATAGCAACTCTCGCAACTGTTACTAAAATTAGTCGAAGATCTATACTCCTACCAAACCTAAGCTTAAAACCACGGCTTTCTACCATTTAAGCTATCATAAATCCCAGAAAAAAATTTAAATAACCGTCTTTAGTGTAGTTTGTAGCTGATCTTTCCGTTGATTTTGTAAATTTCAACGCTTTATCGCCTTCTATATTTTGTAGGGTAGGTAGAAATCTACTTACAACGCAAGAAAACATATAACAAACAAAAATGTGGAATGATGATGCAAATTTGGAATGAGGATTCTGGGGTAGTTGGGAGCGGAGATCAATAAGCGCTAAGAGGAATTTGGTAAAAGGAGCACTCGTGGTGGGACCTCTACAGTATATTGCAGGGCTATGTAATATGCACTTGGTCGGAGGATCGGAGGAAAAATAGGAGGGATGCGAGAGGGAATGAGGAGTAATACATTGAGAGGAGCCGTATTCTGTAGCTGTATAAGTGATGGCTGGTGCCTGATAAAAGTGAAAAGTGACCCATCGATAGAGCTAGACGAGAACAAGCAAAACACTAGGAAATTTTAAGAATTAGTAGTCGGTTAGGCAGGGATATTTTTCTTCTTGGCCAAAAATGAGACGACGTCGTCGATTGTGCGTTTTCGCTTGGCCTAAAAAAGTAGCTTGAAGAAATGCATTTTCGATTTTGTAAAATATTAATCGATCCGAATTGGTGTGAAAAAATTACCATAGCTCCGCCAGGGCTCATTATAACAGTGGTAGACGTCAATTCAGTTTCAGAAGTGGCTGATTGTCCCGAAGTTGAGGCGGGCGACGAAGGGGAGGCCACTTCTATCGACAGAGGGGAATCCACACACTATAAATATTTTATTTTGTCTTATATATATAAATTAGTTATATACCTCAGGTGTGGCCACTTGACTGGTTAATGGGCTTGGTACCACCGTAGCACGATCGTCATTCCGTCCCGAGCTGGACTGCTCGTCCTCGCTGTGTGAGGTATCGGTCGCCTCGCTGTTCGTGCCGTCATTATTCTAAAATATACATCACCTATAATCTTTGAAAAACTTACATTTGTGTAGATATTCTTCATCACTGTCGGCAGCATAGCGTTATTGGCAAGGAAAGCGCTGAGCCAGGCTGGTGGCGGGCCATTGGCAGTTTCGAGCTGGGCGGCAAGCTTAAAAGCTCAGCTTTAAAAACATAATATTGTATTACCATCTTGAGCAACTGCGTTTGAATTCCATTATTCAGAGCATGAGATGGGAAGATCGGGTTTGCCGCTAGTGGAATTGCCGTCGCAATTGGCTCTTGGGGTTTGCAAGGCTCGGCTTTTGGTGTGGTGCCAGGCGAGGAAGTTCGAGGTGTATACAGTCCCGGGGATCGTTCGGCAACCATCGAGCCTATAGAAAAATCTGATTAAGGATTTAATGAGCAATTTCCTACCTGGAACAACATTCAAATTCGTTGCGATCGGTTTGGCTGAGCCTGGCTCGCCGGTCTTCATCATGGCGGAAGTGTGCTGGTGGAGTTCTTTCTAAAAACACAGTATGTCTATCAATTTAGATAAGCTAAATTTTATTAGCCTAGCTTAATTATAAACTCAGAAATTTACCTTATCAGGGAAAGCCCAGTTACAGCACCCACACGTGAAAACCCGTTCGATTTGGTGTGTGATGGCCATGTGGGATTTCAGATTTTCACCATCTGCAAAAAGGTAATTTATTTTTTAATTGTTTGGCAAATTTCCATGCTTTTTTGATTTTTGCTTAACTTACTAGGAATATCTCCATTGCACAATCTGCAATGATGGTTTCCGGAATGAAAATTGAGGCGATGGCGGTTGAGGCTGGCCGCGTGGCAGAAGCGCTTGAAGCAGACTCCGCATGTGAATTCTCCTAGAAATGGTTGCTTGAAGAAGGAATTGTAGGGACTGTAGGGGAGTGCATTCTCTTCTTGGGGGTGGGAGATTTGTTGCTAATCGTACAGCGATTTGGGACAGCATGAGGAGGGTGACCTTCTTAGGAGGTTAGGCTGAAGCTACACCAGGTTCAAGGCCATTTTTTTGTTTCAACCTCGAATTCATTTTCCTTGCTGTACAGTCACCGGCAAAGTATTATTGCATGTAAAAAAAACATCCCGCTCTAGCAGATCGAGATGATTTTTATAGGGTTGGAAAAGCATTGGAAAAGACGACAAAACAACGTTTTGTTTACAAAATATGTTATATACAAACGTTTTCCTAAAAAAGCGTCTTCCAAGCGTGACACCAATCGTCTTCCTTTTTTCTAGTTTTTGGTTGCAAACGTTTCTAAACACAATTTTTAATTCAGAAAACGAAGAGCTTTTAGCGCCCTGTAGATACCAATAATCTCGAGCCACTACTGTATCAAAGACTTTTGTATGTGTCAGGCTGTTGTCCCAGGTGGCCATAGTCAAAAGCGCTGTAGAGGGCCCCCCCCGGTCAATTGGGGGAGGCCAAAGAGGGGACTAGGTGGTGGGCCGAGAGTATCGCCAAACAAACCCCTACAATGACCATTCTAATTGAAGGGCAAACCGACACAATGAATGCCGATCCGGCATGTCAATGCCTATGCCCCTCTCCTCCTCACCCCCAAGAGACCCCATGCTTTTTTGGGAATAGACATACAAGAATGTATACCAAAAAATAAGCTTAAGGTCTGAAAATAGATCTTCAGATTGTAATCGGGGTACCAGAAATAGGAGGCTGGGTTATTTTTGGGATCTCTTTTGCTTTGAGATACCATAACAGGATGGGGACAGCCAAACACTCCCCATAGACGACCGGGACATCACACAGAACTCACCTTTCAAGTCAGGTCGCTTCAACTCCCCTTCCGGTCGATAAGGCATCGTGGGTCTGAAAATAGAAATTTAATAAGCACCCGTGATTCAAGGAGTCAATCATTAAAAAAAATCAATGGCAGGAGGTGGGTTACGGTAGCTGTTGGGGGAAGAGGGGGGCAAGATCAGCCGGGGCTGGGGCTCCGGTGAAAAGTCTTTCGAAAATAAGTTGGTGGACGCTTCTAAGGGACCGGTTCCTCGAAATACAGAAAATAGGCAGAGTACGACAACAGGGGGGCGAGGCTGGCCCATCCCGCGCCCAACCCCCAACAACACACCTATCCCGAAAGCGCTCTAAGTCAAGGCCTCGCAAGTGCATCTCGGCTTGACCCTCGCCTCGGCCCTCCCCTACTCCTCCTCCTGCTCCTCCCTTTTGCCGCTGCCTGCCCGCGCGCGCGCTCCGCGCCATGTGAGGATTTCGAGCAGTGGAGACCCGGCGCCCCGTCTCTCGCCTTCCTGAGATTTTTCTCTCAAACGATCGACCTGCTGCCCGATCAGACAGCTCTTGCCCCCCCATGAGTTGCAGGGTCGAGGGCCCGGGCAGACTGTCTATTAAGGATGGCGGGGAAAGCATTACGGGGGTGGGGGAGGTGTTGAGTCATGAAAGTTATAAGGTGCGGGAAGGACCATGTAGCCCCAAGCCTGGAGTAGCTTGATATACCACGCGATTCTATTAAGATTCTCAAAATTATGTTAACTACCAATCCAGTTTATCGTCCTATTCAAGCCCAACCCCACAATAACCCTAAAATACTTTTCCTCCCCCAATAGTTCACCTCGTCACATGTCCATCAAGCGCCCCAGCTGATTATCCGGCCAAAACAGGCGCGGTCGCGCTGAGAGTCTCGACGACTTTCACAATCAACCCCCAATCAAGCGGCTATCCGCTGCCAACGGATGGATCTCCTCCTCCCCCCCCCCACAGCACAGGTGAAACGTAATGTCGCGTTGCCGTAAACACGGCGCGCAGCCCCTCAGCGCTAGATCTCGGGCTCCAACTCCCTCCCCCTTCTTACAAACATCATATTCTTTTGGGCCAAGCATCGCGCAAAAACACGCGCTCCCGGGATGCTGTAAATAACCCCGGGATCGAAGCTCTCGCGTGCTAGATGCTACTGTATGCCCTTTACAGATACGGCGGTTTGCGCCCCAAAATGAGTAAAGCAGGGGTGAGGGGGTGAAGGACAAAGGCGGTGTGTGGGGGAGATGACCCCCCGGGGCGGGTCACCTTTTCTTTGGTTTGCTCTTATAGTCTTTGCCGAGAAGCCCCTAATTACATGGGGGAGATCCGATGCCACCGATTGCATCCTATGGTTTGGCATCAAGGGGTGGATGGAGTGCCAAATGGTTAGGGAAGACGGTATTAAAGAGTTTTGCTACTAAAATGGGCGTAAAGTAGCGTAGAAAGGATAGAAAATCAAAAACATCGAAATTTGCATAATAGCAGTATCAAGAATACGTTAAGTCAGGTTAAGCGAATCTGAAAACTAGTAGGTTTAAACCTAAGGCTAAGCAGAAGCCTAGGTTTAACTTAGAGCACCAACATTAGCGTCGGCAAAAGCATAAGCCAAGCCGGACCTGAGGTTTAAACCTAAAAAAGCCAAAGAGCAAGCTTAAGCAGAACCTTCAGAAAAACTTTAGGCTAAGGACACGCTTAAGCAGAATCCAAAGCCCCAATCAGCTTAAGCCAAGCTTATATGCTTCCAGAGGGTAATTGATGAATCATCAACAAAAACTGCACAATGTTTGCAACGAAAAGCTCGGCGATCACTGGACCGACCGGGAATACGGTAGCAGCCGGCTGGGGCAAAAGTGGAGAAGAGAAGCTGTGAGGGGGGCTGGGGGCGGGCCCTTTGCTCGCAAATCGTCCATCGGCCAACAGTCCCCCGCTACGATAGGTCCCAGACAATTCCACTCCCCCACCCACCCCCAAAATGGATCCAGAAGCGCGCAAAATAGAGGAAAAGCAAACGGAAATCCTCGCCCCCGAGACCTCCGACCTAAAAGGTTCGATTTTTGGTAAAAAAGGCAGAATTTTTCTTGCTTCCAAATTAACGCCGATCCACTACCAAATATCCAAACAAAATACCTAGCTGCAAAAAACCCTACAACAAAAAAACTCAACCCCCCATGGCCCGCGCGGGGAGAACAAGTTTTTTGCACAATTGCCGCAGCCCCGCGCGCGCGGCCCCAGCGGACATCACCCCGGCAGACCGAAATTTGCCGGGGCGCGAAGCGCTTTTCGCTTTCCCGAATTTTGCGACTCAGTGCCCACGAGAGGTTAAGCGCCCCCTGCGCGCGCATTTTCCGACCTTTTTTTAAAGGGCGACCCGCCATTGGGGTGGAGTTGTTGAGGGAGAATGAGAGAAGAGCAACAGAAGAGCAAAGGAAGAGAAAGCGAGGATTTGCTGCGGGGAAAGCCAATGACTGTAGGATTGGCATTGGGGGAGGGGGGATGAGATAAGCACAGTGGATTGGAGAAGAGCATGAGGGATGGAGGAATTGGCCCCGATCTGTAGGAGTGTGGGGGGCCCAATTGGCCACAATCTTGGACAAGCCAGCCGTTGGGGCTTCTGGATGGAGATGTCGGGCCAGGGGAGGAGGTTGTATCGAAGGGGGCGAGAAGCCATTTTACATTTGTGCCAGATTGGGTTTGAAGGAAATGTGAAGCTGCACTGAATTTGGGGTAAAAATTTGGTCTCCGGGGAAACCTGTGATTAGGAAGGGGGGACTTTTGATTATCTAGGTGAAGCTAGAAAACTGGGATTCTAATGAGGGTAAAGGAAAAGAAGGGGTCTATAGTAGGCTTAAATATATCCGGAATTGAGCATAAATCCGATACCGACTTCAAAATTAGCATAAATCGTCTCTGCTCCCCAGACAAAAATAAATAGCTGAATAAGTACAAAAGACGCAAACTTCAGACGCACCAATTGGCATCCCTTACCCAGCTTGCCTCAAGCCCCAAAGGGTCAACCCTAGATAGACATCTGACAGTATGGGGCAGGTGCACCCCGTGAAAGGGATGAGAAGCTAAGCACTGCGAGGGTTTTTGGCGGCATTTCACGAAATAGGGAGAGGGGGAGAGGGATCGGCCACTGTCAAATGACCTTCAAGCCGAAGCCCCATACAGCGACCTTCCCCTGGACCCTGGCAGCATAGGCTTGAATGCCCCAACCCTCCTAATAATCGACGGCGACCCGACAGTGGCCTTGGGAATCGCCCGCCTCCTCCTCCTCCTCACCCAACCTCCTCCTCCACTGACCCTAAGCTTCTCTCTCTTGGCCTAAGCCCAGGCGACAGGCCAGATCTCCTCAGTCTCCCCCAACGTTGGTCGGAAAAAAGGGAGCACGAGGAGAGAAAAGTGGACAGAGCGCGACAATTTTCAGGATAAGCTGCAGTCGGGGTTTGGGGCCAGTATGCCCTTCGAGAGAAAATGAAGCTTTGCATTTCGTGGGGTTGTGGGGGGCAGCTTATCCCGAAAAAAAGGGATCGGGATTGGAAAGGATTTTGGGGAGGAGTGTGAGGATCTGGGATTTTGGTGGGTTGAGAGCATTGCCAACAAGGTGGGAACAATTTGGGACAGATCGTTAATTAGTTACAGTCTTCTGTAAAAATGTGTTGTCTTGGTCCAGTCTAAGCTTAAGCCCCCACCTAGATTGAAGCCTAGATCAAAGCGTAAGCTCAAAAACAAAAGTGATGTATCCCACGTGAGAAAAACACGTAGCCTATCCCGGATGAGCTCTCGCCCCCGATCCATGGATGGGCTTATGGCATAGGGCATACAGTTGGGGGTGTGTAGGGGTCATAGGAGAAGTGAGGCCTGGGACAGCCAACGGGGCACTTGGCATTGAATAGCTCTAGGTGTGACCTCGGATGGCTTCCCCCTCGCTGACCGCCCATCTAGCTACCGGAGCCTCTCCTCATGCTAATTGCCCGTGGATCCGAGCATGGGCCCATCCCAGCGCCAGCCAACCACGTTTTTTTGGGGAGGGCGCCAGGATACAGATCAGGATCGAAATGTGGGGTTTGAGCTCGAAATTATGGAAAAATGCAAAAAATGAGAAGCTGATCTCAGACTCGGAACTGCGTACACAATGGACTTCGAACTCGGGCGGGTACACAATTTAAAGCTAATTTCAAAGATTATTATCGAAAAATAACGAAAATCATGCAGAATATCACCATCCCAATAGCAGAGATAAATATTTTGTATAAAGACCTCATTTGCATGGAACTTTACGTTGATTTCAAAGCTATTTTCTAAATTTTATGATTTGCATACCAAAACAGCCAGTGAAGTCGATAGATAAAACTTTTATGAAAAACACAAACCTGGGCTGCTGGGCATCGGACTTTTCCATTGCGGGCTTGGCTTTTGGGGGGAGGGAGACTGAACGGTGGACAAGCCCTGGTGCGCAGTTTATGGGTGGGGCCGAGGTATCTGGGACGGCGTGTTGCCTCAGGCATCATCTATTGCCCAGGGGTATATGAAGAGGAGCTTGGATGGGCTGCGCCCTCTACCCTTGACGTGATAAGCAGTACTCGGATCTGCGATCGATCGGCTTGTGCCGGCTTATCTTCAGGTCGATCCGCTAGAAATTCAAATTTGGAGCGAGATCGTGGATTTTGGGGTGGGTCGAAAACAGCTACGCGGAAAATTTCAAACGCAAACAGGATAGTCCAGATTAAAATAGTTAAATTTAATATAGAAAATAGATTCTTTTGAAAAATCTGATAACTGTGCAGTCATCCTGAAGTGATTTCACGCCTAATTACGTACGGTATCTACTCCTCGAAATCTATCAAACACCGATACAAAAGTATATTGGGCACTTCCGGTTGCCATCCCTATTACGTAACCCTCCTCTCAACCTAAAACCTTAAAAGTTTCACCAGAACTTCCCCATCACAGTCCACTCATCGAGTCCCATCCATGTTTTGCCGCATTTTCACGGAAACACGACCGAAAAAGGGGATCGATTTGCCCAGCGCGCAGCGCACCCCACCTGCGCGGCCCATCACATGCCCCTGTGTGCTTCTTCCACCTCGGATCGGCCCCCGCTTCGATCCCGGGAAAAACGCGCACGCAGCGACCGCGGCCCGGCAGCTTCTCTCGAAATTGCGGAAAAACGGCTCGGGGTTGAGGGATTTTGGGGTTGAAAACGTCGGGATATCGAGGTCGCGCTCGGCTTTTTCGCTTTGGTTTTCGATCCTTAAGAAAGTGCGTAAAAGGTCGCATAAAGCCTAAAACATCCGTGTAAAAAATCGCACCAAACATTTACATGTCGACTTCAGGGATGTTGTACCACATCTCGAACTTTAAAAAAGCCTTTTTCGATAGGGAAGGAATTTCATTAGGTGTAGAATGTACGGGAATCGAATGCTGATGGACCAGATTTCAACAAAAATATAATTTTTGCTGTGGAAAGTGCGATTTTTGTAAAAAATGCAATCTCAAACGCAATTAGCATATGACGTACGTGGGGATAACCTACGTAAATGGATAGCATGGATGCCTATATTTTTTCCAAGTTGATTCTGAGTGAACAATTTCGGAGTGTGACAACTTTCGGAGCTATGAGCCTACAGCTAGTTACTACAGCTAGTCTTACGGTATCTTGGAGCGGGTTTCAAGCCTCCCTCCCCCGCATCGCCGGGGCTTACGGTCTATCACCAGCCACTACTAACCCTTACAGAAGCGTGTGCTTCGCCGAAAAGGCAGAAGCGAATGTGTGGCCAAACATGGCTCCCTTCTACCGACGCCCGTAAGAGACCCCCCACATCAGCTCCCCCGCCCATTTACACCACTTCTCCCCCCTTATACACACATACACACACCAGGGGTTAAGTCGAATTTTGTGCAAACAGCACGAGCGCTCGATACAACACACCTCGAAAAGTCTCGCGCTCTCGCCTCCTTTATTCGGGTGATGGATTGGACATATTGCAAAAGCACTGTCAGCAGGTGTAAAATGGAATGGGATGGAATTCGGGCTTAATTTTAAGGTATACCTTAGCCCTAGCTTGGACTTATGCTTGAGCTTAGCTTAGGCTTAGGATTAAGACTACTTTGCCTCCGGCTTCGGTCAGAATACTTAAGGATATCGCAACAAAGCTTACACTAGAGAAGTGTTGGTAGATTAAACCACCTCACCCTCCTACCCCACAGGCTTCACCATCACGTCTAAATTCGCCCCATTTCCCTTTACAAAGGGGCCATTCCACCAGGTCAAGCCGCCTCGCAACGCTCATTTGCATGCGACCAGGACACGGCGCGCCCCCGCGAGACAAAGAGGGTTAAAATTCGACAGTTACGCCTAATGGCCGATCCCCGACAGGCGGACGCGGGGCGGAGGAGAAGAAAAAGCTAGGGATGCCAGGAGCTGGCGGGGGGACGCGCCTGAAAAACGAGGTATTGTATGTGCGCGTGGGAAGGTCATGAAACTCTGAAAATGGCATGACACGAAAGGTGGTGTTTTTATGGAAGCATGAGGCATTTAGGATGCTATGTTACTTATCTGGGCTGCTGTATAGGGAGCTGATGCTCAAGGAGCTATATTTGGGCTCTAGTGCTTCTTGTGTATAGTACAAAACGCCTGTGGGGTCGCATATCTGGGGCGACAATCTGACCTTGTCGACTGATCGCTTGTGTCACTCCAGCTAGACCCTCATCCTAGATCTCCTCGTCAAGGCTTCCGTCTGATTGCTCCAGCTTTATAGTGGGCTGGGGTAATTGTTTAGCATAGAGCGCAAAGAGGGACTACATAAAGTTTATTAAATAAATATATACAAAACACAATGTTTTATACAGCTGGTGAAAAGGGGAGAGTGATCGGTGATGGTTGGGCGGCGGTCGAGGAAAGAAGAAGGTTATTCCGGACCAATGGACTCGCGGTATTAACGGATTCAACGGAATTCACTGTGTCACTTCCGGAGCTCGGGCTCCAATTGGCGACATGCTCTTCCTGAATAGGAGATTCCTCAAAACGGCTTAATCCCCACTTCAAAAACTTACTTTTGGGCTTGCTGGTGGCTTTCTGCGCGATAATAACTGAAGCACCAAATCATCCAACTCCCATAGATCAAAGAATTGAATTTTTTGATGACTCTCCAAGCATTCGAGGCTCACCGCCTTAATATTTAATTTTTAGGATCTATGAATTTACTTACAAATACGGCACTCATTAAAAGAACGATATTTCCGGTTCGTTCGGCCACTTGATGCAATGAGTATCCAAGCTAAAGTTCTAAGTTTTAGGGTATACTGTAGAAAAACCTCCGCATAATGTCGGTGCAGGCTCCTCAAAATCATATCAACCTGATTTTTCATCTTCTCCCGTATTCCCGGCGCCATGTCATGGATTCCCAACGCTAAAAAACTTTTCGTAAATTTTCAAAGATCTCACCCGATCCATTAAACGATATAATCCCCTTCAACACGATATACTCAGTATATGTCAACCCAATTTGCCTCATTGGCTCAACCAGCTCATTATTGACGCGTTCCATTAGCGGTCGATAAAGCCTGCAACCCAACGTGAAAACTACAAGCTACAAACTCTTGTTTCAGCGATGATGAAATAATTCCCGCCTCGTCGGCCCATCCCTCATTTGAATCACGGCCAATACCAACGAAGAGCCCGTTGAACATTATGAATCTAAAAGAAATTGCAGGCAAGACGGGTCCCAAAACCTTTTCTTCTCCCCTAATCGATATGTCAGATAGGCTGGGTCCAAGATTGTGTGATATAAAATACATCTTCTTAAGAACATTTTCTAAAATTATTTGAATAAACTTAAATGCCAATTTTCATACCCGATCAGTTAGCGTCATATTCTTCGTGTGTTCCCATGACCGAATCCATTCATAGGTAAGCAATATCTGAGGGCGTAAATCCTTTTGTATAGCAGCATACGTAAGCACTTCAATCTCTGAGCTACTGTAGGGCTAAAACAGTAGGAATTTGTAGGAAATAAATTCCACTAACAATGTCATCAATTTCACAGGTTGATAAGAGGGTAGAGATAGAGGACCGCGCACAGTAAAGAATTTTACGGCGTTCGTTGTACAGTCTTTCTAGCCTCATCAGTTCACCGAGATGATCTTCGTAAGATTCCTTAGGTTCGTACCTTAATATTTGCATTTTGAGAAGTCATATGACTTACATTTGAGGTGTATTCGGAAAAGAGGGTATATTCAAAGTCAAAGGTATAGAATAAGGGCCAGCAATAGACGAAGGGCCCTCATCCATTAATGGGTTGTGCATGAAATCCATCTAAAAAGAATTTCAAGCATTTGCGAGGGACTTTACATCCAGAGCAGCTTCCGCGGATAAAACACGCTTTACCGGTTGGGCTTTTCGTCGCGGCAGGTTTCGATCTCGTCTTGGTTGAACGGCTAGAAAAACAGTCTCTCAGGGTTTTATAAAAACCTTTTCGATCCATCCCTGCTTTTATGCACTTCATATATCTACAGGCTCGACAAATCACTCTCATTGCTGAATTATGGTTGCATAAATTACGATAAATCGGTACGTACTGAACTCAACCACGCAATCTTGAGAATTCATGCAAACAAACTGACGATCTAGTGTGACCGTCCGTCTGAAAAATAGCTAGACTGTTGACTAAGCATTTACAACACCTGAAAAATGCGGCACATGCGCTGCACGACGGCGCATTAAAGTGATATCCATTTGATGGGGCTTCACAAACCGAACAGTAACGAGTTGTTGTGGATTCCACATCTGAAGATATTTAGTTTCTTTTGATGCGAAGACTCTCACAAACCAGAATCATGTGAATCCCGTTTCATGACCTCGGTCCTTGAAATAGAATAACCACTCAAATTCTGTTGCAATTCGGCGCCTTGTCAATATATTGAGAACTGTTCCGGCAGCGCGGACCCGGGGCCTGAACTGATAAATTCGGAATACGGGGGCAGATAATGGCATGTCAGGCATACCTGCGAATAATGAGAGCAACGCAACAACAACGTGCAGACGAGAAAGGCTAAGGTAAACGGAGTCTAATCTCGACCATCCGATCTTGCTTCTTGTACGCAACTTTGCGAAGTGTGCCGGTCAGGTGGAGAGCAGTTTCGATTTTCCAAAGGCACGGTCGGGGGTTGTGCGATAAGGGGGTTGAGGGAAGCTGTTATGAAAGAATCGAGCATATGGTTGTCCTGAAAAATTTGGGATGGACTTTGGCCAGCTATTGGAGAGGTAAATCTGGTCTGCTGATCTGTTAGATAGGGGTAACTGGAGGTAGTGAATGCTTGGAAACTTAAAATTATTGCTGACACTGGTCCATGAGAGCCAGAGGATTTTGAGATTACCGTAATCCCGGAGGCAAATGGAGCGGTTGCTAATATTGCGGAATAACATCCTGATCGTCGCACGTCAAGTCTAGGCCTAAGCCTAAGCCCAACCTAAGTAAAGTGGTCGGAGAGCACTTCTAAGCCTAAGCCTAAGCCTACGCCTAGCCTAAGCCCAAACCTAAACCTGAGCCTAAGCCTAAGCCTAAGCCTAAGCCTAAGCCTAAGCCTATGCCTAAGCCTAAGCCTAAGTCTAAACCAAGCCTAAGCCTAAGCCTAAGCCTAAGTCTAAGCCCAAGCCTAAGAAACTTAGCAATTGTGTAGATTATAGTGTAGGTTTTATTTAAAACGCCCACCATGCTCACACAGCCGTTTCCACCATCCCCGTGTTACCCAAATTCTTTTCAGGCTCCTCTGTCGGGCCCGCCTGGCTATTATATACGATGGATGACCTGTCATTCGGCAATGATTATTCAGTGATGATTTGCGTATAGGTGTAAGGCCTCTTTGCTTTTCTCCTCCCCTTGGTCTCACCCGGGTTCCCCTTTATAGCGGAAGCCCCGCCCTCGTGGTCCCCGGGAATGTTGCCGATGGCAACCCCGGGTTTTCTGGCTCTCACCACCAGCACCACACCCCATTCTGCTATCATGCCAGTATGAACGCCGTTGAGAATTTCTTCCGGAGGGTCTGGTCATGGCTGAAGAAGAACGTTTTTTGGATCTTCAACCTTTGCCGTTTTGAGGAGCAGAATGATGCGGAGGTAGAGACAGGTGAGAGTTTTTATGTTTGGAAGAAAGGAAAGTACGACCCTTGTCTGCGTACAGTTTGCAGAAGGTTTAGAGGGGTTTATGCGGTCAGCGTGGTTGTTTTCTCTTCGCACTTGGTCAGTGTTAGTGCGTAAGCTAGATTTTTTCGAGGAAAACCTTTCGCTATCTAAACTTTCCTACTTTTTTGGGGTCCGGGATTTTTTAAAGGGGTTTAGCCCCGATAAGGTCATTTGTATATAATTTTCAGCCCCAAAGTTTTACGGTAACTTGTCTTAAAGGGATCACGAAGTCCCAGTAGGCAAGGGGTTATCTATAATTGGCAACGAGCCAACCGGAAATGCAATTGCAAAAAGGGTCGAGAAGATTTATTTTAATTTTAGAAATAAACCCCGTTTTATGCTAATTTTTCTCGGACCTTTCTGATCCCTTTAAGTCGCCTATGTACGCCGACGGGTGTTATTCTTTTGCTTTTTGTTTTTTAAGCTTCTTGCCTCTCTAAATACTCCACGTTACTATTTTTTCCAGTGATCCCTCACCGATTCCGATTCTTTATCAGGAACCGCTTGAGGGCCGAAAACAGGACGTCCCTAGTATTTACTAAGCCTCTCCAACCACGTTATCTGAGCAATTTGAGCGGATTCCCATCGAGCAAAGCCGTTACTCCAAATCATCCCGAAACAAAAACCAGACCGGAATCGATACTCGGAACAGTAAAAACGGTAGCCCATCGTTTCTCTCTCTCTCTCTCTCTCACTTTCTCTTTGTGTTGTTTGGGCCAGTGGAGGGGAAAATTATGCTAGGGGTGGCTGCCGGCGGTCGGCAAAAGCGATTAACAAACGGATGAGTGAGTGGCTATGCAAATAATGGGGGCATTGTCAGCACAACTGTCATCGTCTGTGCTACCACCCAATGTGAACGGAGGCCGTTAGATAATAGAGGGCACAAAATATCGTGTTTGTTCAGGGTTGGGATGGGCAGATGAGCATGCCCTCTCTGATAAGGTTAAGCTAAATGGTTGGAGGTCGGGCAATGACGGAAATGCGCGGTTAAGGATTATACATGGTATATTAAGTGGCAATCAGCCCGTATGGTTAAATTATTATTTTGCACAAATGCTCGGTTGGGCCGGTTTGAGCCTGAGACGAGTCCTAAGCCAAAGCGAAGTTCTAAGCTCTAAATCCAACTTAAATCTAGCTTAAGTATATGTCTCAGGATGACACTAAGACTATCTTGGCCGAGACACAGACCTAAGCAGGAGCCTGAGCCTAAGGACGCCTAAGCCTAAGCCGAAGCCTAAACCTAACCCTGAGCCCACGCCCGAATCCACATAAGCCATACTTATCTGTCATTAGTGTGCAAATCAATAAATTCTCCGGCCTGTATTCAAATGCGTATCAACTCCAGTTGTCCCAAAACCACTTTGATACCCTACCAGATTCCATTCCACAACCCTCCACGCCTAACTTCCGGCTGCGGCAACATCAAAGCGCCCCTCCCAATTCTCAATCCCTTTTCCAGAATATCGCAATTAGGGATCGCCCCCCGGGCTGCATAGCGGAAAAGAGCAGCCGGCTTGGCGGAGAATGTTTGTCTTTTTGTCGTTTCTCTCATCGTCGTCCACAGCCTCCGTCCCGCTCTGTCCATTGTAATCGATCGTTGGCGAAGACCATTGCCCCAATCTGCTCTGCCCCCTCCACCAAACCCCCATTCTCTCACCATATAGCTGCCCTTTTTTATTTTTGCGGCTGACTCACCGGGCAGCGAGAACGCCATTTTCGCAATACTATTTTATGTCCGGTCGCCATAACGATTTGGGTTTGATGCAGTGGAGGGCTAGTTAATGACTGCGCCCATGAAATTGCTCGTTTTTGCTCTGAACATTTTTGTTATTTTAATTTTCCACTAGCATTTTTCTTTCATTTAAATTAGGTTATAAAAAGAAAATAAAGAATTTTACATGCATGTTCTCTAATCCTGTGTTATAGAATTCAGCCCCCATTATTTTAAAGATCAAATCGATTTCTTTTCTTTCAAGCATTACAGCTGCTTTTTTACTGAGAAGGTCCAGATGTCCATAAGAATCTAGAAAAAACAACTGCAAATTCCATCACAATAATGTTTTATTTCTTCAAGTCCAAAGATTTTCCGAACTCTTGAGAAGTCCAGCTGTGAACCACATTCCAAATGCCTCCCCCAACCAACTTTTCTCAAAGTTATTATGCATCCATTTCAGGATCCATGTCGGCTGGCGCCAAGAAAAGTACAACCGCCACCCCAAATGCCGCCGCATCTGTGCATAAGGTTCATTTTTTTGATAAGCTATATTTACTTTTCTTTTAGGTAATTATGGTGGGTAGTGGTGGTGTCGGAAAGTCGGCCCTTACTTTACAATTTATGTACGATGAGGTAGGTTAACCTATCCAAACGGGAGTATAACTTACATTCAGTTTGTCGAAGAATATGAGCCGACAAAAGCAGATTCGTATCGGAAAAAGGTTGTGCTGGATGGAGAAGAATGTTCGATAGATATTCTGGATACGGCCGGTCAGGAGGACTATTCCGCAATTCGGTAAGCTAGCCGAAATTGCGAAGAAAATTAAATATTTTTAGAGATAACTACTACCGCAGTGGTGAAGGCTTTCTATGTGTCTTTTCGATTACGGACTTTGATTCCTTTGAAGCCACGAATGAATTCAGGTTTGAAAAAGCAACTAAAAAAGAACCGGGTTTTAGGGAACAAATTCTGCGCGTAAAGAACAACAACACTAGCATTCCAATTGTTCTGGTTGGGAACAAGGTGGATTTGGCGAACAACCGAGCCGTTACTGTTGCGCAGGTAAGAAAAAGTGATATGCAAATTATGGAGTTTAGGCAAAATCGAGAGCTGAACAGTGGGGAGCGCGCTATGTGGAGACGTCGGCGAAAACTTATGATAATGTAGACAGAGTGGGTTTTTTAAAGTTATATATAGACTAAGGTACTTTCTAAACAATTGGAGGTCAGTGTTTAATGCAAATATCTAGATCTTCTACGACCTGATGCGGGACATCAAGCGCAACAAGGTTTCTACCCTCCCCTCCGGCTCATCCGATCCCCAGCGCGGAGAGCGCAAGAAGAAGAAGGCGTGCACAATTCTGTGATTTTACTTATCTACCATTCAACCCTTCCAAATCCTAACTATCCTAACAACGGTGGATATGCTAATTACCATATATCCAAGCAATAACGTATCCCTAAAAGCAGTCTACTTCAAGCAAAGATGTGATAGTCGCTTCCTGTTTCTTCCCGGCCTTACAATTGTCTCATTGCCAGCTTCTCTAAAGTGTCTTACCTCTACGAATCCGGCGCCTTGCATCGAACATAATATGCCAGTTTTACAGGGAATTCAGGGATTTTACTAGGGTCCACGAAAGGCAGTTGCCATCCCCCTGTATCTGGCCGCTTTTTCTCTTTTTCTAGTTTTTGATGTGCTCCTACTCAAATCATCAGCTCTTGTGATCCCGCATAATAATCCTGTCCCCCCGATATTTTTGGCTGTTCAGTATTTCCGTGCACCGATTTAAGTTTTATTTATTAAAGTTTATTAAGTTTTTATACATGGCAAAAAAGCCGAATAAGTAGTCAGATGCGGCATGAGAAGCATAGGGGTAGAGATTCTGGGGTTGTTTTTTGGGGAGAAGCTACAATGGGGAGCACCAAGGGGGGAGACTATATGAACTATCCGCAGACTACGCGGTACCCGAAAGAACAGTGGTTGGCAAAAGCTGCTTCAAATACAAATTGCACATGGTATCATCACAAAAAAGCAAATTGAGCAAGAGGGTGAGAGTTTGATTCGAGGATACTCGCAAGGATCATGAAAACTAGCCCAAGACTTCAAAATGGTCATCTGGGTTCATAGGCCTTGCCGGGCTTGGCTGCTTCGTCGGCTTTCTTCTAGAACTTCGGCTTGGCAGAAGCTCATCTTCTTCTATTATTTGTTCAACAGGTTTTGTGCCCTTAGATGATACTTTAAGAAGGAATACACTTCAACTACCTTTCGGGAGCGCAGCTTCACCCTGCTTACACCTCTATTAAGGTCAAATTCATCGTCCGAACTCTCACTGGCATGAATTGTTGGGAACGCCAAGCCCATTGTAAACTCTGAAAAACCAAATTTGGAATTCGTTAACTAAAACCTACCGTCCGTTGGAGATGGTAAATCCGGAAGTAGATCGTCTTCGGATATAATCCCATCGTCAATTTCGACCTTTAGTTCCGGCTTTTTCCGGACCTCTTCCTGAACCTTTGGCGCAGCCTTGGGTGCGGCTTTTGGCTGCGGTTTTGGAGTCTCCTTGATTACAACCGGTGTCAAGATCACGTCTTCTTTTTCTGCGAGCGGATCTTCTTCTTCCAAGTATTCGTCCGGAATCAGTCCGTCCAACTCTTCGTCGGAGTCTTCTAAAGGGAAAATTGAGATTTAGTATTTATGATGTTAGCATCGGCTTAGACTTAGGCTTAGGGGCTCGTTCACAATACCCACCACAAAACGGAGATTTTTCCGGGATGTTGTTGATCACTTTTTCACATACTGGGCCCAGACAGTAGATATAAGCAACATCTTCTACTTTCTAAACAAAGAATGGATACCTAAAAACCGGATTTACCTTGTAGCGTAAGTAAATATAATCGATGACTGGCTGGATCAGGGTTGCGTGTATAACGGCGTAAAGCTTTAATAAATACTTAATAGCCACTTTGAATTTTCTACCTGTTTGAAAGCACCCGCAACCGCCAGAAAGATTGGCCACAATACAGAATCTCTGATAGCCACTGCTAATTGATGCAACAACCTTTTAGTGAGTAACTTAAGCTCGTGGGCCCATTCCAAGAGTTTTCTAAAATTTATGTGAATAGTAATAATTCGGAACCTACCGCTTCATAGGAACCACGGCGTTCCTGTGCACAAACTGGCCGACAATGCATAAATACTTCCATAACCAGCTGCAAAAAAGGTGCGGTGGACGATCCGCTTTTAATTCAATACCTGCACAACGGCTTGATCCAGTGTCCGCAGAACACGTATACCAAGCAGTAGCAAAAATAGTTGAACAGTCGTTGAAGAGGGCGACCGAACTGAGACAGAAATTGAGAGATGAAAGAAGAAACCATACTTTCAGTTTGATCCAGGCGACAAAATCCGGCCACCAGTGGGCGCAGAACCAATAGCGCAACCAAGCGAGCATCCTTTTTAGGCCGTTTTTGATGGGGATAAAAACGCAGTTGTTCCACCTGAAATTTACAATGAGGATTAAAGAATTTCGGTAGCTTTCCTTCAATCATGTCAATCTTGGTATTCAAAAAATTTTTGAGGAATGCATCTCCCAAGCATCTAACGTAAAAACCCCTAAAGTTTAAAAATTCTAAAAAGTTACATAAAGCGTTTTGGAAAAGGGCTTTCGAAAAATACTTTAAGAATATAACGAAAGATGACCAAAAAGTATGCTAATCCCCCAGCAGCACCTCAGCGAACGCAGACTTTACTAAAAAACAGTTGCCCAGGTTACCAATTAGCGATGGCGCGAACGCCTCTGGAGAGCCAGGCGGAGAACTGGGAGCATAAGCCTCGAATCCCGCCTCCCGTAGAGCTGAAGGCCTGCTTGATGGCTGCCCAGACAGCTGAAACAACATTATATCCAATGCTCCATTTGGCTGCTACTCACGTGGTACAAACTCCAGGCAGACGACGTATTTTATCGCACGGCCGACGACGAGTACCGGTTGTATAATGGCCGCGTCAAGAAAAGCATATGTCTTAAGAACCATACTTAAAAATATGTTCCACATTACTCACCCTTTTGCATGAATACGATCCCATATTTACAATTTTTTGGTTGGTATCGTAATAGTTCCATACAGGATTGACAAGCAGAAAGCCAACTAGAAATGCATTTGCATATATGGAATAAATTCAAAGACTTACGGCCACAGTACGCCGACCAAAATGCGGCTTCCATCATTTGCAACCGCAAAACATGCGCACTATAGATATTTAAAGCAACACCGCCCGTCTAAATTTATTTATATAAATTTTTGGCTAGATAACAAACCCTCCAAATCGACTGGGCCGGCCAGAACAAAACATGAGTAGCAATGCTTCTGTCATGGGTTGGGGATAGAAGAATATCCCATCCAAAAACTGCTGCCGAAAATGTGATCAGCAATCGCATTTGCAAGACACGATCTGCATAAAGGCTGGCGGCCCTGGAAGTGGCTTATTGTTTTCTTTCAATTTCCTGTCATTTTTTAGGGTTTCTAGCCTTAATTAGCAAGTTAAAATCTAGGTCAAGGCATGTCTTACTTACCAAAATGCCGAATTAATCAACATTAAATAAGGGGCTGTCATTGGGGATCTCCATTCAACCACAGATCTCCCAAATTCATAACAGGAATTTGAGAAGCGCTTTAACCGCTCCATTATCTGAAAATATTGGAAATTAGTATTTGATCGTCAAAATTAGCCATATCTCAGCCCAAAAATGGTAGTTAGGAGCGATATGTCTTTGTAATCCTAACTTTAGATACCTTGACATCAGGTATCAACCAAACGTTACTCAGTCCGGGGTCCCAGTATGGGGCAGCTGATGCCAGCCTCTCACAGAGTCCAAGCGTCCTTTGGAGCCTTCCGTCCTTCATAGGAAGTATGTTGACAAATAAAGAACTCATTGTAGTTGTTTGCGCAGCGCAACCAGGTACGCAAAACCCAAATAGAAACCATTTATTGTATATTGGCATCATCAATCACAGGCATAATCAGTGGCAAGGGTTAAAGGAAAGTATAATTCCACAGCAATTTCAGACCGACAGCACCCGGGTTTGTCAATTTTTTTGGGTTCCGGGAATGGAAATAGATTGGGCATAGTTAGATGTAATGGACAAATTCAGGCTTCCGTTTTTGGTTCAATTTGTTTGGGTTCGTCTTCGTTGGGGGAAGGTTTTTCAGGGGTGTGGTCAGCGCTAGTTTCCTAAAAAATATATTATGGACATAAAATCACAGAAATAATTTGAAATATGCTAATTACTTACCACCGATTGATTGACGGATGATTTTCCGACAACATTTTCCGTCTCTTCTTGGTTGTTAGGGAAACTTAAAAGAATATGCAAATCAAGGATTCTGATTTTACTTTGGAAAGCCGGACAGCGTAAGTGGAGGCATAGTTCCATCAGCACCAGAAACCTGAAAAAATTGTCTTAAAAGCTCAGCATTTTTTATCTTTTAAAGCAGCGTCGTTTTTTCATGACCCAAAACCCACATTGTAATTTGCCAGCGCGGCTTTGTGCCAAGCATCATAATGGGCTTGAGCAGCCAATGGGTTGAACATCAGGGCCAGCGGATTCTGCAGGAATGGCCATCCAAGACCTCCCAACTGCAACTAAACTTTTTAGTTGGCACTTGTGCTTATTCCCTACCTTTTGGCGCTTATCCTTCATGCGACGATTCTGGAACCACACCTGAAAAAAGGCTTTAGTAGATTTTTTTATCCAAATTCACTTTTATCGGCAATTAGGTAGATTGTTGCGTGATTTCCAATCTCAGGAAAGCTTTTCCGCAACCAGTGCCGTGTCAACATTGTGTATCGTAGCCCCAGGCCCCGGGCGACCTCAACGCTTCATGATTCCCAAAAGGCCGGGACTCTCAAGCTGAGAATGTCAATTTGGTCGTGGGCCCCCGACCCCAATAATGGTCCCTGGGGAGGGCTGAGGGCCTATTACCGTATACCTCGGCTTGCTTTGTGGGTGTGTTTTAATCTTTTGCGGCTTTTGGCGAGAAATTTGAGGATCAATGAGGTGGCCGATAGGGAGTGCAGAATTCGCGCATTTGCAGACCATAAGAGGGATGCGTGGCCTGGGTTTATGGGCGATAAAGGGGCGCTCAAGCCTGTTAATTACGGTAGAAGGGAGGAGATTCGGGAGAGCTGGTTGTTGCCGTTTTAATTGTGGTTAGGTGTTTGATGGATAGTCAGACCCAAAATTGGTGTATAGAATGTCAAGAAAATCGACGGATTTTAATATCGTAAGCTGCGTATTTTGAAAAACCTGGGTTTGAGCTTTAAGAGCCACTATCCTGGCGAGAATGCCATGTTTACGCTATCAAATCCTGACCTTAATCGTCCCTTCCGGCAAATTCAACTCGGCAGCCAATTCCCCCCTCGTCTTCCTCGAAACATAATTCTCCTTGGCAAACTCTCGCTCCAGCCTCGTCAACTGCTCGCGACTAAAAGCGGTGCGATAGCGTCGAATGGAGCTGTCATCTGAAAATACGGTAGGATCATCTTCCATTCCATCGGATAATAAGCTATATTTCTCCAGGGGACGAAGACGAGGGGGGGGCTCCATCTTCTCAACCAATTAGGTATCGGATACTGGGTAGGGGGGAATATGGGTGGGGGGATAATTTGTCGGGCTGCGGATGGCTAATTCACCTCGTCTTTCTCATTTGCTACGAAACGACAGCCCCATCTGTCTCTAATTGGTCACTTTGGAAATCATCTGCGAAGATAGGGTAGCTGGGGAAAGATGTAATAAAGGAGGGAAAAAGGAATTTTAGAAATGAGGCTGAAAAATGTTACACGACTATCGACCTCTAAAATTTAAATTTTGCATCTTGCATCTTGCATGGATGAGAGACAAATGAAAAACGGAAATTATCCGGCTGATAAGCCACCCCCCCCCCCATTTCTAAGCCTCTAATTATTTTCTAACGAATAATAATATCTGGTTTTTACAAAAACTGAATTTGAATAGCGAAAAAAAGCTAAAAATCAGGCCTGTATGCCGTACAAACTAAAGATCTAGGAATTTTTTTTAGATTTAGTTTAAGTAAATCTGCTTTGTAAAAGATCCCCAAACCAAAACTTTCCCAAAACATTTTACGAGAGGACGCTTACGTTGTTGCGAGCGGGGCAATTTGCGTTTCTTTGTCGTGCCAACATTGCGCGAACAGACACGTTTACAGCCACCCGCAAAGGCGACCGCTCCTCAGCCCCGGCTACCGTAATGAAAGGGGGGCCGATGGGACCCGTTTAACAGCAGCAGCCATCACTACCTGATCGGCCCCCCAAAACATATCCATATCCGTATCGTAAAGACTGATCGACTGCATCAGGCGGATAATCTGTTTTTGATAGGGCGTGGAGTGGATCCAGATTGGAAAGATGATTTTGGCAAACATAGAAGCTAAAAAAGGAAGCCTAATCTGAAGCGGAAGCTTAAGCCTAAGCCTAAGCCTTAGCTGACGCGCCACCCGCCTGGCCCACTGTCCGGTTGGAAATACCGATGAATTTTCACCGGGTTGGCGAAAGTTGGGACGATGCCTAGGCCTAAGCCTAAGCCTAAGCCTAAGCCTAAGCCTAAGCCTAAGCCTAAGCCTAAGCCTAAGCCTAAGCCTAAGCCTAAGCCTAAGCCTAAGCCTAAGCCTAAGCCTAAGCCTAAGCCTAAGCCTAAGCCTAAGCCTAAGCCTAAGCCTAAGCCTAAGCCTAAGCCTAAGCCTAAGCCTAAGCCTAAGCCTAAGCCTAAGGCTAAAACCATGTCTAAGCCCAAGCCTAAGCCTAAGCCTAAACCTAAAACCAAGTCTAAGCCACGCTATCAGCTTAACCCTTCCCCAAATCCTATCAAAGATCGTATAGACCAAAACAACCTCCGCTTTTTCCTCCCCGGCCAATCGCTACCCATGAAGCCCGATTGGGGGATGATTCGTCGAGTCTAGAGGCGTCCCGAAGAGAAATGGCCAATTTGGCTATGCTAATAGACCTTGCTGAGACCCCCATTGGCCCCCTATACCCCCAACCGACGACAGCGACTGATTGCTGCCCTCGAATTCTTCAAAAAAGGGCTCCCATCTCCCGCGTCGCCGGGGGAGGTGTCGCAGAAATTAGGCTGTCAATCTGTGGGCTTACTGTAATGAGCTGGGGGGATGAGACGTTGGAATTTGAGGATGCATAAAAATAGGCTTTTGGGTCGTTATTCAACCCCCTGTTTCGAAGCTTAGCTTAAGGAAAAAGGAACAGGTACTACTGGCTTGAAACTAATCCTTACTAGCTACGTAAATATCAGACAAATACCATAACTAGAAAAATTTCGAAGTTGACACTCACCGCACAATTGCGACCTTGGAGCCGAGGATGGAGTTTCAGGCGACGAAGAGAGTGATTGGCTCAAATGTCTGTTGTTGCTCAAACCATCGCTGTTCTGCGAAAGATCCATCACTGTACAGAGGTGTCCTAGGTAGGTTGTAAGATGTAACTTTTCTAAAAACGCCTACCAGCTGTAAAGGGTGGCGGTTTCGGGCCCGGTGAAGGTGTTATGTGGCCGATCAGCCGATCAATAGCAAAGGATTGCATCTTAAGAAAAATCTTATTAAAACACAAAATTTATTAAGCTTGAATCTGGACGAGGGTGTCCTACGGAAACATTGTAAAATTGTTTATTTAATATTTGTTGCGAGGAAAGAGAAAAAGCGGAAACGCTTCGGGTGATTTTATGTCGGTGACATAATCGGACAAACAAACGCTTTTTCTTTTTTTGCGCTGAAGAGAAAGAGCAATCAATGATCCGCGTCAGAAGCGCAAAAAGAGGAAAACACAAAAACGCCTTTTTCTTCTTAACTGCGTGAGAAATTTTACAACACCAGCCTCCTCTAAGTAAAAAAAAATGAAAATGATAATGAAGGTATTATAGTATCATAGTTAAGTTATTGTTTGGTATTGTAATGACGATATTGAGGTAATATTGTTATATCCCGTTATTATTAAAGAAATGAGGTGGCTATGTCCCCATCCGGGAGTCCGTGATCTAAAGGAATGATGCGGAATTGGCGCACGAGGAGGGGGCGGGCCAACCCCCATCCACCGTAGCCCGCCTCACCCAATTGCCGAAAAGACGTCGATCCCCCGCAAAACCCTCCTCATAAAGATGCTAATCTTAGGTTTTTGATCAAAAGATTGGTTTTTTTAAATGTTAAGCCTGTAAGAACAAATATTATAAGCGATTCTTCTAAGTGAGAACAGATTCTCGTTGATTTCAAACGTCCGTCATTGGATGAAAACGGACCAAGATTGACTTCGACGCATCTTTACACGAAATCATCCGTTATTAAAATTAGGTCTTTTCGTACAACTTTCGACCATTATGTTTGTTAAAAAGCAATTAGCATACACCGAAGTCGATTTCGATGAATAACTTAAGAGGACAGAGTGTCCATTTTGTATATTTTGATCTTGATATCTCAATTTTTAGCTGTTAGTGGTTTGACTAGTAGTGGTTTTCAACCATGTTTACTCCAAAAAAGTTTCGAAAAAGTATCGACATTTTTGTGGATTTGTAAAGCTCCGGGTGGTCAAAACAACACGTGGTACCTTAGTTTCATGGAGATAGAATATTACTAAACTGCCACCCCCCAACTAAACGCCCGTAATGATGAGATGGTAGCTGAGGCTCAAAATGAGAGCATGCCCTACAAGTCTGTGGCTGTCGCTAGCTGTGCGGGTGGGAATGATGGATCGTGATCGGGAGGGCAGCTGGATGGGGAGGGCCCATGCAAATTGAGGGAGATTAGCCATTGGCCACTGTTCTAGAATGCCCTCATCTCGCATCTCAAAGACGAATGGTAGAAGGGGGGAGTGTTCTCATTCACTTCATCCCAACAACGTGCCAGATTTGTACGTTCCGGTTAAGGGGGCACTTAATTTGCTGGATTAGGGTTGGAATAAGGGGGTGGATTAAATTTCGTCATATAGAAAATCGTAGATACTCTTCCATAGTCGCTAAAATAAATCCGAAGTCTTGACCTTGCAACCCAATAATTATTTGGATGTCTTGATCCTATTTGGTGCTCTTGCTGCTATCAGATCCTCCCCCCTCCTTTGCCGCACCACATCCGGTAATTCGCGGACCGTTTACGGTACCTCCCCCCACCTGCTCACCCCCAATTTACGCCCTTATCCAGCCATCAGTCGACTTCCTTTCCGATTCCGCGACAATCCGCCCCCCGCAGCTCGTTTCTAGTCTCATGGAATATTCAGGGGATTTGGGGTAGAATGAGTGGGTTGGCACACTAAACTGATCGTAAATAGGTGCTGGGGGGAACACGCAATGTGTCGATTCGGGCGTACTCAACAAAAATCTGTAACGAGTGATTTCTTCAGCTTACCGCAATGTTTTTTTTACCGACAGTAGGACTTTTTCGAGGTCGCCTATCAATTCAAAGCTTGTTGCGATTAAGTATTCTAATATCTTTCCGCAGTTTTCGAAAACCTAGTTAAAATTAGCGTAATTGAGCACGATATGGACTTGAACAAATTTTAGAGTACCACTTTGACTAAAACACTTAGCTCTTAGCCTCAACCCCAGCACTATACCCTAAAGCTTCTGCCAAAAGTCATCATTCCAAGCTTCAGGGCCCACCGAAAATCATATGCGCGCCTCAAGTGGACATGGCGGATGACAAAGCGCCGACCCCAGAGGAGGGCGAGGCTCACATTTGCATAGTAGTGGGCGCTTTTCGAGTTGGTGAGGAGGAGCCGGTGGGTCGAGAAGGGTGAAGCCTTCTCCCTGCTCTCGCCTAATAAATCTGTCGCCTCAAGGGCGGCCCAAGAAGGAGGGGGGGGTGGGCGAAACAATCAGCGGCGAATAAGGCCCTTCCGTCCGGCTCCTCAGGGGGACGCCCGTATTACGGTAGCCGTGAGGGGAGACGGGCTTCTTCTCCTTCTTCTTCTGGCCACCATCATTCATCGACTTGCCTCGCAATAACGTCGTGTCCTCCTCCTCGCACACCCTCAGCAGTTGGCTGGGATTTTGGGGAAAACAAGTGAACAAATCGTGGTGAAGAGGCAACTAAAGTTCTTTCCTAGTCTTCATGATAAAAATAACCAGAAAAGCGTGGTCTCTGACGCTTTAAATCAACTACCCCCAACGTCACACGTATGCTAATTGTTTCTTAAGAAAAAGGGGTGGCCAAATTGGACCAAAAAATTAAATACAGTATCGAAAAAACAGCTGATTTGGAAAGCAGCAATCTCGAGAGCCTTACGGTCCTAATGACATACCAGACGTGTCTGAATATTTAGCCTCTCCAGATATGCAAATTCTGCAAATTCTCAATATCAACACGACTCAATATGCAAATTCGACCTGATATGCAAATTCATAAAACCACACAGTTACGTTTTTATATATTGATTTTTTTAGTTCATTTTGGTCCTTGTGGATAATTTTAAGTGCATACTCTATGAACCCCGGTTATTAAGAAATTTATCCAAACGTAACGACAGTTGCAACAAAATTGAAAACGCTATAAGGCACATAAATACGTAATGTAAGAGAGGGTACTTTCGGTGACTCCGGGAGGTAGTTGACTTCACTGCGCCTTTAGAGCCTAAGCAACAAATATAATTCCTTCCAAGGTAAACCCACTTCTTAACAACTTGGACGACGTCTTCATCGTCCAGAATATGCTCTTTTCCGACTTTTTGTGGGTTGTGCTTTGCCGATGAGCCCCAGACGAGCGCGCTAATGAATGGGTTACACTTTTCAAAGGCATACTACCATTTAAAGTCCTTTTGCAAGGATTTGTGGATCTTCATGCATAAATCGTCAATCGACCTGCTGTTGGCGTTCAAGACAATTGGGGCTGAATAGTCGGGGAGGTGGCCCTTTGGCTTGGTGTAACTGGAATTAGAATGATTGTTGCATACCTTACTAAACTTACATTCTAATCAAATTTAAATACACCCAGATCTTGTTGAGAAGGTCGTCAAAGTTCCACTTGTGATGCGCGGAAATCGGGACGCAATGCGGGATTTTGTAGATGATGTCGAGCTCCTAGAAATTGTATATACTCAGAGATGAATTATATACGGCTGAAAGATTACCTATTTTTCTGCTTTTTCAAAAAAAGTATTAAAATCACTTACCTCAATCGAAATCGCATCAATCTTGTTCAGAACGTAGATGCAGGGCATATAAACCCGATTACCCTCAACTACATCGATCAAATCTTCAATCGTCGCGTCATACCTAAAGATTTATTTTATTTTTGGTTTGATTTCCATACGCTCACCTCAGCGTGATATCTGCATTATGGATTTTATATTCTGCCAACACCTGCTTGACAGATTCCGCATCCAGTTCCGTTTGTGGCACCTAACGAAGTGATCCTCCCTGTATATCGACCTACCAATGCTGTCAGGTTGATGCCTCCCTTCTCCTTCCTTTTGAATGACAGATTAGGTGGCTGCTTGTTCAGACGAATTCCGAATCCTTCCAATTCATATCTGATCAGACTGTACATGTATGGAAGTCCTACTTACTCGATCAGCTTTTTATGTTGAAGGGGTTTTGACACGTCCAAAACGATTAGAATTAAGGAACAAGTTCGAGCAACTGCAAAAGGGGATTTAAAAAAAAAGCATAAATTAGCATCAATGACATGGTTAATATCTGGTCATAGACATACCAGCAATAACCTGACGACCACGACCCTTTCCGTCCTTAGCACCCTCGATAATCCCAGGAAGATCGAGTAATTGGATTTTTGCTCCCTACCGAGATATGGATTCAATGACGTAGAAATTGTTATACCTTGTATCGAACCACACCAGGTACCGTTGTAAGTGTTGTGAACTCATAGGCTGCTACTTCCGAATAGACACCCGCCAAGTTTGAGAGCAACGTGGATTTACCGACCGATGGAAAACCTGTAATTTATTAGATTTGAATAATATGCGGTATGGATTAAAAATTTCTAGAAATGGCTTTTCTATCTTAAACAGTATCATTGTTGACCTACCGACAAATCCAATGCGCGCATCTCCAGTCTTTGCAACATCAAAACCATCCTCCTTCGGCCCACCACCGCTCTAATATCACGATTTAAAAATCCAAAAAAAGACACCTTCGGTGTGATCAGCTCTCGACGTAACTTTGCCAATTTGGCTTTCAGAATACCCAAATGTGCATTGGTGGCCTTGTTCTTTTGGGTTCGGTTCATCTAGACAACGGTATTATTACATATCATTTTCTTCCCATCCCTTACCTCATTTTCGATGTCGGCAATTTTTTGCAGGATCGACATCTTGGCTGTTTTCTTTTGAAGATTTTACGCAAGCTGAAAGTCCGTACAATGAAAATATTTGGCATTTCAGATAGACATTTTTGAAAAGAACTAGTTACCGTTAGGAGCACGATTTCTAATAATTATTTATCGAGGCAGTTAGAGACCCGAGAAAATATGATAAAAACAAGTTCGAACAGTTCATAGCAAATTTATGTATAGAGCTTCACAAGTTCATCGCCAACAGCTGTTGGGATGAAGATGCCCAGATCGGTGATGATATAGCGAATGTGGGTGGGAGGCGTGTAATCCACCTTAATTTGCATATTTAATTTTTATTAGTCTTTCTTATATACCGCTGGATGCGCCCGACTCCTATCAATTGCCGGAGATCCTTCAGGTGGTGTCGGATACTAAAATATTCCATAAAAATTACGGTTTTCAAATTACCAAATAGTCATCAGGGATATCCGCTTGATTCAGAGGGTACTTTTTGATAAATTTGATACTTTCCGTCACAACATAGACAGGAATATTGTTGCTTTTTGCGGTGTTGGTAATATTTAGGGTCCCGATCTTAAAAAATAGATTTCAGGCTGTAATATCGCTTCACCTTTCCTAGAATCCCACCAGTCTCCAAAACACCCTCAGCAGAGGCGAGCACGAGATCACATTCGTGCATTCGATGCCTGTTTGTGTTTGGCTAATATCGTTTCAATGAACCTACGCGACTTCGGTGTCCATTATCTTTGTAGCAGTGATGCCACATCGCACAAGATTCTCATACATTTTCAGCCCACTACACTCCGGCCTCCCTTCCGGTACGTAGATTTTCATGTTATTTTTGCCGAACTTGGCATTCTGGCTTTTTAGTGCAAGAATCACTCGCAAGACGATGTTACTATCGCCATGAACCATGATATGCTAAATACATCGTTCTTTCTTACAACGTTGACTTACAGCATCTGTCGGAAGGATGGCACACGCGACATTGGCGATGAAATTTGCGGAATTCGCAATCCTTTCGACATACATATGTGCTAAAATATTCTTAAAAATACTTACTTTTCAGGATTACCTCTAGTTCTATAGTGTCTAAGCACCACCCTAAAGTCCGGGTTATCCAGTATGTAAGCAGGTGTTAATGTCACAAATCTGATAAAATCTCTGTCCAAAAATAAAAATTTAGCATACTTGGCAAAAATCTCGCAGGCAGCCCGTACGCTGGCCATCGTATACTCCGATTCAACGATTGCATCAGAAGCCACTCGTATTTCATCGATAACCTGGCTCGTGGTGGTAGCTAAAATGCGTTTTCTACATTAATTTAAAACCGAAACTACCATCTGTGTTGTTTAGAATGTCATACAGGACTCTAATCGCCGCCGCCCCGGGTGAAAGGTAATCCTTTTGGTTTAGAAATTTTACAAATTCCTTCACTACCCCAGCTTTGTCGACAGCATGTCGCTTTTCAGCACATGCCATGCTTAAAAATTTTGTTTTAGTCAAGTTCGAAACCAGAACCGATCAACTCTCCGATATAGCGTCATCAACGCATAACCAATACAACTATCGCAACCCATATCGCATTTTATTCATATTTATAGTCACAAGTAAGAACAGTTGAGATCTTTTTCGCTTTTGATACATGACTTCTCACTGCAGCTCGAGTTGAGGACGAATCAGCTTGGCTTTCACTTCATTCGTCGCAGCATACCCGGTACCACCGCGTTTCAGTTCAATGATATCGGACTCTTTCAACTAAAGAAAGTTCATAATTGGTGTGAATTCTGGGAACTTACAGGTTCTCCATTCAGAGGATCAACCCAGTTAGCTTCTGACTTGATGAGCTTTTCGACAACGTCCCACGTCACAACGGTTTTGCTAAAACTTTTTGATGTCTTTCTATTTTTACCTGGTCTTCAAATAAGCACATTTGGTCGTATTTGTCAAAAGATCGTGAGTGACGGGACACATGTATCGATTCTGAATCAGTGTTCTATCATTAGATCCGCCAAACTTACATTCTTCCCGTAAACACTCTTTGCCTTCGCATCATCATCGGGTGCTTCGGTGAATTTCACTTCCATCAGATCCTTGATTTTCAATGGATTCCCAGTAATTGGGCACATCACTTTTTGATTCTAAAAAATTTTGTTAGAAAGATGAACCGCAATCATTACCGGTTTCTCCAACTTTGTAGGTTCTGCCGTCGGGTTCAGTTCGGGCAGCCAAAATGAGGGAAGTTGTTTTGCGAGCGCACCCTAAAAGATACAAATCAGCGACCGAAATGTTAACCTACGTGCATATTATTTCCTTTTTGCTCATTGCCCAGGGCGCGAACCTTTGCAGCCACCTCGCTCGAGAACGGATCATTGATAGCGCGTTTCTGAACAGTGGTAAGTTTGTATAAATCAAAGAAACATACCCGCGAAGTTTCTGCTACTCGGAGACTCTCCTGCGCGGGTAGACCAGTCGCTGCTTCCAGGCGCTTAACCCGCTCCACTTGCTTCTCTTCTTCTTGCTTAAAAAATAGTTTGAATGGGGGTGATGGTGCTCACCTTTTTCATCGCTTCACCTTCCAATTCGATCTGACGTTCCCAGCTTTTCGTCAACTTGTTGATCTTCTTTTTCTGTGCCAGGAAATATTCGATCATAGCCTCTCGATCAAAGATATGGCCCTCCGGCGAGATGACGGGGTGCCTGAATAAAATCGTAGAGTTCGTCAGTTCTCGTGTATCTTAGAAAGAATTAGGTCTATACCTGCAAGGCTGAAGCGTCAATGAACAGCAGTCGAAATCCTTGATTGAATCGGCAGTCAGACGAGCGTGAAGGGTGCCGAACCTAAAGAACACATTTTAGATAACTATTTTGCAAATTACCCGCTGGCTTTCGCATCCTTGGCGCGTTCCGCAGCAGAATAAAACGACGAAGCGGTGTTGTTCTTTCCGTGACGGGTCATTACTAAAAAGGTTGATCAAAGTATTATTTTAAAAGAATGAATCCAAAAAGATCTAGCATGCCATGAGATTTCTTTATGCGCCATATAGGCGATGTGGGTCCCGCAGCGGACCACCTGTGCGCGGGGGCTCAAAGCGGTCTGCTATGATTAACCTGGGGCAACACGGCCAAAATAAAGCAGCTCACTTCGGATTTGATTACGTTCTATACAAACTCTATTCACATTCAAACTTATTAAAAACTTTGTTTTTCAGGTCGTCCACTTGCGGGAGAAACCTTCGCTAGAATGGTACGCTTTGAAGCCATTTTCGTAGACCGAAAACACGTTGATTTCGTCGCCCTTTGACAGAGCCTCTAAAAACAGATTATTTAAGCGTTTTTGCGGCGCTAATTCACCCTCTTTTTCAGAGCTCAACCTTGACTCCATACCTCGATGCCGTTCGCGCGACCCTGCAGGCTGCCTTCTGCTTGGAGCAGTTCAGTTCAAATAGGATTGAGCGGCATGACAAACCAGAGGTACCTGGCTAACCAATGCTTAATTTTTGATTTAGATCGAGGTACGAACGGCTCAGGAAACGATCCTGACCCCAGTCACGATTGCTAGGAACAAGCAAGAGCGTGTTTTGATCGAGCCTTCGATCAACTCGGTATTTATTGCATTTTTCGCTATATCAAAGTTGTTAGGTTCGAGTTTCCATCTCAATGAAGAAGGCTGACGAATTGGAGAAGATTCTGGCCCACGGTTATACGCGTCTAATGGCTCAGCGCGCCGATGACTTCATGATTCTACGTAGAAAGCCGATTAAAGGTAAAAATAGTCTTGGTTTCGACATATGCTGTTTCCAGGATATGATATTTCATTCTTGGCGACCAATACGCTGACTTCAACTATGTACAAACATAAACTGATCGATTTCATTATCCATTTTATGCAGGAAATTGACAAGGTGAGCAGGTTTTAGTAAGCTCAGCAACACTTTTTAGGACATCAGCGACATGAAGATTACGCTGAACGCGCGGGCTCGTTGCGTATCCGAGGAGTTCCTGAAGGCCTTCAATTAAACTTCCTGATTCTAGCATTCCATTATGCCTCAAGCCGGTCTCTCTAGCCTTACGCCCCCAAACCTGATGCTCACTTTTTTGGTTGTAATGTGCAAGCGCCGAGCTGTGCCCGCGCGCCACCTATCTACGATTTAAACATATTTATTTCCCCGTCATTTGCTGCCTTTTATAGTTTCATTGACCACGTTCAGCTTTAAATTCAAGATTCATATTATGCCCAAAGTTGCACTTGCTCTTCCGTTTTTTCTGCTTACTACTTTGTCGTCGATAAAAGCTGACCCGCCTGTTATTACGTCTCTAATTTGGGTTAGATGACCATGAATACCTGAACGTCGAAAAACTTGCGCATAACGAATGTTGTTTCAGGCTATGTTGAAAATATGCCTGTGCCTGTTGGCCATACGCTGTGCATTTTCTGAGGAGAACGTTCCGGTTCCGAAAAGCAATTATGCCATCGAAGGAGAAGTAAGACTGTTGTTGAAATTGGTTATTTTTCTTTAGGTGATTTTTCCGAGTGAGGGTCTCACCAGCGCGAAGGGCCACGTCCAGACAAGAATTCTGCTAAATCACGGACAACATATTGGCTTCGTCAAAGCCGATGGATCATTTAAGTGGGCCAATTGCTTGTTTTCGTTCTGTCTAGGGAGATATCATCATATTGATGTGTTTTCTAGGATCGATGGCCTCACCAACGGAAGCTACATTGTGCAAGTTGAAAACGTCGACTTCCTGTTTGAGCCTATCCGAGTCGACATCTCGACGAGAGGAAATCTCAGGGCCCGGAAATTGTCGACGATTCAGGTATATTTTTATAGAATCTGTGCAAAAGTAGGATCGTGACGGAAATTTATTGCTCGTCATGCAAACGTTTTAGCCGAATTCGGTGAATCAGCTTCCCTACCCTCTGAAGCTATCTGCCCGTGAGCAAACCCGGTAAACTAGAACGCGGAGAAATTAGCAATATTTGTTAAGGTACTTCCGCAAACGCGAGGAATGGCGAGTGACGGACTTTATCTTCTCTCCAACATTCCTTATGCTCGGATTGCCGATGCTTGTGCTCCTCGTCATTCCCAAGTAATCTTACGATTCAGTCAATCCAACGGGCTCTAGGCTTGTTGCAAATGATCCGGAAATGCAGAAAGAGATGGAAAGCATGCAGATGCCAAAGGTCAGTGATGAGACGAGAAACTAAATACAGATTTGCTTGCAGATGGATATGCCCGATGTTTCCGAGATGATGGCAAACTTCTTCGGAGGAAATCCTAAGCAAAAGAAGAAGGCGATCGGTTCCGGCGCCAGCCCGTCCCAGCCAAGCAGCAGCAAGAGAAAGTAATTCAATATTGGACAAATTTTTGCTTTATGCTACGGTCTGGTCTTGTGATTTTTGTGTTCTCTTAATATCGCGGGTCATTTTTTCGTGGTTTCTCATTGTTCGGCGAGCCACGCTAGCGCCATAGTATCCATGGTTACCACCTTCACTCCCATCCCCATTCCCGTTCCCTTCATCCGCTTTTTTTGTATTTACCTCAGATGACTATGTAGTTTTCTTTAATAATAAACACATTAGTTTTGAAAATATTTTGCAAACACAACATTTAGCGGCATGGGCTTTTTCAACAGTTTTGCGCAATGGCTGGGCGTTGGAAAGAAGCAAGTGAATATTTGCGTCATAGGCCTTGATAATTCTGGAAAGGTTCGGTTTGGTTGTAGTTAAGAAAAAGAATAAGAGAATTTAGACTACCGTGTTGAATCAGTTAAAAACGCCGGACACGAGAGTTTCTAATATTGTGCCTACTGTCGGCCTCACCGTCACAAACTTTACATCGCCATATATAAATTTTAATGCGTTCGATATGAGTGGACAAAGTAAGCGTTCTAATGGAAATCTAGGAGCATTATTGATTTGTAGGTAAATACCGTAACCTTTGGGATTCTTATTATGCCACTTCGGAGGGGTTGATGTTCGTCGTTGATAGCGCTGACCGACTGCGAATCAGGTATTTTTTATAAAGACTGTGAAAATCGTTAGTTCAGCGTTGCTCGTGATGAATTGTGGATGTTGTTGGATCACAAGGATTTAGTGAATCGAAAGGTATGAGAAAATACAGAAACATTAAGATAGTCTTTTAGATCCCGATTCTGGTTTTGGCTAACAAAATGGATGAGAAGGACGCGATGACATCAGCTGAGATTACGAGCTCTTTAGGTAATCAGCGTTAACGTTTTATGCTAATACGATTGATAATTTTTCAGGTTTGGATATGGTACGTGGGAGGGCTTGGCATATCGCTAGTACTTGTGCTTTAACAGGTAGGTAAATGAATGGAAACAGTTTTGTCGAGCGATTTTTAGGCGCTGGCCTACCAGCAGCATTGGAATGGCTGTCAACAAACATCAAAAATTACCTAGATGAAAAAGCACAAGCCGGCAATTGAATATATGGAAACATTCTCGAAATCCCCCGGACCATCCCTGCTGCTCCTCTGTTCTCACGGCGCCTTTACTGGGGCCGTAAACGAGCGGTGCTTTTTAGATGCAGACCGCCCGGCCTATTGTCCCATACCCTGATTTACGACTGTTTTGCTTGGCCTCACCTCACTCATCCACGGCATCCCCCTCTCTGGAATATATTGATCGATGTTTTGTCAAGGGATTTTGAGTGTTGGATGGAATAAACTGGCGTTACACTGTTGCCTTGTCAGTTGTCGATGTTTTTTGGAGGGTCACTGATGATCGGCTCTCGGGCCAAACCGCTGAAATATGAAACTCTTGGCGCTGCTACTATTGCTGATTTTTCTAATAATAAATTCAACGCTTGCATACAAATTCCCGCTACCGGTATGTAATTATTATACTTGCCATTAGTTTTCTTAAAATTCAGTTAAAATGTCGCATATCGTTTGAATGCCCGGCCGGGTATAGCTGCAAGCCACGTCCCTTCTGCCGTACCTGTACGCCAACGATGTGCATCAAAAATAAATAGTCTCTGAGATACCGTACCCACTACAATATTTCAAAATTCCGCACGTTCCTTGGGTGTTGGCAACGCGTTGTCGTAGTTAGATGGGGGAGGGTATTTATCGCGTTGACGGGATGGGGGACGATTTAACGACTTTTTAATTGCAAATTTACGACCGACCGTGCGGCTACCGCTGAATTTGATTGTGGGTGGATTAAGGGAGTAGTTTGCATCGGGTGGAACTAGGCTTGGTTAATTTTTTGGAACAAAAGGAGACAGCTTCTGGAACAAGGGTTGAGTGGTGTGAGGTTCAGATTATTTCGAGTCATAATTTGGAATTTCATAACACTAATTTCGTAAAAAAAATCGGATCCTACTATATATAAAAAAATAGTGTTTGTGGGTGTGCCATTTTGCATGCAACTTTCAGGTTGTTCCAGGCGCATCTCAAGAAAGGTGGAAGCTAAGGGCATGTATGATACGTCATTAGGTGCGTAATGCTCTGGAGATGACTGCACGCATATCAGATTTATCAAAATGGCCTATTTTCGACATTAAATTTTAGTTTTTGTTGAAAAATCCGAGACACTCTTTTTTCGACTAAACTGCAATGTAGTCTTACAAAGCCTACGGAAGATTGCGGTATACTTTTGGCCCTATACAAAGGAGGGCCGAGAACAAGTTGGCGCTGGGGTTTTTACCCATTTTTTTAGCATGGGTCGGACCGAATTATGCAAAGTGTAAACTTTCATTGGTCCAAAACAGGGCCAGGGTTGAAAGTCGCGAAGCGACTTTTCAACCCGGGTTTTAGACTAATTATAGTGCGCCAGAACCGCTAAAAACTAAAATGCTTTGAGAAAAGCTACAAAATGCAAAACAAACCTCTCAACGAGATAAAAATGCCTCGCAAGCTATATGCAAATCAGGCTATTTAAATTTGGGAGAATAAAAGTTTGGGCTTATGACTTTTCGACATTATAATACTTTGATATTTTGTTATTAGAACCCTATGGTTATTTTTCAGGACGTTCGGTTTTGATTCTAACAAACCTATCACCCAGATACTATATTTCTATGCGTAATATCCCCACACGTTTCAGCCAGCCACCTGTTTCTTGACACCTCGAGAGATTACGCGTATTACCACTCTACCGGGGGGTTCCGGTTTGTAAGCTGTGGATTAATGAGGGACATACTGTTAAAAGAAGAGCAAAAGGTTTACAACAGGGCGGCTGATAGCCACAAAAGGACATGAAAGGTAGCCGCCACGGCCATGATACGGGGCGTTTGGCCCTCTCATCTATTCTCTCACCACCCCCCGCGTTCCGCCCCTCGATATTTACGGTCAATCTTTATGGGGGGCTTCCCACTCTTCGGCATGGCCCTGATTTATGTTCAGGTTTCCGGGAAAGATGGTGATTATACGATAATTGTTTTATTAGGGTGGTGAATGGGAGGGGCAGTGGGTTGGAAAAATAACATAGGAAATAAAAACACTCCAAAGCATCAACAGCCGGAATCTGAATCTGAAGCGATCCCGGCGAAATCAATAACTTTCAAGTTGTAAAGTATGGTCCTAAAGTAACCAAACTACTCAGAGTCTAAGCTAAGCCGAAGCCGAAGCCTAAGCCGAAGCTGAAGCCTAAGACTAAGCCTACACCTAAGCTGAAGCCTAAGCCTAAGCCTAAGCCTAAGCCTAAGATATCTTCCTCCTGGGCCCGACCATCCACAAATCAACGCCAGCTATTCGTTTGGGATCACCCAAATCAGATACGCAGAGTTTTCGCCTGAGGACAGCGAGCCTTGTTGCGCAAGGCGGCACCTTTCTACTCTCCAACCACTCCATCATTTTTACGGCTGATCCGCAAACCCCAAACAAATTGCAGCATCCATTTAGTGACCATCAAGCTCCCGATGTTCCCACTTTTATTTGTTAATTCCCATCCAAACCCTTAATACGGAAGCCACCGAAATAAATCACTTGACGGCTCCAACAGCCCATTCCGCTGAAGGCAGTAAAAATGTTCGGCGGGGTGTAGAGATAGCCGAGGCGCCATTGAAGCGCGGAAAGGGAACTACTGAACGGCCAATATTTTCTGAGGTGCTAAACTCATGTCTCCGCGTAAAACAAGTGGGTTATTTTATGGTAGAGTTTATGATCCTAGGGAATGTATGGTGATTAGAGTTTGGAAGATATCGCATAGATCAGTCTTTTTCATGGTTTAGGTTCACAAAAATCAGAATAAAAATAATTAATCCCGAAAACGAGAGGAGCCAGTTTTGTTGCAGTTTCACGAGTATTTGATGGATATTTAAATCGTTGCAATCGAACATTCCGGATCGCTAAAGAGAGTGGCTTCTAGTATCAAGATGCAAATTAGGACTTTAAAAAGCCTTAATTGAATGAATCATAATGTAAAGTTAAAATTTACATATTTTTTCAAAAAAGTATAAGATTGCTTCGCTTCTCCCTATTTGGCCATCCAACAACCCATCTACCGTAACCCAAAAAGCTCTGGCTAGAAAAGAAATATAACCCCCCCCCCCGCTACTCAGATTGGGTGTCACCGATGCATTGGCCCGTGGTCACAAAGCCGTCTGGCAGCCCAGATTTCCTTTGAAAGTTCGTGACCGAGCCCCAGATGGCACATACGGTCCTTCTCCGATCTAGATGATCGCTTTGGGTTTGAAGGGATCGTGACATAACCTGCCCTTTGCCAGGGGCCGCCCCCCAAACGGCAACAGGGCCACCCTCACACCCCGTTAGTCAATTATCCTCACACCAAATACTCACACCATTAATACCACCCTCAATGTACCAGATTGCTGTTTTTACGAGTTTGAACATAAGGTTTATCACAAATAGGTTCATTTAAGTGTAGCCTCTGCTTTGCCTAAGCCTAAGCTTAACCTAAGCCTAAGCCTAAGCCTAAGCCTTAGCCTAAGCCTATGCCTAAGCCTTAGCCTAAGTCTAAGCCTAACCAGCAACCTTCCCTCAACTCCAGAACCTTTTTCCGAAAACCTTAAACCACCCTAGGCGCTACAGTAGAAAGAACGCGTGATCCTCGCTACTGTTTGGCTAATGATAACCGCTTGGCCCGAGGGCAACACGGCCCTTTGCGGCGTCGTCTTGCATGTAAAATACAGTTGCGCAACGGAGGCCACTGATACCAGGGCCACCCGCAGCCTTTCATTCATTGTTTTTGTGATAGTTTATGGGGTTATCCTGATGCTGAGTGCGGGCTTTTGTTCCTATACACGTTTTCTTCATGCGTTTTCAGTTTCTCACAATGCTACAGAGGTCTTGGCCACTACCGTACCCGCCCGATGTGACTATCATACCGTATCCCCTTTCGCGGCAGACATTTTCCTGATATCCACTGATATTTCGGTAACTGTTTACGAAGGCGCCGAATTGGTTCATGGCCAATTCTGAAAAGGGAAGAGATGGCAGGCCCCTGATAACCAAGTGGCCATATTGAAAGCCTCCGCCCTTTCACTCCTCTCCCTTCAAAACGGATCCTCCCAGTCTCAACCCCCGATCAGCTACCGTAACCCGCGGCGCGTCGTCTCTCTGTGGTCCATTCCCAGCCTTCCTCCCCCTCCCTCCCGATAATTGCCCTCTAATTCCACAATTTCCGCGTCGTAAACGCGAACAGCCCCCACGGCGCCCGTGGCTGTAAACCTACTCAGCAATTGGAAAAGTTTCCACCGGTATCGGCTACCCAGCCCGTGTGGTCAAACGTAGTCGCTTTAAAGGTCAGCGATAGGGGTGGTCGGGATTTTTGGAAGATTCGGAGTGAGGATTGATTTCAGTATACCATATTGCATATATATAGAATCCCCTTCGGCAGGATGAAAAAAAATGCAATTTCACTCTCATCGCAAATTTTTAGCTTCTTAGATCAGAAAAAGACTAGAGGAAATAGTGAACCCCAAATTTCATAATTTCTTCCTTATCTCCCAGCTTACTTTTAATGCACACACGTGACCGGAAGCGAGTGTACCTGATTAATATCCTCTTAAGACGGATCGACACATCTGCCGCTAAACGCCGTGAGATACCCGGGCATAATTATCGATACGCGTGTCACTGATGTCCACAGAGAGATTTGTGAGGCACCAAGAGGATATCCGCCGGCTATGGCATTTAAGGCGAACAGATGCGCGTTTCCGGTGTTGACCTTGTTTCGGGGACTCCTTTTATAGCCGCCCGAGTCTTAGGAATCATTTATTGTCTAGTAAACTCCGGGATGTACTACTATGACGGTAGGTTTTATTTTTATGGCTTTGTATAAGGGACTATAAAATCTATGGCTTTTTAACGGGCAACCACTTTATTTATTGGTCGTGTGAATTACAAGTTTACTTGAAGGGGAATAGACGGCAGCAAGATTCGTGAAAAATTCTCGTCATAATTGTATTCTGATTTTTTTTGTAGGTCCTTAAGGAGCTGACCAAAGGCGCTTAAGACAGAAAGATTCCATGATCTGCATTTTGGATGCTTCTAATCCAATCCAGGGGCCTTAAAATAAACTCGGCAAGCTTAAAAATTTTAGTATTCAAATAATGATAGAATTTCGGGCATTTTTCACGACATCCGATCCCCTGTCTTACCCTAATCTAACCCCAACCAGGATTCGAACCAAAAACAGGGTCATCCCCGCCAGAGGCCGCGGGCATTCTGTTGGGATATTTTACGGCTGCTCGACAGCATCGAGGCCTTCTGACGAAGAGCCGGCTGCTTGCCAATGGCATATTTCGATCACCCGGCCCATCACTCTCGATCAGCCCCGCCCAACACCGTATATCATTTGCCATCGAATTTTTGTCGTCTCTATCAATGTCCCTCAAAAAACTTAATTTTTTTTACTTTCGTTATTCTATAAAATAGTGCACATCCTCCATACCAGTTTTATAACCGTCGGCGTTTATGCAAAAGAGCCATAACTCTCCCACAAATCCGCCGCATGAAAGGAGGAACTTTTAAGGTGGAGCCTCAGGGGTGAGGAAGAGCTTGCGCAACTCGACACCTTGTGGCCAAGCTGGCCGGGGCGGTATCCCTTTTGGTGGGGGCCCTGTGCAGGGCATTTGCATGGCCAAGTGCTTCTTCCACCCATCCTTTGTCTCGCCTATATCCCTTCAAGTATCCATATCTTACCGCAAAACATCGTATCACTTTCATTGGCATTGTGCGGTGAAAAAGAAAGGGAGTTCCGAAAGTTTTTTCGGAAGCGCTGTATCTGAGCTTAAGATTGAGCCTAAGCCTAAGCCTGATCACAAGCCTAAGCTTAAGTCTAAGCCGACGCATGCCTAAGCCTAAACCTAAGCTTAAGCCCAAGCCCAAGCCCAAACCTAAACCGAAGCCTATGTCCCCGAAGCTGACGAACCATCCGATTCTACATTAGCTAGACCTTTCCCCGACCTACACGATACCATCATTGCTCCAAAACCACGAGCGATACCTCCTCCTCCTCCTCCTCCGGCTCCTGCTCCTCCTTTAGTCCGTCCCTGTTGACGAAATGCAAATCGCTGGAACGCCCTGGGGCGCGCAAACAATGCCTCGGTGCCGTAAAAGATGAATCTGCGGTGGGGCCGCCGGGTCCGGCTGATCCCCATCCCATCCTTTGTCAATATTGATTCACGCTTGTAATTCCGATCCTGGCCCAGGTGCCATCTATTCGAACATTTAGAGATGCGCGAGACGGAGGAAAAGCCGATACCGGATGTGGCGAAGCCGTTGACGGTCAAGCCGCCAGATGGAGTGGCACATCCACATCCGGGGATGTGGATGGGTAATATGCAGAATGTGTTGCCGATATGGATTAATCAACGGGAGGGATATACGTAAGTGGTTGGCTTAGGGGTACTGTTGGGTGTTTATTAAAAACCGTTAATTTTTCCTATAGGTAGTTTCATGCTGGTAGGTAGAGTACCAGTAGTACTGTGTTACAAAAAAGGCTCTTGATAGTATCAAAAAACTTTTGATAAAAGCTTGATATCTGTGTGAAAGGGACATCTCAATCTGCATAAGTCTTAGTCTTAGTCTTAGTCTTAAAATTAGCATAAATCGACTCTTTCCTGGTCCTTTTCCGGTTTTTGCACAACGCTTCCGATTGCTTTTTTCGCGATTGGCTTTTTGCCAACTGTAGGCGAAGCCCGATCTGCACGAGCCTTCCTTAACGCTGAAGCATGCCCAAAAACGATCCCTTTCCAGAACGTTTCTTTCCGATTCGTGCCCATACCGTACCCCATGTCCTCTCCGGCTCCGCCCCTTCCTCCCATCCGACTGCCTCCCTTCACCCCCTTCCACCGCTTCGCTCCCCCTTCAGATATGGCCTCCTCACCCCCCTATCTGAACAGGCAGCCCCACCATCACTCTTCTTCTTTTCCTTCTTTCCTTCTCTCCTCATTTAACCCCATCTCCCCCCAATTTTACGATTCGTTTTAACAGCTCCAGAAACATTGTCACGCCTTTGCCCCCACCAACAGCACGATAACTACCCGTAAATCCGTTTCGAATTGTAAACGGCCTGAAAAGCAAGTTGTAAAATAACGCGGGTGGTCTAGAGCTGAGCGACTTAATTTGTTAGCTGGAAGCTTGTTTTGTTTAGGGTCTAAATTCAAAGAAATCTACTTTAGTTTTCTTCCGATTTTGGAGTCTCCTAGGGGTCAGATAAATGTTTGTGCTTTTATTTGACAATTTTACTCGAGCTATTGATTTTTAATAGGGAAACATATATAAAAAGAAATTAATTTTCCAGAGCTTCGGCTGCAAGTGCCGGGATGCTGCACCCATCTTTCGACCAAGCTTTTTATGGGCAACGCTGGCCAGCCGACGCCACTGTGTATGATGCACCCAAGGTAAATGACATTCAAATATATAAGCGCCGATTGTTAAAAATAAATAAAAATACTGGCTACTAAAAATCTGAATGAGGAAAGCGTAATGTCTTCGTTGAAAAAGTAGCTTTTTATCGCCTGAAATTAGAAATTAAAGCGTATTTAAATAGCAATAGACGCATGCTCTTAATATTTGCGATAAATTTACATAATAACATTTTTTAACAGCTCGCTGACAACCAAACAACACCCGTTTTCTTCCCCCAAGCGAACTTTGCGACCGCCAGCCCGCAAGGAGCCAGTAGCGCGGAGGTTAGTTTTTCAGCATTATCGTAAGCATGCTACCCACCCTTTCGCTCACTTCAAAAGCTATCCCTCAACCGCTCATCAAAGCCTTTTTGTTGCTCCTGAAAAAAAAGCAAAAAAACTGTCGAGCCTAGAGCATGTGCTGAAAACATATGTACCAAGTTGGGGAGGGGCTGCCCCGCGCATCTGTCAATTTACAGGCACTTACCCTGGGCATCGAGCCATGCTTACGGTTCCTACGGGAACCTCGAACATATGTGGAATTACTGTTTTTATAGAGGTCATGCTCAAGATTGGAGGATTAGAAAGTGTCTAATTTGCATAAACTGCTAACAATTATTAAAATCTGATAATTTAACCAGCAATACTTTCATAGAATGCTAACAATGCGTAAGATACGATACTTTTGAAAAAGTGTTCAAAAAGCCCAGAATAATTTGTATGAATCAACTTGCAAATCTCTCAAAAATCATCGTCAAAATATCTTTCTTTAATCATAAATTTTCCAGCCACCCTACCCTACCGATCCGTTCCCCTCCACCTCAACGGCTTCCCCGATCGTACAAGCATCACTACTCCAAAATAAGTGAGAAATTTTACTTATATTCATTGTTTTAAAACTTATGACAGTATATCTATAATATAAGCGCAGTACGCTGCTTAATATTTGCATTTTAGTTATCGATTCGATATGATGAACTCGGCTCATGGTTACTACATGTACCCCACATTTCAACCCCCGGACTACGGCGTAAGCACCTAATTTCTTAAGAAAACTGTCTTTTGTTATTTTCCCACAATAAACCTGTTTTTTTTCAGTTCCTCACAAACTGGAAAAACTCTGCTGCCATCAAGCGTGATAATAGCCAACCCCCATACCGTACCGGCCCTGGGACCAACAGTAAGTTTTTAATTTTTCAGAACTTTGGTTTCATGCTGTCATTTCCTGTCCTACCCCTGCTTTCCAAATCAAAATTCCTACCGTCTGCCAAAGACGCGAAAAGCGGTGATAATCCCGGCTGTCGCCAGGAAGGCCCCCTTTTGAAATTGCCGCTAATCCCCGCTCGTTCGCCCTCGCGATAAGTAAGCGCTTTCAGCCGAGCCGCCGCTGCATGTTTTTGCTCGCTAAGCGCCGGCTATCAGTCACCCCCCAGATTGAACGCTACTTATTAAGGAAAAACTTTTCAGATGTGCGTGTCCGGACGTCGGAAAAATACCGGAATGTATATACCGATACGCAACGGCTGGAGCTGGAGAAGGTAGAGTTATTTTACTGTATATAAAAATAGTAGTTTGTATGTCAGCATTTGCATAATGTCGTTGTATGTTTTGCGCCTAAAGCCTCAGGAAACAGCCCTGAGAGTATCTTCGATACGTCATTAGGTGTGTAATGATTCCGAGATGATTACGAGAGATATGATAGGTTTTTAAAAAGATGACAGCCTCTGGGTTATGAAGAAATTAGCATATAGCGGAAGGGATGGAAGCCCATATAACCAGATGATGCCGTTTTTGCAATTTTTTTATCATCCGAAAAGGTCTAAATATGCAATTATGTCACTGTCACATTATTTTGGCCAACGCTTCAGCGGAAGTAATGAAATCAAGAATATAGATTACAACACAGTAAACCTAATTTTTATTTTCAGGAATGGAGCCACAACCAATTCATAAATGCCGAGCGCAAGGCGCATCTTTCAACGGAGCTGCAGCTGACCGAGCGGCAGATCAAGATTTGGTTCCAGAATCGGTGGGTCTCATGGCAGAGGGTTGGCCAGAGTTTACGATAGGCCCAAGGGCGGTTCGGGGGCCCTTTTTGGGCCCTTGATTGATGGGGTCACCGATCTATAACCCTATTGTGTCCCGTAGTGCATTGGATAGGATCCCAAGTTAGGAGTTCGGGACCTATCGTAGCTCAGGTTATCTGACCAGCACCTAGGTCCGATGGATTCGCTAAGTCAATTTTTTCCAGACGTGCAAAGGATCGTCGGGAATCGAAGAAGAGCAAGCACTAAGCTTCAATTTTTCCAAGCTGCTTTTTAATAACTGGAAGATCCGGGCGCGACGGGAACAGCAGCCGATTGCACTTTGAATTTTTAGCCCATCATTATATTTTATGCATTTTCCTTGCCTGGAAATAACTTAATGCTTGCCAATTATCCACACTTGCCACGCTGCATTCTTGCCGAATCTCCGCCTTCCAATTTTTTAAGGTGTCATTTTTCAATGTTCCTAGCTCCAAAATGGTCTGTGGCTTTAATGGAATTTGTGACGACCCCCATTCACTTGCTAAGCTCGAAATTTCACTTATATCGTTGTTTGCGCCAATTTCCTTTGTGCTCTCCTGATTTGAATGACGCTGTGCGTTAGATAATAAATTTGGTACGATTTGAAGAGGGTTCGGAAAGGTTGATTTTAAACATTTTGTTTTCATTTGGATGAATAGCCAAACGGTGGTGTCAATGTGGGCAAACAAATCACAGATAACGAGCGGCACGAGCCGAGGAAAAGCTGTGGGATGACAAGATTGATTATAGGACTCAGGTTCCATTCGAGGGATTATATGGTGTGTATTAATTATACAAAAACAAGGTAATTTTTATTGAATGATGATTAAATGGCTTAGAATTTGTGCTCAAGTATATTGGCATTTTTCATAGGATTTTAGAACATCGACAACCAATTGTAAAATAATAATATTCTAAAATACAACCTTAGGATAGAATTTATACTTCAATTTGGCAGTTCAAGCCTTTTCGCTTCGTCCCGAATTCCTGCCACCTTTTATCAGCTGTCGGCAGCCGTCGGTCTCGATTTATCAGCCCATCCGCCCGGCGCCTCCGCCAACATCTAACAAATTTGTGGCCGGCTTACCACTGGCTTAGGGGTTTACAAGGGGTTGTAAAGAAAATGTTGGCTTAATAATATTGGGGGTGGAGGGTGTGAAGTTGATTTTAGCAAGCGGATTCTTGTAGCTGGTGAAAAACGATATGACCTCAAATCCACTGCTGTATACAACCCCGTTTTGAATTCAGGTATCAAACTTGAATTTAACACGGAAAAACTACATGTTAATAAATAATGTTTGTGATCCATTTCGTTACCCCGATCTTTCGTATCGTCTAGCTTCAACGAAAAGTGAAAAACCTGCTCATCCCGGACAGTTCTGCGGCTACAAGAAACACAATTATTGTACCTGCTGCTTATTGTGTTGCTATTTGATTCCCCCTCTTCCTCCTCCGCCAAACCCTCCACACAGTGCCATTGCTTTTTCTTTGGTGGGTGAAGCCGAGGAATGGTGGGCAGAAACTGGCTGCGATCACCCATTTGCCTCCCACTATTTCGTAGCTGCTCTTGCCTCTTGCGATTTAAATAAATCCTCAATTCCTGCTGTTATTCAGAAATCAAAATATGGAACCTCAACCTAGAAATCGTCGAAGCGCAAAGGAGTTTCTGAAAAAATATTTTTTGGAAGGTAAGGTAAATTTCACCGATATATTTTTTTCAGGCCAATGCTTGGAAATCGAACATGTAAATGACGATGAACCGTCCTGGTGGTTAAAATTCCACGAGAAAAATCGAAAATACATAGCGCTAGTCATCCCATTCTTTTTCATACAAGTAAGCCACTTTTTGCTGAATAAATTTGCATAGACGTTCTGGTTGATGACAGCGGTTAGGCACAATTACTTTGCATTATATCCAGATCGGTGGGAATTACCCTTAACTATAATGTTGGCCGCTACAGTCGCAGGTATTTGGAAAAACATTTTTAACATTCTTTAAATTTAGGGATGACTTCGGAGGGCGGTGGCGCTGTTTCATTTCCAATAATGACATTAGTACTGCACATAAATCCTGATATCGCTCGTGACTTTGCATTAATGATACAATCTATTGGTAAGGTATACTGTTTTAGATTTAAAGACTTATAGGGATGTCATCTGCATTATTTGTTGTTGTCTATATGGGAATTGTTGTGGAAAAGAATGCGATCGTTTTCGCAAGTATTGGATCCTTTCCAGGACTGGCGCTTGGTCTCACTTCAGTAAGATCCGTACCTTCCAGTCCATTTAAATTTTTTTGGATAGAGCATTTGTTGGACGGCCCCTCGAAAAAAGCATTTTTCGTTTCTGTGTGGACGTCCTTCGCAGGAGCACTTTATTATTTGAATTCCGAGCGGAAACGGACTGTTTGAATATTATACAATTTGGAAAGGTGTTTTAGACATATCGTACGATCCCCGAATTCAACACCTGGAAAGCACTAGTCTTAATATTTACCGGATTCATTGGAGGTATGAAAAATAATTTTCTTAACAGATTTTAGGCATTTTCACTGCAATCGCTGGCAGTGGTGTGGATATTTGTACATTTTCTGTAATTACTCTACTTTTCCGGGTTAGTGAAAAGACCGCAACACCGACGACTGTTAGCTTGATGGGTGACTTTAAAAAATTAAACTGAAAGATCCGAGCTTCAGCTGTAAATGCTATTTTTGGATTTTATTGGAGGGCTGTGATTCAAGGTGGGATTGCGCCGGTTGGTAACAAAACAGGGATTTTAATTGATTTTAGATAGCGTTTGAATACCTGGCAGTCTGCATACCAGCTGCAGTCACATTTGCACCACTCGGCTCATTTCTGGGATCACATTTTCATCGTCTGGTGCGCTTTTTCCACTTTCTTCCAGTTTTTGTTTCAGGTCCTTGCATTCCTGATCTACATTCTCGAAGCCCTTTCCATAATTGGCTTCCTTTTCACCGGCCCACCGATCCGACTGATTCTGATAGGAATCATGATAATTCGTGAGTGGCACTCTCTTTCTAGAGAATGAACTTCCACTTTAGTATTCGGGTTCGGCTTCTTCTCCCTGCTGAGCTATCTGGGACGCAAAATCTTAATGGGGGTGGAGGAGCGGCGGTCAAATAAGAAGCCGGTTGTGGTGCTGGCAATGGACGAGGCCAAAGTGTAAAAATAAACTATTTATTTCCGCTTAGGAGTGACACTAGATTTATGCTTCTTTCTAGTTTAGAGATAGCTTCTGTAGAAAAGCGGAGTCCTGGGAGGAAGTCAAATTCTTCGATGAATTGTTGTAAATAATTCTGTTTTGTTTGATCGAGGATTTGAGTTGGATGGATGATAATTGGAACCTAAATTTGCTTATTTTTTAGTTTGGGTTGTTCTACCCAAGCAGGCACAGGATGCGCATCGATATCAATTTCTTTGTTGTATACCACTACCAGTGGTCGCGTCAATCCAAAAAACACATCTTTTGAGTCGGCAATTCCGCGGCGCAGCTGAGAAACGGTGTTTCTCAATTTTCTTTTTAAAGCTGTAGTATAAAGACATACTCCATATTTTCCATTATCGTTTGTATTGAATATTTTCCCTCTGTTTGCTGCTTGGTTTTGAATGGCCCTTCTAGGAATATCCGATCTTGTGTCGATTCTAGTAACTAAAAATATTGGTGATTTTGTCATGGCCTTACAAGTTCCGTGGCCTTCCCAGCCTCATTTCTCAGCACGACACTCTCGTAGGGGATTTTTGATGAGTATGCCGAGTCACCAAGTATCACGGATCCGATGGCAAACGGATTTGTGCAGACTGAAATCCAAAAAGTGCCTAACATACAAAAAAACGGTAATCCGCACTGTGTCTCGCCATTTGGAAACCCCGTCATCTTAACCTAACCCTGTGGAAGTGGATTCGGTGAGGCGACATCGAAATTTTGGCCACTTCCGGAAAACGCCTGCTTCCGTTCCCATTTTCGTCAATGGTCAGGGAGGGGTGGGAGTGCTACCGGTTCTTCTTTCGCTCCCAAGGTTTTGATGTTTACAATATGAAAATCGAAATGCAAATTTCATCCGGCTATACAGGGTGTGCAAAAAAAAAAGGACACAGTTTGGGTCGAAATAACTCGCGAACGGTAGAGAATCGAAGGTACGTTACCATGCCAGAATGCTTAAATATGCTGGGCATGAAGATTTAACACAACTTGATTTTTTCGATTTTTGGCGACGTATCAATACAAATGACACCCGAAAACTGTGCGTTCGGGGGAAACTTCATTTGCTTTTTTCTCAGTTTCCTGTGGTGGCTGGCATCTAATTTTTATTAAGTAAGTTAATATAAGCAGTAGATATGTACCTACAAAATTTAAGAATTTTTGAGGGTCTGGTTGAAAAGTTAGAGAGGAATGAAATTTTGTATGGAGAAATTTCGTAAATTTTTAATATTGAAAAAACCTATGGCGAAAACCTCAAAATCAGTTGTTGTGGAATACCTACGAGCCCGTTACAATCGCATAAAAATTGTAAAAAGGTTTTTGAGATCGATGAATTTTCGCGTTTTTCAACGACCCCCTGGTCATGGATTCTTCGAGGTCTCGAAACCGGACTTTGGAAAAATATTTCTAGATTGCCAAAGGGGCCTCATCTGTTTTCTTTGCTTAACTATGTAGGACTGGGGTTGATCTATCATTTACAAAATTTCTACCTACCGTACCTCTTTGGAAGGGCGTCTTTTAGGGCCTCCAAAACGGTTGGTTCGTGCTTTTTTCCGAACCTTGTCACACTTTTTATAAAATTTGGTCGCGCTGTGAAAATTATTGTTTTATTTTTATCTGATACCGGTTGAATAGCGCATCCTAAAGCCTTATTCATGAATTTTTCTAACCAGGCGTTGGCGCCAAGAAAATTCATCAAAACCCGAAATAAACCGAATACGAGGTTGCGTAAAAAAATTTTGGAAGGTGGAGTCGTAGGGATATTTTGCGCAATAAGTCAGTGCCATCAGTTGAATAAAACTATGCAAAGTTTAAAGCAATTTCAGGTCGCAAAAATTTTAAGAAGATTTCTAAACTTCGATTTTGGAATAGGGTGATCTTCGATTTTGAACTGAAATTCACCATAAATTTGAAACAGATTGCTCCGGAATTCGACGAGCGTAAATAAAAACACCAAATCTTTAATCGTAGCCATAATATCCAGATGGGTTTTTTATTTTTAAAATTTCGAAAATTGACCCCGGCTACTCGGACCCAAAATCGGCTCTCTGGCCTTGTTTTGCACTTGGCCTCGTAACTTTGTTATTTACCACCCAAAATCAGTAATTTTTCACAGGTTATCTTACAATCAACTCTAGAAGGCCCTCGAATAGAAAAATCGTCACTTTATGGAATTTTGTGATGGCATGCTAAAACGCGCTCCACGTGGGTTACTGTAGAAAACCGAAATTTGCGATTTTCGTGGTGTTTTTGCCATGGAATCGCTTCGATCTTTTTGTAAAAGCAATAGTAGCAGTTTTTGGACCAATTGACCAAAAAATTTACAAAATTCTGCCGCAGAATTAAAAAATCCGTTTTTGGTGTTTTTCATGAAAGTTTGTGGATAGTACGTCCCCGTATTTGGCAGCAAGGTGCCCCTACTTATTGCCTAACAACCCAGAAAATTTTAGCCGAATCGAAGCTAGGCGCCCCGAGAAAAGCGGGAAAATCGAAACCTACAGTACCCCGCTGGGGCACGTTTTAGCAAGCAATATAAAATACCATAGATTGTGGTGGAATTTGGTGTGGAATCCGAGATTAATATTTGGATAGGTCATTGACAAAATATCAGCCATGGGCAGCGAGTTATAAGCGAGTTATAACTCAAAGAACAAAAATAACGCAAAATCGCGAAAATTGTTTTGCTTTTAAAAAATGAAATATACCTCGATAAATTCTAAGATTTTGCCATTACATTTTTACAAATTTATACTATTTTTAGGCCAAAAATCAGAATTTTCCCACCTCCCGTTCAAGAACGCACAATTTTCGGTCGTAACCAGCGTCAATAGTACAGTTGCGTACTCAAAAATCGAAAAAATCAAGTTGTGTTAAATCTTCATGCCCAGCATATTTAAGCATTCTGGCATGGTAACGTACCTTCGATTCTCTACCGTTCGCGAGTTATTTCGACCCAAACTGTGTCCTTTTTTTTTTGCACACCCTGTAGTTTCGAGGCCTAATTCTAGGTTTTCCTACCAACGTTTTGCTGCTGAGCATAAGAAGTTCAAGCAGAAAATTCTATCCCGGTTAGGCTCGTAGGCTTCGTTCTAGGCTTCTCCAAAGCTTTTGGTGCTTAGCATGCGAAATTCGGGATTCAAACCCTAACCAGCTCTGGCTCCCAAACCTAATTCTAGGCTAGCGTTACCCATTAAAATTATACGCTTTAAAATTATTTGACAGACTCGTCGTTTCAACGCGTGGTTTGCGTTATTTCCGTTTTTTTGGCGGTCGGCTAACCAATATGTTTCCGGGCGGCCCGTAAATCGCGAAGGCCGTTTGGAGAGCTGACGACGACGACATAGCGAGGGCCCCAATAGAAAGAACTGAGAGGGCCAAAGAGGTGATGGCTGTATTCGAGGAAGGCTCGCAGGGAGCCGCTTCTGAAATTGGGGATTTTGAAGGTGCATATCCAAATGTTTTCATTAGCACGTTTAAGATTTTTAGATACTTCAAAGGAGAAATTTTTGTGCTTTTGAATATCTCTCTTCTATTCTATCCGTTCCCATCTCCATAGAAAGTGTCCCCTCGGTCCCTATCCCCCGTGAAGCCGCCTTGTTTTATGGCTTTTCATAGGCCCCGTTTTCGGCGCTAAGTGCCTCGCTCTCTCCTGAATACGTGCAAAGAACCCCCGTCATATTCAAATTTGCAGCCCGGCTATGTATTTTTCTAAACACACCTTTGTATCTCTTCGAGATGCCCATCTATCTGTTTCACCTCGCTTAGCGGTGTCCCTGGAGGAATGCTGAGTGGTGGAAGTTCATCAGCTTTACATTCTAGCTTTAGCCCGGGGATTGTTGTGTAATCGATTGGGCGTGGCTGAAAGCATACGTCAAGTTTTTTTTTGTGATGAATAGACTTCCGTTTTGCACAGATTTCGAAAGAAAGATCACTGAACGAAAATCCGCGCTAAGCCGCTTAGGAAATGTCTAACCGGAATTTCTCGAGATTGTATTCCGGGTGTTTTCGGACCAAATAATGGTCTACCCATCATTTATTACAAAACCAGGCCTAGGAAATCCATTATTTTTCACAGTTTCTTAAAAATTTCAAGATAAATCTTCGTTTTTTAGAGCTATTACACTTTTTGATCCCTACCTAAGTTCGCCCGCGTAACCAACCTTTGGCAACCGATTCCATACAAAAAGGAAGAATTCAAAACCGACGAAAAGCCAGAACAAATACAATACAGCTTCGTAGGCGCCCATCAATCAATTTGTTGTGCCAACGGCTTATCATCCCCCCCCGCCCGCCCAATACCTTTGAAGCCCATGGCAATGACGTTCTCATATTTTTGGGCTTTTGCATCAAAATGGCCCTAAAAAGAAATATGGACTCGCCGAAATTGTAGCCTGCAGCCAGCGGCTCCACTTCAGCCCCAGAGAAATCCCCTCACCATTACGATGGATGAGCTATGGGGGACATTGGTGGCCCTGAGTCGATTTGAGGTCCGGTAGAACTTCAAATTTCAATATATTAGCTGATATAGTTGGGAATGGTCATCACCTACAGTCTAATTATACTTTTTGGCGCTGTTGGAAACTTATGGGTGATTTGGAAGGTTTGTAAATTTAATGTATTCCTAAAATTTATTTTAGTGCGGATTGGTGCTCATCCTAGGCAAAAAACAAGCCAAAATCACAAAGGGACTTATAGTTTGCATTCTAACAATCTGCCTAACCGATATATTAGTGCTCACGGCACTTTCACTATTGGTAAGTTAACTTACATGATTTTTACTTATCGATGTTTAGGTCGATATGAAACTGACGGGCGTATGGAGATTTGGCGAGGTTATGTGCCGCTTCTACTACACTGCCGAAGTCCTCAACAAATTCGTGATCCCGCTTTGTCTTGTAAATATCAGGTATGCTTTTATTATTTACTTAAAGCTTCAAATTAAGTCGTTTCTCATTCAAATCTGTGAATATTTCGACAGGTCGAAAGTCGTCCTACTTCTTGCCCATAGCAAATTTTGTTGCAGTCGCGGTGGTTCTTGCATTAGTGGTAATATTTCTTTTTACAAAGAAACTACGTATTTTTAGAGCTACGTTGTATTATTCTCAAAGACGTTGCATATTGAAATTCCGATAAAAAACAATACACACGTTTCGCGAACAATGTGTTTATTTATTCCTCCTTCCGGACATGGTAATCAAATTAATTTAATCCGAAATTTTTTCCAGAACAAATTTTTAATGGACTTGCTTTTCTTGTCGGATATGTTGTCACTACCGTTGCATACATTTACTTTTATGCAAGTGTCCCGCTTATGCTAATTCGAAAAATCTCACGCGCCACAGCTCCTGGAAGCAGTTCGTTTTTTTACATATCTCTGTATTTCAAAATCTCAGCTTCTAAACAACTGAACGACTCGAATATCTTAAAAATTAAATACATTGTGACGTCATTTGTGCTTATCTATTTGATTTGCTGGACTCCATATTGGGCCTTTTTCTGGTATTCATCGCTGGTGGCAGAAGGCCCGAGGTATCAAAAAAGTTAAGGAATCTAATGCATTTTTTTCAGATGGGTGATTATTCTTGGCCTTCTTGTGCACACCTTTCCCTATTTATCCTGTATTGCCTATCCGGTTGTATTAACAGCTATGAATCGAACAATTCGCAGTGAACACGCTTCGATATTAAGCCTACATCGTAAGCGCTTTTCAACAATAAGGAACGGCGTCATGCAGGTAGTTTTTAGCTATTACTTTTGTTAGAATAAATTTTGATTTACATTAAACTATTCAGACATTGTCGGCTCATCTCGGGATGTTCAGTATGTGGCAAAGAAATGAGGGGCACGTCGTCAGATCCACATTATTACGCCAAAGCGATGAATCGGCTGTCTAAAAAAATTATTCTGTCGCTTTATGATTGCATTCCGATCTCATATCAGGCTGTCACGGGTGTCATCATAATTTTAAGTGTTTTGTGCTATAATAAATAGATTATTTTTGTGCCTGAAACGTTCGCAACAAAAGTGATGCCCAGGTCAATACGGATAGCAAAGGATAAGCCCCGAGACGAGACGCAGCCAACCTAATCCCAGCGTAGAAGAGTGCACACCTCTTTTTGTGGGCCCTTCAGATAGGCCTGGTGCCAGTCAGTCGATTATAGCCCATCCGGCCGTCTAGCCCGGTAATTAGTCTCTCCCCATCCACCTCGATAAGGCCCAGGTGCCCCAGATACCTCATTCACCACATCCTTCTTCCTTCCGTTTCCGTAATTTTCTTATTTACTTACTTTCTTTACTTTTATATTCAGATCCGGCTAGTTTTTTGCCTTTTTAGAACAATATGCCCACGAAAGAACGTATGCGCAAAAAGAAAGAAAGGGAAGAGGCTGCGGCGGCAGAAAGACTCGACCCTACCACTCAAATCCGAACCGAATTGGAAAAACTAATAATTTCCGAGAATCAATCCCCCTTTGCGCTCTCTACAAACCCGAAGAAAAAACGCTCACTGCTAAAACTCAAGCTCCCCTCCATTCGTAATCCGTTTTCTTTGATCGACAAAGAACCTAAAAAGCCAAAAAAGCCACAAAAGACGGAAATTCCTAAGGCTAAGCCATCTATCGTGCAAACTAATGAGAATTCCCCTGATCTTGTAATAATTGAAAGCGAAGCGGAAACACAGAACATCAAAGCCTCCGCCAGGCCAAAACGGAAAGCGCAAAAAGCCGCAATTGTTGATGTAGACGAGGAAGATTTGGATTCCCATGACGATGGCTCGGTCTCAAAGAAACAGACAAGACGCGCCAGGAAAGAAAAGAAACAATCCGAAACACCAGAACGAATGCCAAGTGTAGCTGCGGTAACAATTGATGATGAGGGTGACGATGAGGAGGAGAATGAGAATGAACAGCCATCCACAAGCGCTCCAAAGACGATCGAAGAGCCTCTTGAAGCTCGACCAACCATAGTACCGCCAAGCAGAACTACCTTGATCGAAAACCTGCGTAATCTTCTTAAAAGAGCGAAGAAAGAACTTGCAAAACCACGATATACATTTGGCGGTTGCGTTGTAGTGACGGAAACCACGCAAGCCGAAATGGATGCAAGAGCAGGTGGGCCGGCAGTGACAGAGTATGGCAAAAACTTGTTAGCTCAATTGAAAAAGGAACGAAAGGCTGGTTGTCCCCCGAAACCAGGATCGGTGCGAACCCTCGAGTCCGGATTTGGTCGTTATCTTCCTAATGACTGTATATTAGCTATAAGGGGCCCTCCGCCAGAAATTAAAGTTCCAGAACCGGAGTGGGGAATTCCACCCTTGAAGGATAAATTGCCGCGAAACCCAGATGGAACGTGGAAATATGGGTTATACAGAATTATGCGCAATTTCGTAAATGACTGGAAATCCGACCCAGAGAAGGCTATTGCAGCATGTGAAGTTTTTGCAAAACCCGAGGAGAAAAAAAAAGCGAAAGAAGAACCTGAATTCACGCTTCCGCCAAGGTCTGATCATGGAAATGTGATGTGGTCAAGCGATCGGGGGGCGATGAAATTGGTATTCCGAAGGGTTTACAGGCTCAAAGGACGTATTGGAGAACCGTTTCCACATCATTTGTTGTCGGAAACCACCGATCGTCTGAAAGCTTTATCTATCGATCCTTCGAAAAAACCCTCTAACGAAACTAAGGTCCTATCAACAACAGTTCGGAAAAGGCAACGGCAGGATGCTGAACAGGGACAGCGAAAAATTGTTATAGCCGTGGAGTGTGATAAAAATACAACACCTGGTTTTATAAAGGCAGCCCCTGATCAAAGATGGATACCACCCCCGGAAGAAGAAATTGTTGCCTTAGCCTACGAACAGACCCAGACTGGTCTTCTAGCCCGGTTTGCACATTGGATATCAAAACCAAAGGAGCCAAAAATAAGATATGTAAGAACCGGAAACGTCCTAGCCTTCAAGAAACTATTTCATCTCACAAGGAGGTCTATGATACATTGCAGGGCGCAAAATAAATTGCTCGATACATTCCTTTCCGTGAAACGAGAAGCTCTCCCCGAATATGAGAGGCTTAATGAAAATGCGACGCCGCCGCCTTTCTATTCTGAGCCGCATGCTATTCGAGGCGTTGTCACAACAATTATCGATTACACCAATCGACAATTGCAAAAATTAAAAATATTAAGTCGGCAAACTAACGAGAGTATTTCTGAAAAGCAGAAAGAAGCCAAAGATTCATCTAAAGCAACTCAGAAATCCGATCCGCTTGCCAATATTATAAAACCAAAGAAGACCGATCAGGTCCAGCGGCGCCTCAAGCGGCTGATTCCGAAGAATGACAAGGTTGCGCCGCTAATTGCCGTATTAGAAAATCCCGAGTTTAAAAAGGTCCATAAGCGGAAGCAAAAACCATTTGGGAATAAGCCCTTTATGCATATCTCTACATTGCTAAGGGATAATATATCGGAAGCAGCGGCTACAAGATTATCTGGCAGAACCAATCCACTTGGTCTGGCACAATACATGAAAAAGGCTTCCCTTGACACTCCACGATGGGTACAACTTCTCGAGCCCGAGAAATTGCCTGAATCTGGTGTTGTCAGCGTCAAATTACCATCTGAATCCTTTATCAATGCTTTACGTTTGAAGATGATTCCTATAAACGAAGAAGAAGAAACAGAAAATCAGGCACCACTCTTTAATCACCGACAAAAACGCCTGCTGGTAAAATTCTTGAAAATTGTAGAAGCAGACGATTTCCCCGTTGAAGTGCCCGGGATCACAAAAAATTATTTCGAGAATGAGGGGAAACGACTGGAGAAATTAGTAGGTCCACGCCAAGCGGATGTTGAGCTAATAGCGGATGAAGAAGAGCCCGAACCCCCAAAGGCCAGGCAAAAACATCAAAAACCAACAAGGTCGAAAATCCCAAAATATCGAAACGCTATCCACAGGGATAAAGAGCCATTCTTGCCAAAGCACTCGCAGCACCCGAGCATTTGGGATATTTTCGATCTGCCGAGTTCATCAAAAATTTTGAAGTATGCTAGCAATTCTCGACAGCCATACGATAATGGAGAAACGTGTGATTGCAATGAACGACCAAATAGAATACCTAAAGATGTGAAACCTCCCCGCCTTGGGACGCCTATACCGGAATTTGGAAGCGAGGGCTTAAGAAATTGGCAAAGAAGGAAAATAACAAGGGCCCGGTATGCACGTCGGAAAGGAAATATCCGAATGGCGGAGCTTGAGTTTACACCCCCAAAAGAGGTGCTAAAAAGGAGGATGAGATTGGAGAAACCGTTTGGCAGAGAGTGCTTGGAAAGATGGCAGCCAGTGACTCGATTCCCGGAGGAAGACTATGATGTGGAATGGCATGTAAATACGTTTGATAGTGATAACCCAAAGTATGTAGAAGAATATATCGTCTACAATCCGGAGAAGTGGTTACCGGAGAGTTGGCGGTGTCTTAAGATGGATGCACCGAAGCCAAGACGGAAGAAGAAGAAGGTTAAGAAGGAGGAGGTAGCAAAGGAGGGGCAGAAAGAGAATGAAGAGAAGACGGAGGAGACGACAGACGAGGCAAAGCCAAAGAAAGCAAAGGAGCAGATGAAAAAGTCTAACGATTCATCTAAGACAGTTTGGTGGGCACCAAATTCACCAAGGTATCACAGACATCTATTGTTAGGGATTACACAGCAACAGCCAAACGAAGAGGAGGTACGCGAACTACTCGCTGATCTACCACTACCATTCCGTCCTAAAAGAAAAGTTGCTCCTTATAAGCAATGGGCCAAGCTGGCCCCGCCAAGGCCAAAGCGGAAAACCGGAACCGCAAAGGATAACGGCGTTGCGAGGAAGGAGAGATTGTATTCAAGGTGTCCAAAACCCTATCCACAATCCCAAAAGAAGCCTCCAGAGCGCATCGGTCATAGGGTCACGTTCCCACCAGCTGCAGAAGACTTTCGGCAATTACGTCTTAATGATAAATTCATATCGAAGTTTGGCGAGAAGGTATGTAATTTTTTATACGTTATGTATCTCGTTTGGTCAAATAAAATCTACTTACAGAAATGCGACGACGGCAAGGTGTACAACTTCCTGCATCGCAAGCTGTTCTTGTTTCTACATGCCGGTACATGTTTGGTAGGTCTGGAAAGTACTCTTAATATATCACTAGACGCGATATTGCTAAGATTGTTACTACATCCTCGAGCGCGGGGTAACCATTCATTTTTCAGAATCCAAACTGTCATTTGGCGTTTTGCCTGGTCGTGAAGGATGTGGTGAGCCATTTACTAGCGGAGAAATGCGCTGAAGAAAAGTGTTCTTGTGAGTACTCTCAAAAAAATTAGCTTATGTGAGTAGTGATCAAGCCATAATTTAGTATTTTTCAGACCCTCATTGCTACCCATTCCGAACCCTGGCTACACATTGGCGCCAATGCATTGACAAAGAGAATTGTCGAATCTGCGGCCCGGTTTTGGAGAAGCATGATCACTATCTGAATAACCTGGGTGCAAAAGTCGGGATGCTGGGATGGCCCTGGATATCTGAACATCGCCCTTATGACCTAAATAATGATCAGAAAAAGGTTTTTTTAGCTGATTTTCACATATTATCTTTATTTTTAGGATTGGCATAAGCAAATGTGGACTGAAGAGCGCCAGATGGTCATTTTCAAGATCGCCTCCGCCATCAGCCCTTTTTATATGATAGATGCTTTTGAAGTGGAACAATATATGTCAATCAAGGGCCATGCGAGGATTATCGAGCAGAAGCTGATTGGTCTCGCAACCAGTCGGGTAAATTTTGTTATACTTTTTTGCGGCTATTTTCTAATTTTTAGCCGGGTCAGCTAGTCAAAGTAAAACTATAAACAAAGACCTCTTAAATAAGTTGTATAATCAATCATGCAAAATTGTCGTAACTACCCAAAATTCAATTATTTTATTTTAATTTTAATCCAAAAAAATCATTCAGGTAAACTATTACGATGAGCTTGCAAAAGCAGTACGATATGACATGTGCCACGACATATATAAACTATTCGGGCCAGCCGATCACCCTCAAAGACGCAAAACAGTTTGCAAATATCTGTGCTACCGCAAGAGGTTGGAGCATGACATCAATTTCAACTCTGAAGATGTGTTCGAAAGGGCCGAGACAGCCTGTAGGAGGCAAATAATCGAGTGGAGGGAGGAAGAGCGGAAGAGGATTGCTATAGAGAAGTACCTCGAGAAAGCAGGAAAAATACCGGAAATTGTAATTGATGTTGCCCCACCATTGCCTGCAGATAAAAAGGTGTTTGAAAGTCCTGTTCGAACGCCAGAGGTGAACAATACGGAAGTGGAGGAAGCGCTAGAAGCATTAATAACAGCGGTGGTGGATATGGGAGAATCCGAAGCAGCAGCAGAAATGGCTAAAACTGTGAAAGCCCAAGAAAAGCAAGAATATTGCATTGTTGAGCGTATGAGATCTCTAGCCCTAGAATCTCCACCCCCTCAAATACCGGTCTCAGATCCTGCTATCGAAGCGACCTTATTCAAAGTTCGCACAGTGCCACCAGGTTACCCCAAGCGGCCGCCCCCTCCGAAGATCCCTAGAACCAGGCTAATTGCCATTCACGCCAGGCCACGAAAACGAAAAGCTGAGGAGGACGAGATCAGAATCAATGCCGCTTACCAATATTATCTTGGCAATAAGGCTGCCGTGGAACGTCAAAAAATGCTGTACGCCAAAAGGGAAGAGTATTGCAAACAGCGTTTCCCACAATTCTACTTTAAACGGGTGTATCCTGCTCCGAAAGCAGTCCCATTCCGGTTACAGTTTGGCGCCCAGAACGGGTTGGAACCAATTGATTATACCGCGGATAAAGTTGTTGCAGAATCTCCTGGTTTCATAGCTTCCGGGATTAAGTCTCCTGCTATTGAAGCTTCGTTGAGAATGACCTTGATGTCAGCCATTGCAGCAGAATACCCAGAACAATTTCCTTTTCCCCGACCAGCCACAAAACCTTCTGAAGCCCAAGAAAACGTGATTAAGCCTAAACAAACGGTCGTAGTAGTCCTCGACTCTTCTCCCGAAGCCACCCCACCTTTAGTAGACAATCAAGAAAACGAAGAGGATCAGGACAACTTGGGTTTAAGCGGGGAAACGCTGCCTGTATTGTCACCTCAAGTTCTATTGGAACGAGAGCCGGTAATGACCCCGGAACCGATCGCCGAGATTTTTGATGTTCCTCTGGATCATGAACTGGAAAAATACATTGACGATCAGTTGGAGGCACATTTGGGGAAATCTGACAATAGCTCGCCATCCTCGCAAGTGAACGAGTTAACTGCAAGCTCTAGCCGGGTGGTGGAGCACAGGGCTATCATCGAGGAGGCGCAGCTTGTCGAGCTCACAGATGTAGAAGAATCATTTTGGCACCATTTAAGCGATGAAATGGAGAAAGATGAGCAAGAGACGTCAACAGACCGGCGTCTTCTGATCGAATCTGCACCGACGCCACCGGATCTCAGCCGTTTTGAAGAGCCGACAGCTAGGATAGCCTTGAAAGACTGGCTTATGAATGATGCGCCTAGCACCCTAGTGGCTTCACCAGGTATGGCAACCTTGGAGCTGATCGAAAACGAACTTGGCGCTGCTTTTCTATTCGACGAAATCGCAAAAGAACACCAAAAGGAAGGCGAACCCCTCAGTCCAAACCTGGCTCTCCAAAGCTTCAATGACGATCTCGATGAAGACTTTATGCGCAATTTGGAGCCATAATCAAAATTTATTTTTATAATTTAATCCATATTTTATAAAAGCTTTAAAGCATCACATGCGAGATGAGAATTTGAGGACGAAAACTGCACATAGAATTGAATGTATATCCGAATTTGCACACCTTGGCTAAGCTTATTCTAATGCTTAATATTTGCAAAGACAAGACTATTTTTGTTGTAAATCACGGGTGTTGAGCCTGACAAGATGAGAGGACCATGGGTTGGCGGGGGAATTCACATTTCAACGAGGTCATTTGATGACTTTGAGAAAGTCAGTTAGGGGCTGGGATAAAATCTGCATCTAGGCCTACGACTACAAGGAGCACCAAGGGTTGTTGTGGGCAGTCAAATGAGGTATGACAAAATGGAAGAAATATTGAGGTTGAATTTTCATAGATAGTGGCCGGTTTGCATGCTGACTTGTTGGCATTGATCCCAGAGGAAATTGGAGGTATGCTGGCCGGGTGGGATATCTCCGGATTGAGGAAAAGCTGGCTGACAAAGCGATGTGTAGTATTGTTCTAGACAGTGGTGGAGGGATGGTTGTTTCGGTTGTGGGGGTTGAAGTTGATGGTATTGCGGAGCTTGGGGCTGCGGATTGTAGTTGGGTACCGGAGCTTGATGGTGCTGCTAGAATTAGGATTTGTTTAGATTGCTTTTAATACGATATATACCTGATGGTGCTGATGGTGGCCAGGCACGCGCACTCCTAGTGCCTGAGCAACTGTCGTCCCGGGCGTAATGTTTGGAAGATAGTGGTGCCCGTTTTGCGGGAGAGATGGGGCTAAAGCTAGATAAAATCATAATGTTTTTGTCGGACCTTTAAAGCCGTTGAAGCTAGGGGTCGAGTGATAGGCTGGGCTTGGCGCAGCTGAAATAATATTCATGAAAATCATACTTTTATAGTTTACCTGAATTCGCATTATTTGTGGCATTGGCGGCAGCTTCCTGCTTAGCCTTGGCAATCTCTTCCTTCTTTTTCTTAACCACAACCGGTTTGAAGATCAAATGCGGGTTTTCGTTCATTAGCTATCAAGGGGGTAGATTTAAGAAAGTTTTGAAAGCCTTACCACTTTATGCTCTTCCCTGCTTTTGTATGACTGTTCGAAAAATGGCTTTCGCTCTTCATCTGTCAGCTTCTTCCACATGTCACCGAGCTAAATTTTTGTTTAATATTGGCAAATTAGGAGCCTACCATCGCGTTAACGTCACTCATTTTCATCTTGGGATTCTTCCTCGTCACTTCCTTTCGCTTCATCACCACCCAACACATGTAAGGATTCAGCGGGCGCTTGATGAAAGCTTTGCCTAGAGGTTCAAGGATGTAAAATCGGTCTGTGGGCTACCTTCCGGCGGCTGCATCGCATCTTGTGCCTGATGCGACGGATTTGGTGATGGCGATGGCCTTTCGCACGAATTTTCACTAAATTTGCCGGTCTGAGGATGTTGGGGTTAGATTACCCATGCTTGTCACTGAATGGCGAGGAGAGGCTGTCAGAAAGGGAGGGAGACGCGGAGTCCCTTGATGTTGAGCTCATTCTGAAACGGTTTTTTTCTTTTTATCGTGCGTACTAAATACAGTAGGAGAGGGATAGTAATGCAACACAGAATCGAGACGCGGTATGCAAATTCGAGATTGATTTTTATCGCCGGATTCCGTCTTTAATTTGAGACCTAAGAAAAATTAGTCCATAATTAGCCCAATAGAATACATACCCAAACCAGGTGGCTACTAGGTATAGAAGAATTATGGTAGTATGATATTTTACCAAAGCAAGGTCGTAGATAAATCAGAATTATCGACTTTTCGATAGGTGTTTTCAGGTCTTATTCGAAGACCCAGATTTATTCAGATCTACATAATGCATAAACGAACTATTTATTCATTCTCTGATTCTCCCAGACGCCCTCACTTCCATCTCCCTATTGACACTCCTCTTAATCCCTTCACATAGAGAAATGCCCTTTTCTATTCTGCGCAACGAGCCCTATCGTCAGTGTTGGGTTTGTGTGGTTGGTTGGGTGGCTGGCTGTCTGTACGTGCGTATTTCTATCTGGGTATTTGTGAGTGAATGGCGCGCCCGGCAGGGGTCCCCCCCTTTTCGGAGGAAGATGGTGCGAGAAAGGGGGCAAAAGAGAGAGGGGACAGTGTCTCAGAGACAGCGCGCACTACCAACACACACAGACACACACACAGACACTCCCCTCTCAGCTCACTTTTTTAGAAGCAGCCACAGGAGCCAAAGATAGGTTGCCTAAAGCTCGGAAATTATAAGTGTATAGTGGGGGAATTGGGGGTGGGTGGAAATGTTCCGAATCGATACGAGGGAATGGGGGAGAGTCCGCCTGGGTGTGATGTGTGTTGGGAGGGCGGGTGGCGGGCGGCGCCGCAACGCGACCAGTCGACGGGCACCACCCCTCCCTAGTACTCGCCAATCTAAAGGGGGATTTCTCGTTGGATTGGTGGGGCGGTGAAGCCTGTAAATTGGTGTGTTCTGTACGGGGGTGTGGTATGCGGGGTTGTTTAGAGTTGCCGGAAGGCCTGGGCTTTCTTGGTTGTCTCCGGCCTTTTCTCCTCACCCCTCTCTCTCGCGCTGGCTATTGATGAAGGCTTGGAAAAGAGTGAAGGGAGTGGAGAGAGCCAGTAGCCTATTCCGCCCATTCGCCCCCTGCAACAGCTCTTGGCAACACTCCAGGGAATTGGAAGGGATACTAACGCTAGCGAACTGATCTTAAAGCTTTCAAGGTGTTAATAACAACGATTCTACATCGAGATTACAATTATATTAATAGCATGGGTATATGAGGAAAAATGAGCATCTCAACCTTTAGAAAAAGTTGTCTGGAGTGGGAGGGAAGCAACTAGAGAGTGGATGTTGAAAAATTTTGTAGCTCTGAAAAGCAAACGGTTAAAAGGATATGGGATTCGAGAGAGAGCGAGAGCGAGAGCGAGAGAGAGAGAGAGAGAGAGAGAGAGAGAGAGAGAGAGAGAGGGAGATAGGAGAGAGGGAGAGAGAACTAGACAGACTTAGAGAGCGAGGCGAAGAGAGACAGAGAACAGCACGTTTTTAAGCATACGAATTTTCTCTATTGCTGGCATCTTCTTAAGACTCTTATACCCAAATTCCTATCCGTTGCATTTCAACTTTTGTACAAATGTCGGTTCACATTCATTTATTCGACGTGGGTTTGAAGTAGCGAGTAAGTACAGTGGTGGACAAGAGTAAATGCAGCAGTCACCCTTCCATGGGAGGCTCAAGACATTTTTTTGTTGTTGAGGGTCGCAGCTAACATTGTAGGTCAAAAAGTGAGGGTACAATCGAGAGTAATGTAGGGTGCGCGCAGGGGGGGGATGCTTAGAAACTGGGTGAGTTATGAGAGTAGGGGTGTTTTTGGGAACCCGTAGTCATCAGTAAATTGTAAGTGTATGCGGGGAGGGCGGGCCGAGTAGCACATTTCTGTAGAGGCGACGGTTTCTGGGATTTTGGCACTTCAATCCGGGGGGAATTGTCAAGAAATGGGCATGCGGACGAGGGGCACTTTCACAGCATGGCAACCCTCTCTTTCGAATATTTCTGGGAAGGAGAAAGCGTTGGCATGCTGCGGTGTTTGGCACGCATCTCTTCGCTACCCATTTCTCAGAACCACGGTTTCTCGGCGAGGCATACAACATAATGACACACGACAAAGTTGGCAATATTCCAAAAAAACGGAGGTTTATCAAATAGTCGGGTATTTTCTACTATCACTAAAGACCACGACTAACGAAATACTGATGCACATCAAAAGGCGAACGTGAGGAACCTTTCGTGGACGACACAAAATAAACATGCCAGTTAAACGGTTCGGTGGGCATATTATGAAGGCTGAGATTCGAGGGTTGGTGGTCAGAGTCGGAGGGGTAGAGGTATTCTCGTGTTCGAAGGGCTACTTTCAAGACAAAAATCCGCCCTAGGGGATACGGTAATTTTTAGGGCACGTTAGTTCAAGGTCACAAATTTAATGGGAAGCACCTTGTGCACCTTATTGAAAAGGGAGGACATCGCTGAGGCTATTTTAATGGGATCCCTGGGACTAGACGTCGTCCCTGGGCGTATAACTGGCTATTAAAAAAATGGGGTGGGTCGCTATTTAGAGTTGTTGCTGCTCAAACTTTTGGGGTTGCTGTAGGATAACTTGTTGCTGGAGCAGTTTGAAGTCATTGGAGACTTGAGGCAGCTGCTGGAGCTGAACCTGCTGTTGCACCTGGACTTGTTGCTGCTGGAGTTGCTGTTGCAGTTGCTGGAAATTTGGATAGGTATTGAAATGGGCTGGTTTACCCTTGGTTTGTGATATCTTACGCTATGATGCCGTTAATAATAGCCGCGCGCGAATCCGACTCCTACCTGCACGTGTCTCTGATGCGCCGTTTGCTGCTGCTGCTGTGGTGTCTGCTGAACATGATAAACATCTCCGTGTTGGCTGATTACTTCGCGTGCCATTTCCAGCAGCTTTGTGTTCTTCTTCACCTTCACCGGGCGCACCGTCAGGTTCGGGTTGTCGGCGAGCAGCTGTAAATTGATGGCTAGGGGTATGGAATTGAATGCGTACCTGCTTGTGGGCTTCCTTACTCCTCTGCGACTGCTCGAAATACGGACGCTTACCCTCCTCCGAGAGCATTTTCCACATTTCGCCCAACTGAAGGAAGGATTGGTTAAGGTATGCCAGGTCGAAAACTCACTATGCAGTTGATGTCACACATTCTCATTTTTGGATTCTCCTTGACGATTTCTCCTCGCTTCTCCAGCACGAAGCACATGTACGGATTCGGGGGGCGCTTGACGAATTGGCGTCCGGTATCTGAATGAGTATCTTTAAGGGATTGTCGCGTTATACCGGAGGGTGCCTAGCTCAATTATTTGAACTTACCGGCCTTGTCGTACTGGTTGCTGAAGTGCGGTGCGTTGAGCACCTGTCCGACGGTCATGTTGCTAAAGCTGTATGGTTTCTTCGATTCCGGAAGTCACACTCACGGTGGGAACTGCGCCGTCGACATCCCGTTCGGGAGCGTCATCGGCGGCAGATTTTGGGCGGGGTTTTTGTTGTAGACCTGAGGGAAGTGTTGCATTAGCTCCCGGGCTCTGGCACCGGTATCCACCTGGAAAATGCGAAACTCCATGGACCTCTGTGCCCCTCCAAAGGTCCATAGATTCTTTCCAGACTACCCCCTTAGGATCCGGGTCCCCCCAAAAATCCCTAGTGAAAATGACCAACCCCAGAGCTTGTGCGATGGACCTTGATCGGCTTTACCATCAGATGCGGGTTTTGGCTGAGCAGCTGGAATTTTGTCAATAATTTGAATATTCAGGACAGCCTCTAACCATTTTGTGTTCAGCACGGCTCTGCTTGGCTTGGTCGAAGTAGGGTCTTCTCTCCTCATCAGACAACTGCTTCCACATGCTTCCAAGCTGTAAATTCGTGGTTAACCTGAGGAAACCAGCACTCACCATCGCATTCGCATCCCGCATGCTAATTTTCGGGAACTGCTTCAAGACATCCGCTCGCTTGGCGGTAGCCCACAAGATGAACGGGTTTTGGGGTCTCTTGACGTATACTTTGTCTGTATTTGAATTTCGGGTCCTGGATAATTTCATACCATCAGCGACAGCTTGCCGCGTGACTTGCTGGGAGTTTTGGGCCTGGGAAGACTGCTGGGTCTGCTGCGGCGGATGATGTTGTTGCTGGTTCAGCACGCTGTGCAATGTTTGAGCCTGAATATTTGTAATTTATAAGGGTATCATTTGCATATCGAATAAATACATCAACGGCGAAAATCATGTTGAAACTAACCGAGTGCTGCTGGAGCTGCTGAGCAACCAGCTGCGTGCTGTGCTGTTGTTGCTGTTGATGGGGCTGAGTCAGTTGGTTGCTGTAGAGGGACCTAAAAATTTGCATAAGTTTCCGGAATTTAACATACCCATTCATGCTCTGCGGCTGGATGAAGCTCATTGAGGTGGTCGTAGGATAAGTCGTCAGGTTCGGTAGGTTGAACACTTGGGATCTGAAAAAAGAATCCATAATTTAGTTTATACCATTGTTAAATGTTTTGCATTTCCGCCTAACTTCATAAACAAACGTTAACTGAAAAAAGGAAATAGTTGAATTTTGTAAGATTTGACTAAATTCGCCAATGTGCTTACTGATTTATGACTTGCTAAAGTAAAATAATTACAGACGAGGGAGTGCTTTTGTCATTTCCTATTCTTTAGCTACACTGATTTGCTTTTCATAAATCGATAAAAAAATTATAAATTATAAATTATCCTTCAAGCAAAATATCTATACATTTTTAAATAAAATAATTAGGTCTGATTGAGGACGTTTCCCTTCGATTAATCTAATTTTATTTTCCCAGCCGCTTGCTTTCATAATATTGAAATTATGCTAAATTAACAAAGAGTTTAACGAATAAAAATAATGGCAAAAATTACCCGTTAATATTCGAGTCCGGCTTTTGCAAAAACATCGACGCCAAGAATGAGCCGGGATCGGAGCCCGCGCCCTCGATATTCATGCCTGAAAGCTGCGCGTATGGGGTGCCGTTGGTTGGGGTGCATTGAAAAGAAAGAGAGAGACAGAGAAGGGAGATGGAGGGGTAGAGAAGGGGACAAGATCAATAGGGGAAGGGCCAACACACATACACACATACACACAGAGACATACATTCACACAGACAGACATACACGCTGTGCCCTTGGCCACTCGATCGCTTCTACAGAACCATGGAGTTGACACCACCACCCCCCATCTAACCGCATTGCCCGTCTATGGGAAGGGGGATACCACCAAAGGCTTCAGCTAAACAAAGGTCTCCCATTTCAACAAACATCCCCCTTCTACCCTTCTCGTTGTCCCAATACATGGGTATCTAGTTGTAAGGTAGCCTAAGGTAATAATTTGTAATTATAAAACTTTGATACCAGTACTAGAAAGCCGGAATTAAAGTAATTTTTTGGGATGGCCAAGAGAGGCACCAAAAACACCCGCGAAATTACGCTAGCTGGTATTGATTTCGTATCACCAATGGTGCCATTTCCCGCAAATCCATATCTGGGGAATATTTTCTTATCACATTTCCAGGCCTTCGGGGCTCCCATTAGTGCTCCACCTGACGGACAGATCCAGAAAAGACTGCAAATTTGAATCGAGCCTTGATAAGAATCCTTTCTTCCTATATTTTGCTTAAATTAACTTGATCCGCGAAAAATCTGCAAAAAATAGAGAAGAGGGAAATCCTTGACCTGCAATTAACATATAGCGGCTTATCGGATACCCATACTATCATAAAAAGGCCTGATTCAACCTTACAGAACATTAATCTCTCCGAAATTCATTGCGTAAACGCTAATATTTCGAAGTAATTTCCCCAAAGCCTCTACACAAACTTTATTATTCCTATCCCATACCACATATGCTAATTTCAAAACCATAGCCCGGGTCGGGGCGCGAGTGCGCTTTTGGCTTGTTGCCAGCTACACGGACATAAATATGCACGTGCCTCATTCATCCTCTCATCCGGAATTTCACGGCACGCCCGGCTAGGCCCCAAACCCTACACCCCTTTCCCGCCAAAATCAGTCGCCAGGGTCTCGCACCGATCTACCGCATCCAGCCTGCCCGCCAGGTGGGTGGGCCAGATCAACGGTCGGCTTTTCGTATCCCTGTCTCTCCCTATCGGCATCTCATAATTATTTGTAGCAGGGCCCCCACCAAAAGTGGGCCTTCTAACAAGCGACAGAGATGGGGGGCGTGGTGATGAGGGCCCGATGCGGGACAGGGGGTGACGCCTCCGGAGGCGCTTCCGCCCCTACAGTCCCTGGGCGACGGGCGGCTCTGCCCCGCAGAGCATAACCATAACAAAACGGGGCACGGGAGGAAAGGCGAAGAAGAATCAAAAGAGGCGCACAAAATGGAAAGAATCGAAAGGCGACGGGGGGCTGTGGCCGGGGCTGCGGGGAAGGGAGGGCTGCTCTCATCCCAAGGGAAGAGAGGGCGGTTGTTTGAGGGAGAAGAGCAATGGTGGAGGGTAGGGGTTGCTAGAAGTTAGAGTGAAAGAGAAGTGAAGAGGAACTACACGAAGAGAGAGAGCTATCGACCAGCTCGGTCACGACTGAAGAGTGTTGGGGGAGGATGGGGAGAGGGAAGAGAATTGAGGAGATAGTATGGAAATTTTGGAGAGCAAATGCGTATTGGGGGACCTCTGTTGGCTCCTCTCCCACAGCCCTCCCCCCTTCGCGTTGCCCGCAAATTATTCGTCGTCGGCAAGAGACTGTAAAACGTGGGTCAGCGTTGGGTGAGAGGCAGAGATAGAGAACGGGAAGTGATCGATCGGCACTTGGGCCGCGGCCAACTGACTACCAATGTCGAAATGGCCAGTCCAACACGATCAAAAGCGATATCTAGGTGGAGAGAGGGGGAAAGGCGCAAGATGGAAAGAGTGAGCAACGCACGGCTGGCGCTTGGGATCGGAGTAACCTACAGGAAGGCAAAGAGCATTTGAAAGTAGCTGCTTTTTTTTGTGCACCAAAGTTCTAAACGCCTGCATATTTTAAGAGTAAAAAGTTTTTCAATGGCGATTAGCTAAAATAATTAAAGTAACTATACAAAAATCAGATCTCCTAAACCAAGGTGAAGCTGAGACACTTGATTCTACCGCACCAAATTTTTTTATCCGAATACAAAGCTTTCTAAATTTGACGAAGTAAAACGTAACTCTTGCAAGCAATAAATTTGCCAACTAATATAGGCTGCTTACTAACTTTCTCATCAGCTTCCACACGTTCGATACTTTATTAAACGACGCAAAGTGAATTGGGCAATGGCAATGAGATACAACATAATTTCGACTAGGCACTACGGACTGACCACGAAAAAAGTGAAAAAATGAACAGTGATTGAATGTAAGAAGGGGATAAGCGGATTGAATGGCTGGCTGCAGTGGATCGAAATGCCCGTATTTTGCCGATGAGAGACCAGAGGTGCGGGGAAAGCCGACTTTCCATGATACGGTGGGGCAATGTTCGACTCATCTGGGCGGCTGCACATTTTCTTGGGTGTTGCTGATTGAGTTCTAAAGGAATTGAGGGATTAAGCCTCGAGTTTAAATGAACGCACCTGGCTAGGCGAATTTCCCATGAGCGCCTTTTCAATTTCTTGGACTGGGATCCCACCGACAGTCCGGCAGATCTAAAGAAATCGACAAGAATGTTATAATTAATAGCCCCCGATACCTTTCCCGCTGCCACTTTTGTCCAATTCAATTTATGGGCTCGATAGTCATCCACGAACTTTGATAGCACCTCCTCAGATACGTCTGGATCAGGACAAACCGAATAGCGGCCAGCTAAAAACTGAGATAGTCATCAAACTCTTTGACCGACCGATTGAATCGATTATGCAAATTAGCGGCAATTCAGCATCCGCCAAACCCAGGCTTTGCTCTAGTACCTGAAGTGATTTTGTCTAAAACTGTTTTTTTTTACTCACGAAATCACAAATCGGGTCTTCTCCTGTGTAGAAAATTTGCAATGGGTCGGCATGTGGAGGTGGCACGACGTCAGAATCAACAGAGCTAAATGGAAACTGGTTTCATAGCTCCTTAACTGTAGCAGCCGGATTTTAAGATAGTACCTGCATTCCTCCTGGCTTGTCGAATGTCTTAATTGAGGGGTAGAGGAGCGTGAACTTCCATTCCCATTTTCGTCACCTTTTTCCTTTTTCTCCTGAAATTCTTTGTTAGGCTATTTGAAGTGGTTCAGCGCTTTTAACCGGGATGAACTTACCACTTCTCTCCGCTTTTCCAATTCGATGCGTTCCATGTGAAGCTTGCGCGAAACTTTGTAGAGGACGGAAAATGAAAATTGTACGTCTTCGGGGGAGCCTTCTAAAAGAAGATGGTTTTGGCTATGCTTGCCATACAAGCTCTTACCTGTAAAAAGAATAAGAGTCGGTTCATCTTTCAATCGAGAGAGATTCAATTCAGTCAATTCATAGAGTGGTCGAGTTCCCCAGGGGAAGTGCTCTCCCTAAAAGGTTTCTAAAACAAAGAAGGAGAATTTTACCTTTGGATCGCCCAGGATTGTTTCTCGTCCATGCCGGGTAATAATACGGTTTTCTTCATCGATGAGAATTAATGTAGGAATTCCTAAAAGCGATTTTTGCATAATCAGTCAAAATACATTTCATAAATTGTTAAATTTACGTTTAACATGACTTACCAGCAACGTTGAAAAGCCTGGTCAACAAGATCGTATGCGCCGGATTGTAGGGGAATGACGCCCACGGTAATTTAGCTAAAAATCAAATTTTGTGCCATGGAGCTTACATGTAAATTCCGTATACGATTCCTGGCTGCGGTCCGAAGAGCAAAAAATTATTTCAATGTCAATTTTATGGGCTTTCAAGGCCTCATATGCCGGTTGGAGATGCTTGACCCATTGGCGACAGGGTGGGCACTGAATTAATGATTCAAACAATTCAAAAACATCTTCTCGCTTACCCAGTATGCACCAAAAAACAAGGCGCGAACTTTTGGCAGACCTTTATAGGGAACTGTTGTTGTTTTCTCCCCATCCCTTCGCAATACATCCATTTTGTCAAGGATGTCATGCGGATTTGGTGGCCACCTAGATTCTGCTTAATTTTGCATGATTCAAAATACCAAGGGAATTGCTCTCCAGTTGGGTCTTCGTGTAGAAGTCTTCTAGCCTCGGTGGTCACAACAGATCTTGAACCGGTATCCACGATCATCACCGAAGGGGCCACTTCGAAACCCAGTGCTCGAAGTAGGCGGGGCTTTACAGATTTTTTCAAGGTAGCTCAAACTTTCTTACCTTCGTCATCTCATCTTGAGTCTGTAAAGAATACCATCCGGGCAGTCCAGCTAGTACGCCATTCTGAATTTCTAACCTTAAAGTTTGCTTAAAATTGTATACCTCGTCAGATTTGTTATTATCAGTTTCGACCACAACCACTGATAGCATTATTTGAGCCTCGGAAGGGCTCTTCGTTTTCTTCTTCTTTTTCATCCCGAAAAATCGACGGATGCGCGCTGGCGATCTAAATTGTACTCTTCTATGCGTTTTTTTTATTGTTATTTACATATTTTAGCATGTGTTTCCTTTTTCTCTCTAATCCCTGAAAGTATCATAGCGTGGTTTGGGGGGGGATGGCGCCTTGGGACCAGTCATTATTCACGGCGGTTGCCTAGATGCTGCTGATAATCCCCCTTTTTGCTTGGGGACCAACCCGCCCTACCGATTTTGCCATTAGAATATTTAGCATATTTTACGTGGAAATGCTAACAGGGATCTGTAAAGAAGGATGTGGTTCTTACCGTGACGCCTTTTCCTTCGACTCGCCAGCTGCATTCTTGTTTCGTGCCAGCTGTTCCAGTTTCTCGGCCAGCTCCAGCGTCCTTGGTGCAACCGCTGTGCTTGAGCACGATTCTAAGAAAATTTTCACCAAATAGAGTGTCAAACCTGTTAGGAAAAACGCGACATATTGACTCGCATTAAAGAGATGATCCAAATTCGTGGAAACCGGATCTTCCTTTGTCTAAAAAAGTTGTTGGACGTCTGAAAAGCAGTAGTTCTCACCTTATTAGGGCCAAGAATTTTGACTAAGGGAGCATCTCGAAAGCAGCTCTCGTATAATTCATCAAAAGACATCTGAAATTAATAATTTGAAACTGGTTGGGAAAAAGAATCAGAAAACGCTAGAGCAGGTTGGTAATAAAATAGAAGGATCTGGTTAAGCTGTCGACTTTTATTCATGTCACCAAGTTTGTGGAGGAAAATTAGGTGCAAAGCGGTTTTTGCAGCGCAAACGTTAAAAAGCACATTTTGATGCTTTGCCAAAACTTTTAGATTTGCATAAGAATACAAAGAAAATTAATAACATTTAAATGATAATGAAGAAAACGAATTTCAGAAGAAACAACTTCAGAAAAAATGCATCTGAGCTAGAGGAGTGGAAGATAAAAGAGGGTTCGTTCTGGAAGTGAAAGCCACTTGATTCCAGGATGCGGCTAAATCAAAGATGGGTAAACACTGGAGGGGAGCGGTATCTGATGGAAATGTTTGTGGGTGGGAGAGACACTGGGCAACAGCTGGGTCAGCTCTTCACAGAGCAAGTCATTGAGAAGGAGCCTCGCTAAACAACCCCAAAAGGAGCTCTAGCATAAACAAGAGCAGTCGCTTTTTTATATCTATGTGCAATGTGTGCTTGAACATTTAGAGGTCAGAACAACAGAAATGTCTTGGGTTACAATCGGACAGTGAGACAATGCCCTCTTTCGAACATCGTAATTTGCATAGGGCCTCGGGGCATGACAGATAACAGCTGGCGCGAGCCGGGATTGATAACGGGATCGACTTATGGTCGATGGCAGACAGCTGATAAATTATTTTAAGGTTTTAAAGATCTCAAAATTTGACCAGCAGATTAAGTAGTGAAGCCACTGGTCAAAAGGAGCGGAAAGGATTCTCACAGCATCGGATATTTTCTGGAAAAGACGAAACTCGACGAGAAATAGACTTAATATATTTTAAAATGGCTTAGCAAGTAATTTTTTGCAATCTTTATTAAAATAAAACTTTTGAAGCTTTTTATGCAATAAAATGACATAAATACGGTACATCTTGACTGGCCAAAATTTGCATGCAAAACCGGCGCAACCCGATGAGTCAGAAAATTTGCTGACTCAACGCCTGGAAAACCGAACGACCGGAGAAGGGCTCATTTGGATATTTTGGGGAGGATGGACGGGTGCCGGTCGCAGACGACGATCGATCGGGCGGCCACCATTTTAAACGGGGGCACACAGACACGAGATGGCGGCGCGCCGTTTTCGACAATTTGCCCCGAGGGCCAAGGGGTCACCCGCTCCCCCCAAACATATCCACCCCACCCACCAACCCCCCGGACGAACCCACAGCCACATGCATTTCCAATCTGCCGTCCCCCTACCCTCTCGCCGACGACGACCCACGCACTGCCTTATTTATCGCCCAACCCAACCACTAACTGCCAACGAACAAAATTTGATTTGGCTCGCTCTCGCCCTTGCTTCAAAGGATTTCAAAATTGTACTGTGCCTATTAAAAAAATATCCTACAGGCCATGAAGGGTGTACTGTACATCGGAAACCAAAACAAAAACCACGACATAGGAATGATTTGAAAACAAGGGTTTCTAGGGCGCTCATGCTTTGGAAGCCGACTCGCCACCCATCTGGCCCACTGTCGGATTGGAAAGAGATTAGATTTATACCGGGTGGAACAAAAATATTAGGAGGCCTAAGCCTAAGCCTAAGCCTAAGCCTAAGCCTAAGCCTAAGCCTAAGCCTAAGCCTAAGCCTAAGCCTAAGCCTAAGCCTAAGCCTAAGCCTAAGCTCAAGCCTAAGCCTAAGCCTAAGCCCAAGCCTAAGCCTAAGCCTAAGCCTAAGCCTAAGCCTAAGCCTAAGCCTAAGCCTAAGCCTAAGCCTAAGCCTAAGCCTAAGCCTAAGCCTAAGCCCTAAGCCTAAGCCTAAGCCTAAGCCTAAGCCTAAGCCTAAGCCTAAGCCTAAGCCTAAGCCTAAGCCTAACAAGGGAAGTGCACGACCGGCCCACGAGAAATCGACACGAGACATAGTGGATCTGATAGAATCGGACACGGGGATTCTGAATCTGTAATCAGAATTTGCTAAATAAAACGGAGAAAAAAGTTATGAAGCTTCAAAGTTGGTAAAATCGCCCAAAATCGGACTTTTATGGGCCTGTAAAGGCCCAGGGAATGGAAATTTGCCACAACCCATTAGTGCATCTTGTTCAGCAGAAAAAGCGCTTTCGAATGAGCTATCTTACTTCAAGTTTACGATGATTTCGCGAAAATCTCTTCTATGAACTTGACAGGCCATACCCTTGCCCGTGAATCCAAAAAAACTTTTTTCAGTGAATTGTTTGCAAATGCTACGTATTACAGCTCAATCGAAAGCGCTTTTTCTGCTGAACAAGATGCACTAATTCTTTTCTCCTCAATTCCGTTCCCCCAGTTTTTACGGGCCCTTAAAGGTACCTTTTTTGGCAATTTGGCCAACTTTGATGCTTCATAACTTTTTTCTCCGTTTTATTTAGCAAATTCTGATTACAGATTCGGAATCCCCGTGTCCGATTCTATCAGATCCACTATGTCTCGTGTCGATTTCTCGTGGGCCGGTCGTGCACTTCCCTTGTAAGCCTAATCCAAGCGTTAACTGAAAGGACTAGCTGCAACTTATCTCTGACGTTTGGAATCTACACAACATTGAGTAACGGAACATAAAAAGAAGTGCGGCAGCCTGTGCTCACTGACTAACAAGAGAGAGGGGTCAACGGCTGTCCAGCCAGTGGCCTTCCATCGGTGATGGCTCTTTAGGGAATGGGAAGGCCGATGGGAGAGTTGGCGGGAACCCTTTCGAAAGCCTCTACTAAGCTCTCGCTTTTCACTCATCGTCTACAAAGGGTGCCGCTACTCACCTCCACAAAAAGCCTAGTCTTTGAATGTTGAAGAAATAGAAGAAAAGCAACGTCGCAACATCACCTCGACGGACAATCGTAACAATTGGCAAGCGATGACGAACCATTGGTCGTCAATGGGGCTTTAACTGTTTGGTTCGATGGATTCCTCATCCAAACGCCCCATTACAATCAATCGCAATGGCCCGTGTGTACGCAGAGAACGCAATTTTACACTCTTACGGGGCGATCGTCAAATTGTGGAGAGCAAGTAAAAAAGAACGATGCCAGCTGCGAAAATCTGGGATGAAAAGAGGGTCTACTTCCAGGTGTTCATCAAGGCGGTGAATCGATGGGAAGGGTAAAGTGCAAAGATGCAAACGTCGTCTGGAAAGTTCGGATAAACATCAATATTTATCTAGTCAAAGTTTGCATCTGGACCATCTTTGCATATTTTTCGTTCTTCTGCAACAATTCCGCGTGCGAGCCGGCATCCTGCACTTTTCCATGCTCTATGAATGTATTTTCAACATAGAAAAATCCATCTACCGATATAATAAATCCGATTGCAATTTTGGATCGTCGATAGCCGATGGGCTATTGAAATTGTCGTCCTCGCAGCACCGACCTTAGCTAGAGCTTCTTGAACTATCTAAAAAACCCCCTTAACGATTTCAAGTTTGAAAAACCTGTTCGCTTTGTGTGTCCAAGGCGCTAGTAGCTTCATCCAAAAGCAAGATTTTTGGTTTTCTTAAAAACATGTTGGCAACCGGGGTGTGGAGGGTGTTACCGTATGAGAGCCCTAGCAATAGCGATGCGTTGTTTTTGCCCTCCGGATAGCCCCTTTCCACGCTCGCCAAGTTCGGTTTCGTAGCCCTAAATAATATGAAGACCTTTTTGGTCTGCTTACGGAGGGGAATGCTTCAATAAATGATGCACAATGAGCTTCATTCGCCGCTTTCATGACTTCTTCCAGGGTGACATCTTCAACCCCCAAAGTGATATTCTCCCGGATGGTACCCTGAAAAGATGTATGCTAACGGTGCTGGCATACCTTAAATAGGACCGGCTCCTGCCCTACGAGAGCTACATGATTCCGGAGCTTTCTGAGGGATACCAAGTCCGCTTGATGGCCACCGATTTTCTAAAAAAGGTCGAGGCATGGTCAATGACAAAAAAAATATACTAATGTTCCAGCATGTGGTGAGTAGAATCGCTCGATGAGTTGGATTATCGTACTTTTACCACAACCACTTTCTCCTACCAAGGCTATCGATTCTTTCGGAGTCGCGTTTATCGACAATCCAGTAGCAACCTAATTAGGTTTGCGTTGAAACATACTGTATTTAATTGCACCTTGTACTCAGGCCTCGACGGATATGCAAATTGCAAATCAATTGCCTCCACCGAACCATCGAGATCCTGAAGTGTATCAGTGAGCAAAAACATCGTTACCGTCTGCAAGCCTTCATCCAAATCAGTTGCAGATCCTTCTAACAGTGCATAAAGTGAAGAAGCCGCAGCTGTTGCCCTCGAGAGATCATTGAAAGAAGGCTGCATGAAAAACAGAGCCCATCCGGCAAAGGAGACACACATTGCACCCCTTGATTCTTGTATTAACAAAAATCAAATCAAGCTTTACATAAATATATCACTTGCTGTCCGCTTGCCCTCAAAAACCAGCCAGATACCAAGTGCAAAAGCGGCGGCTTCACAAAAGAAGACGAAACCTTGGGTTAGGGCCTGAGTTGCTGCTTGGAAAACCGCGACCTAGGATAAAATTTATTTTTAAAGGATTTTATTCACCAGGAAATCGAGCTTTGCCACTTCTTGTTGCTTTCTTTCGTAACGTCCCAAGAAAAAATTTTCACTGCTGAGGAGTTGGATCTGTCTAGTGTGGGTTATCGCCTCGAGAGCTAGCTAAAATTAAGCAGGATGAGTTTTTAACCATTATCTCGCTCTCTCTCTCTCTCTCTCTCTCTCTCTCTCTCTCTCTCTCTCCTCCTATTTACTTGAGAAGTGGTATCCGCAATAATCCGGTGCTTCATTTTTCTTTCCACTGCGTATGTAAATCCAAAAAGACCGATCATAAGGACAATGCAAACGCATACGGACAAAATGCCCATCTAAAAATATAATCGAGGTCACTATCAATTTACCTCCCAACAAAATATAAATGTCAATGAAAGACATATCACCAGTCCTGTAAAATTGCTTGTAAATACATTAGATCGAGCATCCAGGGCCTGAAAAGACCTTTTGCTTCCGGTATGGTTTTGGAATGATATCGTTGCTTGATGAGTTTTGCAAATATTACCTACCGCTTTGCAACTCTCAGGTTGTTGAGACAATGTACCGATACACGCCGACGCTGATGTTTCTTCTTTATCAAAATAACGACCATCCCGTAGCAATGTTTTGGTCAAGACTTTTTCACGAAGCGCATTTACACAGGCGTCAGCGACTCGAGCGGATAGAACATTCTTAAAGTATGATATTTCCATTCTCACTTGACGCCTACCGCTCCAGTGATTGTCAATAAACACCAAAAACCTAAGACGGCAAACAAAGTGGTGCTCTAAAAAAATATAGCTCTGCGGCGCGTCCATACCAAAATTAGGTATTTTTGGTAGTCGTCTGGCCCGGCTTGCAACTGATCGAACACCACTTTTTGGAGATAACAATAGCTTGGTAGTTCGAACCCTCGCAAAACAGATATCAGCTAAAGTTCGGTATACCAATGCTGTTTTACTATTACCTGAGATCCAATTATACCCAAACCATTTGTTGCCAACGTATTTTTATAAAAGCGTAATAAGAAGGCCCAGGATTTCTGGTGATCCTTAATAATGGTAAGTCCGATCTGGAGTCCTTACTTTCATCTTAATCTCCTGCCCAAAACTTGCAGCCAAATCGCTGACAACTGATGGGGACATCATTCGCCCAAAATGGTTTCGGAAGCTTGCTCTCATGGCACCGTCTTCAGGTGTATTTCGGACCAGCAGGGAGGGGCTAGGATTTTGATTGATTTCAATATTGTCCTGTTACCATTCTGGTGATTTTTCCCTTGCACGATCCTCCGGCTTTTCAGTGGTGAACATTTTGGAGACATGGATCAGGTTGGTGCAGGCTTTTGCGACCGACTAGAAAGGATTTTTAGATGAATTTAACTCTATAGTTTTGTCTCTGGTTATTTTGTGGTTTATTGGCTTATAACGCCGCGTTTTGTAATAAGAATAAACTGCGGTAGGTCCTGGCTTCCTTGGGACCATTTTGGAAGCAAATGCCGGGACCAACGCAGCGACCACCCACCGCTACAACATGGGTGGTCCCGGGAAAAGGCGCTCCAAAGCCTTGTGAGCCCCGAGCGCACGGCCCCAAATGCAATGCCCCTCCTCCCCCATATCCCCACTAGACGCGTATAACGCCACTGAAATAACTTCGTAAAAAGATAAACTGCGGCTAATCCTTGTCAATTGAAATTCCGACCTTGAACGTCTTTTTCGTCTTATTTCCATCATTAGCACCAGTTAATTTTTGAGCCCTCGCCAACCCAGCGTAAAGTCCATCCAAGGCTAGTAGCTCGATGTGGGTACCTGAAACATAATTAAGACAGCAGACCTTCGCTATACCTTTCTCAACGATTCTTCCCTTATCAAACACAAAAATCACATCAGAATTCCGAGTGGTGCTCAAACGATGCGCAATGGATATGGTGGTCCGATTAGCTTTTGTAGCTTCAAGAGCTTTCTGGAGAAAATTAGGGATATTTGAATTAAGGAATACATACCTGGACATACGCTTCTGATTGTGTATCTAAAGCAGAAGTCGCTTCATCTAACAGAAGGATTTTTGGCTTGCCAATGATAGCTCTGGCAATTCCAATCCTCTGCTTTTGGCCGCCAGAAAGGGACACGCCGCCATGTCCGACAAGTGTGTCGTAGCCCTAATGCGATAAACTTTAAGATGCAAATTTACTTCATCTAGTTTTTCAATAAAGTGGTGTGCTGCAGCAATCTTAGCGGCTTCAATTATATCATTTCTTGTCACCTAAAACTTTAATAGTAGCTCATTGAATTTTTATCTACCTCTCTTCCCATCGCGATATTCTCAGAAATGGTACCAGAAAATAATGGAGGTTCTTGAGAAACGATGCCGAGATGCTGACAACGTGTTTGATGCAAAAAATTTGAGTGTATATACCTTTCTCAACGAAGTAATATCCAAAGTCGTCAGATCGTGACCATCGGCGAAAATTCTACCACTATTCGGTTCGTAGACCCCGGCAAGAAGACTAAAAGCCGTGCTTTTCCCGCATCCACTAGCACCAACAAAAGCAACATTTTGCCCAGACTCGATTGTAAAAGATATCTCTAAAATTACCATAAAACTGTTGATGAAATAAATACCATCCAGGATTCTATCCCTCCTTTCCGCATATTCAAAAGTAACATCTTTGAATTCGATCTTCCCACTCAATTCTGGTAGCTGTTTTCCCGATTTGGAAACGTTGGGCGGTGTCTGAACCGAATTCCAAAGAAAGATTCAGCTCCTTGCCCTCTCTGCAATCTCACAAATCCGAGCTGCTGCCATTCTTGCCCTTGATAAACTGTGGAGATGGGGACTCAGCACGGATACGAAATATCCGCCAAACACCATCGTATTTACAACAACGAAAACGTGCCCAGGCTCCGTTACACTCCCAGAATAATATGCCATGGTACCGTATCTTTAAGAAAAATGGATGTTAATATGATATTGCTATAACACTTACAGAAAACCACCCGCCATAAAGAAATACATTTCGATAAACATAATGCCTTCGAGGAATCCATTCAGGAAATTAACTTTCATCGCCCATTTGGTGCCCAATGAAAGCATTTTGGCGTATTTCTAAAATTATTTTGAACGTGCTCTCTCTCGCGCTCTCTTTCTATAGCTATCCCTTGATAGTCCTTACCTTTACAAAAAATTCTTGCGCATTACAAGCCGCCACAGTTTTCCAAGCTGAGATCGATTCCTCCGCAACAGAATCTGCAGCTCCGCTAATGTCCATTTGACGGAGCGCCGGTTTTTCTGATACCTTGACGAAAGCGCTGAATTATCAATTTTTGCCATACCTTTGCCGAGAAATACATGGTGATCGCGGAAGCTGGAACGAGACCGAACATGATCAATGTCGTTCTCCAGTCATAGGCCAGGGAGATCCCAACAGATGCCATGAACATTGACACCCCGCGGATCACTAGGCCCCATTTTTCCCCAAGCCCTTCTCGTACTTTTTCGATATGTCTGAAATTTAAATTATCAAAGCAAAAAGGAAGCCGTTACTCTCCAAGATTTGCAGCTAACGCTCCCGCATCATTATTGTCTAACCATATGGCATCTTGATGGAGCACCGAATCCAAAAATGCTATCCTCAACCTCGACACAATACCGGAACAACCCCGTTGAGTGAGTATCACCTAAATACCTTAATTTTACTGTACTCTCCTAGTTCGCACCTGTGCCAGTGATAGTATCGATACTACCACACCCGCTACAACATACCAATAAACCACTTTATAGGCGTCCGTCCGGAATTGGGTGTCCCCCACCGGCTTAAACCCGGTAAAAAGTTGGTAAAGAACCAGACCTCGGTGCTTTTGATCAAAATATTCTCCAAAATTCCGCCCAACAACGTGACGGTCGGCTGTAGAGCGCCGATAATAAATGCGAGTATTGTGCCCACAATGAGGTATGTACAATCCAGCCAATTTGCATATTGATACTAAAGGGATTCGGGAATTTGGGAAACTATTTATTACTTACCAGTTGTCGAATGCTTATAGGTTGTAGTCTGCTTTTTGTCGTCGATGATATTGATTTTCTAAAGCGGTTATTTTTGTCTTTAAGCAAATCGATCCTCTGGATTTTTGGGTGAATTTGAGCCGGCTTACGCTAAACTACGTCAATCCTAAACCTAGGTCGAAGCCAAGCCTACGCCTAAGCCAAGTCTACCTCCAAGCCCAGCCTAAATGTAAGCCTAGGCATCAAACACCTACCTCTTTCTCATACGGTTCAAAACCTTCTTAAAAATACTTCCCCCATCTTCCGGAATATCTAGGGCTGTCGTGAAATCGATAGGCTTCTTGACGTCTTCGGGCTCGGTTCGTTCAGATTTCGTCTCGCTTCCAACATCCATTAACCTTCAACAAAGCCCAAAATCAAGTATTAGGATAGGATAAAATAAGGAGCTTTGGGTCCAGAGAAAGCGCAAAGCTGGCGAAGGTTGCCGTACACTCAGGGGGGTTTGATGGAATGAAGTGGAGACACAAATAAAAGCCGGGATCATCGTGTTTCGAAAAGAGTCTCATCTAGAAGTGACATGGTATCAGGAATTTGTCAGAGCTCTTGACATTTAGTTAGAAATTTCGAAATTTGAGTAGTTCATGCTTTGAAAAGTCATGATTATGACCGCTAAAAACACCAGGACTCCGAGTACCATCAAATGTGATGGCACGTAGTGTGTTCTCTATAAAGCCCCCGACTCCCTCACATTTTGTGATTTGCATACTGTTTGACCGGAGAAAAACGGGAAAGCGATGGAACACGATATTTCACAGTGTGGGGGCAACATCATGATTTTTTGGGGCGGGCTGTGCGAAAAATAGTGCCCATCGTGTGTAATCGGAGACATTCTATGGAACAATACAAAGGCAGACACAAAAAATACAAAAGTCCACTGAATGTCGAAAAACAAATTTGCAAAGCGGTTTTTTCCATGAGTTTTGCAAGTCATTTTGGACGGCTTTAATATATTGAACGTGGTAGATAAGTGTCATTGTTCATAAATATTTATTAATAAACAGGAATACTGATTAAATACATAGAAAATTTGAAACCATGCTTATTTATTTTTTGCGGTTCGGATAGCGAGGGCGATGAAGGCGATGAAGCGGATCACCAGAATTTCGGCAAACAGAATTAGAACGTCACGCCATCGATTAATAGAACTAAAATGAATATTAATTTTATCTATTTTAAATATGAGTAGATTACGATATCATACTTTTCTTAACTTACTCGAAAGAAACCGAAGCCAAGACCTCCTGGCCAGTTGCCGGACAATCGTAGTCATATGGAGTAGTGACGTTGCAGCCTTGAAATTTTTATTATTTCGGATCTGATGACAATCCTTACCAGGAATGTAATTAACGGTATCCCATTCATTAATCGCTAGCCCTTCATAACCGTATCTAAAAAAGATTATTCTATAAACCGTAAAAAATGATACTTGAAGTAAGAGAGGCTGGCCAGCCACTGGAAGTACCAAGGGATGTCCTCGTAATTGATGAAAAACCTAGAAATATCACTTTCTTAGCCAAAATTATGATGCTATTTACCCTCCAAAAGCCATTGTCGGAACCACAAAGATTGGCAGGAATGTCATGGCAATTGCGGTGTCTCCAAATACCGTTGCCACCGCGTAGGCTAAAAATTTTTTGTCTAAATTAATTATTATCCACTTACAAACTGAAATCGCAACCCCAACAACCAGAATTGAGATGAGAATTGAGAACAGGAAAGAAAGGATGTAGGGTTCCAGTCCTAAAAGTTGTTGCGTTCAAAGAGGTCGCCGAATTCTCACCTGACATCCAATACACCATAGAAATATAGATTGTTGGCATTAAGCAATATTGAGGAACCTAAAAAAACATTCAAATACATATTTTTACCAACCTCGGCCAGATTCTTTGCTAGGAAATATGCACTCGTTTTATAGACCCCGTTTGCATTTTCTCGCAGTACGATTGGCAATTCAGTGGTGATGGCCTGAATTTGTGTAAGAAATCTTTTTTAATAATACCGGGACAGCAGGGAATTGCAGCATAAAGTTCAGATTTCGAATATGATTGAACAGGATGCCGTTGATTGTCATTACAGTCATTTTATTGATTGGTGTCTGCCAATAGACAATTCCGGTAATTAATGCAGTAATCTAAAAAGCAGGTTTTTTACGTTTTTAGGCATTACCAAAGTCTGCGCAATCCGGACTTTGAATAGGATCGGGTCTCGGGTTACGGTTAGCCAGGCTCGCCAGAATAGGGCCCAGAATTGGGCGAGGAATGAGGCGGAATATCTAGAAATAAAAATAGATTTGCAGGAGTTGGCATGCTATTCTAATCATTACTACGAAATTGTAAATTTTTGGTATTTAAGGCTAGCCAAGGCTTACTTTTGCGATGTCGTCCAAGAATGCTCGGAAAACAACGATTTGCTTTCACTTTTCCCGAATGAAGATGGAGGGCCGCCTTTCACCGCTTTGCATAAATCAGCAATTCTCTAAAGTTTTGATTATAAACAATCAGCCAAGCTGTCGAACCTTCCCCGCAGGGCTTTTCTGGAATCCTTCCCGAATCGCCGCCACCTTCCTCAGACATTCGGTCCTCTGACGATCATTTGTGACAGCAATAGTGCGAATCAGATGATCGGCAGCATTGAAGAAAGCGGGACAAGGGAAGCCGCATCTAAATAACGGGATTTCTACATGACGATACTTTCTTCTTACTCGGCAAAGTGATCAACGGCTTTGTCGGCTTCACCTAGATAGACAGTCCTTCCGCATGCCATCAGACAGACACTAAGAAGCCTTTCGCAAAATAATTTTAGCCAACTTACTCATTGAAAAGGCTGTACACCTGGCTGCTAGGTTGATGGATTGTAATGACAACAGTCATCCCGGCATCAGCAAGAGATCGTAGCGCCTGCACGACGTGGCCTGAAAAATTAGAGAATATTGATTTAACTGCATTTTTTGAAGAACACAAACTCTATCAAGACCAACCAGCCATAAAAGCATCAAGACCAGAAGTAGGCTCATCACAGAAGAGAATGGAGGGGCATGTCAAGATCTAAATAGGAAGATTGATGTCGTTGGCGTTAACTCGCCTCAGAAGCAAAAGCCAACCGCTTCTGCTCACCGCAAGAAAGACCCTTGACTTGATGCGGAATTCCGATCATCGTATTTGCGCATTTTGAGAGACCCATCTAAAAATATCAATCCAACTATTTAAATTTTCAGCCTCACTCGATGCATCACTTCTTCAACCCGAGCTTCACGTTCAGCTTTTGTATAATTCGGACCCATTCGGAGACGAGCCTATGGTCATTAAAGAATGCCTTAAAAAGGTAACTACCATAAACTGTAGATGTTCTCGTACAGTCAACGTTCCCACGAACATATCGTGCTGCTGAACAAACGCGGAAACCTCCCGGAGCTTCCATTTGTTGGCCCGTTTCCCATCAAGCACCACTTCGCCCTAGATTTTTAAGCATTGGCTTATCAATTTTGCTGCTCGAGCATTTTTTCCAGATCAATCAACACCGGAAGGGGGTAAGCCGGCTTACCTGGACGTCGAGGGTCGATAGATTACGAAGGGTCAGCACGTTAAGAAGTGTCGTTTTCCCGGCACCACTAAAGGAATTGGTATCCTAGCCTGGAAAATGAATAATTCGATACCTGGATCCCATAATTGCCAATAATCGCCCAGCTTCTGCGATTCCGCTTACTAAAAAAGTATAAGAACTTGGTGTTTGGTTACAGTACCGTTATGGAGGATTTGCTTGACCTTCTTGGGTTTAGTTCTAGTGAACATATCCTTCCAGCTGCTTTGCGTCACCTATATTAGCGATTAAATAGTAGTAACCAGCTTCATCAACCTTTTTTTCAGCCCCAACAGCCGAAATATTATTCCATGTCAGATTATTGCCAGGCAAAATGTAGCTCGGTTCGAAGGTCGGGCTGTATCTTTCATTATCCCCATGAAGGGGATCAAGCAGCGGATCCATTCCAAGGTATTACTAAAACAGGGTTACTGTAAGAATCATTTATAATAATTATTTAAAATATTTTCAAAATAATCATGAAAGATCAAGAATAATTCGATTGACCGCATGAACCGGTTGATTTAGAAAAAGGTCTCTGCTGAAAGACGAGTTCGCACAAACTCCACAGATTCCGAGCCAGGCTGAGGGTATCCCCCTTATCTCCTTTGACGGCTTCACCCTTTTTATGGCAGCCGCTCGGGTGGCTACCGGCTCTTCCCTAGAAAATACACATTTATTAGGATTTCTCCATAGTTAAACATCAATTTTATAGCCTTTATTATGCAAAATGACGACTTTGGTATCGATTATATATAATACACATTGCTAGCTACTCGTATAAGCATAAATTACAGTTTTTACATTTAAATAATATCTATAAAAATATACAAGCAATTGGGAAGAACGAGGATCACGATGGCACATATCACGGCAATGGCGGCTAAAGTTCAAGAATTAGAATGCACAGCACAGGGGCGCAAAAATGGTTGAGTACACAGAGGAGACTGTTATCGGGCCGCCCATAAAGCGGGGGCCGACCCCCCGGGGCACCAAATACAACACGGACAAGTTTTGGCGCTGGTTGATAACGAATGACCCAACTAATCCGCATAACACGATGCGCGAAATATAACACAATGTATAGGCCGTATTTCGTCTAATATAACCCCGCGGGTGATATTTTTGGAATACAGTAGGGAGGGGAACAAGCTGAAGGCTAAGCCTAAGCCTAAGCCAAGCCTAAGCCTACGCTGAAGCCTAAGCCTAAGCCTAACCTAAGCCTAAGCCTAAACCTAAGCCTAAGCCTCGATGAAAATTCTGTGGTTATATTAGAGGCGTTATATGAAAAGAAACAGGTATTATCAACCCAAAAATTTAAAGCTATGAATTATAATCATAAACACGTTTGTAAATGATTGACGTATGTTCCATGAGGCTCCTCGTGACGGTTGTTGCCATAATCAAACGAGCTTCTAACCGATTCTCATCGAGCAGCGTCCATTCGCGGAACATCTAAAAATTATGATTATTAGATTGGACTCTCTCACCAATCGTACAGCTGAATCGTGACTAAAAGAAATTCGCCCGATCTTGCGCAGCTTGAACTTGACCGCGTTTTCTTGCACATCCCCAATTTCAACCGTCATGAAGCCTGCAAAATCCACTTTTTTTTGTTAAATACATACCATTGCTCATGGCTGTGGTTAAATATACAAGCGTCGAATTTTCTGTAGGCATCTCGGCGGCAATATACCCATTTTCAGAGTGTAATTCGGTAATGTTTTCATCTGACGCATCCCAAGCAAATGCTCTAAATTTAGATTAAGACGCTATTCCATCGAAAATTAACAAACGTGTAATTTAAAGTGGGCGGTTGTACGATGTGATGCGTTAATTTTACTGACATTTCTTCCCCGTACGTAAATCTGAAAGCTACCAAATTTTAAGTTGCTTGAATTACCTTGGAATCGTCGGGAAAAAAGCCTTGCCGCCAAATTCGCTTCGCCATTTTCCGATGAGAAATGCGACTTGTTGCAATTCTTTTGGGACCTTTTTAAGATCGTATTCTATTCTGAGTTTTTGGAGAATAATATGGATTACCAGCAGGGACAGGTCCTCCACATTTTTGACACGATCTCTCGCATAGTAAAAAAGTGTGGCTGGTCTCGACGTCGCAATCCGTGGAATTTTGGGCAACCTCAAAAGATACAAAAATTAATGGAGATAAATAAAGATTGTGATTATTTAGGAATGAATATAATAATAGCAATTTGATCCACATCACCCACCCAGTTCGGGCAATTCATATCCTTGTCCTTGCATACGGTCCGCTTTGCGCTACCGTACTCCCATTGTGCGCATAGAAACAGGAGTAGTACTGCCAGTAGCATCGTCTCGTATCAAAGTGGCATAAGGGCGTACCAATAAGCAGGAAGCAAGGCGCGAATAACCCAGCTCTCTCTCACTCATTCACTCGACGACACCCAACCGACCCTCAGCAAGTTTTTTCTCCCGCTCGTCGCCGACTCGCCCCCTCACGCCCTTCGTCACTGCTGTTATTTCAAGCACGAAAAGCCGCACCCCGATTATCTCATATCGATAGATCCATTCCGGACATTCCAGCTGGCCCGGGGAGAGCTCGCCAACGACGTTTTTTTGCGCTGGCAAGTGCAAGAATGAAAGCTTTGGATACATAGCGTTATAATAAATCGGATAGCTATAGTGGAGAAGAACTTGGGACAAAGCCGAAGCCAGACACCAAGCCTAAGCTTAGTAAGGCTAAGCGTATGCCTATGCCTAAGCCTAAGCCTAAGCCTAACCTAGGCCTAAGCCTAAGTCTAGGCATCGTACCGACATCAGATTAAAATTAGAACACTAGAATAACGTTAAATTATCTCGAAGAAAAGTTTTCCGGCGTAAGGAAATTTTGCTAATGGATTTCTGCATATTTCCGTATGACGTAGTAAAGTAATGCAAATTAAACACGATACCATCATTATATTATGACTGTTTATCGAATGCTTATTTATAACCGAAAAGCCTTAAACATATTTATAAGCGAGCGGCGTCTTTCGGTTTGCACGGGCAGCGCACTCCCGGCCGACGAAGCCATAATCAGCGCCGAGCACTGAATAAACGCCGCCAAGTGCTCTCTTTCTTTTTCTTTTTGAAGCCTAAAATCCGATTTTTATTCCCATTAATAGGCTTACCTTCTTAACAGCAAGACGTGCGCAAAATAGGTGTACAATACAAAACCAATTACCGCTCCTAAGATTAGGAAGGAAAAGAACTTTGAGGTTTTCGTCACTCTAAGTGCATTGATGGTTTTTGTCTAGGGTTTTTATATACCTTCCAGAACCCTCTCTCGCTAGTGTTGATGCGTGTCGCCCCCAATCTGGATGATGACGGCTTTCTGGTGACCAAATTATCTCAAAATCACCAAATATTTTTTCTTTAATATGAAATTTACCTGTGGCTTATCCCAAGCGTCGCGCCAATCGTCTTTTCTTTTGCCAATTAATCTTGAAAAATTAAACGGAACTGCGGTGGAGGGTTGAGAACTAAAGAAATTAGCATAAAATTATAGGATCTAGAAATTTACATATTCTGCTGTCCAAGAGAGTCGTCAGAAGTATTTTGCAGCAACGCGGGGCCCGCTTCTACCCTGGCGAGATGGTAATTTTTCAGCTTAATGATCTTATATGGTAGGTTTTAATGAAAAATTACGTTTGACAGGGAAATTATAGCCAAGCAAGTAATCCTCATCCATCAACCATCACTGCTTCGCATTTTTCTTTGATACTTTTCCCACTGCAATGATGTATCTAAATTTAAAGATTAGATAGTTAAATTAATAAAAATTTCATGTAAAACCGAGCATTAACTATTTGCTGAGGGGAGCTAGGCTGTTCCTCGTAAGCGGAGTCCCAAGGTCGCAAAAACCGGGATCTACTGCCTAATGAATTATTTGCTCCCATTGCCTGGGAAGGGTCTCTGGTCGAAAGTAATTTCGGGGGTCCACCCCAACTTTCCATAACCCAATTTTAAGCGGGGCTCTCGACGAAAAGAAGTTTTTAAGGAGAAGAGCAAAAATTCTGACTTAGGATGAGCCTAATTCCAAATCGAAAGGATTGACGTCCACGGTTTCATGGCGACGCCGACGCGGAGGAAGAGGAAGAATGGTTCGCGTGACAGATGGGCCGCACAAGTGAATGGCTAATTTTAGAAGATGGAGGAGTCGTGAGGGGATGGGTGCATTTCGAGGAGAAGGAGTAAACTTGCGATAAATCGTGAAGGACGGGGACCTGGTTGAAGACGGCGTTCCCGAGGTGCGGCTCCGAGGGGAAAATGCATTCTTGATGGCCGGCAGGCCCTCAATCCTCCTTACGAGCTCGTTGCCCCCGACGGAATGGGCCTTGGGCCAATGGGAAGAAGGGGTAAGCACCACTCTCTAATAAGCATGTTCTGGGTCAAAAATGGTTTGTGTGGTGATGGAATTGCATCTGAAACCAGTGAGTTTTGTCGTGTAATTGAATGCGTACGTTAAGAGAATCGCGTACACCTACCTAACGGACAGGCTAGAGAAAAGAGAGCGAGAGACAGAAAGACAGAGAGAAAGAGCGCGAGAGGGAGAGACGTACAACCTGGAAAATGCCTTAAAATAATATTAACGTGTTCTTTCTCAATTGTCACCATGTAAAAACGCAAGCTCAACCAGTTTATTCCAAACCCGACAAATCACAATTCCGCGTTAGCTTTGATAGATTTTAATTGGCTCCCATGCAAATTACTCGCCATACATGTATAAGTGCCTCGATCTGAATTTAGCCTAATAACCCGTCGACCCGATAATCTTACCTGAAAGTGTCGTAGGATCAAATTCAACCCTCGATCGAACCCGCACCAATGAGATATGTTTTTCGGTAATCTTAATTTAAAAGTAAATTAGGGTTTAAAAGTGATACCCACCTGGAAATGACTGGCCTGATTCAATTCTGCACCATTTTTATACCATCGTATCTGCGGCCGTGGTAGGCCTTCGGCTTCACACATCTAAAAAGAATGGACTATGTGTAATATAATTACTTACCAAGACCAATTTTAAACCAAGCTTAAAATGTTGATCAAAATGGCTGTACCGCATTATTTGAGGGGCACCCTAAACGTGAGGATTAAGAATAAAATTGCTAGAATGCAAATTACCTCCGAATCCAAAATAAAGGTATTGTCATCATCGATGATATGGGCAGAGAGGTAGCCGATCAGTATTAGGTGGGAGAAGCCGTTTAGCATTGGAGATGATGTGCCCTTGTATTCCCCAATGTCCCGGGTCGAGAGGGCGCAAATTTGATTTCACCGCCTGGGAGAGGGCCACTTTGATTTGGGTGTGTGGGGGGCTTTTCCTCCTGGAAAACGGATGGGCTATTATTTTTTGGGAATATTGGTGGGGAATTGGGTGTGGAGATGAGATGGGGGATAGGTGAAATTGGTAAAATTTGGCTGGAAGCTGGAGGTGAGAACATAAACACATGTGCAGGGGAATAGCAAGCATTAAAAACCACCAGGAAAATGCAAAGCCCGGGAGTTAGAATGAGGGAAAGAAATAAAGCTAGCGTGGGCGAGGGAATGAGAGAGCGCGAAATTGAGCAAGAGAGAGAGGGAGAGAGAAAGAGAGTGAGCAAGAGATAATAATACCAAAATACTTCCACGTACGATACTATATTTATGACATTAAGGTCAAAAGCAAGGAAACAAACAAAAAAAAAGCGTGACAGAGCGAAACAGAGAGAGAGAGAGAGAGAGAGAGAGAGAGAGAGAAAGAGAGAAAATTAAAGAAATGTATGATCATCTAGTAAGAAAAAAATGACAAAATGTCAATAATAAAAACGGTACAAACCGCCTAACGCTTTGAAAAAAAATTTGAAAAACTGAATCCAAACATAAACCCAACCCAGCACCCCCAAACCTACACCCTCCGCTCCAAAATTAGCAATTTAAGTGACCGCAGCTCTCTCCCACCCACCTAGACTAGGTGGAAGGGATGCAATCATCTATGCATCGGTGCTCCTATTATAGCTTAGTGTGGGCGTCTATAACCAAAAAGGGAGGCAGCCCCCCCACGAATTTTGGTGGCTTCTGGCCGGAAAGGAGGCGGAAAGAGAAGGCCTCTTCGCACTTGTCAACGCCAGCCGCCAACAGCAGCCCATTCGACACTTGATTTATCTCCATAAAAAACACGAAGAAAGCCTCCCGCTGGAGCGCTTCCTTCCACACGGCTGCTGGTCGTTGCCAATTTTTGACGTGGAGTCTCTAGTAGGGCCTCCTAGTGGGGTGGGAGGGAATGTAAACTGCTGAATAGCCAGCCCCGGAAGGGCTTTGGAATTTGGCAAAATGGGAAGCTGTCTTTCCTGGTTTAAGCGGCAAGTAGGGGAAAGGCATTTGCAATGCATAAAATAAACACAGAAAGTCACAGCAGTTCTCTAAAAATGTTTGCTTTTTTTTGTAGGGATGTGACGGGGTTTACACGTTTAAAGTTAGCTCATTGGTGGAAAAATGAAATGAAGCACGGGGAGCATGGGGCAATAAAAATTACTGTTATTGGCTACTTTTATTTAAATTTTAAATTTTAAAGGAAAGAAAGCCGATTTCTGATGAAAAATTCAATGAACAAATTTTAGATTTAAATCAAGGGGTTGGGTTTATTTTATGATCAGACATCGGTTACGGTGGGCTCGAAATTTTAATTTTAAGGGAACTAGGAAGCGCTGAATTGAACAGTGCATAAAAAAAGCGAATACGTGAATATCACACTTTTTTCGAGCTATAAAAAGGGAATTTGGACGTAACTTTCAAGAAAAAGTTGCCGATGGTATGTGGTTGCAAAGGAGCCGCCCGGTTAAGCCGAGGGAAGGCAAAAGTGGAGAACATGGGCAGGATCGCTTCTCGAGGATTATCTTGAGTGATGCTCGACGGCCACCCAATGCACCCCACACACACACACACACATACATACTCTAGAGTATTGATGAATGCTCTTTTATACCCAAGAGACTTTAACCTTGCATGAAACTACCGGGTAGTCCATTTTTAATCAAACTTCAAAGGCCTTTGAAGCTTACGGGTGAAAATCCCAGCGTTTTTACATGGATCCTTGATGTCCCTCTCCCCTCTGCTACTTCCATCATCAATAACATTCATAAATATTTATTAATAACATATTATTTTCAATGGAAATGTACACTGTGTAAACACGTATCTGCAAGAACCGGGAGCGCACAAGAGGATTCACACACAAGCTAGGGGGAAGGGAGGAGGAGGAGCGTGAATCTCAAAGCAAGCTAGAGCCACATAACAACAATAATAGGGTTGAGCGAGAATTGGCAACAAACGCATGATATCATGGGGTACCCGTCAGAATCGCAAGAATCAGTCATAACACTAATCGAGGGGAAAATTCAAAATCATAGCGTGAAACCGGCCCGTTTGGAGGAGTCCCGCGGAATGGAGGAGCCAATCCGTAGAATATTGCGCAAAAATCGGCAAAGGTAAGCTCTTAGTTTTCGGGTTCGCTGTGAAAGGGTAAACTAGCTGTTGGAGAATCATCACTTTCAGACACAGGGGTTGTCTCTGAATTTCGGGACCTAGCGGAGGATGCTTGGGAATAGCGACTTGGTGTAACCTAAAAATAGCTTTCTTTGAGCATAACGCAGTTTTCTTACCACTTCATAAACCGCGTTCATCTTTGTTTGATTAAACGCCTCCAACTGTCGGACAATATCGTGAAGCTTGGTTGTAATGGTAGCGAATGTTGGACGAAGCTCTGGATCCAACAACCAGCAATCCTGTATCACGTCCCATCTAAAAACAATAGATCAGTAATGCCAAAGTATAACGAACAATAATGGTGAACAATGCTGCGGTTTGCTCAATCGTCTCCCTGACTCCAGGAACTCGCGGATCTCCTCCATTTGCATGCCGTAGTAGGGCAGATATTGCGCTAAATTAAATAAAAAGCATCGAGCGTCTCTCCCACCTCTGCTCGTCAATTCCCACAATGTGACACCGTATGCCCAGACATCACCTTTCGATGTAAACTAAAATCGGTTATAACACTTCGATAATATGATTACCACGCCGCTCCATCCTTCCAATGGAATCGAACGAATTGGCAGAGTCCGAGAGTGGATCACCTAAAATTGACATAAAACGTCTGATTGCTCAGGTGTACCTGATAAGAGTTGGAATGGTTGATTTCTCTCGAAAGTCCGAAATCGGCGATGCAAACGTTCAATTGCTCATCCAACCTATAATCGAATATCCCCAAATTTTAGCGAATCCTCACATGCAATTCCTGGCTGCCAAATCACGATGAACCAGATTACGACTATGCAAGTATGCCATTCCTTCCGAAATTTGGATGGCAAAACGGAATATGTCACGTAATAGGATTTGCTATAAGTACGAATACGCAAAATAAAAGGCAAAGCTCACGTTCTTTGAGTCCTTCACATAAGAATGCAAATCTTTCTTGCTCATGAATTTGGTGACAATGATCGGGAGTTCGTTCAAAAACGCGAGCCCGATCAGCGGCATTACTCGAGGATGGTCAAGACGAGCCATCAACAATCCTGAATTTTATGTTAATATTTCCATTGATCTTTGAAACCGACCTTCGCTAACAAATTCGTCGAGATTTGAGCCTGGATCAACCGTCTTACAAGCTACGATCTTTATATTTGGCTTTCCGTTTTCTATCACAGTCAGTTCGCCTCGCTGGACTTGGCCGTAGTTTCCTAAAAACAAAATCACACCTAAGCCAAAGGAATTACCAGATCCGACAATCTCTAGCAGTTTAAGGTTCTCAAATGGAATCTTCAGCTTCGGATCAATCTCCCGCTGGAGGCGGACGTAGGGATTCTCATACGTCGGCACACGACCCGTCGAATGGGCTTGATATTCGTTCAGCGCTAAATTGGCGATTTCAAAAAATGCTACGAATTATTTAGCGGTGTCAACTAGCTCATGCGCACCAACACCATCAGATCGATTTGCAGCTAAGGCAAGCGCCACAGGAGGATTGTGATGTCATTTCACAAGAATTTTGGAAGGGGATTTGTCATTCGGGTAATGGGAAAGACAGCTTGATGTAGAGGGCCTTGAACAGAACATGTAAAGTCAATTTGCATAACGGCAAACTAAACGAGCGCTTGAGATTCATAGCGTGCGAAAGGGCAAATTTCAATAAAAAATGTGCGGCATTTAAAAAAAGTTCTTTGCTTTAAAAAGTTCAAAAGCACTCGTTTTGGATGCAAAAAATACAAGCGTCAAGCACAAGCACTGGACATTACGCAACACCAAGTTTTTCTTTCTGCTCCTTTTTAGACTTATTTTTCAAGTTCGGAGTTTTACTTCACTCTCTCTCACTCTCGCTCTCTATCTCTCTCCCTCTCTTTCTCTCGCTCCCTACCGCCCTCGCGCTCGCTCTCTCTCTCTCGCTGCCTCTCCCGCCCTCTCTCTCTCGCTCCGTCCCCCGCCCTCTCTCTCTCTCTCTCTCTCTCTCTCTCTCTCTCTCTCTCTCTCTCTCTCTCTCTCTCTCTCTCTCTCTCTCTCTCTCTTAAAATTCTTCCGGTCCTGTTGATTAAAAACCTGCAAGGAGGTGAGCACAGAAAATAACGTAGTGATGCGTACCGGACATAGAATCGCGTGCACAATAGCCCAACTTACGGCGTCTTTCAATGTCGTTCTCAAACCTCCGCGCTGAAATGAACACAAAAATGATGCGGCTCCCCGACGCGGCCTCCATCATCCCCCGCAACTAATCATCTACCACCCACCAACACCCCCGCTTGTTAGTGTTTGTAAACGAAACCGAAACGTACTAGAAATTAGGGATATCACGCGAAACTTCTAACAAAAAACGCTGGTGCTTGTAAGTAAGGGCCGAAATGATTTTAAATTTAATTCCATAGAAACCGAAATTGGACTAAAATTTCTTCAAGATTATAGAAAAACGGAACCAAGTCTAGATCCCCTAAATAATTTGTGAGCGATCAAGCAGACAGAAGGTGTTCGGCCTCGGAACATAGGTCTTGGACTCAGCCTTGGAAGCCTCAGGTTTGTTAGCTGATGACGGGGGGAAAGGCAGGGGGTTAGGCTGGGTGTACGGTAGCTCGATGTTGTGACTTACCAGATGGTAGATACGGCAAATTCATCCCATCCGAATGTCCGCGCTTTTTGTCTTTGTTGTTCTGAACCAGCAGGTATTTTGGAGATTTAAGAGTTGCATACCTTATACGTCTTCCTAGCATACCAAGTAATTATAGCCAAAATCGCCAAAATTCCGATAACGGCCACAATACCGATCACAGATTTACCGGCACTAAAAGTAATATTAACTCAAAGTAAGCTAAGGATATTTACCGGCTTAATCCTCCGCTACGACTTCCGTCAGTCGTGTCTTCAGCACCCGAGCTCGACTCCAATACCTTCGGATGGAACGCCTTCATTCTCAGACCTCCGACCTAAGAATTTTCGTAGCGTAAGCGACTGATTATTCGAATTACCGTTCCGTACATAATCGCATCGCAGACCTCCTCCTGAATACGTTGACCATCTACCATGCTGCATCGGATTCTAAAACACATCTTTCTAACAAAATAAGATTAAACTTACAACGAAGAATTGACGAATGGATATTTGGGGCGACAAGGCTGGCCGCATACTCGGACATCTGGATTCTCCATTGAGAGCAGATTTTTACCCTCAATTTTCCATTCGTTGTGCTCGGGCGAGTAGATGACCTGAATTACATAGCAGTCAAAATCAGTAAGATTAAATTACCGTAAAAATAACTGGGGGGCAGCTTCCGGTCAGAATTCTTGTCGAGCATCCAAATTTGTCGTCGGCTCGAACGACTTTGCCGGAAGCACGACCTGATTTTAGGGCTTAAGTGGAAGCATTTGCCACCTACCATCATCAGTCGGGCACCAACCACATCCGATCGGGTCTCCGAAACTACCCAAAAGCAACTCGTCACAGGTGCTATATAGAGAACTGCAGGTTAGAGGCAACGACAGCACCTAAGCTTGCAATTTGCAGATATCCCCTGGAAAAACACCTTTGTCGGTGTTGTATAGTATAGTAATGGGGCATGACTACTCAAAACCATCCCATGAGTGGCATCTGATGTTAGGTTCTTCAACCAGGTCGGCTTTATCTCATCGTTCGTGATCGGGGCCTAGGAATAATTAAAATAACGGGTTTGTTTTGATACCCGGAAGATCGATCCTTTCGCACCGCCGAACATTAATGAACCCGCGAGGTCTGGTCGCACCCATGCTACGTCATTTGTAAGTTTTGTGGAAATTCTATGAAAAACTGGATGAATGATATTTGAGCCCACCTCCCGATTGCTTCTCCATTCAAAGCCCTGAAATCAAAAAGGGTCCCGTAGCGATATGCGCTTTCTTTGTAGCGATCAAGCTCGCAATTTCCCAATGGATCGGGATAGTCTGTTGACGACTAAAAAAAGATAAATATTTTTTGACTATTACTTACCCCTTGGAATCGACTGCAAGGTACGAAATTACCATCATGGCTTGATTGGATCAGACAATGATCCGGTAATTGATCATAAAAGTCACGGCGACATAGCTAAAATTAATTCAATCAAAATGCTGTTGGATTTAGTGTCACATTCCCTTTAAAATCAACTTACATCAGATTCGTTTTTCCGGGTACTTTGACAAATATTCCAAACATCAGCGAACCTATAAGAAACTTTATAAAGACGTTCGGAATCATGGCCTACCTAGCCTTAATCTCCTCATGTTTGAATCGACAGACTTGGAATTCTTCCTCATTCTAAACCTTTTTAAAATTACTTTTGTCAATACCTACCGTATCCCTGGCAACCACGTACAGGCTAGCTTCTTCTTTGTTGTAATAAGAGGCGAAATTTACAACCTTTCCATAACGCGCGGCTAAAAATATGATTTCCATTTCGATATACTCTCACTTACGCAAATTTCCGCATGTTAGCGCAATTTCCATCCTAGATTCGAGATTGTTGGTCTGGTCCTTCAGGCAAACTCGTGTCAGCTTGATTTGGCTTGTGCCCTCCGATTTTCTGTCCCTGAAAGAATGACTTTGATGTCACTTAATATTCAAATTACTTTTCTTTGTTGAAAATATCATAATCCATCCCACTGCTGCCAACGAAAAAGACATATTCGGCAGTTTGGAACGAATGGGTGATACTGCTCTCATGCAAAAATTGCGGATCCTCAGAGGTTTCCAGCGGTTTGATTGAGCTAAAATCGGGGAGTAATCGCAAAAACTACAAAACCAACTTCTTATTTTCCATTTTGTAAGATGAGATCCAGGCCGTATTTGTCTCATCAAGTGCTCTGACAAAGATCCTGACAGAAATTTTCTGACCCGTAATTCTGAACTTACATGTCATCAACCTTGGATGCAGCAGCATAGCGTAGCTCATATTTTGAATGTTTCAACTCAAGTTTTGTACATTTACTGTCGAGTGAGCAGATTCTAAAAGGCTCGATTTTACGAAAGACGCCAAACTACATACCGGCAAGATGTGTAGTCACAAAACAACACTTTGTCGGCATCAATCATATTGATGTCAAGGACTTTTCCGGTAATTGCTCGATCTAGGTCGATAGTTCCAAGCAGTTGATCAGGGGTTGGGATATCTTTTCCATTTTCCCTAAAAAAGTTGATTTCAATCCACTACTCAGCTAGATACCTATATAGGAAGATTTTCCTTCGGGCGGCTATCGCAAGTGTCGAATTGCTAGCTGCGATTCCGAGGATCTAAAAAAAGCAATCTAGAAGTTGAGATATGAAACAAACCTCCCCATCTTGTTGCCGAAGCTCGACAAACGTGCTGAAACCATCTGCCTGACTTATTAAAAGTATTATTAAGGGCAGGAGGTCGCGGAAAGGCCGCCTCATCCGGCTGAACTTCCGTCCTCCTTCCCGAGGAACCCGTATCCCGGGGAGTGCGACTGCAGTCACTAAAAATTACAAATTGAGAACTGTGTAGATCTTGCACTTGAAAAGGGCAAAAAATCAAAGGGGGAGGCGTGAAAGGGGAGGGTTGAAAGCGCAGCACATATGGTCCCGGGCATGTTTATGTAGGAACAGCGGCTTCTTTCCGCCTCTTCGCGCCCACCACCAGACAACATTCCAAAGGCTCGATAGAGATAGCACATTGAAACTGGACACCGCGCCCGGAATTCAGAGGTGAATTTGTGTAGATGAGGGTGTTTTCACGGGGGTAAATCGACTAGGAAAAGCTTAAAACGGATCCGAAAATAATCGAGAGCTTTCAAAACCGTCTTACGAACTCTTTTTTGAGCTTTTTGGAATTCCGTACGAGCAAAATTAAAAAAATAAAGTGGAAAGGTGGAAAGTGGATACCGGAAAGTGTTTTTGGAAGAAGAAGGCTAATAAGGATTCGAAACGTTGCCAAACCAAAAAATACTCTTTGCGCCCCTGTAAATGTCGAAATGTCAAATCGTAAACAATGTCCGTAATTGTTAAAGCCAGAGAAAAAAACCCATAAAACCGAAGGGCCTTAATCGACAAAATTGTGGCCCACCCGAGCCCACGGACGCATTTTCCGAATGGATGGCCCTCTGGGGCCCGCATTCTCTTTCGTTCCGGAAGGCCATATGCGGGGGAAAAGCCGACCCCCCGGAAGGGCCCCCATGACCTTAAGCGTTCCTAAAATAAGGCATACTAGCGCTATTGGGCGACACTGGCCGACGTTTTTTTGTCGAAAGCACTTCTTTGGAGGAATCCGGATCTCACAATGGAAACAGTACGTCTCAATTAGCCGGAAATCAGTCGAAACTTGACAGACCGTATATGATTTTTTGCATTTCTCCAGCAAGGAGCTCTGGCAAACCACGAGGAGTTGCAGGTTTTGAGACTGACCAGTCGTCTGTCGAATGGACTAGCGCGGAATTGACGTCAGTAGGGATCAAAATCGACCAAAATCGGATTAAACATGAGCAAGTGGCGGATCTTCCTAGCTTTCGAAAGGGCGGGGACTGAATTCAAGGTCGCTCGGCCCCGTAGGGGCCAATCGACGATTTCCGTCAGGCTCCACAGCTAAAACGGTGTGTCAGGTTCGAGGATGTGGATGATTCGGGGGTATAGAAAGTGATCGAGGATTGGCCCTTACGAAGACACGGTAACTCCCGGAGAGAAGAGGGAGAAGTTGGGAGTGGTTGAAGGGAGAAAGAAGAGGGAAGCATGCAATCAGTTTCGCCTAGGAATCGATATCTGAAGGGGGGGGGGCGAGAGGGGGGAAGGTATTGGGATGGGATGGAGGCACACGTGTGTGTCCGTGTGTGTGTGTGCTCAGTTCAGAGGGAATCGAGAGAATTGCTAGCAGAGGCTCACTTCCCGTAACCTTTGGCTGTCTCTCGCCCTTTCTCTCGCCTCCCTCTCTCGCCCTACCAGCCGGCTGACCCGAAACAAACCAAATGGTCCCAACACCACAACTAATTGCTGTCAAGCCCCCTCGCTACGTAGGGTTCCTGTTGTCAGATTTGTCCAACGGGACACTCGAATATCGTAGTTGATCACAGATATATTTTGAAAGGGGTTTCATTGAAACTTGGAACACCAAAAGCATTTTTCTTTCTTAAAGGGATCAGGAACGCCCAGGCGAATTAGCATAAAACGGGCCTTAATCTACTGGGCCTTCCCTTCCCCTTAAGAACTTTCCCACAAAAGTATGACCCTTCAATGCTCCTTAAAACTGTCAAAATCAAATAACCAATGTGGTATTCAAATACTTTGAGTAATAAATAAAAGTTCTGAGCAAATAAAATCTACAAAATCGGGTTGAAAATAAAGCAAAAAATCGAGCCTATGCTTCACTGACAAAGTTCGTGACAGGAGCTTCTTTCGCCAATCAATGATGGATGATTCACAAGGGGGCATCAGGCAAAAAAGACAAAAGACCCCCGCGAGACAGGCAAAAGAGGGGCGACGATGATGCGGACGGGCGTACATGCCGCTGACGAAACCGGCTGGCGTATAATAAACAGCCGCCAACGGAAAACAGCCGGAAACGCCGCGTGAAAGGCTTGAAAGGACAGAATGTTGTTCCTCTCCTTTTTCTGTGTTTAATTATTTTAAATAAAAGTATCATTTATTTATTTATTAAAATTCCTTAAGAAAACAATAACTTTTAAGAAATGTTCTGATAGGTTGTGACTAAAAAACCGGGTTTTGCAAGGTGGGGGCGGGGTTTAAAGAGCTTCGATTCATTATCAAACAGGTTGTACTCATTTTGTGGGGACGAGATCACATGAGACCAAAGCAATAAGGGACGGAAATATCATTTGGTCAATCGGAAATGGCATGCTCTTCTTCGGAGATGCTGTGCCAGAGTTGATTTGAGGCGACACGGAGGCTGGCCGCACGTCTTGTTCTTGGGGAGGGCGAGCCGAAGAAGGCTTGTTGGGCCCGGGTGCTTGAGTAGTTGTTCAGGATCTAAACGGGCCTTTTGAGGAAGGCGTAAATAGATCATCCAGATGTAAGTGTGATTTCGGAGCCACAATCGTTTGCACAATCGTATCCATTTTTTGGCATTGCCCTCCCTTTAAGCCGACCCCCCTCCTCCAAAAAGGCAAATAAAGCACCTTATCAACACGCCGCCGCACCGCTTTCACCCCCTTGAACTGGGCATATTTGGTGGCCAGCTCGGTCAGAGTCGACGCGAAGTTCGTAAAAATCGCTTCTCCTGAAAAACGGCACGTGATTAAGCCTAATTAGTTACCGGATGTAAATGGGCCACCCTTGGCCGCGTACATATACCCATCAATACAATCACGAAGTTGCTGACGAACATCGGCCTTCTGAAACTATTCTAATAAATCAGGTTAAGGATCAATTTTCAACCTCCTCTTTGTTGTTGTCAATTAGACTCAACCAGACGGCACATACGTGAAGCGCCAAAAGGTATCGAGAAAGAATTACTTGTAGATCGGAGAATCTAAAATATTATTAAATTTTGAACTTGAAGAGAGTAGCATACTTCTGAAGGCTCAAGTTTCTTCGTTTCTCTTTCCCAAAATTCTCATACTTCAAGCCAATGACATAATCGATCGATGGCTCGATTTTCCCGCCGAAGCTTTTTGCTACTAAACAAAAATCTTTAGTTTTAAGTGCAATCCAACCATGCTGCTTAACATTGACATCAGCATGTGCATGAATTCGAGTAAGCGCGTCTAGAAGTTCTGCACATTCAGCACGAAAATCTCCAGCTACTCCCGAGATCATCGAACGAATTAGGGTGAGGGGAGAGTCTCCAGGCTGATTCTAACAAGGAGACGTTTTTGAGTGTCCTCGGGACTTTGGCATCGGACCAAGCCTATCTTGTTGCAGAATTTTACGCTGATTCGAATATGGTAACCGTTTTTGCGGAGAAGCCATTTCTTGAAAGTTATGATCGATTTAAACCTCAAAACAGCCCAAATCGGCTACTTTCGATAGTCATAAAAGACTTCGGAATAGGTTTTAGGCAAAACCAGATAGTGCATCGTGTTTAGAAAACAATTTTCTACAAAATATGCTACTTAACTTAAAAATTTTGGTATTTTGAAAATTTTTGTAAAACTAAAGGGCCTCACAATTTATCAAATTTTTCCAGCTTTCAATAATTTTGGTTAAATGGGTACATTTTATAGAGAATTGTTTTCTGAACACGATGCACTATCTGGTTTTGCCTAAAACCTATTCCGAAGTCTTTTATGACTATCGAAAGTAGCCGATTTTGGGCTGTTTTGAGGTTTAAATCGAACATAACTTTCGAGAAATGGCTATTCCGCGAAAACGGTTACCATATTCGGAATCAGCGTAAAATCCCCACAAGGAAGGCTTGGTCCGAAGTCCCGACGCCAAAACATCCTTTAAGTTAAAAATATATAATAAAAGGTTCGAAGATTATTACCGCATTTTCATCAACTCTCGGTTCACTGCCATACTTGTGCATACGTTTCGTCGATGTTCCGATAACCTCCAACCGATCGAGCACAACGCGCGAGAGCAGGTGCATTTCACGCAGGGTTACTCGGCCATTACTGGCTTCTGAAAGTATGATGTTCCAATCAAATTGGGTTGTGGTTACCGAGAAATTCAGAGATTGCCTCCATCATGGCCACGTGATTGCCCAGGCGTTTTTGTTTCAAGATTTCTAGGCGCAGGGCGTCACGTAGCGGGACAGCTAAGAAAAAATTATATTAAAAATTGTATCAACTAGCTAACCTCCTTCATAAGTGAGATCACCACCGTTGGAAGCAAAGACGTTTTGCGCGTTTTCATCGATTAACTATAATTTCATAGTTTTATTTTAATTTCTGATTTCGTTTGGCTATGATATAAAAGTATTATCCAATTTATTTAATAGCTTGATTTTAGTCGTAAGCAGTCTGTTAGATATGAACACCTACCTTAAGACGGGCAAGTAGAAGCCGTCCACGCGCCTTCGCTTCTTCAGCAGCTTTCAACAATTGCGAACGCGTCTCTGCATTGACAGCTCCATGCTTCACCGTTTCCTGCTCCGCCTCCTCCAGCAAATCACGAACAGTCACAATTCGATTCTACAACATTTACATACCCTATCGAAATACCAAAATACCTTGTACGCTTTCTCCACCCTCCAGATTGTCTCCTTCAATTCCCCGAGCTGGTTGGCGATATCGGCCTGATAAAAAAATTAGCTGAAATTGGAACTAGCTTACCTCAATATCATTAACTTCATCGGTAATCTGCAGCATTACCACTTTTGCCTTGGCGTTTTCCGGGACTTTACGATGAATATTGTGGGCTCCCGGGTGCGTGATTACGCAATCCTTGCAGATGAAGGGCTAAAAGGCTCCAAAATAAGCCTAAAAATATTTTCATACTGTTTCTGCCATTGAGTCCTCACTGCAGTCGGTACAGTACGACACGTTCTAAACGTACATTTCACTTTAGTAGTTTTTCTTGCCTTTTTATTGAACAACACCATACACTCGACGCATTTGTATTTGGGCTTGCGGCGGACGTGCGCGCGAACCATTTTTGCCTGTTTTGCACCCATTTTCTGTAAAATAAATGCACATAAATTTGAACAAATATTTGAAAAGTATGTAAAACAAGTCAGAAATTATACCAAAGACTAAAAAAAAGAATTGAAGGCCCATAATGAACTAATCAAAAAAATTCGGAAATCCTGCAACTCCACGCTAGACGAGACCGAATTTTTGCGTAAAATTCCATCGGTCAATAACGAGTCAACGTCGGAAAATGTGAACCTCTCAAACTGGTCAGCTGGGCAAATATTGAGAAGGGCCCTAGCGGGATGAGATCAATGGCCGGAGGAGACGCCAAAGGCTAATCCCTGGGCAAAATGGACGCGGCCCTCAAAAGGATGTCAGATTCCAGCTTAGAATAGTAGTAAATCTAGAAGAGAAAAGTCATCAGAAAGATTGCACAAAAACAGGTAAAGATGGAATGGGGGAGAGAGACATATTTTAGCCGGGAATGCCGGCTCACAAAGTCAATCGACCGGAAGCCCCTTTCACCTCGCGCTCCGGTCCGGAAGTGGCCCGAGTATCTGCTGTTATGGCATTTAACGGCGCGCTTTATGAACTCTCAAAAAGTTCGCGGTCACTTTTGAAGGTTTGAGAAATTGTTTGTCACTTCTTCTAAAAATTGTTCTATGGAACTCAGACAGGGGGTATACTGTATCCTAAAAATTTAAAGAATAATATTATTCAGGGATTTCGCTAGAAAAATAACAGCAAGTGGGTTCAGATGACGTGGAGACGACAATGAATATGGCTAGATGTGATGTGGTCAGGGTGAAATATGATGATTTGCATACAAATAGATTTACCTTAAAGTTGTCAGACTATAGACTCTATAATTCAAATTTTCATGCATGAAAACCTTGAAATTAACTAATTTTAACAAACCACTATCACCAGCAAAGACCCGAGAAAGCAAAAATGATTTAGAAATGGCTGAAGAGCCAATCAACGGGCCAACAAATTGGACTGGCAATGGGATTACAAGGAAGCGACGAATTGCGGCCCCGATTCTGGTAAACGGGCTGATTGTGTTGAGATGGCGAGTGCCGTCCCGGCCAAAAGAATTATTCCGTTTAATTACAATTTTCAGCTGCTCGGCGTTCTCGTGGCCAACATCTGCCCGGAAGGATGGTGTAGTGATTGTGATTTGGGGAATATTACGAGGGACGTCGGAATTACGATAGTCGAAATAGGGAAGTGAAGCTAAGCCTAAGCCTAAAAACTAAGCCTGAGCCTAAGCGAAGCCTAAGCCTAGCCTAAGTCTAACCTAAACCTAAGCCTAAGCGTAATCCTAAGCCTGGATCTAAGCCTAAGCAGGAGCCTATAAAATGATCCTAGAACAAATAACCGCCCCAGTGATGAATTCCAGGAATCATGAATACCAAGCCGTCTATAGCTGTTTGTTTTCTGCAAAAATACAGCCGTCTAGAACAATCGCTGCTCATTAGAAGGTGTCCCATCACCCAATTGTTGATTTGAATATAGCGACAACGAGGTTTTTCTGGGAAACCATTGATATAACGTTAGGACCCCGGAAAACAGAAAGTATGAGTCGGCATCTGTCATTCTCAGGCTTACTAGTTGGTGGAGATTCGGTTTCGGGAAGCGATGTCGCCGCTCTCCACAATTTCAAGGGGGGTTTTCAAGGGTTCGTTAGCTTCAGGGGGGTTTCGTTGCCTAATCCACGAATTAACCCCATGAAAATCGTGCGTTTAAAAATTAGGCTGTTTAGAGAAATCCTGAAACAGCTTCCAAACTAAAGTTTTTATGCCCGGCTTCGCCCTGGAAACGAGATAATTTTTGAGCACAGCAAGTTCTGGCTCATCAGTTTGAGATGCGCAAGCCCTTTATGTAACACAAGACGACCCCTAATTTCCCTAGGGCCCCAGAAAAACTGGCTGACGAGGGCATCCCTAATTGATTGTTGTTGTTAAGAACAGCAGATGGATAAAGGGGGGAAACTCATTCTACCTGTTGCGTCAAGAGGGCAAATTAAATTAAAACATTTTTTGCGGGATTTTTACAATATGCTTTCTGAGGAAATGACGGTCAAGTAGAGGGGTTGTGCGCAGGTGTATTTGGCATCATGATTATTAATTGGGAAGGGTAGTTGGTCTAGATTTAGATGAACAAAATGTTAGTTCTTAAAAAATCGCAAAATTCAGTTAGAGTGAAGGTTATCTGAGGCGGCACTTTGGAAGCCAGGAACAGGAGGTAGAACCTTGGAAACGAACCTAATTACGCATTTTGCTCGCTAAGAGAAGTTTTGAAAACTATATACAGATGTAAAAATAAACGTTTTTTGCCAACTAAGCATCAAATAAAATAGACCACTCCCGTCCAATCACTTTAATGTCCCAAGAAAACCCGGCCAATCCGGATTTGGGCAATATTTCTGCCTAAACCCCGGATTTGGACCAAGGCCAGCACGAATCTTTTCATTTCAACTATACCCCCGCACGTCAAGCCCCAGAAAATAAATCACCCATAATGGCCAATGAAAGCCTTGGAAAAAGGAATAATGAGTCTATATTTTAAGATCTCGTGAAAGGGGCAACTACCGAATTATTTCTAGCGGTTTTCGAGCCACCATCAATCTTGCCGGGTTGGTAATCAACAGCGGCGGCTGAATGTAATGGAAAATGTGAGAAGCGCATAAATTTTGCCCAAAACGCGGGATAGCCTCGCGAATTCCCTTTTCAAAAATTCAATTTGCGCATTTTGAGGGTCAGGTTCGAAGAAAAGTCAGAGCTGGGGAATCCGGAAAACCGGAAATCCGGAAATCAACAAGCCACGGCGCGTCCGGAAATTTGGACCGGATGCGGTTTTTCGAGCTTGCTAAGTGGTGGGTGGCAGTGGAGAACGCGGGTGGTTCTTTAAAATACCATCTGAACCGCTTATCCGAATTGAAGTCGAGGGTGTGGATTAGGAAATGGTTGGACTATTCCAGGACATGGATTTCAAAGAGTTGTAGCCAGGTATGGATTCATAACAGTTATTAGAAATGATAACCTAAGCTTAGGCCGAAAGTTCCAAGCCTAAGCTGAGCCTGGGACTAAGCCTAAGCCTAAATCCTAAGCCTAAGCTGACGCGCCCCCCGCCTGGCCCACTGTCCGGTTAGAAATACCGATGAATTTTTACCGGGTTGGTTAATGTTGGGACGATGCCTAAGCCTAAGCCTAAGCCTAAGCCTAAGCCTAAGCCTAAGCCTAAGCCTAAGCCTAAGCCTAAGCCTAAGCCTAAGCCTAAGCCTAAGCCTAAGCCTAAGCCTAAGCCTAAGCCTAAGCCGAAACGAAAGAAAGCCAAGCAAAAACCTTCAAAGTAGCCTACGGAATTCAAAGTGTGGCCGGCCGTTGGAGTGGAGGGATTGTGAGGGGGAACTCTGTTGCTCACAATAGCCGGCGCCACACTGGAATCTCGTATTAATGAAATTCGGAGCGGCAAACAGCTGGATGGGCCTCCGAACCCGGCGAGCACGCATATTTGACGGGTAATGGCCGTTTTGGGTTTTGGGGAGAAGGAGCGCAACCACCAACACATTTATCACATGTTTCAGCCCATCTTCCACCCGCGTTCCTTCAATTTTGGCGTTTGATTTGTGGATTTGGATTGTCGTATTTTGAAATATACAAATTTTCGCAATAAAAATTCTTGAAAAATCAAGAATATTCTAAAAATGTTGACTTAGAAAATCGAATCCGACGCTGGGAAAATTTTGAAAGAGGCATTGTGGACGAAAGAAAGCCGGCCCTCGACCACGCAGACTATGCATAATTTGTGATGTAATTTGAGCCCTGTCAAAGATTTTGATCCGCCTGGCTCGCAGAGGTCCCTAATGATTTTGATTTTCTATTTTAATCAGATTTCAATGCATTGCATAAGACAAAAAACGCATTACGATAAAGCCGTCGATGCCCGCCACGTTCTTATCACTTGATGACGTCAAAACTACTTGTCATCCCGGGAATTTATGACAAAAAGGTTTGGCATTCTCCAAAGATCCATTCGAACAACAGCACCCCGTTGGGTCAATTTTGGCGACCCAGATAATTCAGACAAGAACAACCCGCCGCACGTTACCTCATAAAGATAAGCATTTCAGAAAGGCCAGCTGGAAAACAAAGCTTTTGCGTTTCTCAATCGTTCGGATTCGACTGGAAATAGGATTTTATTCGACAATAAGCCTATATTCTCACTACCTAATTGGAATATAACAAAGGTCGTACTTTGGTTGCTATATTTTTGTGTTTTTATTCATTATGATTTATGCATTTCCAGCTACAATACCATCTGATCAGGGTAATTTTTGAAGCTGTTGATAGATTACATTTATCACGAGGCATCTATGCCAAACGAGTTTCGCTGTAACAATGCTTGTAGTCAATGATTCAAATTGGCTTGAATGGCCCTAAAAATTTAATAAAAAAGTTTAACGACGTAAATGAAAAAAAACGTTAATATTTAAATGCAGTACTCAGTGGAACAAGTTTTTTAGTGACCACACCAACCCTCTTGACGCCAATAGGTTCAGCTTCTCCTATTGTCCCAGCAACGGTAATTCTTAGATCTAGGGCTTTATATAACATTTTGTTTTGACAGTCCTACATAGCTGGGTTTCTCATATTCGGCGTATTTCTATTTTTTATGTGTTGTGGACACCATGTCGTCAGGTGCCTCCATTTTCTGTAAGTTTTGAAATCCAAACTTACCTTTTTTTATTTTTTTTCAGCGGTAGCTGCTGCTCACGTCCCCGTAGACCCCTACAACCCATCATTTCACCAAATAGACGCACACGCCTCAGATCAACAGGTTTTGTTTTCGACTCTTTATAAGAATCAGTAAATATACAGGCAGCATCGGATCCCCGGAATGTGTATCGTCAGTACCGGGCCAAAGGGAATGGCGGTTTTTGAGGTTGGGTAGACCGCCAACAAACCCTCCGCCTGATTACGAACATGTGACGAAAGGAGAGGAATTGCCGACTTATGAAGAAGCCAGGTATTTTGTAGATCAATTCATTGATGTTGATATTAAGAAGGTTGCATCGAGCCGCTAGGGCTCAACGAGTGCGGCAAATCGAGGCTCAACTCCCACCAGATTATGAAACGGCATTTCCCAGCTCGAGCCTGACTACCATTTCTGAAGGGATAGAACCAACCCCGTTAGATCATTACACCACTAGAAATGCATCTTTGGGTATAGAAAACCAAACAATCTCCCCTCTTTCATTTTCGGGCTTGGAACGATAGAGTTAAGCTAAACACCGCGAACCAGGTCTTCTGTTTGTATAAAATCCGGGCTCAGCTGCATAACTATGTATGTAAAGATTTATGTACAGGTGATTTCATAAACTATACATTCCTTATTTTGATTGGCACCATGAATAGGCGTTCAGGAACATTTTCATCCAAGGAGCAGTAGAAAAGCTGTCATCCTTCACGTTAGTTTTGAGCTTGTCTGGCCATTGCCACGACATAAAGGCGCTTAATTAGCATGAAATGTTTGATTTTAAGCTAAGATTTACCGATCAGAATGCGGCATCATTGCCAAATGTCTTCCATCTTCCGAACAAATGGCCGCTACCCCATCAAGAGACCCATTCGGGTTCCAGGGATATTTCACGGTCGCTTCTCCGCTCGGATCCATATATTGCAACGCGACAAGCTCGTTTTTCTTGAGCCCGTGTAGCACCTCTTCATTACGATATGTAAAGCGGCCTACAAATTAAGTACATCGGTATATTTGTGTCTTACCCTCTCCATGTACTGACCAAATTCCAAGCATGGATCCCTCCATTCCTCTCAGCATTATGGATCTGCTTTTCGGGATTTTAACCGGGGTCCAGTGGCTGTGGAAGCGCCCAACATGGTTTTCGTCAAGGAAAACGGAAGCTTGGCTTTCTCAAAATTATATAATTCTAGGCGCAGGGAGAGAGACAACTTACCATATTCCCCAACCCATCCAAGTAGTGCCATCAGTTGACATCCATTACACACACCAAACGAAAAAGTATCCGTACGTTGACGGAACTTTTCAAATTCCGCCAACACCGAGTTGTGGTAACGAATACCAGCTGCCCATCCTGAAAACCCAAGATTCGCAAAAATAAATGGGGATTACCTTTAGCCGAGCCGAGCACATCTGCATACGAGAAGCCGCCAACAAAAGCTACTCCTTTAAAATCAGATAGCCTGGAATATAGCTAGATGAGCTTTTTGCGGCAGGATTTACTGAAAGCCGTTGATCATATCGGTCATAGTAACATCGTATGTCGCAAATCCGGCCAAAATAAAAGCTGCAGCCATTTCTCGATCACCATTACTACCTTCTTCTCTGATTATAGCGATTTTTGGTTCTAGAAGGTTCTATGCAAATTGGAAAAATGGCGCACGATTTCCCTGGTCGTCCAGTACACTTTTCGGTACACTGTAGTCAAAGTCAGCTTTGTAACTCCATTGCCTAACGTCACGCCGGCCCTAGTAATACTTAGACTCGAAACTAAAGGTTATATTACCTGTTTTTCTTCCTCAATGCATTCTGGATTCGATTGTAATTGATTTAGTTGATCGCTAGTTTCTTCCCAAATTTCACGAAGATCAGCCAGTGCCTGCTCAACAACAGTTTCAGCGTTGAAACAGATTTGTACCTAAAATTTGCTCTTCTAGGAAAGAATGGTTTAGGCTTACTGTAGCGTCGGATCCATATCGTTGATGCACTTTGCCGACTATTATTGGGCTCAATTCTTTTGACGCAAGCTTGAATCGTTTGCATATGGAATCGGCATCATGCTCTTCGACCTATTAATAAACATATTTGTAATTGGAACTTTCCTCTACCTCCAAAAGGATTCCAGCTTCTTCAGCAAAGAAGAAATCGATAGGATTGACTCCTAAAACATAAGGTAAAGTTTCAATGTATTTCTATACCAGAATCTGCGGAGACATTAGCTTCCAGACCAATGTTTCCGGCGAAAGCCATTTCTAACATAGCTGTGATAAGACCTCCATCTGATACATCATGGCCGGCAAGGACAAGCCCGTCGAGTAGCAACTCTTGTATAATTTTGAAGCCTTCGACCAAAGCCGTGAATGAAGAGATATCCGGGCTTTCACCTCCGACCTAAAACCAAGTCCATTTCCGCTATTGCAAGCCTAAAATACCTGCTTTAAACATTGAGCCAATGCAGAACCTCCCAACCGATGTCCTTTTCCTGAGTCCATTCGAATATACAAAAGTACGCTGTGTCCATCAGGATCTATATTCAAAATAAAGCCTTAATTTATACACCTACTTGCTGATCCCTTTAAATCCGGGCTGACCACTTTTGTAATGTCGGTGCAAGGAGCGTAGGCGGATAGCACAAGGGTCCCTGGAGCTTTTACAAGCTCTCCTCCTGCCTTGGCCGCCATGCTTAGCGAATCTTTCCCACCATCAATCGCGATACCTTAAATATGACCAGAACTAATAGCAGTTTGAGAGATTTGTTACCACACTCCTTAAGGCCCTCGCACAGCGCATCACAGGCTTCCACCAGTTTTGCAGCTTCTCCATCACACTTCGCAGCCCACATCCAGTTGCCAGACATTTTTACGTCCTGTTTTGATTTAAGAAAACGGAAATTGTGGTACTCGTATATCAGTAATTGGGGCGAAGGCAAGGTTTGTCAAGGTTTCAGCCAGAGTTCTCCGCGCCATCGCTGCAGGTGAGATCAATCCGCAAATTGGCTGTTCTCCAACGGCCACAGCTCCGCCCATCTAAAATTATAAAATAAATTTTTTGTTTCAGATTTTAGGTTTCCAATCCAGGTCTTTTTGTGGATATTTATTGCTGGATTTTACTAGTTTAGCCAGCTTATGCAAATTAATCGGGTTCCTTGTCTTCTAAGCACGTAACATTTGTTATAAAAGGTTATTACTAAAAAAACTGACGGGCTTGCATTAACCTACACTCTAGTTTATGCTTAGATACTCATTTTCAAGCGGCTAAGCACGTCCTCTCGCCGGATAACTTGGTAGTCCGGTTTTTCCAGCCACGGACCTTTTTTTAGATATACTACGATCGCAGTATGCAAACTGCAGTTGTTTTCGAGCCCATTTTCCAACTCGCGACGGAACCAACTTAGGTGGTGAGGGTTAGGCTGTGTTGGGGGCTAATGCGGATCGACGTTGGGGGTCGGAAGGAGCGGGGGTCGTGGCTGCTAGGAAGGGGTGGGGACAAAGCGAAAGGGCTATCGTTAGCGGAAGGGTCGTCAGTCATCCCTTTCGACGCCTTCTCGCACCCTCTCCTTCTTCTTCTTCAGAAGAAGCAGCCTGGCCCCGAGGGGCACAGCAACACCATCTCCGCTATGCTACTCATAACACAACTCCCGATGCTTACAATAATATTCTTATTTTTCTATGTCACTACGACGTTCGCAGATCTATGCCAGTACTGCGATTGCAATTTCTTGTCCGGATCTGTGTCCTGCAGTGATAAGGACTTTTTGCTAAGAACAGTCTCCTTGATTCCATCTGTGGTTGAGCTAACACTAACACGGGTTCCAGTACCACATCCTCCACATTTCCTCTATCACCCAAACTTGAAAATACTGAAAATAAACTACTGTAATCTAGAGGATCTATCCTCACAAACCCTTCTCCCACTACCAAATTTGGAAGTCGTCAGCTTCGCCAACAACAAATTACGAACGCTTCCTGCTACTTTATTCAGAAGGCAAGAACATTTAAAGGTCGTTGATGTCAATACGAATCGTATCGAAGATCTGAGTGCTTTGGAATGGATATTGGAAGAGAATGTTGTCTTGGATGCCCTGGATATCTCCAATAACCCAATAAAGTTATCTACACGCGCTAGCCGTCTCCCCACAACTCGTCAGCTCTTGCTTTCCGGAACTAATATCGAGAAGCTGAACGAATCTTCCGTTTTGTTTAAAGCAAGCGATGCGTGCAGCGATGAGGCATGCCGAATTTTGCCTTTTCCGCGGACGGAGCATCTCGATTCCCTAGATATCGCAAATAATGGGGCCGTTATCCGCCCGGATGCTCTCAAGGCATGTTTTTCAAAGAAGCATTGACGTCGTTTAGATGCTCTCAAATGTGACGAATTTGAATTTGGCCGGGGCGGAATTGCCAGAGGATTTCTTTGAATGGTTAGAGACAGCAGCTGTTGTACATTTGAATATATCAAATGCAAAGGTATTAGAGGATAAGGGCGAGAAAAGTAGGTTTAGATTGATGTTCCGGGTGAAGAGTGGAGGTGGTGTGGTCCGCGCCTCGAAGTTCTTGACATCTCAGGACTGCAGCTCAAGAAACTTCGACTCACTAGAGGGTGTAATTTGAGGAAGCTTTTTGCGAAGGATAACCAGTTGGAGGTGGATAAGCATTAAAAGAGATAACGACGTTTTAGTCTGCCTTCCTTGATGCACCTACACTGGAAGCAGTAGACCTGGACCACAATCTCTTCTCTGACTGGCTGATTATTCCACTGGGCACATCGTTGGAAAAACTGGAGACACTCTCGATGTCGGGTAATCTGTTGACGTCTCTTCCTCCAGGAGCCCTCACCCATTTTCCGCTTCTTCAGGTTTTTCCTCCCTCACAACGAAACGAAACCCAACTTTTAGCACCTCGACCTATCGCGCAACCAAATCTCAAATATCGAGCACGACGCCTTCCCCTCACTTGGCATGCAAATAATCTCGATAGATCTTTCGCATAATCAAGTAGGTGGCTACGCTTCTTTATAGACAAAATTTTAGCTAACTTCTCTACCACATCCTGTACTACCATCCCTTCTATATCTCGATATTTCTTCAAACAATTTGAATGAAATGTCACCGCTATTATTCGCTGGGATGCCATTGCTACAGCATCTTAAAATTGGAAATAATCCAGAAGTGTTTTCGAAATGCGGGCAGAAGTGGGATGCCGAATCAGAACTAATCAGGCCATTTAGGTGCTGGTCCGACCATGTGGATGTACTCACGAACCTTGTTGACATTGACTTGAGCAATTGCCAAATCAGCAAGCCGATCGATTTCTCAAAATCGTATTCTTTAAAGGTATTTTGTAGTGAAACTCATGAGGATGACTATTTTCTTTAGTCCATAAGCCTACGAGGTAATCAAATTACTACTCTGGACGGCGGCTTGTTGCCTCCAACGCTCTCTATATTGGATGCTGGCGAAAATTTGGTGCATTACACTTCAAATTTCTCGAAGCGTACTGGTACACTGCGAGACCTACGCTTGGATGGCAATCCGTTGATCTGCGACTGTTCCCTATTTGAGGTATGTTTATATCTCGCTTAGAGGCAAATTTTTAGATCCGTGATCAACTGCTCAACCAATCTCGCATCACCGATGCCGCCTCATACTACTGCTTCTCCTCCGCTTGGCAACATCCACTACATCCATATTTGGCCAGCCTTCGAGCATGTCTGCCCTCATCTTCTTCAATTCTCCCTTCACTTGTCACCGCTTTTCTGATATGCGTTTGTATTGTGCTTCTTATCATAATTTCGTTGATTGCGGCTCATCGCCTCTGCGGCTCGATCTCATACACTTACAAACGGCTGGCCCTCGATATTCCGGTTAGGTTATAAGGTGTGCTTTCTTGCTCAGTGTGTATATAAGTTGTGCAGATAATATTTTTGGAGTCATTTACTGAACAGGCATTGATCTCCATCTCTCTAGCTCGTGCTCTCCCTCTCATCTCCAACCTCCTTGTTATTTTCGGGTCGGACTGGAAGGGGCTGGTCTAGCGTTCGGGAAATCCCTAGGGAAGTTAGGGGATACAATGGGACCTAATGGAAGAAGCCGCTGATCCCTGGCGCTGTTGTGACTACTCCATGCACCAAATGTCGCTACGCCCGAAATTTGCAGCTTTAGGGAAATTCCGGATTTGGAGGGACAACTTCAGATAATGGTTCATACCTTTCCAAAATACGATAGTGCAACAACGGCCACGTCTGCAAGTGGAGTATGTAGAGGACCACAACACTGCTGTCGAGCCACTAGGCCGGTAACGCTTCGATCTACCTTGGTCGTTAAATATCTAAAAAGTAATTCTCGAATTTCGTAGTTACCGTACCTTTTACTGGCAACAGATGGAAGCCGCAAAACCAGCTCTAGCGCCGCCATCACTGTCAGCGAGGCAGGAATTTTTAAAGGTGCTGTGAGATTCGGTAGCGAATTTTGTCGGAATTCCTATGCTAATTAGGCCAGATTATGAAGATTTTTCTACCTTTTTAGCTCGATCTCCAACAATTTCCATATTAAAATCCACTGGATATTTCCCTGCTTTGCTCGCCTCGCAATCTTCTGAGAAATCGTGAAGTATAAACTTAAATTTGTATACTATATTCGAAAATGTTGACATCCCCACTCTTTTCCCGGACGTGACATGGCCGACAACTGTAACAGGGCACTTCTCTCGTAAAGAAATTTTCTGAATGGTTTCCCGGCCGTTAGGGTCAAGTAGAATCGCGTTGTTTTCCTTAAATGAAATTTATATATGGTTTTTGGTCTTTTGATACCTGGTATTCGGCCGTCCATAGTTCACGAATGGAAACTGACGGATCACCAAGCTCAAATGAATCTGCGAATACATGCCCTCCGGCACCTTCGCAGAGCTCCTTCAAAACGTTGCCTAAGACACATTGCTACACGTTCTTGTTGTTAAATACCATTTCCTCCTGCTCCTTGATCATGAATCGACAAGATTGGGTTCTCTTTTCCAAGCTCGGCACAAGCGCGCACGATTCGATGAACCTTTTGCTCCATCTCCCCATCACCACGTTGTACAGCTCCGAAGTCAAGCATGCTTTCTCGATCGCCTAGTTGCACGTTAAATGAATTGCCTATTTCTTAGGATAACCTTGAACCGCAAGGGATGAAGCCGCTCCGCCGCCCACTCCGATGCGATACACCGGACCGCCAATCTTTGCCAACAATTGTCCGTCAGTTGCTACTTCTTTCTTTAGTTGCACGTCATCTAAAAATCAGTAACACTTTCAAAGAAAGCTATACCAATCGCTCCTAGCCCTCCAGAAAACATTATTGGCTTCAAATATTCACTTCTGTCGTTAGCAGGCAGTCGGAGGCCAAACGAACGTGCGAAGCCGCAAAGAACAGGCTCGCCAAATTTGTTTCCATAATCGCTAGCCCCATTCGAAGCTTCAATACAAATCTGGACGGGTTGCAGTTCATACTATCTGGTTTCAACAAACCTGTAGCGGACTGGCAAAGCCTTTGGGGTATGTTTCGGTCGCATCTTCCCATGGTTGAACGTATCCCGGGATCAGAAGATTTCCAAATGAGTATCCAGCCACTCCCGCAATTTCATGGGCTCCACGACCTGTCGCTTGTACGTCACGGATCCGACCTCCAGTGCCGGTGGTGGCACCCTAAAAGACGACCTTACCATGGCAGCCTCTTTACCTGAAATGGGCATACGGCCGTCGGAAAATTGTGAGTTTCCGCGGTGTACAGAAGATGTCGTTTAACAATGTTGACGAGATTCAAGGACGCAGTAGTCGGATCCTCAGTTGTTAAAACCGGAGTATTCGAAAATCCCCGGATAACACTCGAGTTATCGTTAAATGCAATCAAGTTGTTGGCATTTGAAGCCTGCTGTGTCGCACGGATCGAATCCATTAAGCTTTCTTTTCGCTGTTCCCCGTCAATCGATATTTTACCTAAATTCATTTCCATAATATGCAAACTATGGAACCTCTGAAAAACCAGTGCCTTGAATGCTCCGAATCAGATTGTGCCAAGTCGAACAGCTCGACGTCTGTTGGATTTCTAACAAAAATAATTTAAGAAATATTCGTTAAACCTTTCAAGTTTATTTTTGAAGAGATCATTGTAGAAAATCAAATCATCCTTGTCAAAAGCCAGTCCAAGCCGAATATTAGCTTCTGCCAGGGCTCCATCATCTTCCAAGATACAAACTTCGTTGAAGATTTCTCGTGACTATACAAAGTAGAACTATTACTATCCCAAACCTTACCTTTCTTGCCAAAAAATCCGGGGTACTACGATAGACACATTCTGTCATTCTATCGCCAAGTAATTCGATGAGGCTAGGGAATTTATTCTACTCTTAGGATGCTTGAAAAATTACCGTTCGTCAGCAAGTTCAATTTCGTGGTCAGGATAGTAGCGTACAGATTTTTCTATGCGAAGTATGCCATTGATCCCAGCTACTTCAAATACAGACAAGGCATTTGTACAAAATGCCGTTTTCAAGGAAGCTCTAAAGCTTATTGTAAGTACAGTATCGTCAATATTCTTGCCTGGGTCCTATCTCAATGCCGTCTTTTTTCATCGGCTTTTCCAATAAGCAGGGCCTGAAAGGAGAAGCCGAAAGCAACCAAGCGATTTTAGAAAGAGCATCGTCTTCCCGTAGTTGTACTTCGACTTCCCTGTTGGCGCACAGAATATAATAGCAGTATTCGGCGGTGAACTAAAGAGAATGTGAAATGAAATGTCAACAACCTCGAGATGTTTGTTCAGTTCGTCGAAGAGTGTCTGCTTGGCGTTGTTGATCAGTTTTTGGGCATGTTCGCCGGTTGCAGGAGCGTAGAATTGGATTAAAGCCATCAATCGAAGGCTAGAAATAAAGTGTAAGCTGCGGAATTGACATGGGATGCTTTCTGTTTGCGTTGATAGCGCGAAAGTGCAGGGTGTCTGCTAGAAATTCGAAGCGCACTGTTTTTGAGCAGGATTTTGGAAATTTTTATAAAATGGTAGAGATAGGGAGGTTTTATGTAGATGCTCCTGTAGTATAGTTAAGAAACAAAAACAAAAAAATGGGCTCAGTCACGAGAGTTTAAATCAAAGTCGCTTTCAAATAAGCCTCATTGGTCATCACCACCCAGTCATGCCACGGCGGGGGTCGAACCCGGGTTCTGTGGGCGAAGGCGCCCTGTCCCTAACCCACTTCACCAAAGGGGAACAAGCTGCGAAGAGGTGGATGACCTTTCTGCGCAAGAGGGGCCGGCCACGCAGGTTGAAATAGTCTGAAGTAGTAAGGTCTTGCAGGTATTCTAAATTTATAGGTATGCTAATTATCTATTTCTAAGCTAAGCTGGCGTGTAATGCGTCGAATCGCCACTGCAGGCTTTTTTGCGTTGATGGCGCAAAAGTGCATGGTGTCTGGTAGAAATTGGACGCGTAATGTTTTTGAGAAGGAGTGGCATTTTTTAGAAAAAAAGCAGAGATAGGGAGGTTTTATTGAGTAACACCAGTAACACTGATAAGCAGCAAAAAAATTTGGGCTCAGTCACGAGATGTTGAAATCAAAGTCGCTTTCAGTCCGTAAGCCTAACTTGATCATCACCGCCCGGTCATGTCACGGCCGGGGGTCGAACCCGGGGTCTGTGGGTGAGGGCGCATGGGCTCTAAACGACTACACCAAAGGGGGAATGGGTTGCGGAGAGGTGGATGACCTTTGAGCGAAAGGGGGGCCTGGGCCGCGCAGGTTGGAATAATCGGAAATAGTAAGGTTTTCCGGTTATGGTAAATACATACGTATGTTAATTATCTATTTTTACGCTAAGCTGACGTAAATTAAGAATTCTCATTTTAGTGAATGAAGGGGTAGCAAAAGACGGATCAAAAACAGACATATGAACACCGCCAAAATTTCGCCCGGGGCAACACTTGCAGCGTATAAAGATCAAATGCCTAGATGCTAATCAGATCGACCTATCCGTAAAGACACCATCATATCAATCCAAAGATCAAATGACCTCATGACGAGTCGCATAATTTTCGTTGAAATCCCGATGTTTTCACTATGTTGCAGCTCTGTCTCGCGTGATGTCGATTTGTTTTTTAATATTTTATTTATTGCAATAACCGGAGCGATAACAGGGAATAGTATTGTAAAGGAGGCACAACCTGGTTGGGCATACCCAGTGCAACTTCAACGGGGCGCACTGATGTTGGTTTTTGTTTGCGTGTGGCATCCAAGAATCGATCGGAAACAAATTCGGGGGGTTGTACGTTAGAATCGAAATCTCAGAACACAAAAGGAAATTCACATTCACAATTCAGGGCGTTGAGCAAGCGCCGAAAACAGGAGGATAATCGGGCAAACGGGTATAATGGGTTTAGCCCGTCCGAGGGATCGTCTCGGAATGTCCGAAAATCCCCCCGATTCGTCAAAAAATATATCAATGGAATGGACAATAAGAGTGTCCAAATCGAGAAGTCAATTGTAGCGTTGAGTAATAATACGAAAAAAAATCACAAAACCGGTCATTTACATCCTAACAACCATGGGAAATCCTTAGAAAAAAGCCAGACGGAATTTGATGTCTGTATTTTGGTAAAATCAATGCCACAACGGCGTCCATACCGCGTAGAATACATGTAAAGTTTCGCAAAGTGCAAATCAGTGCTGCTTTGTATTTGGTTCAGCCATTTGATGAGTGACCCGCGGCTGTGGAGCGATTAATAAAATAAGAAAAATAGAATGGTGATTAGATGCTTTCAGTGCTATCAGAGCGTTGTTTGGGTTCTGTGGAGTTGGGGTCAAAGTTCGCTTCATCTTTCATAGTTTCCATGCGGCCACGAAAAGTTGCTGCCCGAGCGACGGACATTGAGCGAGAACGAACCTGGAATTTCTAATTAAATAGTGGTAAGGTTCTAAACCAGTGGAAGTCTAATTGTTGTGACTCGGCTCTTAATTGAGATACAAGGTTGTAAAGTATATTCAAATGTTCGCCCTCATTTTAAAGTATTTTGGCAAACTTGAAAACTCTGTAGGCCAACATGGAGTTGGGATATCCAAACCCGTAAAAGCGCTATTTTTTCTATTCTTTTTCTCTTATAAAATTCTCTGTCTAATCAGTTAGGAAAACCAAGATACACTAATATCCCTCACCTGGACAAGATTGACAAGCTGGCCCTGAGTAGCTGAACGAGTAGCCCTCCCAGATGGTCCAGGTTCCCCAGCCGAGCATGAGCGCCCTTCAGATCGCGTGTTCCGCTCCGGGGCTGCTTCCAGTACCACTTCCCGGGGCGGGGTCGCAATCGCTTTCGAATGGACGCTCAATGGGACGACGAAGCTCTTCGCGTTGCTGTTGTTCAGCACCTAAGCCGGGAGTTTTAGCCTCAAATATAGTGTTCTTACCAATTGCGGTGAGGAATTTGGGGTGAAATGAAATGGATCGCTGTGATCGAGGTGTGGAGGATAGGCGAAGACGGCAGAATCGGAAGCAGCCGAGGGCGGTTCAGGGGAATCTCCTCGGTTTGCCGCTTCTCGATCCTCGCCTCGAGATCCTTCGGATGAGCAATTTACCTATATAATTTTATTGGACTAGGTACATAAAAAAAATTAAGTAGCATTAAAATGTCCCTTTTCGAACTAACCTGATATCCAAACGCCTTCAAAATGTCGCCTTTGCACATGGGACACGTGCGATGTTCTAGTAGCCAGGGATCGATGCAGGTCTTGTGAAAGACGTGGCTAAAAATACTCAATACTTGTTGGGGCGTGTGATCTACTACCGGCATGGTAATGTGCGAACAATATCGCCGGCCGCGTACGGATCGATGCATACTGGACAGTCTGTGTCCAGCTCGACGTCGCCGGCCTTGAGCGTCCGGGTCGGGATTCGAGCTAGCGCCTAGATGCACAGTAAAATGCAAATTTGCGTTTTTGGTACCTTTTTGGCAGCATTAAACAACCGTCTTTGTAGACGATCTTTCGCATGAGCATAACGGAATCTTAAAATTATCTTAAATTACTTTAGAAACCTGCCCTACCTTTGGACATAATAAAATACCAGCCATGCTAATGAGATCACCATAAGAATGATAAATGAGATGGACACGAAAAGCACTGAGGTCCGTGAGAACGACCTCAATTCAAAATTGGATTTCAGCTTCAAAAACTTACTTTAAAGCTTCGTTTTCATTCGACTCAACCATTGTGCATTTCTCGAGAAACGCCGGATCTGTAAGAAGCTTATGCGGGAGGAACCACAGTTTGGAGAGAGGATAGATTGTTTTGATGCAAATGAGAGGGCTACCCAAAATTTCAAAACATTTTTAGAGCTAATTAGGGCTCGATTTAGGCCTTGACAAAAGACAATAGGACCTACCAACTGGGTCTCTGAGGGTGAATGTCGAATAATTGGGGGAGATCTTGAGGCCGGCCTCGGACGGCTGGAGCACGAAGAGGTATGCAAAACCTTCCAATAGTGATGGTTGACTGCAGTTAGGACAATCTATAAAAATTGGTTATATTTAAGTGGCTGGAATTCAGAAAACCGGGATAATTGTCTCAGCGTCGGCCTATGACTGAGCTTCAGCCTAAGTCTAAGCCTAAGCCTAACCTAAGCCTAGGCCTAATCCTAATCCTAAGCCTAAGCCTAAGCCTAAGCCTATGCCTAAGCCTAAGCCTAAGCCTAAGCCTAAGCCTAAGCCTAAGCCTAAGCGTAAGCCTAAGCCTAAGCCTAGGCCTATGCCTAAGCCTAAGCCTAAGCCTAAGCCTAAGCCTAAGCCTAAGCCTAAGCCTAATAATTCTAAAAATCCAGGCTCTCCATGTGATCCAACCCCTAGCCAGCAGCCCAGGTTCAAAATCACGAAACGCACGAATTGGCCCCCACCAAGCACCCCTTCAACTCCCCCTCTCATCCATCTTTAAATTCCCTTCCCATCCCATTTAGCCACCGAAACATGCCTATTCCTGCGGCCCACGCTATAAATATTTTATTGACCGCTCCCCACCGAAAGGCCCACACACCCCCCGATTCCACAACATGAAGTTGAAGCCTCCACAAAATGAAAAACAATATTTGAAACTTTTCTTAAATCGATGAATTTTGGGGGTGAAGAATGTTTTTGACAGGATCAGATTGGTGCCCATGGTAATAGCATTAGTGAAAATCACCTGGAGAACAGGTGATTATGTAGGAGAAATTCCCTTTTTCGATTGGGACGGTGACGGGTTTGCATCCGCTGAGATTAGGAAAAGCCCGTATTGTGGTCTGAAAAAAAAGCTCATAGGCTGAACTCCATAAACGAACTCGTTGAAGGCGTTGGAGGCTATGAAGTACATAAAATAACTCACATCTTTGCTGTTACTATTGGGGGGCGGAAAGTTGTCCAGAGTGCCATTCAGCCGCTTGTCCCCGCATTTGAGCGAATCCTGAAAGAAGACCTTCACATCTCCTGACGGGACTCGCTTTTTATAGAACTTCTTCCGGGGCCTGCCCGCCGTTTTGCCCGAAAAGGGGGGAACCAGGTGCCGGGCCGCAGTCGCCAGCTGCCTTTTCTAGCCCCCGCCGGAAAAATGGCCCACAAATCGGCGACGTAACCAGAAATTAGGGGAACACAGGATAAATGGTCACATTTTTTGAGGTCAAATCCCCCAGGAAATTATAGCCCTCGAAGGGGGTCGCCCGGGTTACTGCATTGTTTTGCCCGTTTTTGGGATCGCTTGGGTTAAGGCCCTCCGCGGGGGATATGGGGGCGGCGTTGGGGGCTGAGGCTTCTGCTTGGCTAATGGAATAAAAATCGGCACGCCCGAACCGGGAAGCGTTAGTCATGGGCATCTCGCGAATTCCGGCGGGCCGAGGGAAAATATTTGAGAGGGTACGTAGTCACAGGATGCAAAGTGCACGGGAAAAAGAAGTACATGTACTTAAAAGTTAATAAAGTTCGGGTTTGATATGAAGATTATGAGGTTTAGAGTGAAGTAGAGATAGGGAGAGTACATGTTTTTACAAAATAAGTCTTTATCCCGGGCCTCTTATTGGCTTCGTTGTAGTATTGGGCGTTATTTGCGTGTTTGATCTCCACTCCCTCCTAGAGAAAAAGCTTCCTGGTTTCGCTAAGCCGTGGGCAAACTAATCCGGAACTCCGCTCCCATTCCCTGACGCCCCAAGGCTTCGAACATTTCACGGGAGCCCCCCCTCAAAATGGCAACATTCGCCCCGTAGACCGCGAAATAGGATGGAACCCCGCCTGCCGATGGCAGCCGAGCCGTTCTGCCCGAATGGCTCTAGGCCCTCCACCCTTCTTCCGGCTCCAACTAAGCGCTACGGATATGTACTACGGCGGATCTAGGGGTGTAGTCTCCCACACAGGGCCCCCTGCACTGTGTAGGGTAGGCCCTGGCGGGCCCTTGTTTTCCACGAATCTTGCCCGAAGCCCCCGTGATATCAAAGTAAAGGGTCATGGAAACAGCTCTCGTCAACAACTCCTTTCTTTCCACCTGCTTGATGGAATGGTCTTTGGTTATGTTGGGGTTGATTGGTTGAAAGAAACTTGGAGTGGGCAGCAATTAGAACCTAATGAAGTGATGTTTGATCATGATATTTTTGCAAAGTAAAAAGTTCATAAAGTAAAAAAAAACACACCTGTAATGTGTAGTAGAAATATGTGCAGAGAAGTAGCAGCCCCGTCCACATTATCCGTGCTGAGATCGGCCGGAGATGATTGAGGGCGGCGGACAAATGGTGGCACCTCGGAGGCTCAAGCCTGGAAAAGGGCGACATCAAATGCTTCCTGACGACCTTCTTCCCCCCTTTCCCCCCTAGAAGCGAAGGCGAAGCAACGATGATTTCTAAGCGGAACAATGAGATTTAGTGGGCCACGGCTGAGGGAAGGAGGAGGAGAACTGGGCCGATCGGTGCAGGGGGAGGCCGACATCTGGACGCTCATTAGCCGGGACTGGGGAAGACCTTCCAACCCAGAGCTCCCTACTCATTTCGCGCCATCCCTTAAAAACCTGCTACAAAACCCGGGGTGTAGCGGCCGATTTTAGCATAGATTTGGCAGTACAGAACAGAAAGAATTTGAGATGTTCCGAGGGTCACAAATTTAAAAAATGCCGTACTAAAAGTTTGGATCGAACGAAGACCTACTCGAATTTAAAAAAAATGAGCAACTGCTCCGCGGTCAACACATAATGAAAGAAACAAAAGAGCATACTGTATTTCTTTTGAATTTATGGGATTTTGGATAGGATTTATACGCGCAACGGATTTCCGAATTGATTAACCGGATTACTATCTACTGGTTATTTTTATTACGATAAGCTACAAAGCTACATTCTGCTCTTGATGCAAAAGCTTCAGGAAACGAGATAAAATAACGCGTATTGTAGATAAATCTAGAATATGCAACTTATTACATCGTCCCCGACAATAGTACTTTACAAGACCAAAAGCCCGTGTCTGAGAAATTCAAATTGTTGCCCAAACAGGCGTGATTCGGGGTCCGAACGATGTTTTCGGCCGCCGAGGCGCCAAATTTCAAAACAAATCAACATCAGGCGGGGGAGATTCTGAGGTGGTAGTAGGCAAGGAAAGTACAAATGAATCTTGAGTGCCAAAAGGCACCCTCTCCCGCGCTTCATAGCTTTTTCGAGCTAGGAATTGACCAAGCAAGACCGGGGCTCAACCTTCACAATAAAAACAAAGTTCAACGCCCCAAGGACAAAGTTGTTATGTATCCTAATTATTCATAAACTACAAAAAAAACCGGCTCTATAGAATTGTGGGTGGGGGCGGAGTGTGGGGGAGTGTGGAAGAAGCTCATCGTTTCGGGTCGACTGACTAGAGGGATTATCTCCCATTTTTTGCATCTAATGAGAAGAGATGGCCGAGATCAGCTGGGGGCCCCAGTTACCCATCGATTGAGAGCCCCCCGTCCCTTCGAGGGCTGTGGGCCCTTGGATGGTGGGCCCCAGTGGGGCCCCCTCCACTCCTTTCACTCCGTCCCTCCTTCCTCCCCTTTTTCGGGCCGTTGTTTTGGCCTTCTGCTCACTCTGCGCGCACTTCCGCCATCCCATCCCTCCGCCAATTATTGCTCGGCGCGCAAATTAACCCCCGCCACGCGTGTTGCCGTTTTCAAAGAAAGTTAGGATGAGGGCAATTAGGGGGGACGAGTTGTCAGATTGGTTCGCAGAAGCCGTGGGTCATTAGAGATATTATTTGGCTTTCGTCATTTGCGGAAGAATGACGTTAGCTTGTTGAGGGGAATTTTATAATCGCGGAAAAGCCGGATTTTCGGCAGGGGAATGCAATTTGGCGATACAATTTTGGGGGATGGGATGACGTCCCGGTTGGCATAGAAACAAAAATTAGTAAAATGGCACCTTGGATAGTGTGCCAATTTTTTCTATGTGGTTCTGACTATCCCATCTTGCCAAAATTTTCTGAAAATAGCAACATAGTTCAGAAATCTTAGAATAATTTTGTGAATGTTAGTGCTGGTTACGTAGTGGGTTAAAAATACACGTAAATTATATTTTCCTTGCGAAAATAGCCAATGGACTTTCCATAAAATCTCAGTTGTTTTGACAAGGGTGTCTGGCTCAGTTGGCTTCGTTACCATAATCCTCCAGGGGACTCCAATTAAAAGTCGCGATTTCGAGCAATTTGGATAGGGCAGAAAATTCGTGGGGAGGCGATCCCCTAATTATAAACAAAATTCGTTTTGTAAGGGGCTGGGGTGGCGTGAAGGTTTCAGGGGGGTCCCGCAAATCTAATGACGACCTTTTCTTGGTCGCAGCTGGGCAGTTGGGGAAAGGAGGGTGGGTGAAGAGGAGTGGAATGGAAAAAGGCATTCATCCAAAAGGGGGGGGGCAAGCTTCTGCGGGCCCGCGAAATGGATCAAGGAGCCCGCGACGACGGCGGGCCGGGTGTCGACAACGGGGGGCAGAGGAAGGGAGGGGAGTCTTGCCCACACCAATATGCGCTTGGCAAAAATGCTATAGCAGTTGTGTCCCATAAACTCCGTCTAATGGCCGGGGTACGAATTTTGGGAGTGTCACGTTAGCAGCTCAGCCACGTCTAATTAGGAGCCGCGACAACGAAATTTATCCACCTTTAAATTCAATATACTAATTTATTTCGGCGTTTGGAAATTATGTTGTAACATTAATTGTCCAAAATTTCCATAACTCCAAGATCGATAAATTATAGTCTGTAACCTGACTACCACCCGGAAATTCAATCAAAATCGCGTCTATTGTTCTGGGAAGTTCCCGGAGGGGATTAACCGAAAAAAATGGAACTAGTCACTCACTCGGCGGCTTATTCGCGGCATCAAAAGAGCATCGCCACTAATCTCCGTGTGGCCACTTCGGGACCCTGAAAAAAGTGGGATTAGGTGGCAGGATGGGGTTCGGAACAAGGGTTTTGGAAGGCGTGGTGGTTTTGGGGTAACGAATAACATCTCAAAAATGATTCGAAGAGAAGGTTCTAGGAAGGCTAAGAGCCTTATTCAAAACAAGTACATTTTATAACATAAAATCGGGTGTGCTTGATCTATGCTTGGCAAAGCGGGGCTCGGGAAGGCAGAGCGCTGAGAGGTCCCGAAACGGTGAAATCCGAGTCGAAAAATCAAGTCGTCACTCGGCCGAGCGTCCGCCGCAGATCTCCCACTACACTCCGGCGGGCTGGAGGCCAGCAAGGGTCCATGGGCCCTCACCCGGTTTGTAAATAAAACGAAAAGGGATTGAGTAATCAAGCGGGTATGAGGGGAATTTGGTTTGAAGGAGTAGTTTTTAGATGCTGATGTTTTTTGCAATTTGTTATAGCTCATTCGCTAAAACTTAAAATTCAGAGCCTCAAAAATCGCTTAAAGAGTTTAAACTTAAGTTCAGGAGTTTTAAAGTGGGTTTTGTTCCGAATTTCAAGCTCTATCGAATCAGCTGAATCGAGGCGATCCTTTGTTAGGTAAAATCCAAAAAATGCCCGTCGGCAAGTAGTTCGTGACTTGGCTTCACCTCTTCCCCTCCATTTTGCATAAACAAAACAAAAAGTGCATAGGCACCTTCAAAAATAAACCTAACTAGCTGACCATTCAAGCCACGAGCCGCCGGGGTGCATCCGTATTATTAGGTGGCTGGGATTGGATGGATGTTTTGGGGTGGGGAGGCGGATTTGAAGGGGTGGTAATGGAGGTTGAGGATGAGGAGGACGAAGAGGAGGGGGCATTAGGCCGAGGACCGGGTATTGAGGTGGAGTATCGGCGACTCGGCGCCGATGGGGGGGACGACGGGGGGCTGCGGGTCGGCTGCTGCTCCCCCTCAATTACTTCCCGTACCCAAAAATCGCCGTTGGGTACACGCAGCTCTTCAGCTAGGGAGGCCTTCTGCCCCGAATTCCTGAATGCGCCCCTGGGTAGAGCCGGAAGTCGGGGGACCGCCGGCCATTGCCCCGTTTTTAGAAAGTGGAATTGCGTGGGTTCGCTAGAAATGGGTGTTTTTGGACAAATCTTTTAATCGGAAATAGATAACAGGGCCTGCACTATGCCAAGCATTGAATATATAAGAAACCGTTACGCCGCATTTTGCATACGCAGGTTCCCTCCAGTTAAATTAGCTAAATTTAAAGACTGAGAGATGACAAGCGAATTTCGAGATCATAAAAAGCCAAAAAAAAAATTCGCATATTAAAATTTGAAAGTAATGCAACTTGGGTATCTTGATGCAATGCAAAATTGCGACGTACTTTTCGTAAAGGAGATTTACGGTATAACATTTGCAATTCCTTAAAACCGTATTACTTTTTTAACATTTACCCCGGTCAAAAAGTCCGACCCACTGCCCCAATTACGCGAACACCCCCCTGACGGCCACGTTGCCCAGGTGCTCATTATTTTCGATGTTAGGGAAGCCAATTTATTCGCCTTTTTCCGCGCGGAAAACGGGCCCCGGCCAGACACACCGGTAACCGTTCAATTTCTTGCGCACGGCAATTAAAGGTGGTGTGTGAGACGGGCAACGGGGGAAGTTCGTGCGAAAAATCAGTTCTTGAGTCCGTAGGTGATAAATTTCAAGCAAAAGAGTTTGTAGGGTCCAAGTTATAGTGGATGAGGAACTAAGACTACCCATGCGGGTTCAAGTTCGGCCCGAGTCGAAAGGAGGGGAAGCGGGGGGGGCAAATTACCCGATTCCCGCTGAGCGAAAACAAGTTCCCGGGAGGCTGCTGACCATTAGCCGCCGGGGCGACCCTTCAAGTCTTGAAAATTCTATGCGACTAGAGTGGGTCAGGTAGGTGGCCGATTACTTGGTTAGCTGGGGTGCTCTATGCGGAAGTTATTGTAGTGGAAGTGGTAGGTAGGGCTAATTTTTGCGTTTTCGTAAAAGTCAGTTTTTTTCGAAAATTGCTTTAGATGGTTTTCAGAATATGAGTTTAGAACAGACAAAGCGGGTTTTCGAAAACGAAAATGAAAAAGCAGATTTTTTTATAGAAAAAGTCTTTCTCGAAAATACAATTTTGAAAAAAATTTGCATTTAGCAACGGGAAAGAAAGCTCATTGCAATTTTTTTTCGACAAATAATTTTCGAAAATCGGTTTCGAAATATGAATAGAAATGGGGATTTATTATTCAAAACACTTTCAAGAAAGCTATACTACGCACTAATGAAATTACCCGAATTAGATCGCGTTGTTGTCTACAATGGGAAAACAATTTAGATATTACCCGAATATTTCTACTCCTGAGATCACCCAAACCAAGCTCATGTTCCGAATTTCTTACGCAAGCACTTAAAATTCCAAAACCGATTGAATTTCCGGGTTCCCCCGAAATGAAAGGCGAACATGTATGCGTATTGGAGGTGTGGGAATGATAGGAATTGAAGAGCACACCAACGACTGCCCCCCCTTAGGTGAGCTACTTCGAGGTGTATTGGCGGGAATGGTTAATGGCGGTGATGAAGTGGTTCCATTCCGTTCGTTCACAATGTACGGCCTTGCGGGGCCCGCGCCAAGGTCCCGCGGGAGGAGGAGGAGGCTGGCCCTCCAAAAGGATTCATTTCTTTCAACGACCGCCCTCCCACCCATAAGTCTTCAATGGAATGTTGGTTTTTGGAAATGACCTCTCGGGGGAGTCAAAGGGGTTATCAGGGGGGGGGGGGGGTTTGGGGGGTTAATTCGGTATATTTGCTAAAAAGGTAGAATTTAGTTGAAGGCCAATCCATACGAATAAAAAAAATTAAATGAAATATTAAAATCAATTACTAAAGAAAACTAAAACAACCAGGTTCGGGCAAAAAATCAAAAGCGCTTCTACTGAATCCTGGCTTTTAAACCTGGACCCAACGCACGAGTGCAAGGCCGTAAAAAACTTGTGCCATGTTCGGCTCATTGTTAACCGGAATGGGCGCCCTTGGCCGGACACCTGAACCGCGATCCCCCGTGAACTCCCCCCGCCCGCGACATCTCGGGGGGCTGATGGCAATGACTGTGAGCGGGAGGGCGAACCATGAAAATCATTCTCGCTACTCACGAAATATAGCGATAAACGCAGGGCGGACTATTTTGAAACTAACTCTAAGGAACAGCGAGAAAACAATAGAGCAAAAAATGTTCAAATGCAAATTGGAGACTGAAATTAACGTTAGCGATTTTTAATAAAAATTTCAGCAAGATATCGCATTCCTAGGAACGGCTAAAACATTCCTTTTAGTCCCCTTCTTGCTTTACCTCACATTCAACATTGCTATTTTAAACACGCCCAAACGAAACCTGGGACCTACACGCAACTTACGAAATATAAAAAAGCCCAGGAAAAATTTTTGAATCTACAACTACAAAGCAGAAAGTAAAACCACAAATGCTTGCAGACCTGCAAATTGTGGCTTCAATCTTAACGCTGTCTATAGTATCACAATATTTTAATTACCTATTTGAATAAACTAATTTGCATAGTAGTGTAATAAGCAATTTTGTTTTTCCTGACCCCTCCCCTTATCACCAGAATCAAGTCGCTTCCGGATATCCCTCCCAATTTCACCTAACACCCCTTCACATTTTTTCAGCACCATCTGTTGGGGGAAAGGGCGCGTCTGACGGCGGCTTTTATCGGTTCGGCTTATCACAGAAATTTCAGGGGTGGGGCCGCCTCACTTCTTACGCTTTGGTTTGCCTCGGAGCACGTCAGGGTTATAGTTATTTCATTCTTTCCCAAAACTTAAATCGTTTTGATTTAGGGGATGCAGTGGAAGGTGTTGGTGCCGTTGTTCGCCGCGTTTATTGGAGGCTGTTTTGGTATCTTTGTCGCTTAAAAACTATAGATAAAAATAGGAGCCTGTGATAATGGTGGATTTCTGAAATCGAATGGCACTTGCACATGTCCATCTTTTTGGGATGGACCAACTTGTAACGTGCGACAATGCATAAATGGCGGCTTTCTGTCGGATGCTGCCAAACGCAATAGCTCGTGTGTCTGCCCGCCAGGCTATATGGGACTGGCCTGTGAAAGCGGTAATGAACGCTTTATTAGCATTACAAAACCATGATTTCTTTCCAAATTCATCCACTTCTGCTTTGCCGTTCCCTTTAATTCATAAATTCCAGTCGTTGCCGCCCCAGCACCAGATTTCGCCAACTACCCCTACGATACCGCGTTCAATCTCGTTGTGTTCAATGCATTCACAGATTATTGGGGAATCAACACCTTTAAAGCCATCAAAGTGCAATTAATTTAAACATTCAAAATGGCTTTAGAAATTGCTTGCAAATCACACGGAGTTCTACCAAGATGCAACCACCCAGAATGTAGTTGTGAACACTGGTAATTACGCATTTAAAAATTGTACGTCTTGATTAGTAAATAACTGGAACGACATTGACCTCGACGAACATGCTGCATTCACTTCGAAGGACTACAATGTTTCTGGCTTTTTAAATGCAATATTTCATTGTATATTGCTTAGCGCGAATTTAGGTTGCCGCGATCAGGACCCAACGCTATTCCTGTTTCTCCTACAATGGATTCTATCAAAGCCTGACGAAAATGATCATTGGTGCATTCAGGAATTCCCTATGAAGCCATTTTTAGACAAAAAGCTGCAAAAGACGACGATCAATGTTGTCAGCCAGAATCCGCCACGCTGGGAAGAGTCGGACGATTATCGAGAATTGATCTATCGCGCTAACGCTCATCAAGTCAAGGCAAGTACGACTCCAGCCAAATACTCCAAGAAAATAAATATTCAGATCAATTTCATCATGGTCGAAGACAGCATCTTTACTCGCTGCGACTATTTTAATACGACATTAGCCGCCGCTGGAATTTGGCCACTTACCAGACATACTCAAGGACATATGGCATTGGTTAGATATGATGAGAGTGACGATACTACGGTAGCTAAATAGCGCTAGTCTGAAATGGTTGTCGTTAAGCTCCTCGAAAACCTTTTCCGCCTTGGAACTGGATATGAGTTGGTGTCCCAGGCGGCCAGTGAAGATTGTGGAATGAAGGTATGATTCTTTCATTAATATGAAAGTACAGCAACCATGAAGAACTTCACCCTCGACTTGGACTCGCTAGGAAGCCTCACGGTGCTAACCGTCGTCCAGACCGGAGAACCGACTAAGTCTTTAACCGATTTATCTGTGAATATCACCGGCCCTGCTCTCATTTCGACTTCCAAGTCATTTTATGGAGATCTGCAGTTTTTGGAAGTGAGCAACATTACGCTTGTAATTGGGGAAAGCAATTAATTTAGGTGGAGAGCATCAACCACAGCATGGATGTTGATGTCCAATACAATAATATGGGTACAAAGACCTGCGTGGTCAAAGTAAGCATTTTACGTAATGAGCATGTGCGAATTTTTTTTAGACTTATGTGAAGTCCCCGGAAAGAGTATTTGCCACTTTCATCGAAGATTCTTCCTTGGACAGCGGCACTCCTGGTATCCCATTTCTTGGCAATTTTTAATTAGATTACGCTTACAAGGAGTCGCTTTTAGGTGCTTTTGGAGTTTCTGGACGGGACCTAGCTAGTTCGATATAGAAAAAAATTCTGAACACCATACCATTTTCAAAAAGTGCTGATCGATAAAGGAATTTTAGAAAATTTAATTTAAAGTTCGCGCTTTTTTCTAGTTCTCGGGTCCATTTCCTCGGTTCACGTCGTTTTCCGGGCTTGGCAAGGCGCCATTCATAAGATTCCGCCAAGGCCTCCATCACAGGTTGCATTGGCGTATTGGTAGCGCGCTTCCCTACCAAATTTTTAACATATTTTTTGCCTCGGGTTCGAATCTTCGCGCTGGCTAACCCTTTGCTTTTTGGTTCTTGAACCCGTTGTCGTCGCAAAAAAAATTAATTAGCAAAAAAGCAAAAAGTTAACGATAAATAAGAATCGAACTTGTGGCAAAAGGCCAAAAAAACTTCCTAGGCCAACGCACTAGCCAATTGGCCATGCCTAGGACGGGATCCAGGGCGAGGGAAGTCCCCATGTGGCAGGGGCGGTCGACCGCCGCAAATCAACCTCAAATCACCGCAAGGGTCCGGATACCGGGAACGTTTTTAATTAAATTAAATTTGCTAAAACACCTTTATTGATCAGCACTTTTTGAAAACTGGATGTTGCTCAGAATTTTTTTCTCTATCGAACTAGCTAGGTCCCGTCCCGAAACTCCAAAAGCACCTAAAAACGACTCCTTGTTAGTACTCAGTTCGAATCAACTGGCTTTCGTTGCGCTTCACAAGGGGCGCTCGGACCGACTGAAGACTACACCTGTCAATATGAATATTTGTAAGTCCACATAGCCCCGCTTTTATGCAAGTATACAGCAACCATTTCATCATCGGATGGAACTAAGGTGGATTTGGGCACGAACGGAATCCGGGCAAGTAATTTCGAGTGGCTTACAACGAGCCCATTGAAATGCGATGTAGCTGCACGCTGGAATTGGATCCAGGTACTGAAATGAAAATTTCGTATCGTTATATTTTTTAAATCAGGCATCATTCACTATCGGGCGGGGAAATTTCATCAGATCATTCCCGTTTCTATGCTATCCTGCGATTACACCAACCCCAGCCCCGAGTTCTGCCTTCTGGGATGTGGGAGAAGAAGAAGAAATGGAGTCGCACATTGTACATAGTGAAGCTGCAGATCCTACCTGCTTGGCCAAGCCGGAACAACTAGCTTTCAATAACTTATTTGTTTTTGGCGTTTCGAATACGGTAGGAAGCTTCCCGAACGCCAAGGCCTATTTATTTTGCTAGGAAAGCGAAAATTTCGTCCTTGATCCGGCAACTCTTTTGAACAATCTCAACATTAATTCCACTTCGAAAGTTATTTTGGCTAACTGGGATCGAACCACGCCGGCGCTCATTAGCAACAAAATGGACGTGAGGTGAGTTTTAATGCGGTTCAAGATGGTCATCTTTCTCAAACTCAGCAATGCCCCGGCAGATTTTTATCAAAATTACTCGATAGACGCTGACAAGCGCATAGACGATGCTGCCGAAACTAGACTTTTTGCGACACTGTTACAGGTAATTCATATTAAGTTTTCACAACAAAATTTAGGAATTGGTTACAACAATTGGCACCGCAGAAGAAAACGCATTTTTGACACTGCTGATCGGTGACAGACTTCCGCCCAAGGATGCTTTCTTGGAGTTTAAAAAGACTGCAACTTTTGCCACATTAGTCAATCAGGGACATCGAGTAAGAAAAACATAATAGTGGAAATTTGGCCTTCCAGGTCTTTGCGTTTATGCGGACTTCAGTCGTTGACGGAGAAAAATACAATTCTCGTGATACTGACCCACTAAACAGCCTCACCGGTATTTTTGTAACTTTTTATAAAATGCCCCGCAAATTTTTAGCAACCACGAACGGTCACTTCATTACAATTGACGAAGGTGCCTATAACGTCAGAGATTCGTCGTTCGGGAAGGTTACGAACAATTACAATGCCTGAATAATGACTTAATTCAGCTGATAACGTGGCTTAACAACAATTTGCTTAACTCCCGACTTTTATTGACGAGCAACACCCCGGTCAGTTTTTTTTGTAAATATTTATCGTTAACATTCAGACGCTGGGTGCGATTTCACTGCCGGCATTGACGCTATCCTCGAACGTATCAGTTTTTGTCACCGCCACCGCTCCAGTGTACAAGAGTTTGCAAAAAAGAAGTTCAAATACGCAATTTAAATTAGATGGCGAATACGAGTGCTCGAGTATGGGATTGCGCATTGCAGAGAATCAAGCGATCGGGCTGACAAGAATGGGTACTTTCATATTTGAGAAAAAATTATTGAATTCAGATGGAACCAACTTCTGGATGGGCAATGGCTCTATTTTGAGTGGCACATACCCGGTTTGTTATTGGTAATTACCAACCGCTTTTAGGACATCCGTGTTAGGACTGATTGTATGGTGCCATTGAACATTAGAATATGGACGACGTAAGGATATTCCTTTGAAAAATTCAAATTTTAGCGCGGTCCCTGCTTCGTTGCAGTTTGCTGGCTTTGGGGGGCCAATCCTTACGCCAAACATTGGTATCTTATATGAAAAGTAAAAATCGCAAAATCAGATGACGGCTACACAGCACGCCTGGCTGTCGGCTTTGCCAATCCGGATCAGGTTAAATTTTCAAAAACTTAGTTTTGTCGACAGTTTGGGAATTTCTGAACAACTCTGAAGACAAAACCATATTTTAAGGCCTCTGTCTCCATAGTCCAATGCAATAATCAACCAGGAACACTCCTAGGACGCCAACAAGATGCCGTGAACCAGGATGCATCGATCAAAGATGTATGAAAAAAACCGGCGATGGTGATGTAACTCATATATAGGGAGCAAATTGCACCAACGCTCGATTTTACCCATTCTTCTGCGAAACTGTCCTAAAGGATGGGTGTTCACCAGATTTTGACGGAATTTACTACGCTCAGGTAAATTCATCATTTTTGCAACATTTCGTTTAGTTTGCTGTAAAAACGGCTGATGGAAATGCAGCGCACTTTACGAGACCGTTTGTGTGTCGCGATTTCAAAAATGAGACGGCTGCTCCCGGATGCAACCAGACGGATGGTGACGGAAATATCTATTGCTCATCGAACAACCCCACAGGACCTTATTATCGAGGTGGATTTCCTCTTCATTTCATTTAATGGCCTTATTAGGGCGACAAGGGAAAGTGGTTGACTGTTTGAAAAACGGGTACAATATCTGGCGGGACGATACGTATCCTTGCGAATGCAGCGGTGCTAGCGGTGAATCCTGTGAAAACGGTTCGTTCCTCGTCATTACTTCAGCAATAACCGTAGGAAATTGTGGACTAAGCAAGAATGAAAATCCCGGTGCGACCGACAACCAATTCCGGACATATACCGTTGTTATTGGCTATGCGGAAGCTTCGGATGTGAGCTGGTTCATGCAAAAAATGCCTACATACTTACTGCCCGCAAAGGAAATTTCCGGTGTCTGGCTCTATCAGTTGTATGTCGAAACTAGCGGCTTTGATGGTCAGTTAAGATCCATGTCTTTGCTATTCCCCATTTAGCTTTTCCACTTTACATTGGACCAGATTTCTCTGCCTGGAAGAAGGCATTGGACGCTTTTACCGCAGGCCCCCCAACCGCGTATTTTGACCGAAAGTCTTTTTGTATCCAGGATACGCTCACAAGGGTAAGGAAAACTATGTCTAGCGAGATCTTCAGGCATGGCAACCACTCGGTAAAACTCCGGAAAAAGGGTTGACGCTCGTTTATTATTATGTGGACTCTTCGCAAACCGGCGGCAATTCTAACAATCGCACAACTGGTAATTTAGCCAAAGTCCTTCAAACGGATCCTTCGAATTTCAGCGGTTTCGACAAACAGTACTTTGAACGATTTCTATAAGCAATTGCAGTTGTCGAACCAACAGGTCGGTTTTATGCCTGGCTAAGCTAATAATTGCTAGGTATTTTTGTTCACAAATTACGAGGATGCCGCTCTTTATGGCGATCCTGCTGCATATATCGACAATAACATCTTGCCGACGATCTTTGCAACCGGTGCACCTAGCGGACTCTCAATAATGTTTTAGGCGGCTCTGCTTTCATTTCCGGAGAGGATGCCCAGGATGTAGCTTTTGCTGTAATGGGCGGCGTACGTGGATTAGGCCCATATAATTATTGTCGTTTAGTTTCGGGATATCCTTTACAGCGGAAAACCAGTATCGTTGGCTTATCAAGACAGCTTGGTTAGACTTCCATATTTCTTATTGTGGTTTTAAGAGGGAAGGTGCGCAGGCTACTTTCTTGGCTGAAGCTGGCGATATTTTGGCCTGGAGCGCTCCGGCCTCCTACCAGCTCAAAATTTTTTCGAAACTTTGTACTGGCGATGAGGTGAACACTCCTGCAGAGACAAACGCATTCTATAAATTTGACATCTCGGAGAAATATTGCGTCAGGGTCGGTGTTTTTCTTTGCAAACAAGGCTTTTATCCAGGCGGCAACAAAGGATCTCACCTCATTGGTTCTGCTTTCCTCCGAAGCCCATGGTTTCAAGGCGGGATTTGTGAAAACATGGAATGACGATTATATCAATGCCGTTGCCACCACCGGGACAAGTGAGCAACATTTTAAGCTTATTCCATCTTTTAGCACATGGTCCCTCATTGATGGTGACACTCGATCGACCATACACTTTCACAAATACGGACCCGACAGCCCGGTATGTTTATGGATAAAACCAGACGATTACCGGAACATGCAATATCAGGAATTCAAAGCGACAGAACTGTACATCGAAAACTGTGACTTATTCGTTGAAACAACTGACTTCGACTGGATACAGCAATATTTTGGTAAGAGAAATAAGACTAAAATGACTCGTTTTCAGCTAAATATCCTAGACGGTGATGGCAACCAGATGGCTCAACGATTTGTGCCATTTGCAGTGACTGATCAGATTGGTATGAATTGATATCGTAAAATACATAAGCTTGTATTTAGATTGTGGAAAAGGAACCTTCGATTCTAGTACGGGAGGTTGTATATGCCCACCTGATCAGACCGGAGTGGACTGTTCACTACCTGCATGCGAAAATGGAAAACCAGGGTTCGTCTCAAAAAACAAAGTCGTTCCTATTAAAAACTTAAAAGTATTAAATTTATATTTCAGGACCTGGGGAACCACTTGCAATTGCGATGGCATGAGGACTGATTGTACGACACGTGAGTGCTATGATACAATTAATACTTTTTTATTTAGCCTGGAACGTCCTCGGCGATCCCACAAAAACTGAACGATGGAACTGATCAAAATTGGGCATAAATAAATTCAATTTTTTATTTTTAGTGATCACATTATAAACAAAGTCTCATCCCCGCTGCATACCAAAAGCACAGGCAGGTACTATCGGCTGCGGCGTAATTTATTAAGAAATATTACTTAATAAACGTCTTATCATATTATTTAATGCGTTTTAATCTACTATAACATCTTCTAAATATTTATAGGACTTAGTTATATAGTTTTTATATAAATTGTTTGCGATATACAAAATGAGTGCTTATGACCACCCGCGTCCGATATTACCTGCCTGTGCGCGTGGTATGCAGTCTCATCCCCAGCTTGTCCGCGACGCTGGTAGATAACGAATCTTGGCCTTGAACTCGTCACCATTGGCCACAAATTCAGCAGCATTCTCGTGTAACCAACGGTTTACCTATTTTAATGAGATTCCTTCGAAATTCTGATACCTTTCCTTGAATTTGAGTATTCCTCGCTTCCGGAAAGTTTTTATTAATTCCTTTATTTGTCGGGTGCTTCACTGGGACATCATCTCTAACCTACAAATACTATTTTGGAACAAAAAATGAACCTATTACCTCGGCGTAGTACTGTACCCTCCCAGGATAGTCTACGAAACGATCACAAACATGCTTAATCAGCCCGTTATATCCGGTTTCCCCGATTTTGAGCAAAACATCATGCTGAGTCTCATTCTTATAATAGCAACCTTAAAAACGCATGCTAAAAATTTTTAACATCGAACCTGTCACCCAGCGTCCCGTCTCTAGACATAGCCATTCAAAAGTATCAATACGGAAATTCTCGCCCACTCTACGTGGCTTGTCATCGACAATACAGCGAGGTTCTAAAAATTTCAAGCTCGTGGGAAACCCAAACCTTCTTCGTATCTCAAGCGAACATTGTCTTGATCGCATGCATGCCAAAATTCGGCGACAGTTTGATTAGACTTTGCGTGCGTTTTTTCACCCATCGTTCCCTCACAGCCAACGAATGTTCCGTCTTTTCTAGTGAGGACATATATGAAAATATACGACAGGATACCCAGTTTTAGAATTGCAAATATACATCCAAACATTTTCATCAGTCCACTGCTCGCCGTTTGTTCGGCAAGCACCGTACCAATCGCGGCAGTCGCATGGGTCTTAATGACAATTTACAACAAGGTCCGGTGCAAACCTGGTAATATTTCCTCATTTGTCCCAATTGCAGCATCAACATTGACAGCGAAAATTAGCAATAGAATGAACATATCATAACAGGGCCAATGCCGAGTACAGAAAAGGGAAAAGCCGTTGGCAGCGGTTGACTATGTCACCTGCACAAGGACATCCCTAAGATATATGGAGGACAAAGGGGCGCCCTCCCCCTTCTTTTGGCTTCTTTATCCTAACACCCTATGAGACGATGGTTGCCTATTACAAAACCTGTCTTGGCTACATCTCTTTCCCTCTGGCTAACGTTGCTGTCAGCGCTCTGTAACTAGGGACCATGCAGGGGAAACGACTTGGAGAGGGAATGTAAATTTTAATAAATTATTATGAGTAAGTCTAGCTGAAGCCTAAGTCTAAGCCTAAGCATAGCCTAAGCCTAAGCCTAAGCCTAAGCATAGCCTAAGCCTAAGCCTAAGCCTAAGCCTAAGCCTAAGCCTAAGCCTAAGCCTAAGCCTAAGCCTAAGCCTAAGCCTAAGCATAGCCTAAGCCTAAGCCTAAGCCTAAGCCTAAGCCTAAGCCTAAGCATAGCCTAAGCCTAGCCTAAGCCTAAGCCTAAGCCTAAGCCTAAGCATAGCCTAAGCCTAAGCCTAAGCCTAAGCCTAAGCCTAAGCCTAAGCATAGCCTAAGCCTAAGTCTAAGCCTAAGCATAGCCTAAGCCTAAGTCTAAGCCTAAGCATAGCCTAAGCCTAAGTCTAAGCCTAAGCATAGCCTAAGCCTAAGTCTAAGCCTAAGCATAGCCTAAGCCTAAGTCTAAGCCTAAGCATAGCCTAAGCCTCAGTCTAATGTGTTTCTTCGTGTTCCTTCGAAAACTAAGACATAAATATATGAACAAAAAACTCTTTATCGTCAATGAGGAACAAATAACAACAAAAAATTAGAGACGACGTCCACGATGACCGCCCTTCCTGCGAGTGCTGTCTGAGGGAATGGGGGTGACGTCTTCAATGCGGCCGATCTTGAGGCCACTGCGAGCAAGAGCGCGCAGGGCGGACTGGGCTCCCGGTCCCGGGGATTTTGTGCGAGTTCCACCGGTGGCACGGAGCTTCACGTGCAGGGCGTTGATGCCCAGCTGAAAATTTAGATCGTATATAATTGCTTGATTGCGGTTTTGTATACAAAGTCTCTATCCAAGGCTTAATTCGGCTATTCGGATAGTCTAGATGATTTAGGATACTTCTCAAACAGACATGCGTAAATTTGAGCGATTTTTGGCATGATTGGTTACTTTAGGGCTGACTAATCAGCTTCATAATTTGAATTTTGTGATTTCCAAATATTGACCTGCTTGCAACGCTCGGCGACGTCCTGGGCGGCAAGCATAGCGGCGTAAGGAGAAGACTCGTCACGATCAGCCTTCACCTTCATTCCACCGGTGACGCGAACGATCGTTTCACGTCCTAAATTGGGGAATAATATAATTTCTACGTTAATTTACGAATATTTTTCACAGAAAATTTTATTTTAAGTAAAAATGCGCCTTTAAAAAAGATTTTCATAACGTAATATTTTCGCTATCCTGATGCATTTAACCTACCGGAGATATCAGTAATGTGGACGAAAGTGTCGTTGAACGAGGCGAAGATGTGGGCAACGCCGAAGACGTTTTCACCCTCACGAGCCTGGGGCCCAAGAGCCACCACTGGCGCATCCTCCTTAGCCTTTCCCTTGCGTGCTGGCGGCATGTTTCCAAGTCTCAAATGTAAATATATACATGTAAAATGTATAAAATATTTTTTCGGCAAATTAAAATCATTGAAAATTTGGGGAGACAAATGGGAAATTAAGTGTTAAAAACCTAAAAAGGTAGCTAAAGTTAAATAGAGGCATACCGGAAAGACTGACGCGTTCAGAACTAAGTTTAAAAGATTTAAAAGCTATATTAAACATATTAACATCGACTTTGGTTATGTTGATGTGAAAATTAAATAAATGAAATTATTTAGTTGATACCAGCAAAAATCGGTTGGTATAAATGGCGAATGCATAAGATTTTAAATATATCAACCCATGTGAGCTTTATCATAATTTTTTCTTTAGATTAATGCCACATTCCAGGCGAAAGGCCTCCCATTGATGGGTAAAAAGTCCTATGCTGGAAAATCAAACGAAAATTTGGGCGGGCAGTCGGGTAGGGCGAAAAGGAGAGCAGTCTGCGTCTCCCCATCTGCCCCACTCTCTCCGCAGGGAAAAATGGTCCCGCCGCGATCTTTTAGGGTACGGTACGATTTCACGAGGTGCAATTGGCTCTCAGCTCAAATCCATCTGCCACTTTCTCCGCGCATGTTTTCAATTTTTCACAAACCCTTTTATTTTAAAATACCCTGATTGGCGTGGTCGTGATACTTCGCACCCAGACCCACCCAAATAGGCAGATCCTTTACCTTTTTCGAAAGGTTTCGCTGATAAATATGTTTTCGCTCATGTAGGTCATATTTATTTTTCTATTTGGCCTGACAAAACATAGATAAAAAATTATCGACTCAATTCTAGACCACTGCCATGCAAGGAGATGGTCGAAATATCCGTTAGTGTTCTAACGGACTATGCTCGCGGACTAATTGACTCAATCACCGGTTTTCACGTAAGTTAGAAAATCAATAATCCATTTGTGGATATTTTAGTTACTTTTCTATTTGGACAACGATGAGCAGCAGACGGTTGTACAACATCAGGCACGACCTAATGCGGAACGGACAGTATTACAGGTATCATCATATTTTTTATTGCAATTTAATATGCTAATTTCAGAAAAGGCGAGAGAGGAGTGGCAGCAATCGGCCAACTGTTGTAACGTCTGCTGATGAGGTGGCACCACGGGTTAAAGCATGGATAAGGTATGCTAATCAACTATCCTTCGTGTCTCAGCTTGTCATCTAAATATTAATTTAAATGTGCGAAAGATTTATATAAACCAACGATTTCAGGGTTGTTCAATGTGCCGGTATCAACATCTTGATAGCAGTTGTGCTTCAAGTGCTCAGCTACCTCCTCCCGAAGATCGGCAGCTTTCTCACAGAAGCCCCTACAAACGGAGTCGCCAACTTTGTCTCCGTAGCCGGAATCTTTCCCATCTACGTCTTCTCCCGGATAGTCAATGCTCTCTGGTTCTCAGACATCGCCGGCGCTTGCAAACGTGCCCTCAAGATTCAAGAATGCCGACCCGTTGATTTTCGGTAGGTTTTGGCCTCAAATCATCGTCGATAACTCTCAAAAAACGCCGATTTGTTTAGTAATTCCTTCTATTACAGAAACTTCATCTCCGACTTCATCAACGCGATCCTGCTAGAATTCTTCTTCCTCCTACAATCCGCCGCAGTTATGCACATCCCAATCCCAGTCGTAGCTCCGGTGCTTTCCTTTGTTCATCTGACGCTCCTCCACTCAATGTATTGGTAAGAACATTCCGAAATTATAGAAACAAAAAAACTTTTAGTTTCGAATATTATTGGATGGATCGGCGTGAGATGCTGAATGCTCGAGTCGCAATTATGCAAGCCAGCTGGGTGTACTTTGTCGGTTTCGGGACACCGTTGACTGTGGCAGCCTGGCTGGCTCCAAATTTCATCGTCGGGGGCTGCGTGTTCGGTGCTCTGTTTCCGCTCTTCATTATCAGTAGTTTCAAGGTAATTTTTGGGTTCTATAGATAAAACAAGATCCACGATTTAAAATAGCAGCAAAACATATACCTACCTTTCAGGCGGCCTCAAAGCGTTCGGGTGCTTTCTCGACATCATGTCACGTGCCTTCACTACGCGTCTTTTACCCCTCATCAATGCTCACCGACGGCATCGCTACCTTCTTGGCCCGTCATATCCTCTCCCAGCGCTGAAAGCGTACCTTACGTTGTACCTCGAACCACGTTCGATTTTCACCTCCCCCACCCACTTTACCAATGCCAAAATCCTGCTCAAGTGTACAGAACTTGTATCCACCGCCAGTGTACAGAAATGAAATAAAAATAATATTATATTGAGTCTTTGTCGCTTTTTGCGGTTTGAGAACCGTTGGATTTCTTGATGCAAATGTATTTTTCTTATTTTTGTATGACTTCTAGGATTTCCAAGTCTATATTTACATTCAGGAAATGACCAAGCCCGGTGTTGAAGCACTGGCTCGTGGCCTCGATAAGGGACACAAGATCACCAAGCTCGAGAGGAAGCCGATCCAGTCGCGCAGGAAGGGAGTCAAGTCCAAGAAGGCTGTTGTAAGTTACTTAACCATGCCTCTACCCTTAGAACTTCAAGTACCAAATATAATCAAAACATATTACAATTTTCAGGCCGTCCGCGAACTCGTTCGTGAGATCGCCGGCTTCGCCCCGTACGAGAGGAGGGCCATGGAATACCTGAAGATCTCCAAGGATAAGAAGGCGCTCAAGTTCTTGAAGAAGCGCGTCGGAGGCCACTGCCGTGCCAAGCATAAGCGTGACGAGCTCCAGGACGTGCTCATCGCCATGCGCAAGCACCACAAGTAAATGCATCATCGCGGCATCCCCTTTTTACCTTTTTGCTCGTTGAATAAATTGTTATGTTTTATTCTGAGTATTCTGCGTTATACGGCGGTGTTAACAACACAGGATTTTCAACCAGTTACAAGAGATTGGTTTTTAAGCTACAGAATTATCAGATTTGACACTACAACGATTCTAGCAAAACTTTGCATCCTAGGCCAGCCTGCCCACTTTCCTGCACTTGTAGTTTGTAGCCCGCACTTGGCTTTCTTCCTTTGACGATTTAGGGCTTGGCCCTACTTGCAAAAATCCTTTCTAATACATTTTAATGCGTTTTATGTCTTTTTCTTTTACGTTAATTAGTGTAAAACAATTTTTCAGCGTAATGGCCACTCGGGCAATTCGGGCTTTTGCGTCGCTCAACACTGGGCTTACGAGGACGGGCAGCATCGTCGCTCGACGATTTACGCCAATTGTAGCTGCTGAAGCCATTACAATTCAGGTATTTTTGGATTATAGACGTTCTATTGGACAAGATTAACCTGAAATTATGGGATTCAAAGTTATGTGCAAATTTCAGAAGCGCTATGGCTCGGCCCAGGTTTTCGGCCCGTTTGACCCACCAACGCCCCTGACTCTGAAGGATGTGAGTTTCTAACGTTAAAGATTTACCATCTGCTGAACTAAGTTAAATTTTATAGAAATGCTCATATTTTTCAGGTGGAGACGCGAGTTTTGAAAGCGATCCGAGCCTGGGATCGGTTCCCTGCCGACAAGGACGCTGTTTTGAAGTTGGACGCGAGCTTTTTGCACGATCTCGGCTTCGACTCATTGGATCATGTATGAAGTTGGAACTCGGTCTTTTATTAGTGTTTAGGTAGAGATCACGATGGCGATTGAGGACGAGTTCGGGTTCGAGATCCCGTTGCAGGACGCCGAGAAGATGAAGTCGCCTAGGGATGTGTTCAAGTATATTTGCGAGCGGGAGGATGTTTTTGCATGGTGGGTTGGATTATATGAACTACAAAAATTGTTAAATAGTATAGAAAAATATATTGTCATATTATAACTCTTCAAAACTTCAAAAGCTATAGAAAAATTTGCATTTTTGATCCCAATTTAGCCTTTTCCCTTCCAAACTCAAATTTTCAGAATACAACGAGGTACGCCCGATGCTCATCCCACTGGCTAAGAAGGCATATGCAAATCTATGTAATTTTCTGTGTGTATAGCCTAGTGCGTGATAGAATAAAGTTCATTTATCCATTTGATCTTGCACCTCACCCCCAATCTGCCCCTCCAACCCCACGTGGGCAAGTGTCTTGCTGACGAAAGCAGCCACGATTTCGGCGACATGGTATGCAGATTTGGTGCCTTATCATTGGCAAATGGTTGTTTGATCTGATGAGATGATTGCCGGAGGGGGGTTGTCACGTGGTGGGATGAGGAAATACCCCTGGTTGGTAGGGGTTTCCTTATCCACCATAGTCAGTCGGGCTACCCGTACAGAGGAGTTACTTGGAACGGCCGTTTCTCGATTCGACTCTCAGCCCAGACGTATGATAATAGTGCAAGATCGGAAAAACCATCTTGCTAACTCATCGATTTAAAGAAGGTTCCAGGGTATTGGATCTAGCTTCTTATTCCACTATTTCTACAATTTCCTTTTATGTTCTCAATTTTCTTCGCATTAAAAACATATCGTAACCTAAAAAATTCTTTTTAGAATGTGTGGAATAATCGGCTTGGTACAAGCGTGTGGCTGCGATGCAAAAGGAGCTCTAGCAATCCTAGCAGCAGATGGGCTCACGGCCCTCCAACATCGGTAATGCGAAAATATAATATTTAAAAAACAAAAGTTTTAGAGGAACTGAATCTGCCGGTCTGGTTGGCTCAAACGGATTGAACAAGAATGTGTTTGAGATCGTGAAGGGTCACGGTTTAGTCCGAGAGGTTTTCACTGATGAGTCTATTGCCAGGCTTGATGGTAGGCTTATCAAAAATTTCAAATAGTTTTTTAGACTCTGTAATTATCATGGGGCATAATCGTTACTCGACAGCAGGGAAGAAACGAGTTAGTTTGGGCTACGGTCGAGGTCATCAATCGTTTGTTTTCAGCCTACAATCAATTGTGTCCAACCATTTGTTGTCTATACGGCGATCGGAACAATTGCCATTGCTCATAATGGAGAATTAGTGGGCGCTGAGGCAAAGCGTAAAGAGGTATTTTTCTGTAGACTGAATTCACATTCTGTCAGGCTCTCCATCAAGGAGTCGGCCTCTCTACTGATACTGATTCTGAGCTGATTGCGCAGGTAAATTAGATCTGACAAATCATAATTCTCATTAAGATGATCGCAAAAGCTGTAGCTCTAAATTACAAATGCCGACAAAGCAGTGAAACAGGGGATATTAGCAGGGTACGAAAAAGCATATGAAAGCAATCATTGTCTTTAGGAACTGGCCGTTACTATGTCAGCTTTTGAGACCTCTTATTCGCTTCTAGTGATGACATACGACCGTATGTATGCTATAAGGTATCATTACCGATATTTGGGAGTGAATGAAAGTCTAGAGATCCCTGGGGAAACCGTCCCCTATGCGTAGGAACAATGTATGCGAATGGAGGAGTTGCCAACGGTAAACTATTTGGAATCTTTTTCCTTACCTCCGCAAATGTTTATTTCTGGCGTTACACAATTATAAAACAAATTTAGGTAGCACTCCTCAACCGCTCGGATACGTCGCAGCATCTGAATCCTGCGCTTTGCCACATACAGGTTCTGATTTCTCTTGATAATTAATAAAAAAGTCTTTAGCGAAGTTCGAAATGGAAGTGAAACCCGGCGAAATTATCGAAATCAGCAGGAATGGTTTCAGAAGTGTTTTCCAAGTAAATCTTTCCTTCGAAAGCAGTAAATCCATTTTTAGATGAAGCCCCACAGCCCTGCAGCGTTCTGTATCTTTGAATATGTATATTTCGCACGCGGGGATACGATATTGGAGGGTATTAGCTAAAATTCAAAACTACATTACGGATTTTAGGACAACAAGTTCAGTCTGTACGCGAGGAAACCGGCCGGATTATGGCAAAGGAGTCACCCGTTAGTCAAGCTTTCAAAAAAAAATACATTTTTGGTGCAGGTTGATGCGGATATCGTTACAAATGTGCCGGATAGCTCCACAGCTGCAGCAATCGGATATGCTGAACAGGTAAATTGTGGAAATTATCGTAGAGAGCGAATTTCAGGCCGGGATTCCCTACGAACCCTCACTTCATAGGAACGCATATGTTGGTCGTTCTTTTATACAGCCAAATACAGGTATTTAGCAAAAAAAGGTGAAAATCTTTTTTAAAGAACTCCGGCAAAGCGCCATCCTCCGAAAATTTGGGGTCCTGCGCAAAAATGTCCAAGATAGGCGGATTGTGTTGGTGGACGATTCTATCGGTAAGATTTTTTAGGAAATTTGCATTTGTTTAGTCCGAGGCAACACTATGGGGATTATTGTCAGGATGTTAAAAGAAGCGGGAGCCAAAGAGGTATAACGAATTTAAAATGACGATATATATTTTTAAGGTGCATCTGCGTATCGCCTCCCCACCATTGCGACACCCATGCTTCATGGGCATTAACATACCTTCCTCTGATGAACTGATTGCTGCTAATAAGACGTTAGAAGATATGGAAAAAGTGTTGGGAGTAGCTTCACTACGATACCTTTCCGTTGAAGGTATAACTACGGACTTTTAAAATTATTTTTGTTTAGGCCTAAAGGCAGCAGTCGCCAAATCGATCCACTCGGAGCGTGGTTTTGAACCTGGCCAATGTACCGCATGTTTAACTGGAAATTACCCAGTAAAAATTGATTTTTAAGATTTATCGCAAGTAGCCTCAAACACAATTGTACATTATTTATTCCTGGAATCCATGCTCCTTCCTCAATTTCACTTCTAACTCCTCGTATTTCTCGATCAATGTTTTGTACACATCTCTCAATCCTCGGGGCTCCACCCTGTTCGTTGCCTCGAAGCCTGTGATTTTTGTTGTGCCGAGTTCTTTGCCTAAATTATTTTAATGAAAAAAATTGTTTTTAACTACCGTATCTTGCACGCAATGCTCCGCCCAAGGCCGCTGAGTCTGGGACTGCGATTGTGAACACCGGCAAGTCAAAAATGTCGGCGATCAGTTGAAGAAGTGCAGAATTTATAGACGCTCCTCCAGTTACAACGATTTTGCCTGGAACTTCGATGAACACCTTTAGAAAATGTCGATACCTTTCCCATTCCAACCTAATCGTTTTGCATAGACGAGCTTGGAGATGAATTGACCCTCGAGGACAGCGCGGATTTCTATTTCTGGGGTGAACTGTATTCAATAGGGTTTTTCATGGAATTCATATACCTTAGCGCGATTTTCAACAGGATATCGATAATCTCCAGCCTTGATTGGAGGCGCAATTTCGTTATGATCATAGTAAAAACCTAAATGTGATCAGGTTTTAGAGCTTTCGCTTACCAATGTTGCCACCATTTCCTGAATCGGTTTTGGCTAGAATCGCATTGAGATCAACCCATTCAAAGCCGATTGACTTCCGGATCCGCTCCCTTGTTAAGCTACCATTTTTAAAACTAAAAAAGTCAAGGTTTTCGATCTAAAAATCGGACCAACCAAGCCATTCCCATCCAACCCTCGGCATTTGGATGGACAAAGAGATGACCATCCGTGCAAGCATTGGGCGATTTAGTTGTGAACATTGCTGTATCGCTAGTACCCAAAGATATCAGTAAGGTTTCTTCATCGACGCACAACCCGACCAAAGACGCTAAATACCATATTTTAAAGTTTGGGACGCTCGCTCGACTGACCTGGATTATCGCCAGTAAATGCTAAAATCTGACAATCAGGGCTAAATCCATACTTTCCTGCTAGAGGTTTGGAAATCTTTCCCTAGAAATAGATTTATGTTTTAGAAAGGCATTTGATACCAAAGTTTCATACGACGAAACTGGATCTCCAAGCTTCAGCTTCAGCTCCTCAGCAAATTTAGCGGAACAAGTATCAAGTGGAGCAAGAGCTGAAAATATATGCTCCAAACTTTTTACTTCAAATTACCTTTCAGACAATCCTGACTCCAGGTCCTGGCGTGAATATCCAAAATATTCATCCCGCTCCCATCTGCGTAATCGATTGGCGCGATTTTCCCGATGAGTAACGAACCGAGGAATGAGGATACCAATGATATGTTCTAAAATCAACGATAAAACTGAAAACGCTATTGGTTTTGTACCTGCGTCTTAGAATACACATCTTGTTCGTACTGCGCAACTTTAGCAATTTGGCTACCACTGAAACGATGATATGCACGCGAGCCGGTGATTTGAGCGAGGACCTGAATCAAAATTGCATAATCGTGAAACGCTTTACCAGTTTTCCTCCAACTTTTGATTCGAGTCTATCGCATTGCTCTCCAGTGCTTGAATCCATCCAAATGGGACAATCGATTTTGGTGAAAGCATTCTAAAATAGGAAATATTGATTCGTAGCGTATCTTTTTGTTTTTACAATTCCATATTGTCTAAAATTACCAAAAATTCCTCGCTGGTTAGGGGAAGTTCCGACGCGAGGATACTTTCAGCTTGCTCACTCCAATAGACCGTTCCATGTTGCTGAAATTCAATCTTCCATCTTACTCATCTTACATACTAGCTAATCTTGATATCTAAGAATGTTATAAAAAGACAAATAAACCAAACAGAAGCCATATGTACCTGTCCACAGCCGGAAATCGCTCGAACATTACGCAAATCGATCTCGCCGCTTTTGGCCAATTTCGTAAATAACAAATCAACAGCGGCCAGCCATAAAGACACCGGACTTGTGACAACATCACCGTTTTGATGAACGCCATTGTTCGTTCTAAAATTTCCATATCTCAATCTTCGCTTTCCCAAAATTACCCAAATTGCGGCAAATCCTTATCAAAATTGACTGCGATTGTCAATTTAACTTTGCATTCCAGGTCCAGAACAATGCATTTTAACTAAACATCTCTATTTTGACATGCTTATTTAGTTTTCACCTGTTGTGTGCTCAAATCAAGCCCAATGTACAGCGGCTCGGCCATCGAATTACGTGTGCTAATTGATCGAATATGCTGATCAGCGCCCAGGGCTTTGTGGCTATGTCTGTTTCTCTGCCCCATTCCCAGCCGCGATTTATGGGATGATAGCTGGTTATTTGATGCGCATCTGCGGGAGAAATGGATAAATATTTATTGATTGGACCGGGAGAATCATTGATTGTTTTTAATACTATAAATAAAAGTATAAATGAGCAATACTTTTTTGATATGAAATCAGGAATACATTTGAATTCGCGGATTAATAAATAAAGAAAATTTTTCTGTTAAAGTCGGCATTTAAAACTGTGATGCCGAGTGGTTGTCCACGAATTGGCAGTCCCGAAGTGCTTGTCACCAAAATTGTCCATTTGACTGCCCATACCGCGTCGCGGTAATGGAGGTGGACCTCGTAATTCGCTAAAGCCTAATAATTTTTGAGAAATATACTCCTTACGTGCACACTTGGGCATCAGCAATATTATCCATACTTCTCGCTTTCTTCCCAGGCCGATTGAGCGTATCCCCAAACCTGGAAATTAAGCTGATGGATGCTTTACCGTTAACCTACAGTCTGAACTGTTGATGGGGATCGTCGAATGAGGGGATTTCGCTGACAGATAAATGGCTGATGCGTTTTGAATGCAAACTATCGAAGAGCCCGACCTAAAAATATATCATCTATTGGTAATTGTGTTTAATATCATTTAGATCACAAGGCCTAGCTCACCTTTGACAAATCCCCCATACTCGCCATTTTTGGCTGTCCCACCAGCCTTTCCCTAATATCCGAAACTTTGCTATGTGTCCGCGAAGGCATCATCGAGCGGATCTGGGGCCTGCAGCTTTGTTGTGGTGTGGATTTTTCGAAACGATAAAACTACCTTGGCACCAGAAGTCCTGATAGGAATAATCGATGCTCGAGGTCCATAATCGCGCGTTGATGCTCGGGTCGGGCGAGGAGGAGCTAGAAACGGTTTTACAAAACTGAAAAGTCAAAATTACCTGTATATTGGCGTGCATAATTTGCGCAGTTTCAGGGCTATCACATCTAAACATTCAATTAACGATAGCGAAGATTAACCTACCGATAACAATGGACATGCATTGGGGATTGCATCTCAGGGTTTAAGACAAGCATCACCACCCCGACAACGTCGTCGAATGGAGATTTTCCGGTTACGCTAGAAAAGAGGATTAAAACCAAATTTCAGTATGCCAATACTGTTTGGAAAACCTGCCAACCTGTAGGTGATACAATTCGCCGAGATTTGGAACTTGACCAACTGCGGCTTCACCTTTCCGGATCGACTCATTGCCGGAACCGATTGGATAAGTTTAAGGCCTTTATGAGAGATCTGGAATGGCATCGGCTATAGATATATAAAATTGACAAACCTGTACAGTGGCTTTACTTGGTGATTTCTTTAAACTTTCCCTTAATAGATAGCGCATGGCTGGTAAGACCACAGCAGAACCGCGGACCTAAACGGGTCAATAAATATAATAGTGATAAGAACAAAATACAGAATATTTTAAGACGAATCCATACCCCATCCGCCTCACGCGATCCCAGGTACCACACATAAAAATGGGACTTGGCGATTTTATTGTTGTTGAAAAGCCAAGCCATCTCATTTCATCGTCGTACCTTCTAAAAAACAAACTAAAGTTTAGAGTAAGTTTCTATAAAACCTGGGAATTCAACGGAACAGAAGATGGAAAAAGGGGAAATTTGGGGCTTTTCAGGCTCGGGGGTTTATTTGAGCAATCGGCGTTGACAGATGACAGCTTCAGCAAGGGCGATCAAAACAAAAAAGCGGAAATTGGGGCAGTAGGTGATGTGATGAGGTGAGACGTAGTGCTTCGGAACTTAATGTAATTAAAATAGCAACAACAAAGAGATTTCGAAGCGTTATAGTTCTACCGCATCTAAAGTCTGGAAGTGCGCTAAACAAAAGGAGCCATAATGGATAAAATCTGAAGCCAAGCAAAAAAATTAATACACGCCGATGCAGACACCTTAGCTAATCCAATGAAACGAAGCCCAGACGCATTGAAGTGGGTCTGGGACCGCGGCGTGTGGCCACGGCCATGATTCGGGGAGGTGAGGGGGGATGGGTGTTGATGGGCTGTCAAGATGACTCCGCACCGCTTCCGCTTCCGATGGCCGCCGTCCGATCAGAAAAATGGGATGCATCTATTGGGTCGGAATGGGTGTTGAGTGGCCGATCCCCGGCGCCACGTGCGCCACACACGGCCAGTGAATCTCGCGCCGGGTCCTTGAAAGTCACACGTTCACGCAGAAGCGGAGTCGCTCTGGCGTAGTTTGATACGGCGCAAAACAATTGAATTACGTCGACACGAATAACCTCTTTGATAACAACAAACAACAATGATCATTTTCTCAGAATACCATAAAAAAATTTCGAAGATGCAAAAGGAAATTGATGGTAGCTCGGTCCTAAGCCTAAGCCTAAGCCAAAGCCTAAGCCTAAGCCTAAGCCTAAGCCCATGGGTAAGCCTAAGCCCAAGCGTAGGTCTGAGCGGCCTGGTCGCCTAAGCCAGACTTCACTTTTGAAGCTTCCCTATCCAGTGTCATTGCCGCACTCCTTTCGCGACCAGTAGCCGATGTCTTCGAAAATATAATAACCATTCATCTTGCTCCTCACTTCACACAACCAGCCAGGCACGCAGATTTTTTGTTTACGAAGCCCGAGGTCGGACGGCGACGTTTTTAGAAGCGCCCAAGTGGGTGGAGCAGCGCCGGCAAAATACCCGGCCTTGGGTGGGTCTCGAGGGGGGTCTTGGGTGGGCCCCCAGTGTGTATTGCAATATGCCTATGGGGCTCCGTGTCATTAAAAGGATTATGAAAAGGCCGTTGAGAGGGGGGGGGGGAAACGGCGAAAAACGCTCGGCGCCGACGCTCAAGCCCTTTGGCTGGCGGTGGTTCTCCTCCAGGGGTTGAGGGAGGAGGCCATGGCCACTCGATTCTCAGCCTCATTTTTGGGCCTCCTCGCCGGCCATTCCGGCCCACTTAGCAGCATCGGGGGCCATTACCCCTTGGGGTTGGCTGGCTGGCTGTCGGCCAATGCTTGGAGTCAGGTTGTGGCCGCGCTATTTTCTCGCCCGATGCTCTGGGTTTTGAGTGATTTGTGGGCTTAGTGAGGCGCCATCGTATTCTTTTTTGGGAGAAAACGGCAAAGTTCGGGCGAGTTTTGGGTTATTTGTATTTTAATTGATGCAAAAATTCTCATGGTATGCTGGGTTTTTGTTCTAAATTTTATAGTCATCGGAACGTTTTTTCAGTTTTATAATTTTTTTCGAAGGTTTTCAAGGTAAACTGCAGTCTTTTTTGGATGTTATAATCTATAAATTTTTATTTGTTCAAAGTCTAGCTATCCCGCATATTTCTCAATTACGGTAACCTCCCCTTTCATTCCACCCCAAGATCCTTCAATGATTGCACAAAAAGCCGCTTGAATACCCTCCCTACCCATCCAACAATTAGCCAAAATAATTCGTGGTTTGCTGCCTGTGTTGGAGGGCATGACGGGGCTGAGTGAGGGGGTAGTGGTGGTGGCTTTCGAGTTCTTCGGCCCCAATCAGCCACCTTGTTAGCCGAGCGAATCCCTCCAGAATCGGGGCCCAAAACCCGCCTCGAGGTCGTCTTTCGGCCGGCCTTGCCCTTGCCTTTGACATTCAAACTTTTTTATGTTGCTTTCTTGTGGTCAGAGTGGGCGTGCTCTAAATTTAGCGAAGGGGTTTGTTTATCAGGGAACGAGAAGATCCTGTCTTGTTAGGAAATAAACGAATTTTGTTGCTATTTTTCAATCGTTTTTTATTATATATTTTGATAGCTTCCCTCCCCTGACGCGTGATTTCTCTTGATAGCGGATCTAATTTCGAAGCGAGGGGAGCTGATTGACCTTCTGAGAGAATTCCTGTAGCTAGGATTGTCTTGGTTTGTTAGCTAGTAGATTTTATATCTAGTAAAGGTCCTCGACTCATAAACCCTGTATCCCAAAGTTCGACCCATATCCCAATATTATAATGCTTTTAAACATACCTCAAGGATACTTACTACCTTGCAGACCATTCTCAAAAAAACGTGAACCCTCTATGCTTATTCACAACTTAGCTGTATTTCGAGTCCTACTCCTCATCTCCACTCCTCCCTCCCCTCCGGCACACGTTTAGGGGTCAAAGAGTGTGTATGTGGATGTGTGCAAGGAAGAGACGGAAGAGGGTAAAGCTCTTTTTCGAGGCGGTCTGCCCCCGGGGTGGGCCCGGGGAGTGCGGGTGATGATCTGGGGGGCAGTCGGGATGCAAATGTGATTTGAAGGAGAGCCTTCCTCCCCCCTCCACACTCCTCGCTCCTGCCCCTTCTTGCACAGGGACTTCTCCTCGCCACTCACACAAATCCCGCATCGACAAAATATCTCCCGGGGGCGGACGATGTCGTTTTTTGGGGTTGGGCGATTATCCTCTTAACGGGGTTGCGTTTTGGGGATAGGTGTCATTTGACGCTTTTTGCGCGTCCTTTGGCCAATTAGAGGGGATTGCTGCCGCTTTTGGAGGTTAAGAGGTTGACATGAGGTTTTTCTAGGGTTGTGTGTTTTACGGAAGTTCATTTGGGCTAGATTTGTCATGCTCTACCATCTCTGAATTAACTCAACGTCTGATATGCAGTCGTTTGGAGATCCTAATGCTTTACGCCTTGCTTTATTTTTTTTTTCTGGTGTTGGCATTCTCCAATTTTTAGTGCGGTTTTTTACTACCACAATTACTCCCGATGTTTGGTCAATCAACCCCAAATTAAACGCACACTTCCTGAAGTGGGCACACTTCCGGGGGTCGCCGGCAGACGTCTCGCTTCAAGTGAAGGTAGAGGAGGAAGAGGGGGCCAAATGGGCAGAAGACAATGAAATAGAAGCTCTGCTCCCCCACAGGGGTGGAAGGATGGGGGAAGTTGCGTGAGCGGGGTGGGGGAGGCCCACCGGAAGCCGAGTCTTTCAGCAGCCATGCCCCTCCCAAATGGGCCTCATGGCTGACAAGAGATCCTCGCTTCCAAACAGCACCAATTCTGGCTATTTGCAGAGCGCTATTGGTTTGGCTTTAGGATTTGTCTTCGATTGAAAAACTGGTTTTTGTTTTTGCTACCAGTTTTTAGGATAATTTGGGTATCGAATATCTGTTTGTTAACCCGGGTCACTTCCGGTGTATGCTAATTGTTTGCCGACTAAGATGATCTTGCAAAGCTCTAGTTTTTGGGTCGCAAATAGATCATTTTAAAGCACTTGCTATAATCCCAGTCAGCTTTAGACCGTTACATACCTAATTACATACCAAACAACCCCTTAAATTTCTCAGTATCGAGATACCCTCCCGACATTCTGAGTAAGTCGTATGCAAAGTGGTATTTCTATGCTTGGTAAAATTTCCCATCATATACCTTATTCTCGAATATCGGAATCCCTACCCATTCTACCCTGAAAAAACCCATGCTCACCATTAGTCAGTGCCATCTCATTGAGGGTGAGCCATTCGAGCAGCCTTATACCACAGCCCATCCTCCCATCCATCAGCTGCCATTTTGAGGTGGCGCCCACCCCGGGCCCCCGAATTCGAGGCTAGCCACCCTGCCAGGTCAGAAACATCCAAATCCTCAGCTAATTTTTGGTATTCGAGCGTCTTGTCGAGCTTAGCCGGGGGGTTCCATTTCCGGGAAATACCACCCACCTCCCACCGCTTCAGACTCATCACCCAAATGGACTCGATGTCCCGCCACCACTTTCGAATAACATCTGACGTTCGGTGTTCGTATCTTTTCGTTAGCATCGATTGGGTATTATTGAGCTAGAGCTTGGGGTTAATCGAAAACGTTCTTAAACTAACTGATTTGTATTTTATACTAACGACCATTTGTTTTAGTTAAACTTTTCCATTTTCTCGCAACATAAATTACCTCATGGTTAAAGAAGTTAGTATCTTTTGTTTGTATCTTTTCGTCGTATTGACATTACCTTATTTTTTCACTTGCATTACTCGTCTAATTTTTGTTATATCAGGCAAAGGTCAACTTTTTAAACTAATCGAAAGAAGATTTTATTAAATAAGTGTTTGCTTTAGGACGAACTTCAGATTAGCAAATCCGTATATTTACTGTGCACGCCCATTAACCTGTAATTCGTATACCTCAAATCAGATTCTTCACCAAAAAAGGTGCAGATGCGCTTGGCCGCGTTGAAGAAGAAGACGCAGCGGCGCATCATTTGCCACGCTTCGGCGCACGCCGACACCTCATTCCTCAACGGCTCCGCACACACACACCTCCTCCTCTTCTTCCTTCTTCCTTTTTCTTCCCTCATCCTTGAAAAGAAGCACTCAACTGCCGCCGACTAGTAATATTTCCGGTTTCGATTTCCATTTTCTTGAACCTAAATTTTCCTTCCTTTTTCGTATTTGGCTGTATTATTTATTTCAAAGACCTGCTGTAGTGGAAAGGGAACAATGGAGCTCCGTTTTTGAAAAGGCGGTTTATCCGGAATTGTTCTTTTGAAACTTTGCGGCTGAAAACTACCGTTTACCTAGGTTAGGCCAGCTCAATTTTAATTTAATTTAATTTTGCAGTTAAATTTTAATTAAAATCAATTTGAATCGTGCATGGATTCGGACGGGATAAAATAGAATGCAGCGCATTGTTATACGGAGTTTTTTAAGCAGTTCGTAACTCATGCCATATTTTTATCTAAGGATGCTGTCTATAAGTGCATGGAAGTCCGCAGTCGGTGGCCTGGGTATGGTTTCTAGGATCGTTTAGGTTTCTTTGAATGTTGAGGGGCAAGTTGCCTCATCAGCTGTACCTTCCCTTCTCGAGTTAGGCAGAAATCGCACATCCACCTGTAGCGAATGAGGCCATTTGTAAGTCCCTAAAAATAGTGAAGCAAAGGTTTAATCCGCAAAAAGGAAGGCCGGGGTTTAGTTTCTTGATCATGGATGATTTGAACTTAGTGCCGATTTTTTGAACTCTAAGGTATCGGCAACTCCCTACCACTGAACTCGCTATGGTCGATTTGATGTGGCAGCCGATCCGACGATCATCTTTCTTAGCGCAATTTTCCAGGCTTTTTCCAATGCGTTAACCCAAATCAAAATCCTAGCCTGCGATTTCGAGATACGTTGCGTCCAGGCCCGAAGCGCAGATCGACAGCTCTGTTAAAATTTCCGGGATGATTTGGATATAAATCAACTTTGCTAAAATGTTTTCTGTCGGCATCTAAAAGAGTACAAAAACTAGTTTCACAAAATAGGATCAATTGCCTATAGGCCCTGGTGTGGTTTCCATGATTTTTCAAAAATTGACCAGGATTGAAAAGCCGCTTCGCGACTTTTCAACCCTGGCCCCGTCTGATCCTATCATATTCCTCAATTTGCATGATCCTGCGATTTTCGATGACAAAAATGCGGAACCCTATATATAGACTACCAAAACTTCCGGCGTATGCTAACTGTTTCCTAACAAAGAGGGTTCGTGATTTTTCAACAAAAACTTAATTTTAACGTCGAAAACACTTAATTTTTCAAAATTTTATGATTGTGCAGTCATCCCAAGGCCATTACGCACCTAATGACATATCATCCACACCCCTAACTACTCCCCCTCATGGGATACTACTGGAACACGGTGACGGAAGTTGCATGCAAAGTGGCACCGACACACACACAAACACTATTTTTTTTATATATAGTAGGATACTACGCAGACCTAGAAGTCAGCCCCCCTGCCTTTCTGTCGCTCCGGTATGCGAATTTGAAGACTCATTTTTTACTTTGCTGTGGATTCCTTTAGTTCCCACTCCCTTTTGTTAAGCTTGCCTGGAAACGATGACAGCATCTTACTACTTACAAATCTCATAAGACGAAGCCGGCTAAATCCACTAACAGGTAAATATCACTCACCTTTTGCACATCCCAAAACTAGAGGTTAGGTCTGTAAGCGGAAAAGGCAGAAAGGCAGCCATAATTCGTGGGCCCTAGGGGTGTCGTTGATGTAAATGGTGACAGATAGGTGGGTCTAGGGGTCATAGGTTCCTCTCGGGACCGCATGGGTCCCCGGGGGATCGTCTCCGAACGACAATCCCTGCTTTCTCCCCGCTCCAGCCTCAGTCGTAACGCCTAAAAAATTACAGAAGCCCGCGCTGCTCCGCGTCCGTTTCACTTGCTACAGAGAGCTAGCTTCGTACTAGAATTTTTGTTGTTGCTCTAAGAAATGGGTTTTTTGTGTTGATTATGGGTAGATGACGATGAGTTTTCAGGCGTTCCTTTTTAGGTATGAAACCTATGTTTTTGAACGCATAAATTTGCCAAGGCAAAAAGATTTCCAGTGATTTTAGAAATTTCACGATTTTTCGGATGTATTAAAGCCAATACAACTTGTTTAAACATCTATTTATGTACCCTTTCATGTTTTTTGATGACTTCACCACTCACTTCTCTGCCGTCGTGTTATTAACGGCGTAAACCTAATTATCCCCCGGCTCAGGTACTTCACTCGGAGATTTGCATCTCTTCTCCTTATTCACTCTTTTTTTCGTTCGAACTATAATTTTTTTTAGAAATGATTGGATCAAATCTTCAAACCTGCTGAGGCGGAATGGCATAGGTAAATTTATTAAACTATTTTGTTATTTATCCGGACTGTGGCGGTCCATTTCTTTATTTTCTTACTCTTTCCCTCTCTCTCTCTCTCTCTCTCTCTCTCTCTCTTTCAAGTATTTATCACAAATACTACATGATCTCTTCGCTGTTTTCCCTGAAAGCGTTGGCGGCAAACATGTTCGTAGCAGGTGCATAATCGGCCATATGCCCCCCAGGGATGCCAAATTTATATTGTCCCTTTTTCGGTTCCCCCACATCACTTTTTGCTTGATTTTCAAAGTGCAGGCGTACTTTTCTCGATGATTTGAGCGCAGGAGCTCAGGATTATAACTAGAAATTACGGATGACCGCTGATTGAGACATAATTTGCATTTCATCAAGAGCAACTCTATAATTTGTTATTTTATAATTAGAAACGCAAGGACCGGATCCATCTATGGTTTTCATGTATATCTGGCATCTAGACAATAATAGCTAGCCAGTATTTGGTTTTAAACCCGGATAAAACCGCGAGCTGATGTATTTGCCTTCGTTTTCGACTAGAAAAATAGCTAGATTGCCATCAATATCTTTGTTCGACCCATCTACTTTGATAGTTCACCCTGGTATTTCAAACATTTCCATTCCCGGGATTTGGTGGTACAGCCCCCCAGCTTCACCTGCTGTTTTCTACTGGGGCCCCACGCTCTCCAAAATCCATCCTAAGGACCCACGAAATGTCGTGCTCATTATGCAAAGCTGGTTGGGGAGGGATGGCGGCGAGTCGCGGCCGTCGAGAAGCGACTGAAGACCCGAGCCACAGCTCCAGCCATCGCTGTGAGAGCTCGTGTGATAAAGGGAAGGGCATTGTGGCCCTGGGCCATAGGGAGGGGAGGGCCAAAAGGGCCCCTCCTCCTCCTCCTCCTCCCCCGGGACATCCTCCGCAACCGGCCCCACCCCTGCTTCCTTCCCGCCGTCGCCGGTGCCCTTCTCGACCCTCTAGGACTGGCCATCTCTTCTTCTTCGTCTTCTTCTTCTGCTTCTAGAGCTTCCCCCCACCACCCTTCTTCGGCTCGTCGCCCAGCCTGTAGACCGCCACAGTCCCCCACAAAAATCCCCGCTAAAATCGAAAAGCCGACGGCCGTCCAATGCATGTGCGCTACTTGCAGCACCAGTACCAGGGCACCGTTCAGCTGCTTCTCATGCCCCTTTCTACGGCTAACTCGATCAAGAGCCATAAATGGTTGGTTTTCTAAACAAAATTTTGGGTATCTAAGAAAATCAGTGAAAAAGCCAAGCCAGATAGCTTATTGTTTTCTGGGTTGGAAGCCACTTAAGATGAGTTTCTTTCTAAAAGGAGCTGACCTAAATTTTCTGGACTTTTGGTGTCTTCTTTTAACCTTCTAGAATTTCGGTTCATTTCTGCTTAAATTGAATTTTTTTTTGTTTTTAAAAACACACTTAAACTTCTAGCATACTTTTGACTACGTCCACCAAACGATTTTGAACGTCACGGCTAGACCAACCCAAGTTAATGGATCGAAAAATACTAGCAACGCCAACCCGTCTCCACGGGTTCTTTTGACGTTGACGAAAATAAACTGCGTCCCGTGGGGGGGGGGGGCGAGACGAGTTGCCACTTCAGGGGCTTGATGTTTGAGGCTGACTTTTGGGAGGGTTCGAATTAGACGGGTTGGTTTCGGGGCCGTATAGTGAATTAGGTTGAAGTAACATTAATGTGCAGTCTTTAAAAAATCTGAAATTTCTAGGGCAAGCGATGAAGAGGAAGCTGAGCTGGAGGGAGTGCCGCTGCCGATACAGACATTTTTGTGGCGTCAGAGCAAGTAATTTTTATGGGAATTTGAAAGGTTACGGAGTTTCCGTATCTATCTACGAAAGGATTTTCTTGGGTGGTACTGTGTAAATAAGTGTTTAAGTAATGATGGATGAATTCTAAAAATAACTTAATTCTTTTCGATTTAAATTGCCGTTCCAAAGTTCCTCAACACCAACCTTACTAGGGAAGTCCAAGATACCCGCAACACGAATCGGGCTGTAATTTTGCCCAGTTATAGAACCGACCATGCTGATCATCGCCTCGTTTTCCGAATTTGCTACCGACCTTAGATAATTAAGATATTAAACTTTTAAAATGGGCCAAAAACCCGCTACCCTGACCCTGGCTCACTAGAGCGGGTGGGGTTCAAGAGGCCTTTGGGAAGCCCCCTTTCCAGAGCTTCGGTAGTCAACTGGTAAGCGCCTCGCTTCCCAGGTGGAGGGTCCGGGTTCGGACCCGGTCCGCGCATTTTTCTTTTGCTTTTTGCTAATTTTGCGCCGCACATGTGGCGCGTGTCCAGATTGTGTTTTTTACTACACGCAGATGAGCCGGTTGCTGCCGTCGAATTACGGAATACCGGTTTTTAACAATTTTTTTTACTAGTGTTGTTTTTATGAACTTTTTCATAAATTTATGATTTCGTTGAATTTCATTTCTAGGATGTACGTAAATGCGTGTGCATAACACAATCTGGAAACGCGCCACATGTGCGGCGCAAAAATTAGCGAAAAGCAAAATAAAAATGCGCGGACCGGGTCCGAACCGGACCCTCCACCTGGGAAGCGAGGCGCTACCAGTTGCCCGAGCTCTGGAACAGGGGCTTCCCAAAGGCCTCTTGAACCCCACCCGCTCTAGTGAGCCAGGATCAAGGTAGCGGGTTTTTGGCCTATTTAAAAAATTTAATATCTTAATTATTTAAGCTCGGTAGCAAATTCGGAAAACGAGGCGATGATCAGCATGACCGGTTCTATAACTGTGCAAATTTTCAGCCCGATTCTGTTCCGGGTATCTTCGACTTCCCTAGTTAGTCTCTCCCATCCCCCCTGGCCATCCCGGAATTGATGTGCGTCCCTCCCATAATGGGAATTCGGCTTTTTCCCCACCAGCGCTGCTCTTTGCGCCGCGCGCCATCCTGCGCCCTATCCAATTGCGAGAATGCGGGGGTGGCATGGGTGGGCCCTTCATGGGCCAGAAAGCCGGCACATAAACACACACATGGCCCCAGGGCCAACAGCACAGCTCTGCCTCCTTCTCCTTCTCCCCTACGGGGAGGCCCAAGGGCCAAGTGGGCCCCTCAACACGTTGGCACGCTGGCTAGGGGCACGCGCATAATTGCCCACTCGGCCGCGAAGACCTTCTACACATAAGGCGGTGGCGCCAGCGCCCCTGGGTGCCAAAAAAATATGCGGGGCCAGAAATGGGAGACCGGAATGAATGGGATATGATCAAATAGCAGAAAAATGCTAAATTTTTTTTCAGTCCTTTCCTCGGCGCAAAGACGGGGAAACTACATGAGGCATCATGCGTGGTAAGTTTGACTTTATCTAGAAATAGTTTAATTTATTTTATTCACTACATGTAATTCAAGGCAAAAGCGTCGCATTAATCTAAAAAAACTTTAATCTAAAACCTAAATATAAATTTTTGATATGCAAATTTTTATGTATATTTAATGGGCTGGTCAATTTTCAAAACTGCCAAATCCCCCTTGGCTATCCCAGATGGGTGTTTAGGATGCAACGTCATATGTAATATATTTAATAGGCTTGTATATTTTTAACTAATTTAACTACGATTTAAACCCATCGTCCTATAGTTTTATCAGCTACATACTCCCCTTTTTCCACTTTTGTCCCCCCTCCAATGCAGCCGGCAAACCAGGCCTGCTGGAGGGATCCTAAAGGACCCATCTTCAATTCAAGCGCCGCATTGATTCGCCGCCTTCCCCCACATTTTCGCGTTACTTTTCGTGGAACAAAAAAAAACACACAGCCCCCCAGACGAGTGCCCTAGGGGAGGGGCGAGTGCATAAGTGTGAGTGGAAGGAGCCCCCCTCCCCTTCGGCCACCCGTCCGTGGTTTCAAGCCATTTTTTCACTGGGGGCGTACGAGGTGGGGGATGATCGAGGGCCATTCCAGGGTGGGAAATGGGCACCCTCACATAGCAAAGGTGACCCTCATCGATTCTCGGCAAAGACCCCCAAAATATATACACTTTAAAGGACGTGTGGCGAGACGGCTGAATATTTGAGCGTTTGGACTTATTTGGGGAGTAATATAGGGGAATGCCCTAGATGTCTGAGGCTGGAAAATAGAGAAAAACGTTGAGGAACCGGAAATATAAAAATAAAAATAAAAAGCGATTTAATAATTTCAGACGTTCGAAAGAGTGGTCGTACAAAACATTCTCCATGGCCTCTCCCCATCACTATCAGATGCGATAGCCTCAATTTCAAGATGGAAATTTATTCGAGCAGCCCTCCCACATATCATACAGGTATTTTCTTACCTCTATGATTAATACAGAGTTTTTTAGTGTTGCGGAAGCCTATTAGAAACACACGCCGCCAGCACCCCAAATTCTCTATCCCCCTCCCTTTCAAAAATTCTGTATATCCTACATTGGATGCTACTCGATTCGGCGACGGAATGCATGGAGGGAAACTCAGAGGAGAAGGTATTTGTGGTTATTTCGACAATGTATAAATTTTCCAGGACGATCAATCAGTCTTTTTGCGGAAACAGGCTCTATTTTCTATCCCAGCTATACAATTATTTGTTTATTTAATTGCTCCGCTGGCGGAGTCAAGTAGGTTCCCCTTCCCAACCTTGCATCCATTTTTAGTCCACGAAGAAGATATCACAAATAGTATTCGATTAGAAAGCGGTCTGAAGTTGTGGCAATCGTTGTGGCAGGTATTGGATGATCTTGATTTTCACAAATGGCATCATTTAAGTATCGTCAACCGGATGTCCTGTGCTTTTGTGCTCCGGTGAAGCAAAGGCGAGGGGAGCTGCCAGTTTTATGTGTCGTGCGAAAGGGCCGTCGTGAAAGCAGCACCCAGGCCCAGGGTATATATCTAGGTAAGATTTCTTTGTGTTAGAAAAGGCGCATCTTCGTTGGTGGTGGAGGGCCCAGCTACACCAAGCTGCCGTTTTCTCATTTCCACGCGAATACCCCTTAATGAGCACGTGCCCTTTTCTCGGGTGCTCTTTGTCCGGGGGATCTGCAGGCGGCAGGGCTTGCTCAAAATGGGGTTGAGATCGAGAAAATCCCCGTTTCGAATAGAAATCCCGGAAGCGCCCTTGCGGTATAGTGGTAAGCAGCGCATGCGGAGAACTGGCGGCTGCCAAGGAATTTACACAGGCATGAAGCTATTTTTGAGAGAGAGAGAGAGAGAGAGCAAGGAGTGAGATTATGGTTTTTGGATCGTCGAATTGGCAATTTGGTCCTGGAACGTAGGAAATTTATAGGGAAACGTTTAATTTGCATGTTCAAGCTGAGAAAGTTTTTCAGACCGATCTTAACTACAAAATATACTTTTTCATACGTTTTTGACGTCCAAAAATCCAGGAAAAAAACCCTGTTTGCCTAAACCAACCTTTACAACATTTTTAGGCGATGAACCCGAAACTGCCCGAAGACCGTCAATTGTACCGCCCCCAAAGCCTCCGCGTTCCGATGCAACGGCAAGTCCTTCTCGGTGCTCCCCTCTTTCACTCCCAGAAATTAGGTCTTGGCCGAGAAGAGGCAACGCGAGCTGGAAAGGGAGGCTGCCAAGTCTAATGAGCTGAGGGTGCAGCCAGATGTGGCCCAAAAGTAAGCGCAAAAAATCGAGGAGAACAAGACGACGCGGAAATTTTTAGGCCGGCAGCCGATCGGAGCCGTTTGTTGATTGATGTTGGCCCGTCAACGTCAGCCGAGAATCCGTATCAAGTACGGGAAAAATGGCATTTTTATTATTGATTTTTTAGAAGCCGCTTTCCCGAGAAAGGAATTGTTCGGTGGTTCGAAGTGCATCTGAATATCGTGCGGATGGCGAATCGATGGATCAGCGACCAAGAATCCCTAAAAGCCACACCACAGCAGCTTTTGATGTCTCGCCAAGTAAGCACAATAATGAGCTTAAAAATAGTCTCCTAGCATCTGAAAACAGCATAAAAATATTGGATGAAGTCGATGCGGCCATGCGATTCGTGGAAGACAACTCACTATCGAATATTTTTGCCGGTATGACCTTCACTTATCTCGATTACGCTATTTCCAGGGTCGGCCTCTGACGAGGCGCCACTCGTCCAGCTAAATGACATTTGCAGTGGCGTCTCCGTGGATATTGGCGATTTCAATGAGCCCGGCCAGTGTGAGGTGCATTTTAGTAATGGGGCCCGAATTGAGTGGTTCCGTTTCCAGGTTGTCTGCGAGAAGTGCGGGTTGGTAATTTATCGTGAAGGGACGATGGTGGGCACGTGTAAATGTGCCAAAAACGGGAAGGGCCAATTGAAAGTGGTGAAGCGGGAGAGCCCGACATCGGTAAGTGGCCAAATCTCGGGAAAAAAAATGCAAGTTTTTAGCCACAACATTCGGCTCCGCCTTTGCCACCACCACCTCCCCCAGAACGATCAGAACCGCCAGCATTATGTAAGGAAGCTTTAACAGAATAACAAGTTTCTTAGTTTGTCGAGACGAGACGATCTCTTCTAGCAGCCAGCAAACTGTTGTGCAGAATATTACACCAAGAAGTACCAAAATTCCAGAAAGGTGGTTGATAACTTAAAAAACTGCCGATAATTTGATAACTTTTTAGCTCAAGCCACGTCAGCATGGAACAGTCATCATCCGGTGATCTACTCCAAAATTGCGAAGAGGGAGAGAAAGAATTTGCCATCCACGACCCAATGGTGTTTTTGCTACTCTAACGCTAACTCAACTGATAGGTCGCTTCCTACTTTGACGTTGCTGTTATCCGAACATTATTGATACAACATTGGAGTGAGGAGGGTGTGCACTGGGCTATGCGCTATTTGCTGAATCGGCTCACTGATATCCAGGTAGAAAAAACTAACCTAACAAAAAGCCTTAAATCTCTCAGTTGTACGTCTCAAGCAAAGAATGGCCTGGACAACGAGGACGGAGCAACTCGCTGCCTCCATCCCGGAAACACACGCAACAGGTTTGGTGTGGTTTGATGTGCTGAGCTGTATGTCCGCTAGATGGAAGCTGCTGCCTACCTAACGCCTACGTGGGCTGACCTGCAGATTGAGAGCGATGAAGACAAGGGAAGACCCCACGTTGCTTTCAAGGATACGCGACGACGTCTCTCATCCGATATGGGCGCATCGTTGCGACTCCATGCCGGGCATGAATCCAGAAGAGCATCGTTGAACATCAACGCGCGACGGCTTGAAAGAAATAAGTAAGTATAGACCTAAAAATTTGACTGGCATAACAATTTTTAGAAGCGATCCCTCGCTCAATAGCTCCCTTGAAGTGCTCTCAATCCGGGAGCAAGTTGGCTCTACAGCGAATATCTCGAAGGAAGACAAGGAGAAGGAGGCCGAGAAATTGGCTGCGAAGTTCTATCCAGAGGCCTTGGGGAGTACGAATTTCATCGAGAAAGATGGCCATATCAGTTTCACAGTCATTGTGCAAACAGTGGATTCAGTGAGTATTCAAGCCCAATCTAATTCTAGCCTGCTTAGGTGATGGAACGAAATGCAACAGTGCGATTGTGCGAATTGGCGCTGAACATTGCGGATACCCTGCTGCGAACGCCTGCTGAACACGACCCAGAGTTCTTTGGTCGCTTGTCAAACATGGTTTTCCGGTCAGTCATTCCAGTAGCCCCCGAAAATCGCGGCTTTAGGATATACTTGTCGTTGGGATGTCCACATGGCTGTAGCGAAGGTGTGAAAAGTGCTCAAGGAGATTTCTTGAGGGCTAAGGCTCGCGCCTTGTTCGCATCATTAGAACGTCTCGATGGGGAGCGCTTCAAGACTCTAATCCAGAACTATGTGCGAGATCATCCACCCCAACAAGTAAGCATAGAAGCTATCAACATTGCAACTATTCCAGGTTCTCGATCTCCTCCACGCCATCACTGCCTTCTGTCGCGCTGAATTTTCAAGTAGATCTCCATTTAAAGCAATCCAATTATAATGCATAGGTGCTGATGGTCGTCGTGAATCTCGAGCTCCTTCCTACCGCAATCAATTTTGCGAAAAGGACAAGGGGATTGAGGGACGGATCCTGAACGCCACCTTCAAGCCGCTGGCCTCTCGACTTGTACAAATGGGCGTTCAGTTGCAACAGCCTGAGAACATGGTATTACATAGTTTCATGTCTTAACCGATACCTAGAGCATGTACGGCGATGTTCGAATGTTGGTGAACTTTGTGCAGGACCAACACGGAAATCCATTTCGTCGTGTTGGCCTGTCCGCGCTGATCGATGCTATTACACGCCCCACCGGCCCAAAGTAAGTGGTTTTTAACTTGTTGCTGTGCCCTTGGAGAAATAGACGCAATCAGGAAAAATATTTGGATCACGTTATAGTTTAAATTATTGCTCTAAAACGGTTTGCGCCTATCAATTTCTCCTAGTGCCGGTGTCAGGGTTCCGGCTTGCTTTCGTCCAAGGTGCTAGAGGGCTCGGAAATTCAGTGATAATAGTTTTGCTGGGTACCAGTTATGTGGTCTAAGTTTCAGCTTCTATTATTTGATTCTAATTTGCGGATTTGAGCGGGATGTTTTGAGATAGAATGTAGATGGTAGATCAATACGGTACCTGCTATTATACAGCCCTTGGGCGGAAAGCAAGCCTGGAAACTAGCAACGCTCGCGAGGACTTTCTTTTCGTTTCGGATTGCCTTTTCGAATTCGGTTTTTGGCAACCAGGAATTCAGTTTTTATTTGAAAGAAGGTGCACGGGTGCCTAGTATTTTCGCATCAAACTTTAGCCATCCGTCGGGAGGACTTCGACTGGCCATTCCACACATCGCCCTCGACTCTTTTGAGTAAATAGTCTCCCAAATAAACGCCTACCCCTCGGTGTGGATCAGCGTCGGGATGGGAATTGTTTGCCATTTTTGTTTTGTCTTTCTGGGGTGGGGATGGCAAATTTGCATGCTTTCCGGAAAAATTCACCCCACGCTGACCCAACCAGCGCCACCAGTGATTCGTCCCCCCAATCGACACAACCCAGCACATCAATCGTATTGTCCGCGTCACCCGTTATAATTGCATGCAAAATCATCAACCCTTGTTGGCAACCACAAGCTTACAAGCTAAAGAATGGATGTAATGTCTTTAGTTTGAAGGCTATGACCAATCCCCATGATATCTTCTGTTTTTAGTGAATGTGAGAAGCGTGAAGGGGAAGGGTCCGGAAAGTCATCACCATCAAGTATGGCGGCTGGAGGTGCAAATCGTGGAGAACAAGCAAGCCTTCGACGAGGGTTGTTCAAGAAGAAGGAAAAGGTATGAAAAAAGATTAAATGAAGAAACCGGAGGATTAGCATTCCGGCGCGGATGAAAGTGATTGGGATTCATCTCCATCTACACCTCGAACAATGTCTTCTGTTGATGATACTCCTCTACAACAGTTGGTGCAACAACATGGTCTCAAAAAGAAAAGCGCTCCAAAGCTGCATTTTGGTGAGAGATAACTAATACTCTCACTAATACCATTATTTAGCATTCAATCTACTGAAAACCAATCGCACTGACAATGTGGAAGAAGAATGTTCGGATGTGGATGCTGAGGGAGATGATGAAGAGGACTATCCTTCCAAGAAGACCAGTGTGGTAGAGGATAGACCTTCTGCTAGAAGACAACCAACCAGTAAGCTATCTAGGAAAGATTGATGATATTTTTAGTGAGCGGCGCACTTCGGTTATGGGGCGTGATGATCCCTGCGGCTAAAAATGCAGATCCGAGAGCGATCCTAGAAGGAACAAAGCGATTTGCTTTCCTTTTGGAGACATCTCGACCTGGGACATTCCCAGATCCGCCACTCACTGGAGCGATTATACAATTAGTAAGTGGCTTTCTAACAACGTCAATCAGTTGTTTTGAGAAATCACCAATCGTCTCCCGGGCGGCATTGCTCCTGGAACTGGCCCATTTTGTGAATCGCTGCAATCGAGGCGAATGGCCGGAATGGATTCGAAGCAGTCATACCCGAACTTTCAGGTTGGTCAAATGCACTTGAGGATTTGACTGTATATGTTTTAGTCTTGGCGGCCCATTGGCAAATCGTGGAACCCCGTCAGCGACCCGAAGAATGCATACCTTGCAAAGATCGGCCGGTCGTTATTTCTATCAATGGGCCCTGCATGTAACGAACGGTTTTTTGGCGCTATTGATTTTTCAGATTGGCGAACAGCTTGGTCGTATCGTTGACAAAGGGGATGCTCGTGACAAGCGGGAGTTGAAGATGGGTGATGTGATGGAGGATTTTCTCGACGATGCCACTGTCAATAATGAAGATGGGAGCCGAGCGCCACCTGCTCTTCAGCTCATTGCAGTCATGCTGCTTTTTGAAATTACTTCATTTCTTCGCGAATATTTCCGGACAATACCACGAGGGAAGCCAGGAAAGGTATGGATCCCACAGCTTCTCAAGATGTTTTTAGACTGGTGCTCCATCTGGATGGGATCGTTTGTTGTCACATCGGCGATGGTCTATTTTGTCAAACACCTTCAATCCGCAGCAAACCGGTTCTGTGAGCAGCATCGCTGACGCCATCCCAGGCGGAATTCATCGTTAGTGATTTAAATCTGCATTCTAGTGCACGCAAAGCCTTTAATAAAGCAAAATCCAAAATTCTGATGTATTATTTTATTTGTAGCAGTAGCAGGCAGCAAAAAGAGTAAGCATAGGTTGCGTACAGCTACAAGCAATCTGTCTAACTGTAGTCTAACACCGGACTATCGGCAATAACCTGTTGTCTGCTACGAGCGGAATAAGCTCCAAAAATCAGCAAAATATTTAGTCAACGACAAAGAGAGAAGAATCTCCTTGTCAACAGCTGAAGAAGACTCTCCTCGTGGCTCTAAGGATACGATCGAACAAGACGAGAAACGTGGTAAGTTGGGCATCCCCGGAACCTGCGGATTGTGTGCCAGGGTCCCGCAGCGAACGCAGCTTTGCGCATGGACGCTCTTGGCCAATCTCCCCATGTACGAGAATTACCCCCGCTGCCTCCCGCATTCTTTTAGATTGACGCCAAATTTTGTGCCACACTCGTCCGAAAGTCACTAACAGTTTTAGCATACCCATGTCTACCCCCGGTTACATAGGACACTTTACGCGTTTTCGAAACCTTTTGACTACTTTAGCAACAGATTGGGTTCTTGTTCACAAACTTCCGGAAACTCAGGATTGCGGAGGGAAAGTGATTTTGTAATTCAATAGTAAGGTGTAATAATAGTAGCAATACAGGGTTTACAAAAAAAAGCACACAGGTTAGCGGTTCAGAAAAGTGTCGCAACTTCGGGATCTATTCAAATTTCTCAAAGCGGCGAGAATAGCGGCGGTCTTCGGAAATATCCTACTATATATAAAAAAGTAGTGTCTGTGTGTGTGTCGATTTGCATGCAACTTCCGTCTGTATGTCCGGAGGATAACTCAATAGGGGATGAATATTAGGGTACTTATGTACTCATTAGGTGCTAATGGCTCCCTGCGATAGACTGCTTACGCGTAAAATTTCGAAATACCTATTTTCGATACTTTAGCAACAGATTGGGCTTTTTCTAAAACTTTCCGGTAACCTCTTTGCGGAGGGAAAGTGATTTTGTAATTCAATGGTAAAGGTGTGATAATAGTAGAAATCTTACAGTGTTTACAAAAAGCACAGGTTAGCGGTTCATGAAAAGTGTCGCAGCTTCGGGATCTATTGAAATTTCTCAAAGCGGCGAGAATAGCGGCGGTCTTCGGAAATATAAGGAACTAACAAGTAAGAAGGCGTTTGACTCGCCTTTCTGAGAACTTTTGAATGGTTTAAAAATTAGCCCGATACGACCTTACTCCGGTCATCTAAAGTGTGCTTTTCGTGACAACACCTACCCTAAGACACCATTTCGAGCTCCGCAGTCCAGACTTCCAAAACGCCGGTGTCATTGAGTTACTATACGGGTGCACTGCGTCAAGGTGGGGGCTAACCCAACTGACCCGGGGGGAGTGTTGGGCGTGAGAACTGACCGTGTGACAGGGTCGAGACGTTCCGGGAAGGCCCCTTCCGTACGACGCGCCCCTTCAACACGCCTCTTCTCCCGGCAATCCACGCACGATGACTCGGCTTCATCAACCACGCACGGCAGCACCCGGTCTGCAGCCGGGCTGCCACCACCTGCGCCCGTCTCCACAGCTGCCCTCACCGACTCAGGTCCTCCTTCCCCATGCACACACCACACTACCTCTACCACCAGCACTACCACCGTCACTAAAACGCACTACCAAAACCCAAAGGGCTCAACGCTCAGCCGGTCTCAATGCACTCACTGCACAAAATTTGAAAAACCTGATTTTGATGCTTATTAAAAACTAAAACTATTGAAACAGGCGTTTGGCTGAGCGATGAGGGGTCTATCCTAGCTTATCCACTACCACTTCACTAACACCCCCCTTTCCCCAGACTCAGTTTCCACCAGCTTGCCCCACCAAACAATGCTTTTATGCCAGGCTTCTCGGTCTTTGCTGAACTGTCCTTTTCCTTGTTGTATCGTGAAATTGGGCCTGAACAGCCCATGCCTACTGTACCACCATCCAAACCCTAACCCCGGTCTAGACACTTCAGGTCGACGACTCGCCACTGGTCGGCAGCGACTGCTGAAGCGGGGATCACCTCTTGGAGCTACCCCGAACCTTGAATCGAGCCATAAAAGGAGGCAGCAAGCTTCGTTCAAGTGAGTGGAAGCTTTTTAAGATCTTTAAATCGTTCTAGATTACGGAAGCCTTCCAAACCGCCAGTTGATGAAATTGAAAAGGACCCGGAGTCGCAGAGTAAGTCTATTTTCGTATTTTGTTTTGCTTTTGGGCAGTTTCTAACAATGGCTCTGTCCGTGTGTACTTTCGCTGGGTTAACCGTGGTGGGGGAAACGAGACTTCTCGGCCTTTATCCCTATCGGTTTCTTGCAGAATCTCTGGGCTATTTTGATTTAAGCATAAATTGCCCGCCACGGTGCCCGCTTCCTGCTATCTATGCTTATCTGGCCTCTTTTTTGGGTTCCATTCACTTCTCTATAAATTTCTGGCTTTTCTTCATTTGTGCGTAGCTACGACGACGGCGAAGACGGCACTGGTTGGAGTGAGGGCTTGTTCACTGGTGGGACTGGCTGGACTGAGAACAGCTCTGCACCATACAAATCTACCATTGGAATTCCCGTCAGCGGCCGCCGCTGCGACAACGACTTCTCCGGAACCCCCGATGTCACCAGGAGGTGTGAAGGCATCAACAATTCCCCGTCATCCCCTAAACACCTCGAATGCTCAACCCAGAAGCCCTGGATTGCCGCCAAAAGTCACTAAATGTTCTTATGGTGCTTGTGCATGTTCGTAGTGACTTTCGGAGTCTATTTTCGAATGGCCTTTATCTTTCGCTTTTTTTGCCACAAAAGCTGTTCGAAAACACCTCGCTTCCTAATCCCTTCTGTGCGTCCTTCGTCTTTGCATGCTGATATTCTGTTGATTTCCCTCGCTTTGCATTGAAGTCTTTACAGGCCCAAATCGGGTCACGTGAAGTCAGCTTTCCCTAGAACAAGAGAGTGTGGAGCTTGAAAATAGAGGAATTTCCAGTTCTGCCAGCAATCTCTATGAGCACCAAGGAGACCTTGAAGCCAACCGCTGAAGAAGGAAGCATCAGTCCGACATGTGATACCGGGCATAGCGGCTCACAGCCGGGATCTGGTGTCTATCAGGTACGCAGCAAACCTATTATCCAGTCGCAAAATTTAGCGGCGCGATAAGTCTGCGTCACACGACGACGAAGAAGAGCATATGGTCAATCATCTACCCTGGCTGAAGGTGATCATGAAGTTCGTCAACAGCTTCGACATGGAATGCACGCACGAGAGCGCGTGTACCGCCAGATGCTTCAATCGGGTGTCGAGGCAATGCAATCGACTTCTAGAGGCGGTCTCATATGTCTATGGAGATAAAAAGTAATCAACACTTCAAACCTTAACATATTAATAGGCCCAATTCTGAACGGGTCGACCGCCGACGGTTGATGTTCGACAAATGGAACTTGGAGCAACAGCACATCCGAAGGGTACGTCAAAACTTGGTGTTTCGTAGTATTTTTGATTCACCTTGCTTTCTTTAGTGCGAGTCCAATGCGAGCTCGATCCCGAGCCCGGTCCGGAAAACCAGTAGTCCTTCAAAGTCCTTCAAGTCATTGCGGCTTCGCCCGAGCCCCAAGCTGGTCCTGTGCACCCCCGTAGAGACCTCCCTCTAATTAATCGACTAATTCACTTAACGCATATTCGGTTTCCAAATATCAGTCACCGGAAGCTGAGGAATATGCCAATTAATTACCCAACCCTCAACGACTAATCGAACCACTGACCCTCTCCTGCAAACAAATACACTATGCGCAGCACGTCCTGAAGAAATAATATTTAGTATCGATTCAACTATCAGTTTTAGTCACTTCACTCACGACAATCGGCTGCTATTCCGAGAAGGGAAAGCGCAATGACCGGTGTTCACTCGGAACGCTCTAGCATGGCCATCAAAGCTCTCCTTATGGAAAAGATGATGCAGGAGAAGGCGGAAAAGGACAAAGAAAAGGAGAAGGAGGATTCGATGTCCAAAAAGATCAGTATGGTAAGTTAGCGTTCCGGAAAATCAGCGAAACTAATTCGAAAGCATAATGTGTTTTAGCAAGAAGTGGATCGACTTTCTGATGATGGTACCGAACAACCAGAGTTTGAGAAAAATCTGCCGATGTTGGGTTACATCAGAAATAGCGTAAGTAGCTTTCGTCCCGAATCAAAGGCTCCCAGGTTCTCGGTCTTGTCCACGCACCGCTATCAGCAGCCTTGAAGAGTTCCCTCCTCCTCTCCACCGACCATTTTCGGGGTTTGATCCCTGTGGCGTGGGGGCTGCTTCTGAATGAGGACCCACATGTGGTCGTGGTTGCAGGTAAACCAGGAATTGACTAGAAGATAGTTATTTAGCCTCAATGTTCATTGTGGCATCGGTTCGCCGTCCTGATGATGCCGTCGCTATCATCAAGGCAGCAATCGACTCCGAGAACCCAACTGAACGAACGGGCGCGGTGCAGAGGTTCTACGCCTTGTGGAGAAATCGTTTTCACGTATGGCTGAAGATGGAAGAGGGTGCCCAGACCGTTTTCAAGGTTGGTCTCAATCTCTTTAAACAATTCTTCTCATAGGTCCCGCCACCTGGAATCGACTTTACTTTGCCTTCACCACCTATTGGGCAATCACAACTGCCTGTCGTCGATCCGCCATGGATGCCCCATCTTAAGACAAAAGTTGAGGAGCTGAGCTTGAAGGAGGAGGAGCATGCAACGGTTGGTCATTCGAAGAAATAAGAGACGTTCGTTCGTTTCTATTCGTTTAGTCCCAAACGATCATGACAATGACGCGAACAAGGAGAAAGCAAAAGCAAGAAATGGTCAAGCGAGCGGTCCGAGAAGCTGAAGAACGACAGTGCGAACAGCGTCAAGCGTTTCAGGTAATATTTGAGTGACTTTTACACTCACTGGCTATTAGCTACGGGGGAGTGCGCTCGTCCAGCAAGCAGCTTATGAGCCGGCACTCTTTCATCATCAACAAGAGACGACTGAAGGTATGGATATCAGGCTCGCTTAAGATTAAGTTGATTTTTAGAAGGTGAAGCTGGCCATGGACATCCACCACGCCATGTCCTCCCTGTTGCTCAACCGCTATTCCCATCGGCCTTACTCTCCGTCGTCCCACAAATGATCGAGCTGCTGGATGACCCTCAAGTCGACAAAAATGGAGTTTCCGGTAACAATCCAGAGCCGGCTAAACTCTTTTCTAGTCGGCGATGTCGCCAAAAAGGTCATCTGGGCGTGCATCGTCGAAGAACCATCCCTTTTCCTGCGCCACTTCCTCGAGCGTCTAACAAATCGCGATCGCCAGGTATGCAATCCGGCCAAACCCCTACGCTTCTTCTGCTCCTATCCGTCACACAACTTCTGCATTCACCTTTCATTCGACACTAGGTTACGTCCCGTCTTTCGTTCAAATCCTACCGTATGATTTCGCTGTCACCAGCACAGCCAAGCGTTGGGGGTGTTGATTATCGGCACCTATGTTTTCCCCCTCTGTTTATCGCCTAGCAAATCAAATCAACACCTCTAACACAACTTCTCTATTATCATTCATAGAAGCCGAGCTCGCCCATTCAGTTGCTACTAGGCACTGTCACCCCCCAATAATCGTTTTAGAGTCCCTTGGCCACCGATTTTCGGCCGACAGCAAACTGGGTAAGTGCCCGTGGGCCAAATGCACCCAAAACCCTTTCCGTTTCCGCATGTCCTGACAATTCAGTGTCTAACAAAACGCGTCCGGTTACGTCTTCCCGGGTCTCTAACCAGATTGAGGAATTGTGTGTGGGCTTCGAAACTGCAATGAAAAGAGTATATTTCAAAAACACTTTTAGGAATACCTCATCTCTCTTCTGCGGAAGCTGATTTTGCGCTTCAAGCCTTTCCCAAGTCAAGCAGCTTATTCGTTGCTCAACTACCTGGTAGCACTGCAATTACCAATCAACGCTTCTTTTCAGTTCGGATTCGTGATGCACTATGTGCGCTCGGCTTGCGACGGCTCAGATAAAGCTCTCGGTTAGTGAAATTCACCCAAAATAATCTTTTTTTTAAGGAATGGCCCTGTCCCTCACTTGGCTGCTAGCTCCTCACGTCAACGGACTCTACTTCAAGGACTTGAAGCAGACGTTGAAGAAGGAACAGTGCGACGTAAGCTTACTTATGCATAATCAGTATATGAGGATTTAGCAAGCATTAATGGTCACTGCAAATGTCCCATCTGCCAAGAAAATTGTCGTTCACGGCCCTGACTCCGTGGAGGGCGGCATCCCGTCGCAGTTTCCGGTCCACGAAGATACCCAATTCTGCCAGATCCTCACCGACAGCCTCGAGTACCTTTGAATCCTACATCATGTAAAGTTTGCAGGTTCTTCAACATCGAAGACGAGCTCGATCATTACTACCTGGCTGACGCGAAGACCGGTGTCCTGCATGTGCCAAGCACCTACGTGCGGGATTTCTACTTCTTCCATCGCTCCTTCTACCCCCAACTGACACTGCTGCGCATCGACCCTGATGAGGCAGCGCGCAGGATGAAGACCTCGGCTTTTGCTATGCGCTTCATCGACGTAGGAAAGGTGCTGCTCACCCACAACATCCTCAGCCACAGCCCTGCCAATGTGGTGAGTATCGACATACAAGCGACCATACACCAACTCACTTCAGATTGCACAACGAATCTTCTTCTTGCATGACGAGCTGACGCACCTTCCATCATTCCCTAGAAAAGCCTTAGAAGCTTGCTTTGGAATGTACCACGACGAAGGGGGATCCCAGTTGAAGGAAGTTGACGCCATGCACAAATTCGTCTGGGCCAAAGTAAGTGAAACCTCCAAAGCTCAACACGCAATTACAGTTGATGAGCGACATGTTCGAAAAGATGGAGAACGCCTTTATGTTTGCCGATCTTCACCTCTTTATAAACGTCGTGAATGGGATCATGATTATGCATTGCGAGGATGTACTGATTCTCAGGCGATGTGCAGCTACGTACATAGCAATGAGCATTCATTTCCATACCTTGTTTGCATCACAGGTTGGGTAAAGCAACTTTCTGAATTCCTAAATTCAGGGCTTCTTCCTCATTATGCCGACCCTGCTTCGTTGCTATTCGCAACGTCAGACAAATCGGGTCTTCTGCAATGTCGTCGAGTTCTTGTGCCGTCAATTCTATACTTTACATCGCAAACCATTTATCCTACAGGTATTAATAAGACTTCACTTCCGCAGTCGATTTGCTTTCTAGATGTGTGGCGCGGTCGCTACAATTCTAGACCACAATAATGATGACTTTCAAGTGAACCCGATGCGAGTGAAGGCCAAGGTATTTAGCATATTGAACTCAAAAGCTATAACCACTTCAGTACTGGTTTGCACTGCTCAAAGCAATGGAGGAGATGAGCAACGAGGCGGATCCCTTGGATATCCTGGGACTTGTTCCGCATCCAAAACCTTTGAAAGCATTGGATCTCTGCTATCGGGATGACCCCAATTCGTTCTGCGTCCTAACTGATGGCCTCGCCGCTTGCATCTGTGTATGTGCCTTCTCGCCGGAAGGGAAAAAGAAGCCATCATATGCTGGTAGTGTCATAAAAACAAATGCCAACTCAAAAATTTTAGCTCGTAATGCAAGCCCTTCTTCCCCACATCATCAGAAGAGCTGAGGAGGAATCGATCGAAGAGAAGAATGCAGCACCGGCAGTCAAACGTGAAATACAAATGCACGCAACGCTGGCCGTCGAAATGAAGACGCTGATCAATAGTTGTGAAGCGCTGGCCAGGTATTTGACCGTCGTCTTTCCATAAGGCTTTTCAGGGGTCCTCAACGAACCTTCGACTTGGTCAACACCGTATCAGAAAGAGGAAAATCTTTTATTGCGGATTCTCCACAATTCTTCGACCCACCCACTACCAACGACGACGAGACGATGCCAAAGCCGTACAACTTGTAAGTTTCAAATATCACGAAAAACGTTTTTAATAGGGTCGGAAATTTTTACCAACACTTCGGGTAGGTAATTAGTTGCATACGAGTCGTACTCCTCTTCTCTATCTATGTGTGCTTGCGCTCTTTCAGGAAGGAGAAAAAGTCAACGGCAATTGGGTGGGAAGCGGCTGACGTTGAGGAGCAGCAAAAAGAGACGTATAGAAGGCCGAGAGATACCTTGTTGATTTTGGGTAAGGCAGTAGAAGCCAGCACTTAAAGACGTTTTAGCCGCGACTTACATCGAGCTAGCGACGCCCCGCCTGAAGGAACTGACAAAATTGGCAGCAACCATCGAACACGTCAAGATCCCTGATGTATTAGATCACAAATGCCATGTGGTATGACTATAGATTCGAAGCACAATCCAGTTCTAGAAACTCAGCGAGGTTGCTTTGGCGCTTTTGAAGATTGCTCCATATGATCTAAGTACGATGTCTTGCCTGGGATTGCAAAAGTAAGCAGCAGAGCAAAATCCTAAAATATGTTCATTCAGATACTTCCTTCATGTCCTTCCGGTTACGGATTGGTCGATCGAAGCCAACCGTTCGGCACTGAACATTGTTCTTCGACGCTTAGACAAAACAATTGCAAAGATTGCCAAGAAACAGGTACGGCGTCAGGAACATCAAAAAAATAGGCATCAAATTACAGAGCATTCGGCGGCGAGTCTCATGGACCGCTTTGGCAAACTGGCTGAACGGGCTATGCGATACCTTGTCAGCTTTCCCATACATTGCCCATCTCCACGCGCTCAAGGTATCACTTGCAAGGTTCTTGAGGTTACGGATTTAGACAACGACCCAAATGTGCGTACGGATCATGGTCGGCGATCCTTGTTTCGAGGAAACCTCAGCTCCAGCCCATCCCCCATCAACGATCCTATACCCCTCGACGCCGCCAAGGGATTTCTGCCAGGCCACCCTTCGCCTGACAACTATCCTGATGCAAGCATTGGGCCAGGTTAGGAGACCAAATTCAGCAAAAAATAACTCGTATAATTTAGTTTGCCTTCTCACTAGAACAAATTTGCTCCGTGGAAAGTATGGGTGTCAGTGCAGAGCGCGTGGAAGCAGTGCTCGTTCATGTCCTCATCCCACTGTTTTTGCGAGCGGCTATCCCGTCCAAAGGTAAAGGAAACCCCAGATTCTTCAGTCTCGTTTTAGAAGCATCTGTGATCAAAGAAAAAGACCTTATCTACTGTCTGAACCTGATGCAAACGGCCATATCACCACCCATTGGAAAGCAATCGGTAGATAGCGCTTTTTAATAAGGTGTTCGTTTAGCAAGTGGCACCGTTGGTATCGACTTCGACACTGGCTACGACATTCATACGTGGACAGGGACATGGTAAAGCTCAGCTTACCGACAACATTTTTCATTAGATATGAGTGGGCGCCAAGGATCCGTTTCTGTCACAGATCGGGGCCATTCTGCCACAGTATCTACGAACCGCATCGTTCGAGAGTCCGTCTGCCAATCGGTCTTCCTCGGTAAGCACAAAAATATAAAAGAATCAATGAGACGCCCTTTAGCTCTGAAAGTAATGATGCTTTGCTTTGGTCGACTGCTTGGACCTCTATGGCCAAAAGTGAACAAGCTCGTCAAAGACCTTCTCAACAAGAAGGCTGGCGGTCAAGCAGCAGTCGCCTTCGTTGACTTTGTGATCCACTCGAATCTACCGATCTCCCTACTGATCTTGCCAACAATTCATGCAAAGGTTTGCATTCTGTTTCAGACAATTGACAGAGTGGTTAGATCAAGAACAAGTCACCCGAAGGAGCGCCGGTCAGCGAAGCCCCTGTCACTTGGGTTGCGGAGGTTCGTTCCGGAGATTTTGAGAAACTGAGCCTTTTAGCTTGGCGAAAAGCTTCTGCACACACCTCGGGCAGCACTCCCAATGTCGGTATTGATACACCGATGCATGCACGAATTGTCGGCGTTGAAAGATGATTTCTCGACAAAACCTCTAGGTAAGAAATCCCGAGCTTCATTGATCCAAAATATACAGAAGTCAACCGGTCTTATACACCGACAATGGCCGATCCGCATAGCGACTCTTCGACAGCATCACTAGCTGCCCATAAGACACCTATGAAAGCTGGTGGTGATCGGAGATCGAGCAGTGGTCTGGCTAAGGGACGTCTTGTCCCAAATAAGGATCCGGAGTTGGGTGGCCCGTCAACCATTCCGGAAGATGTAGAAGATGAAGGAAATGATCATTCACACCCACCACCAGTACCGAAGGTGACGAAGAGTCCATCAGTTCCCTTCAATAAGGTAAAGTCGACAACAGAAGCATATAGAGAAGCATATATATTTAGTATGGTGTTTCCCCACGCGCCCGATCTATGAGTGGATTTGGTGTCTGGCGGAGTGTTCGACGCAGATCGAGAAATGTCTCGACGGAGAGTGAAGCTGAAAGCGAGAGAGGGGTCGAAATGACGGCATTTGGATGGCCTGGAGCACAGGCTGCCCCTCAATCATCGCTGAAATGTAGGGCTGGAAATTATGATCCAATATCGTTTTTAGCCGATAGTGTGACGACGGCCCGGAGATCCACTGAGGGTTTGGTACTCCCCTTGGAAACGCAGCATCGACAAAGATGTAAGAATTTCTCTACTTGGGGTCTACCAGACAAACTTACAGTTGTCTCCTTCTCAACCCCAAAAACGGGCCGCAAGGAGGAGGACACCTTCCAAATCATCGAACATCAACACGTTGTTTAGTTTTTTTTTGTTGCTTCTAGTCTAGAATACGCACTTATCTTCTCTGATGAAACCGGTCTTTTGATTACTACTCAAATTGCGCCATTGTTGATTCCCGGTGAATAATTGGGAAGCGCCTAAAATTGTTATCTGTATAATAGTTGCAAACCTAATTTTTCAATCTATGTTAGGTTATTTGAAGTTAATTCGATATTGTGTGTGTTTTTTGCTAAAAACTTGTGCTCCAAATACTACCCGTGACTTTCATCACCTATTGGTAATAAATATTTATCATAAGTTATAATTATGTCGTCATAACTCAACAATGAAAAAGGTTTCACTAACGATTTTGCAAGTCAAGGAAACCGTATCAGGGTGGATGGGGTTGGGAATTGGAAGAAAAGGGGCGGTCATTTAATAGTAATTTCTTTTTGTAAAATAACTTATAGTTCTCCCTTGTTGGATTTTAGTTGAGCTTCTTGTAGAGCTGTAATAGCTGCGGCCAGAGTTGTTGCGCTGGATCTAATAATACAACAGCGTCGAGTTCAAGAAGTAAAGCCCACCTATCAGAAAGGAGAAGCCACAATTGAATAAAGAAAAGTAGTCCAATAGCCCACATCAAGGCACGTTGGCCAGTGGCAAGACGTTCGACTTCATCGCGCAAGCTCAAATTCTATAAGAAAGACCGTTAAAGGGCACGTTCAGGGACGTTTTTTGGAAAAAAGCAAGGATTTTTGCCGCGGCCGGGGGTCGAACCCGGGCCCCCCGATCGGGAGACGCGGTCGCATACCAGTCAGCCACAGGTGCAACCTGGCGAGGGGGCGAAGGGCGCCCCACCCCGCAAAGGAGGGGAATGGCCTGTCACAACACGGGCAGGCAGTGCGCGCGGTCCCTACGTCCATAGGGTGTACACGTTGGGACGAGTACACGGCCCCTCCCTGAACGTGCGCTTTAAGATCGCGTTGTCCAAAAACAGGTCTATGAGGCTTGTTGCTTGTTTTCTTTCTTTGTTTATAACTTTTTCTTTTAAAAGAATCCTATCCGGAAATCCTATGCAAATAAGGTCACCTGATCCTGCAGCACCCGTTTCTCGATCGTCGTATGCCCATTAACTGCGGCTCCATTCTGCTCCTCGGCTGGCAAATTCACACGGCACTTCAACTTTTGCTCGACCCTCCTTTCAGCCGGCGCGCTCTAAATTAATTTATTGAATTATAAAAACGAGCGACCTTCCACAAATCGCTAAACTGCTCAACGCTAGTGCTCTCGGTTTCTAGGCCAAGGAGCAGGAACTTTTCGCGGCCGGCCGATAGGCGGTACTCTGCAATTCATGAACTAAACGAAATTAAATCAAGCCTAAAACTAATAAAGAAACGGACCTTTACAAGACGCTAGATGTGTAAAATTCAATAGCCGTTCAAAATCTTTGGGGGGCGGTCGATCGATAGCATTGATAAGGTCGCGTTGCGCGCACTAATGACAACCCCTTCTCCCCCGGCCCCCCAAGGTGAAGTATTCACTATTTATTCCCAAATCGTTACCATTCTGCAGATATACTCGAATAGACTCGGTAACGCCAGGTCCAATTAGTCCGGTCGAAGGCCGCACCCGAAATTTTTCAGGGGAGGTAGTTTTAATCTAAATAAATTCTTAAGAAAATTATGAAGCTTCACCTTAAACATTACGCTGCTATTTCCGGTGTTCCGGATGGCAACGAGGTCCACAAAATCTGTATCACCATCAAGACGCTGGAGAAACAACTCTTCCCGAGGGCTAATAAAAATGAAAAATTGGATAATGATAGGTACCTGATGGCCAAGAAGGCATTTCGAATCCAGTCAGACTCTGGGGCATGGACTCGCTTTTCGGCAATCGGGCGAAGGTTTTGGGGCATGCCAGAGCGAGATGAGGAGCGTTTCGTAGGCCCACCGCGGCTACTGGATCTGCGGCTGACGGTTAGAGGTGTTTTTCGGCCAGCATCTTCTTCGTCGTCGTCAAATTTGACGGACTAAAAAGATAAAAAATTAAGGCGTCTGAAAGCCTTTTGCTATCTTTAAAATATATATAACCGCTCCTGCTGGACCTTGAAAAATTATTTTATTGCACTCACAAGATTTTGACAGCTATCGAAGCGCTGTAGTAATTCAGACATACTAGTTGCGGGGCGATTAGCGGGTATGGAAGTGAGGGCAGGGTGTGAGGGATTGAAGGGCAGGATCCGAGCAGTCAGTGTGCGGCATTACACCCGGAGAAGGTCCGAGGGGACCCGAACATCCTCGCGAACAGGGCCATCCATCCCCCTTAGGGCCCAGCCTAGACTTCCCCCTTTCTCCCTTTCCAGCCAAAAACCTCTCTTCAGGGGTCGAATAGGCCAAGTGACCACCGAGCGTCATGAGGTGGGGATCGACCGGCTTACGTTTGGGTTTCAAATAAATCATGGTCGGGGCTTGGGAAGTCTAATGACCAAAAACTGCCGCGGGATAATCTAGCTCCCAGTTTGGAATATGCAGTCCCAAAAGTGCTTTGGCCTGTAAACTACGATATGGTCTTGGCTCGAAGGAAATTTTGGTTTATTGATTTCACTAAATGGACATCTTTTTTTACGAATATCGGCATTGCTAATGCTGTGAGAGTACAGCGCGCCTGTTTTCTTCTCTTTTTAAGAACTTTCGAATCTTGGAAAAACCTTACCCGTACATCCTTCCATGGGACCGCTGGAAGGCCACACCCTTTTTTGGAACCCCCGTATAAAGTTAAAACAAACCCTCTTCACCGGAAATGAATCGAGATCAGGCCTCGGCTCATCCTCGTCATCCAAAATTTCCAACATCGCATTCCTATCCGGCGTTAACCTTTGCGGCACGCAGCTGGCCAATTCCTCCATCGAAAATCCCCACTCATCCTAAGCAGGCGGTCCCGAGTTAGAGATGCAAACTGACGTGCCCGCCCATGTGAACCGGTAAGCTGTTGGTGTGGATGTATTGTCTGACGGCTTCCCGTCCGACCTGATGGATTTGGGGATGACCGGCTCCAAGCCAGGATCTGATGACCTTAAAAGATTTTAGGTGTTGTTGAGGAGACCACGAAATCCCCCCACCTTCCAGCTGGCGTTTAATATTGACGGCGAATCAAAGATTATGATGTCTTGCACGCATAGAGGGTAGTAGAATTTTAGGGCGTGTAGAATGAATTTGAACAGGTCAAAGTCCTAAAGAATAAAAGCCAGAAATTTTGTTATAGAACTTACATACCATATTCTTCAAAGAGCATCCAGACATATCTATTAACAGGCAAAGAGCAGCTCCGTGACTGGCAAAATAATGTCTTTCCAACCAATAGACAAACAATTGTTCGGAGGTTTTATCTCCAGGAAAGTGCTCCCTCATTTGAAGCCAAACTGTGAAACTTGAAATGGAAAATTTGATGAAAACATACGTATCGGGTTCCCCTCAACGTCACTTCCATGAATATACATCAAACTACGATCAAGTGCTGGTTTTAGCGAAAGTATACTCAAATCTGAAATTTGATTTGGAGTAGAAGATCTAGGATGCCTACGTTCGACATCAAAATGCTGTCTCCATTTTAGCCACTCCAAGACGACGGCAAGAACCACGTCCAAATCGCCATCAAATGCTTGGACGAATGCCAATAGTAAGGAGTCATCATTATCTACCAGCCGAGCATCAGATCCGGAACATTTTCTGAGATATCCACCCTGAACTGCATATACAAAACAAGGAAAAGACAAACCTCCCGCAATCGTTTCCTAAGCTCAGCAACTAGCATATGATGACGAGTGGAGTCTGTAGATACTGTAGAAAGGCATCGATGGAATTGCCGAGTCGAGGACATTCTCAGGGAATTGTGTCGTTGGAACAGTTCCTCGGAGCCCTGTGGCAAAAAGGGGTGACGCCGAGGAAACCCTCTTGAAGAGCTTGGACGATCAATCTTGATGAGCTAGAAATTCAAAGGCGTTTTTTAGAGACAACGATTCGGGCTGTAAAGAAAACATTTGTCAACCGGGTCAACGAACTAAATATAATAACGCGGAACCGGGGCCCTGTGTGATCCAATGCCGACGTTTGTGTAAAGCCCCGGCCAGTGTGGGGAAAAGAGGCTGCAGTGCATGTGGTTGCCACCTTGCATAACGATCCGTTTTTACGCAGATTGGCCTCGGGGGGGCAGGGAGGGGGCATCGACAAATGGCCGTCACGCGTACTGAAGAATTGAGGTTACTGGGTATATAAAACCTGCTGGGTCTATATTTTGATGTTTTTCTCAAAACCCAGATATTCGCGTCATTTCAAAGCGGGAGAAATTGTGATTTAACTTGGCTCGTATATATTGGTCATTTAAAATTTGTGAGAAATGGCGTGCAACTAGCTTAAATATAGTTACGCAAATTGCCAGAGAAAAATTTCCGTTACAATTCTTAAATTGTGTCCTGAGTTAGCTAACTTATTTCCTGATAATTCAGATTTTAACATAATTAGGTTGTATTTAATCACATGTTTCCATCCCGGATTTTATCGTTCCAAAAATAGCTAAAGAGATGCTGAGAAAAACGTGGATAGCGCAAGACATCATCGAATATAGAGAGAAAAGCCACGGGGCTCCGCTGGGAGTCCGGGAGGGGCTGTGGCCAAGAGACATGTGGTTGAGGGGCCCCCTTTTCTTTTAGCTGCCCTTTCAGCTTTTCGTTAGGGCCGGATAGGCCCGAAGGGCCATGCGCAAACAGCGAATCAGCCCCATCCGCCACCCGCCAGCCTACCCCTATAAAGATGACGCTTTTGCCGAAATTCAGTCTTGTCTTTGGTTTCAGCACTCAAAACTCTGCCAATTTCCGGAAGAATTATTTATTAACATTGTTGATGTCGTCCTGAATTGAGTAAGCGAAAAAAGAGAGGTCCTTGTCGGTGTTTGGAAGGTCGAGTGAGTGGAACTCAACTTGCAGAATATTCAGTGGCCAAATAGAGTTCGGGGTCCGGGAACTTTTGCCCCATTTCATTGTAGTCGCGGGCGTATTTGTCGACGGCCTTGCTGAAGACCTAAAACGAAATGTTGTCATTTTTGCACTTATGCACTCACCACGTCGGGATTATAGTCTTGTATGTACTCAGCGTATTTAGGGTCGATGGCCGCCTCCGGGGTTATCATAAACTGGAATTAAATAGGTAGCGATGAAAATGGCATTTTGAGATTACCTTATCCTTGTATAATTCAGCTGGTGTACTGTTATAAGTCTCACGAAGCATTGCGTTGTAGTTCCAACAAGCTTCATGCATACGATCGCAAAGATTTTCGTAAGGGGTATAGTTCTCTTCCGAATTTTTAGGCTGAAGACTTGCTTTTGTTATCTCCTACATCGCTACCTCGCCAAAAGGATTGACCTTTCTCCAGTCCCTATATTCCTCCATTAAGCCATGAATTTCCTTTTGAAGATGGTAGGTGATAAAAATGTTATTATCCGGGCGCGTCTCGCTAAAAAGTACGTTGTGTTAAAAATTATGTTCTCACTTTCTCCAAGGGTCAAATTGCGCCACCTCCAGATTTCCACGGCGCACTGCCAGGAACAGCGATTTTTCCTAGGCCTGCTATGATTTTGAGAAGAATAGTACTTACATCGAATTCTCTCTCAATAATGTGAACCTCGTCAATATATCGGCTCTGATAAGCAACAAATTCCTGATCGTTTTTCGAGAGTCTTTGCAGTTCCTCAGCAAGTACTAAAAATAAAAAACCCTTCTGCTCCCAAGGGAAATTTACTTTTGCGAACCGCCTGCATCACTCTGTCCTCCATCCCGGGAAATTTGATTTCAAGCACTTCAATTTCGGCCTCGTCTTTGGTCCAGCTCTAGGCAGGCACTGGATTACAGTTATCCTTCAAAAATTACCACAATGCGGTCAAGGACGAACTGGATAAAGGAACGAACAACCCTAATCCTTCCACTCCAATCCACTGAAACAATCAATTCCTCGGCAACACATCTTTTTAGGGCTGGTATATGGGATGGGCGGACAAATGTCCGGAGCCTGCTCATAGCTTGTACCTAGGAGAGAATTGGGTTTTTTTTTGCAGGGCTTTTCACCTACCGCATCGATTGATAGGATGTCTCCCATATCAATTGTGTTCGGGATCTCTGTCCTGCTATCAAAGACGGCTAGGCTGGATGGCTGGAAGGCTGCTAAACAATGCGAGTTAAGGATAAATCATAATTTTACAAAAACAAACCGATCCTTCTCTGAATATGCTCGGTAGACGGGCCCTCTTCTTCAAACAAATAGTTCACCCGACAATTTTGTACACGGTTGGGGATCAAGTCACCGAAAGACAGGAAATGGCCCTAAAAGGTTTATCCTAATTAAAAGTAAAAAATAAATAAATGAACTAACATATCGTATATTTGCATTTGTGAGCAACATCTCCAGATCAATAGGAAATTGCTGGATTGGCGCTACTTCCGGAGCTACACCGGTCGGAAATTCTACAGCCCTTCCCGGTGTCCTTAAAAATCTAGTTATAACAGTTTTGTCGAATTTCATAAAGCAATTTCATTAAAATCCTAAAACCCACATATCATGCTGGTAATATTTCGTCAAAGTTCCTTCAGTGGTGGCAATCGTCACAACGCGATCATCCAACGCATAGCCAACCGTCGGCACCCCAGAACGAGACACTTTGATCAGCAAGAATTCTTTTTTCAGATTGAGCACAAAGTCTCGGGCATCATATGATAAGTTTCCAATGCGTAGAAGGTCAAACAGCCCAAAGTCCCAGCATATACGCGCCCATATGATCCTTGGTAGCGAGACAACTGCCTAAAAATACTCTAAAGGTATCTTTTCGGTATCTTAACTGCATGTGGATTATATTGAAGATTGATTAGTTCCTGGAGCTCCAGATGCTGAATGTTTTCATTCCCGTCATTCTCGTCTTTCTGTTCAACATCTTCAGTTTCCTCCATGCCAAGCCGGTTGCCTAAACCATGCTGACTATGAAGTTAACTATGAAGAGCCAAAATCAAGGTGTGAAAAGAGGAATGAAAAACCCGACCCTGAACCCTGAACATCAACAAAAACGACCGGCGAATTAGAGCGGAGCAGGAGCAGGCATGGGCGGCTGTGTCGGAATAAAAAAAACATATATGGCAAATATCAAGACGCTGTGGTAGGGCGCAGAGGGCAGATTCTTGGAAGATCGGGTAGAAGATTAACCCGTCCCGGGGTAGGGCGACACCGCCTCCGGGAGGATCATCTCTGGTAACGGTTTCATTTTTCGTTAAGCCGCATTGTCTGGAGCATGAAGATTATCCCTCGATCGCAACAGTCTTAGAGATGCACGGGGAGACCAAGGCGTTTTTTTGCGGTGGTCGAGGAGGGGGAGAAGGTGCGATGGAACATGGTATCAAATTAGTTGGAAAACGAGTTGGCGGGCTTGTTGCGCGCTAAAGTTTTGATCGGTTATGCCATAAAATGAAATTATATACAACTGGGGAATGCAAACTCACGTCTTTTTTTAAAAGGGACGGGTATATGGTTAAAGAGTTTGTTGCCATGGTTGCACTACGGATTTATTGATTAGTAGCTCGCAACCCGGATACAACGTTACAACATACAAAGCTTATTTTGGAAATTGCGAATTTTCGGCTGCGTGTCGTGGTCGCAAATAAAGCCAAATCCATATAAATTCATTACCTTTAATTACCTACCTAATTACCTCCATTACCTTTAATTACCTACTTAATTACCTCCATTCAATGTCATCGATGTTTTGAAAATGTTCTTTGAAAGAAGACCGGAAAATATTGCAAAGATCAGATTTATCGAACACTGAGTTAATAAATGCATATGTTTGTCAGTAAAAATCATTTCAAAACTAACAGCCATCATCTATCTGTACATATAAAAAAATAGAGGCGGCCTATCCAGAAAGCATGACGAGTATTTGTTTCACCACGAGCTATCACAGGGTCTGGGGCGAGGGCAACATTCGAAAAATTAATTCAGAACCGGTTGAGCAACGTTGAGAATTTAAAAATGCAAAGTGCGACGGGAGTTTAGGCGTTGAAAAGACGATAGGCAGCGATCAACAATAATGTGGGGATTGTGGGGGGCACAAATGGGGAGCCGTTGAGCCGGTCCATCATGTCTTCTTCATTGCAGCGGGGCCCGATGCAGGTGCACAGGTAGACCTCAAATTAAAAATTATCGAACAAAAAAGGCCGGGTGGCCCTCCTCCCTGGGGCCCATAAGCTGGCCCACCTATCCCCTGCCCCTGCTCAATTTGGTCCAAAGATTCTGGGGTGGTACCATGGATGGGGGCTGCTGTATCTGAGAGTGCGGATCGTTTAAATCGGACCTCGATCCAACCGGGTAACATTTGAAAAAGGGCCGTTTGATTGCTTAGGCTCTGGCTTAGGCTTATGCTTAGGCTTGTAGGACGTCATTTCCGCCAGGATTTTAGGATTCAGCAAGGCCACCTTTGCGTTTTAAGTAAGTTTGAAAACTCTATAACTTATGCAAGTTTTGCAATCTCCTTTAATTTTTTTTGTTGCCAGGGCTATCAAGACAAAACATCCTGAAAACGCAAAAATCTATTTTGAAAGCGCTATCATATCCCCAGAGATGATCCCCCGCATTTGAAGGGCGATGCTACACACATTCTTCAAGTGTCTGTGGCCCTTTGCCGAGGGCCCTTTTCCAAAACCCGTGTGGCCCCCTTGCTCCTGGATGCATGGCAAATCATGGGGGCCCCGGGTCTGAATTCCGACGCAAAAATGCATGTTGCGATCTGGGGAACGGCATTCCCAAATGGGATTCCCGGGTGTGGAATCAATGCGTCTCCGCATTTGAAATGGGTTATAGTTTTCGGTCTGAACTAACCGGATCGTTCTCCGAGCTCAACGGGTACATCTTTAAAATTTTGCGGTTGCTCTTCCGGCAGATGTTGGAGTGCCTAAATGAATTTTATACGCGACTACTTGAGGCAAACGATTCCGCACCTCCTATCAACACTCATTAACCCCGTCTTCACATCGTCGTCAAGCCCAAAAAGCAGGAATCGATCCACACACCCACGCATTACCGCCTGCTTATCGTCGGTGTAAACTGGAAATTACCATTTAGATATTGTTCACGTTTTAACTTCCTTGCCCCATCCCTTGCCGGACCTTCCAGACTGTCTAGAAGCCGCCGTTATTTCTGGAAAGCATAATCGCATTGGATTTTTCTGGGGGGCCCAAGGCGGCCGTACTGGTGGGCCAAGGTCCAATTGTTGCCCTAATTCGATTATGGCAAGACCGGCTGGGGCAACCTCTAGACCACATTTTTCAGAGTGTTTTCAGTTTCGATTATTACTATGAGACGAGTGTAAATACTGACATTTAGACATTGATTTTGGAAACTACACAACCTAAACGCAAAATCATTACCCGGACATTTCCCACGCTCTCCCTTGTTGCTATGATGTATTTCAGGGGGGTTCGAGTTGTGAGGTACTGGGGTTAGACGATTTGATGGGTGCCGCCGTATATTTATTAGGGGAGCTGGGGCTCCCCTCTACTGCCCCCGGGTCTCTCTCCCCATTTGAATTTGTAATCGACTCTCTAATGAGTTGCCAACCGAATGTGGGGCGCTATGGCCCTACTCCACCCGTTTGAAACCCAGCCGCACGAAAAGTTTTGGGCAGGATGGGGTTTTTGAGGATGGGAGAAGGAGGAGGTATCATATTTTAAGGTATACAGGGTTTCTAAAGGTTTCTGAAATACAGTTTCTGAACTATTAGTGCGAAAGGGGGTTTTGACTGTGCGTTACAAGATTACGAGACGCTCCGCTTGTTACTTGTCGGTTAAGATAAGTCCAAGGTTGTTTTGAATTTAAATACGCCTAGCTTGGGCTTTCGGAGCTTAACTTCAACGCAGAGCACTAGTTTGCTCGAATAACTAAAAAACAGCTATATCGGTCCTAGCTTGCAAACAAGTTTAGGTTTGCTTAAGTGAATCTTAGCTTTTTGTTCCATCAATCAGCATTTGTTCCAACAAATCGAGCCTAATTTAAAGCTTAAACACGATCAGAGCATAAAAGCGTATTTTGAAGTGTCTGTTAGTCATGAATCCGCACCGATCCTAATTTTTAATGTTATCGAAGCGCAATTTGCAATTATTGACCTAATACATACCCCCAAACCCCCCACATTATTTTTACCCTGAAAACCGCTACCTCCCCACCTTTTTAGCGGTCCCCAGAGGACCCAATTTATCTCATACCCCCCTGACACACAGGTCGTCGGGGTTACGGGTGTCGTGCGGCCCGGGGTTTGGATCGCTCGCTGGCGATTCAGCTGGTTTTCGTGTGGATTTGTGGGGCTGGTCGGTCTCGACGGGCGAAGAGGAGGTGATGAATGCCACTTCATTAGATCCCTCCTGGGCCACACGACAAGCCGACTGACTAGAGGGTGTAGAGACCCCCAATACGGCAGCCGAATTACGGGTGGATGGACTGCCCTCCTCCTCCGGATATACATTTCGGTCAATTCGCTATAGAGAGCATAGCAAGGGGTACTAAGGGATGAGGAATGTGGATGAACGGCATGTTGGCATCGCCTATTATAGGGAAAAGGGGGAGGTCTCGTTGAAAAGGATCCATCATTATATGGTATTGAAATGAGGGGAGGTAAAGTTCAACGTTACAATGTACTATTTGAAGGTGGGGTTTGTGAGGCTTTCCCGTCCTGTGGACTAAAAAACCTTGATTGATAAACTTAAAAGCTAAAAATCACGTTTTCTAAACTTTCAAACTTTGAATGTCCTTCTACAACCTTTTACGTTTTCTACCTATACAAGATCGTACATGATGCGAATAACCCTACAAAATCCAACACAATTCTCCCCCTTTCTTCTACAATATGAGGTACTGCGTGGAAATTGGCAGCCGGGGCGACTAATTGACTTTTTCGCGCACATACCCCCCACGACATGCCGACCTGGGCGACGGCTGTGGCGAGAAGGACTTTATCCTAGAAACACTGTGGCCACCCTGATAATTGAAAAGCCTGCGCACCCCATTCATATGGCAATTCGGCAAATTGCCCCCCAGTACCACCGGAAACTCACAGTCATCTGGCCCGCTCGCCACTCGCTCGACAATCGTGAAGCAGGCGGAATGGCAGAGGACGGTACCTAAAACTTTTAATCCAATAAATTCTATAAACCTTTATTTTGAAAGTTTCAAGTCGGTTTTATCGAAAAAATATGAAAACGGCTCTCTCTGTTTATATAGTAGATTCCCATTTCCGGAGTATAGTAATTGCGAATTGCTAATTCCTAACAAAAAGTTATTTTTATTGCGATTTTCACAAAAACATATTTTAATGACAAAATAGACATTTTGACAACAATCTGAATATCGGGAGCCTATTCAAGCCGATCTTCACCTAATAACGTTCCTACCCTACTTAAAAAATTTCCCTGAGCTTTTTAGATGCGGAACAACGTCACGGAAGTTTTCGAAAATACATACACAAAGCCACTATTTTTTTTGTATTGAGCTAAATTCAACGCACTACCTTAAAAAATCACCCCCAGAAAGTTCGCCACCCCCATCCCTGCCCCGGGCAATAAAGCACCCAAACATCTGGCTAATTGTTAGGTAGAGACCCCCCGGCAGTCTTTCTCTCCTCCCTTCAAGAACCGCTCACCACTTCCTTAATTAGCTGCTGCGCCTAGCGTTTTGTCTTTCAGATATAGAAAAAGGGTGGGGGGGGGGGGTGGGACGAAAAACTGGGTCCCAAATGCGGAAATCCTCAGGGCTGCTTGACCCTAGCATTTCCGGGGTGGCTACCCCTCCAAAACCAAACCAATTTGCGCATCAGGCTGCCAGCATCTGTCAGTGAAGTTGTACGGGGGGGGAAATAGTGGAGCATGAGCACATTCCTAAAATCAAGCCGTTTGGACGAGTTTTCTGTCGTTAGAATTTTGCGTATTAGTACCGCAAATGCACTGTTTTGCGAGGGGCTGCTTTCAGCTCTTTTCAGGAAAAAGAAAGACGTACCACATTGGTAAATAAGCATGCGAGAAGCAGGAATAACATTGCTCTCGTGGCGGTGCCATATAATCAACGATGGAATGCATACCTGAAAAATCAGCTTAATTTCAAATGCGAGATACGGTATTGCCAAAATACAAGAAACATCCATACTTACGTTCCGGATTTTCGAGCGCATTTTTTAAATAGCCCTCTGTTAATAGAGGATTTGTAAAAAATATTAGAATAGTAAGAAGCTGGGGCCAGCGAAGTAGCGAATATCTTCTCTCCCATTTGCCATAATTTTCATCGTTTCTGACGACATCTTCTCTCAAATTTTCCAAATCGCTACACGGACTCTCATTAGAAGAACAAGGTTGCTGGTCGTCCATTAGTAGTTGGAATATTGGCGCATTCCGGTTTCCACCCTTTCCTAAACACGTTCAGCTCCCAAAAAAATTGGTAATTCGCGAAGGAAAGACGGATAAAGCATGGAAATGACAGCTCGAAAACGCCAACAAGCCCCCGGATCCCAGTTCCTAGCTCTAACACAAATTCCCAAAACCATCGGAATATTATAAAATCCAGATCCTCCAAAAAATGCGTTTTTCCATTTTTTTAAAGGCGCTAAAGTGGCCGGCGAGGGTAACCATGGAAATAGAGTACAAATTGTCCAAGCCCGGCTTCCTGGGGGAAGTCTCTTTTTCAGCACGGTGAAAAAGGCATAATTAAGGCCAGCCGAATCAGACAGTGCCTTGGCGGAGGCGGAGTTATTGCTATGGCAGCCTGTTTCGAGCTCGAATTCCAGCTACAACCTTCTGGTGACCCAACGGGGGCTAGGGCCCTCCCCCGCCCCCCAGGGCCCCCAGCTAGAGCCCCGGATAGCGAAAGCAGCCCCGCCTCCGATTCGCTTATTAAGAATTCCGATCTCGGATGGCTCTAGGGAAAACGGCTAGAGATAAAATGGGTGGTTGGAAGGTTGATGACAAGAAGCTAAAGCTGATTTGATGAAATTTGAATTCACGTGAAGTTTCCTGCTTTCAAGAGGATGAAGGATAATTCCATTTGATTCCGCGTCCGAACGTATTGCGAACAAGCTAGTTCAAAAAGCTGAGCTTCATTTTTCCAATAAGTTTGGGGCGGAAAGCCGCATGTAAGAATTCTATTTCCGGCTCCGTTTATATACAGGTGGCCATGGGCGGATCGTCGCGGGACTGGAAGACAAAAACAAGGCCGCAAGGCGAGGAAATTTACTAGGGTCGATCGAAGGTCAAAGAATGCATGGAACCGTATTTATCAAATGGAGCATGAGGTGAAAATCAGCAATAAGGAAGGAAATGGGGACTTGAAAAACCTAAGATTAAGGCTAGGCTATTACAACGCGATTGCGAACAAAATAATATTTCTTTTACCCCAACATTCGATAAAGCCGACTCCAAGAGGCGCATCAAAAATTCTGATGTCCTCCTCGGCTACCAAAGGTGAAGGGCAAGAAGCAATTGCTGTGGTGGTGGCAGGGGGATTGGAAGGTGTTGGCAGGTAGCGGGCGGAAAGTGGCTCCAGCCGAGCGCCTTTTGTGTCGCCCGAATGCCCCAAAGGATTTCTCAGCAATTAAGGGCCCACGCGTCTTGCCCTCTACGGGCCACCAAGAGGGGCCAAGGGGAACGAATGTTGCCCTCGCATCGGCAACATTTTCCGAATTTTGGCGCCGCTTTTCGTGCGATTGGGTTTGCGTCATTTTGAGGTTTGGTTAAATTGGGGAAACGCTGAAGTTTGGACTACCACAAAAGTTTAATTTATAAGCTAGAAGAGAAAAATACAGGGGAAACGCTAGCCTTTCTACATCGTTTCCACTTCCCATTCCTCGTCAACAAACAACGCAATAGCAAAAGTCATTGGCGAAAAAGGAGCCCGACCCCCTCGGCCAGCTCGGGATATGCAGCGAGGTGTTGTCTTACTTCAATTTAAATTCGTCGCCAGCCAGAAGTCAAACATTCGAGCGGCCAACGATGGCCCCCAAGCACCAGCAAACTGAGGGAAAAGCCCCCGGCTGCCCCAGGTGTGGGTCCCCCATCACCTTGGCATGAGCTCATCAAATGCTGACACTTGCTAGCACCTTTCTGTTCGTTTTTTTGACTGCCTGGCTTGCTATATTTTTGTAGTGTATTTTTATTACTTCAGAAAACCACCGCAATATACAGGAAAAGTTGTTGGGTAGACGAATGACTAGAGGCACTCAGGGTATCATTATTACTAAAAAAATCGAGAGACCAATCTGTGACCAGATGTCTAAAGTCGCTTGAGCAAAAAAAATTGTTAGAAATTGTGGGTGTAGGCCATTGCCATGTCGGCAAGCTGGTCTTCGAGGAGTCGAATTCGGCGTTCATGCTGGCGGAGGATCATCTGAATTCTTTTTCTTTATATTTTTGAGGTGGGCTCTACCTTCATCTTTTGCAAATCACCAACCAGCTCTTCCATAGAACCGGGGCCACTCTGAAAATAGAATGTAAGTCACAAGCATAGTTTCCCTGGAATTAGCGATAAAACGGAAATGGACTAAGGACATGTGTAAAAACATTGATTCTAACGCGACAATCACGCTGCTTACATCGCTGAGCATTACCGGAGCATCAGAGGAAGCCGACTAGAAAGGAGACAGTTTAGCAAGGAGCAATTTTGCGGAAAGGACAAAAAGTGGTCTTAAAATATATCATTTAATGCTTTTGAGGGCTACTCTTAGAAACAAACCATATCCACTCCAACGCGGCTAACTCTGGAAGAAGCTTGAGAAGTCGGGCGTTCCGAGGTCTTGGATACTGTTGATGCTCTCGAGGCCGCCTGAGCACGATCGTCATCATCGGGAAGACGACCCTAGAATAAGAACATCTCGCTCAAAGGCTTTTGCAAATACGTTCTACCTGATCCCTGCGGATTCTCTCGAGTTCCGCAGCTGCTCGTCGCTGGCCAGCTGAAGGTGGGGCTCCGTCATCATGATCGGCGCGAGAGCGGAGCTTCACCTACAATGATTAGGATTATATAAATTAACTCAGTTATTCAAAAGTGTGTAATTATTTGAAAACCGAGGGGTCATTGTAACCGGGGTGGATAGTAGAGGAAGAAAAAAGGAAACTGGTTTAAAGTTTAAGTAGGCTTAGACTTTTAGAACATTATCCGTAAAAAGCTATAAAAAGTAGTGGGGGACGACTAGTTACAGATAGGCCATAAATTGAGGAGCGTGACGTTGGGGCTGTGCTCGGGGTGTGCAGCTGTAGTAGAATGTATGAAAAAAGGAATGAATTTGGAAAGATACCCCAGTGTCGATGGTGCATGGTGATAGCTAAAGAAATCGAGAACATTGTTGGTTAAGGTTTGATGTTTTTGATACCTACCTGATTCCTCGGGATCATGGGGTTGTTCTCCTCCTTTGGTGGCTCAGCGGAGGGAGCAGCAGAAGATCGTCTTGGAGAAGGGGTGGAGGCAGTGACGATTCCCATATCATCGTCAACAACCACTTTTCGCTAAAAAGAATATTAATTCATTTGTATTGCTCCTACTTGTTGAGCAGGTCGGGGTGAAGCAGCCTGCTTGGTCGGCTGAGGTGAGGTTTGTTCCTTGTATGACTGCGGAGCAGCCTCGGTGGCTCTGAATTTAATTTTCTAAAGCTCTGAAAATCCTTACGGGGTGGCAGTCAGTGTATTCAAGATGTTGGCCTTCTTGGCGACCTGAACCTTCGGCTTGTTGGCTGCAGCTGCAGCGGCAGCATTGACCGGCTGTCGGTTAGGCTCGGCATCCTTGCCTGAAAAATTGTTTATGGATTTTTCTAAGCATTCTTACCATCCATAAACTCTTCGGCGGTAAGCGCAGGCTGAAGGGATCGAGTATCGGGGTAGAGATCGTGCTAGAAGCTGATAACTTTTCGTAATAGGCACAATACCTGGAAAAGATCTGACTTCCTGGGGCAGAAGAATTGAAGGATATCGACGACACCCTTCGTGGTAAGCTTGTAGATTCTAAAGTGCACTTGATTTAAAGACCTAATGATTGATTACCTCTGAAGTTCATTCTCCTCCGAACACAGCCCTCGCTTGCTCTGGAAAGCAGCAGCTCTCTGGGGCTCATTTGTAGTGTAGGTATTGATGTAATGCATGTATGGAGGATCATCGTTAACTTCGTAGTATCGGATTGCGCAGTCGCCCTAATTTGCATATAATTTTGCATAAATGATTTAGATACCTTTCCGACCAGATACACCAGGCCAGTGTCCTCATCGTAAAACGGGAAAAGCACACCGTTGGAGGTGTCAAGCTCATCTTGCATGATGGGAGTGGATAGGTTCTCCTGAAAGGTATATTATTATTTTTTTTATGCAACGTGTAGTAGCGTAATTTACAGTTTTATGAAGAATTACCTGAGACCTTAGCGCATACAACCTCTCTGAGCGTTTCGTAAAACCAGTGGTCACCACCCTGCCGTCGCGTACGAAGATGGCTCTATATTTTCGCCTACCCAGTAGCGGAGACTTTTCGCATACCTTTGTGGCTTGACTCCTTCATGTCCCATACCCTCGTGGAGAACATCACCAGTATGAGAGTTGAAAATCCTGAGCTTCTTGTCCTTGCAGCAGGTGATAAAGCGACTGCCATCATAGTTGAAGGCTACGGACCAGATCTAAAATAAATCTGATTCTGTAGTGCCGCAAAAAATACTTGATCAGGATGTCCGGCGATCTCAAGCAGGGCTTCCCCAGTGCCAACGTTCCACATGTACATCACATTTTCACCACCTAGATATTTTAGAGTAAATTATCGCAAGAATATCTACATACCAGCGGTAAGGAGCAGATTGGCAGCCACCGGATGCCAGGCGATAGTGTTGACACGTTTCTGATGCCCCAAAAGTTCGACAACAGGTTCGGTGATGTTCTTGCGAAGCCCACCTTCTGGGATTAGCCACACCTGACGAGGATTTGCACATGTAAGGTTTAAGGTATCTGGGGATACCTTTGCCGTAGTATCCTCCGAGCATGAAGCAATGACATTATCGTTAAAAGGGGACCAGGCAATCTCGAGACATGGCGCTTTGTGAGCATCGACAAATGGGATATCCTTATCAACACGTCCAACCTAAAACATTACAGAGATAAAAATTATAAATTCTATATTATTAATTTTTGAGGTTCTAAATTTTTAGTGTTTCTTTTATTTACTTTTGGTTTCTATTTTAGAAACCATCGTGACTCAACCCATACATCGCCCCCATTCTCTTACAGTTTTTGCTAAAGGGATTTTTCAGGCGGTGTGTGAGGGGGTTTGTTTGTTTCGAGTGCCCAGCCGTGCTGTAACAGACGGGCGTGTGGGCCAAACCGGGGCCCCGCCATGAAACTGGCTATCGAAATACATATCAAAATCAATAAAAAAATAACTATTTCAACTAAATATTTTAAAATCTCTACATACCTTATTCACCGGAACGACCATAAACGGGCCTCCTCCAGACCCTCTGTGAATAAACGCGATGAATTTCGGGTTGACCGCACAGAAAAGCGAATCCCATGTAATTTCGGTAACCTCAAATTTTAAATTTTTTTCGGGGGAGGGGGCGTTAAGTACCTTAATATCACTCATACATTGCTCGTGCTTCACCGGCTTGCAGTAGACATGTCGAAATTTTGATTGGCGAACGATCCCGGCCATTTTGTTCGGTTAATCAACCTTCGTTTTCTAAAGGTAGATGATAGAGACAAGGTTTTTCATATGGATTTGATAGATTATAAGGAAAATTGGGAGAGGAGCTCAATTTATTGAGAGAAACCGGGTTGGTTGAGCTGAGGCTGAAGGTGCATATGGGCCCCGCTGAGTGAGTGTAATGTCTCTTTGCGTTCGGGCAAACGGGACAAAACGACGAGGGTGGGGGGACAGCCTCTGGAGCCGGGCCGGCTTATAAAAAGTGTTGGGATTGTTGTCGCCGGAGCTAATTATAATCAAGCATTGAACACTCGAAAGAAAAGCCTGAGGAGAAAGATTTGGGAGGAGGAAACATCTGTGCTATGTGGGCATCGATATATGCTGTTTGTTTGTCGTTAGGAAGTGGGGAGTAGGAATATTTGGTGTCTTATCGATGCGATGAAAAAATCATTGAGCATTAAATATTGATGCGCTCAATAAATTAAGATTTTTTTGTTCAATATAAAAAAGTGTTTGAACACCTCTACATACAATGGGAGAAATTAATGGAATATAGCGACAATATTAGAATCGAGGTAATTATAATCTATTAGAAGTAAGATAAGACTTTCTGATTAGCATAAAGAAGAAAGATTAAGTTATAAAAATGTTTTAAGCTAATTTAAGGACAATGGTGAGCTGGCCATCAGACGGAAGCCCCGCCGCCCACAAATAGCTTCGGCTGAATTTCATAGCGCAAAATTGCCGGCTGGCACTGTGTGGGGGCTATTTGTCGAGGGGCCCAGCAAACACTCATGTCGCTAAGAACGTTTGCCAGCGGCTACTAAGACTTTGGACGATCCCAACCAACGTCTCTTCTTCTTCTTCTTGTGAATGACGGAAGCCGATTGCAAAAAGCAAAAGTTACGAAATAAATATGTAAACTTTAAGGGCTGCATTAAATGATGAATTAATAAGGGATGCCAAATACTTTTAATATCGTGTTAAACGCGTTTTTTTTACTCCGCACGCCCATTTCACGCCGATGAACGACCTATCGAACATCGATTTGCGGAAGGCCATTTCAAATAATGTGGTGACGATCTGCGCCAGCAGCTCAGACGAGGCTTGACAGCTCGATGACCAAACGCGTCGGCGGCATACAAAGGTATTTAGTATAATAAGAATGTGGTCCTTCGTCTCTATCGTGAGCTTAAGCTAAACCTAAGCGTAAGCGTAGGCCTAAGCCGAGACCTAAGCCTATTCGAGTTCATAACACCCCATTTAGCCTCCGAGGCATTTCCATTCTTGCTGTCGTCGTCTTCCATCTGGGTTACCTGGACCGTGGCTTCTTGGGCGTGGATGTGTAAGCAACTCCTTAAAAGCCATTCAGTATTAGCTTTCTTGTGATATCTGGATATTTGGCCGCCAAGTCTTTAAAGAACGATGCCCCCGGTGATGTTTACAAGTTCTGGAAACGCCGATTTCAAAAGGTTATGCCTTCATATAGGTATTCGACTTTCAAATCTCTTAAATTTGGCTTTCAGTTTGATGCTGGCTGCACTGGGCTGCTTTGGCAGTGTTGTTTTAGTCGGAACCGACTTCTGCTCTTTTCAAAATGAACTAATAATGGCATCACTATTTATTACTAACCTTCAGTCTTTCTTTGACACGTCCGATTACCATCAGAGGGTTAGTTGGTTGAAATATTGGGCACAGGAAGCGCCATCCAGATCTCGGAATTCAAATTTGTGGCTCACACTTGGTCGCTGTGTCTAGAAGTTCAATTCTATTTGCTCGCCCCTGCCTTATTTCTCTTATTCAATAAACTAGAAACTCGTGGATGCAAATTTGCGTGGTTTCTCACAACTACGCTAAGTTTTGCCTGGTTCTTGGTAACTTTTCAATTCTTTGAAAACAATTTACAGTTGCTGGATGATGATTTGTCATTTTATCTCTTACCTACCCGGCTTTGGCAATTCACTTCAGGCATCATCGTCTATAATTGGGGAGTTAATACAAAAATTGGTATCCAAGAAATTATATGCAAATCCCGCTTTTAGCCCAAATCATTTACCCTAAGCTCTTCGTATTATTTTTGCTAGTCCTATTTTCATTGCCGCAAATTCCGATTCTATACGCTCGCATCTCTGTCACGCTACTCACGACACTGCTGATTTCGGCAATCGGAAATTTGAATACTGATTCATATTACCATGCCCTGCTAAAATACATCGGCGATGTATCCTATCAATTATACCTCATCCATTGGCCTCTAATTACATTTTATGTAAATTTGACTGCCACAAGGACGAACTCAAGCAATGGTGGATCATTTCTTTTGATTAGCATGCAAATCCAGGGGGTGCTGTTATTTTTATTGCATCTGTATTACTTGCTGCGATATTTACCGAACACTTCGAGAAATGGTTTCTTCGAAAAGACTTCAAACAGGCCTTAATGTTTGTAATATTATCATACTTGGCTATTGGTGCAATACTATCTGAAAAAGAGCAAAAACTGGCTTTATCTAAGAAAATTCTACCAGGTAAATCAAGCTGATAAGTTTGTCGCTAGCTTTAGGTTGTGATCCTCAAATGCTGGAGGCGCCAAGCATTGGTAATTTTACAAAGTCAATCATACAATTGAATGAGAGTGAACTGTTCTATGCTGAAATGGTATGATTCTAAACGCGATTATTGAAACTTTTTAGGAGGGCACTGGCCAGTATGATATTCTTATCATCGGAAACTCATTTGTCAGCAGCTATCCTTATTGGGTTGAAAAACCGTTTATCAACCATTTCAAAAGACTTTATGTATTATCTGTTTCTTGTAGGATTTTCCTGAATTCACATAAATTCCTAGATTGCATACCTTTCCTGGATTTCAAAATATTCAAAGACAAAGCCCGAGTCCTCGAGATGTGCAAGAATTTTGAGTGGCTGAGTGGAATTTTGTTAAATAATGTTCAACCTGATATTTTATTCTTGAACCTTGGGCGAGTTTAGCTAGAATTTTAATCCAACCCTTTAATTTGCAGATATTCTAGCTTAATTCCACATCTAAAAAATCAAAGTGTATTTTCATTGGCGAAACCACATTCCTACAAAAAGTTCCAGACTTTCAGGTTTTTCTATCAAATCAAAACAGATTTTTGTTCTTTAGGAAAAGTGGGGCCAAAATCTTAATCGCCGAACCGATTTATTACATCTCATCCCCAGCTAGAGCCCATCGGATCCACAGGCTTAATGAAAAACATGGCTATTTGGGTGGCCGAGATGATTACACTTATCCCAATGATGTATCACAATTTGCCCGAGACTCGAACATTTTTAGGAATATTTACGTCAAAACAGGGAGATTTTGGAGATTCTTTACGGAATGACGAGTGGCTGCCGGAATTGTCATTTCGTGCATCCACAGAATGCATTTACACGCGACAAGTTTTGAGGATTGGTAGATGCAACTCAAATTTCCTATATTCCAGCACGACGGCTTTTCTGGTCGACGAAAAATGCGGTCAGTTCGTTTATCGATGGGATGGGATTCATCCGAACAACTTTGGCAGGAATTTAATTGAGGTGTTCTTTAAATTATAATGCTAAATTTGAACTTAGTTAGAATTCAAAAACTCGATTAAACATTTCCTCGGCACTTATGGTAAGCAAAATGGGTCCACGCCCATTTCCCACCATTAATAAATAGTTTATTCACAACCCCCATGTACTATTCACATGTAAATCGATGCACGCGCGAGAGAACGCAAGCACTGATAATATTACATTTCCGGAGCTACAAAAAAAGCTTCCAAAATTGTGGTGTCTTCAAAGACAGCTGTCCAGGGCGGCAGGTAACCAGATTGGGAGGCTGAGTTCTGGCCCAAACGAGCCCTTTTTCTTTTGTTTCGGCGGCACCTCGGGGCCGACGAGTTTCACAAATGGTACAAAGTGTTGTTTTGGAATATTTGTCTGAGCACGTTAACGATATTGTTTTAAGGATGGTGCTGCCGATTTCGTATTTTCCGGAATTCGTCGGTTTTCAGGTAAAAAGGTGTTGTATGAGGTGGATTGGTGTTGTCGACATCATGTTTGCGCACTTTTATGATGCTTCCCTGCGCTTTTTTTTTTGCTTTCCGAAAATTAGAATGTAAACCTTTCGGTTTGTCGAAAATTCATTTTTCGAAATTTAAGTAGCGGCGTCATTACTTTTCAGTCGCTAAATAGGCTTGCAAAAACGATCGGTTTTAGACGTTTCGATATTCGACATATTAAAATCTCGCCATAATTAATTGTTGTTACTTTATTTTTACAGTGTCTACAGAAGATCTATCTAGGTTCGACGACTGTCCCCACCTCGAACAAGAGGGCTTCGTCGGCTTCCCCTCCGCAACCCCATCCACCCAGCATACCAAGAAGCCGACGGTGAGCCTTTTCCCCTCCTTTCCTTCCGCAATTAATTGGGTGCTGAACGGGTAAATTTAACGAAGGGCGAAAACAGGGTTTTGCAAGAGCTTCCGCCGGAAGGTGTAGTAAATGTAACTACTTGCTATTTGAGGCGCATATGCAAATTTTTAGACTGATTGCTTATACCGTGATGCTACTTAAAATTGCTTTTCTTTGACTTTTCTCGCAGTGCCAAAAATTTTAATTTACTCACTGCTTCGACAAACCCAAATGTCCTGAACCGACCCTTTGAAAAAGCTTGGGCGTCACGAACCCCCTCATTAATTATTGCACGTCCAAGATTACTGAAAAGGATCAAGAGTTTGGTGAATTAAAGGCGGTGGGGCGCGCAAAAAAGTGTTTTCTAATTAGGGAAGATGCGGGGAGCTGCCGGGGCAGTCGGGGAGGAGTACATATGCGTGCCCTGAACCAATTGAATCAGTGTGTGCTCGAATTAGGGGCTGCCCCGGCGGCCTCTATGGACCTGGGCAAGGCCGTGTGTGTAGCAACAAGAACTCGCTGGTCGGTTTGCCAAAGTTGGCAAGATGCCAAATTTTTACTTATCTGGATTGAGAGAGCAAAAAAA